CCCCAACTTAATGTACTTTTTCTTCAATTCAATTCACTTCATTCAAAACCAACAACTTAACAACCTACTTCCGCTTTCTTGTTTCCTTCGCCGCCTCGATGTTCAGAGCAGGCTTCGAAGCCCTTCAAAGCTGCAGCTAGGAAATCTACACATCGTCTGTGTTGACCACAACAGGGAGCAATATATGAAACAAATTTTGATTGGGTCATGGTAACGCAACGTGCTTCGATTGTAGAATGGCACGTTTTATTAGATTGTCCCTGCCCCATGGCTCCCCTGCCACCACACCACTGCAACCTGTGCCACCATATTGTGACTCCAATGGCATAGCAACGTCAGGCAACAACAGAACAAAAAGGTTGGAGCGTCAGAAGGATTTAAAGATTTAGAAGACTAGTAAAAACCAGTGGCGTAGCGTCCGGGTATTCAAGGTATTCAGTGAATACCCTGAGATTTCTCAGAAAAAATATTAATACGACGTATAATTGTAATAAGTAAAAAATGTTTTGGGGCTATTGATTCTGGTTGAATTCGTTACCTCCGATATTCTACATTTTGTACAAGTACAAAATATCATCAAATTCATGGAAACAATAACGCTGCGAAACATAGAGAAGCTGGGAGATCTTTGAAGCTAATTTTGAAGATTGAGCTACTTCATGTTGTATGGAGATCGGTCATGAATACGCAGTGAATACCCTAGACGGTACTTTAACCAATCAAAATGCTCCTTTCCATGAATAATATTTGCCGTTAATCAGCTAAAACAATGGTTCTGTACGCTGAGAAATATGCAGCGTACAGCCTCAAAGTTGGTTCAAAATAGTCTCTTTATGAGATCGATATAAACAGTTAATGGACGTCGGAGCGGAGCGGTTGGAGTGATGGAGCTGCATCGAAAACAGTAAACATGACTTAATTAAAAAAACTATTGCAATGTCTGTATTACTGTTTCATAATCATTCTCTCATTTGACCCCTAATCCTAATCTACCAACAGCAAAGTGGAAAGGAAAGGTAGGCTTCTACATAATACTACACTGACTCAGATCTGTTCCCTCTTGAAATGCCAATTTGTTATTGCTTGCCAATCAGGGATGTTTCTGTTTGTATAATGTGATAGAATTAAAGTAAATGCAGATAGGCCTGGATAATATCCTTATAGTTGCCTGGTGTATTCAGTTATCTTGTTGGCCTATTTTGTTTGCATTATTCGAGCGCATTTATTTGCATTATTGTGCAGTCTCATCTCATTACCTTCGATTCTTTCAAATATTAACTTGTATTGAAAATATCACGATTAGGCCATGAAGAAAAAGTCTATACTGCATACCACAAAACCATTTATAACTCATGTAACGCCCTATGTGAATAATTTTGAAACTTTCGAAAGCCCTTTTGTATTAAGGTATTAAGAGTAGGTGTTTACAGTTACTTCCTCTTTACATCAGTGCAAATGTTAGACGATTCAACAACAACTATTGGGACATATTTCGACCAGTAAAATTTTACTGGCTTTCAATGATATGTTTTGATTTGAATTACTTTTGATGAAATGGTTAGTGGTAATTTGATGCAATGAATGAGTTCGAAGAGTATATTTGAAGGGTCCTTTAGCAAAGTATCGTTTTCATCATAGTAATGCCCTGACAGTGCAGTACTTGCCAACCGAACCAAAAAGAAAATTAGATAAAATGTCAATAGCTAGTCCTTTTAATTATCCCCCTTTTTTCATCAAGCCCCATCGAGCCACACCCTGCCCCACCCTTTTGTTTATAGAGAATACCCAGTTGAAAAAGTCACGCTACGCCACTGGTAAAAACATCACTTATGTCGAAATGCAATCATTAGTTGGAAGGGAAGTTACCGCCCCTGAGGTTCAACAATCAATGCATGAAAGTTTCTTCCTGATTCTACCTTGGGTTCTACTTCTTGTTATGGTTTATTGAGAATTCGCTGTTATCGGCAATTCGATCTATTACTCCACTCTTGACTGTACGACCATTTCAAACTCAATTTAGGGTTAATCACACTCCACTTTAAGCCAGGATACAGCTTTAAATTCATACTATTTAAGTTTGTGTTTTAACTGTAGATTTTAAATGGTATGACCAGTTTAAAAACGTTTTAAAGATTCGACCGTTTCGGGTGGAACCTTTCACCCTCAGTCATTAATCATGACAAAATCGCTTCTAGATTCGTAAAATTTATAAAGTCGTCTTAAAATAAATATCAATAAAACCGAAATTTATTATCGAGACTAGAATTCTGGACCCCAATCCCTCTTTCTGTCAAAACTTTTGTACAAAGTCTGAAGAATTCTTTTAAAATGAGACCGTCAATTGAAATGGTGCATTTGATTCTATCATAAATAGTATACCACCTCAATATTGCGAGTATATTTCTTATCCAATGCCCCCTGTGTTTGAAGTTGGATAGGTATTTGTAACAAAAAACGTAGCCCGACGACATTTTTCAGAGAAAGATCACTTGTGAAAGGGATATTCTTCACACAGATGGGCAGACTATCAGTGGTGTAGTGTTATCAAAACATGTTCAAAAAACAATAGCAAAAGTAGAAATTTGGCAATTTTCGGCATTAACAAAGGGGGCTGAGCCCCCTGAGCCCCCTGAGCTCCCTAGCTCTACACCCTTGCAGACTAGCAATTGCTCCACCTAAATTCTTTGTGAACTGTAAGGATGTTGTCTTTGTATCTTATTTTGGCTGATATCCGAATAAAGGGTACCGAAATGGCTTCATACAGCAACAACAACAAAGGAAGTTGCTGAGAAAAGTTAACAAAAGTCAGTAGCCGTCCATTGTATCAACCGATCAACAGAAAACCACAACTTTGTTCTTTGGAAACTAAAAGCCATTCAGGAACTAGCCTTTTTTACTTTCGAAATCAGGAATGTCTCTGAGGTAGGTTCAAGCGATCTTTTCAATTGGCCATTGTTTTACTAACGACTGACCTGTATAAAAGTATCATTGATGTAAAGTACCCACAAATGCCAGATCGCTCCTGTTGTACGAATTCATTTGATGATTCACTCTTACTTCATTTATTTTGATTTGGTAACCTTACAAAACCTTAGACAGTGACTGACATTCGAACAAAGCAGTAAAGTGAAGTTCACCCAACGGAGCCGATGAAAAGAATTAGCTTATCAAAGTACATGGACTATGGCCTCATAAAGGAATTTTCTGGAATATAGGAGGAAGGAGAAAGAAAATCAAATCATTTAAAAGGACTTATAACTTAGCGCTATCTATTGCTTATCATTCTGCAACCCGTGAAGTTTTAAAAATAAAAAAGAAGTTACCAGCTTTTCTGACGTAATCAGTTATCAGAAAGGGACGCCGAAACACATTGGGGTAGTGGGGGGAGGTATCTCTAGACAAATTGGCAAACTTGTATGGTATTTCCCCCCTTTTCTTTTATGTCACTACCTGAATATCATTGTTCAGCAGAAAAGTAAGGGATCTGTATCACCCTGCCCCCTGGCTCCGGCATGCCTGGAAGATGCAAATAGATTTTAGCGTGTCAAGCATTTTAATGTGCCAGGCTACGTAGAAAGTCAAACTTCGTCATGGGGCTTTCTTTCAAACGCAAAGTATTGATGACATATTTATGAAATAAGCTCTTCTGAAAAGGCATCTCGCGTTGTTTAAGTTCCTTTGCAGCTTTTCCTGAAAAGTGGTTCTATAGAATTAAGCTGATAGTCCCCACTAAAGTCCTAGGGTCAGCTCGTGGAACCGAAATGGGTCCACCTCAACCTTAAGAGTTAGCTTGCCTTGATACAGCATTCACGTGAAACACACATTGTTTCTATATCAAAAAAGCATGTCAACCAAGCAATTTTAGAGCATATGATAAACAAACATATATATCACCCAATTAAATTAAACCCTTGTCGCTTTTTTAAATGCTAGTGAAAACGTCAGTTTAAAGAAATGTTCACTTTCAGTATCAATATGAAACGTCAACAAGAAGTTAACCTAGGATCCCCCTAGGCGAATAAGGTGGAGCTAAACAGTTCTGTGCCAAATAAAGCGAATATAGTCCTTGGATTTATACTTGAGATTATGAATTCCACAGATTCCTCATACTTTCCGATCAGTTCTCTAGGACGTTTTGGTTGCGTTGCTATGCTTGTTTTCTATGGAACTATTTAGTTACAGTTGGAAACGCGGCTGATCAATTCAATGTGAGAGTTCCGTTCTTTTTCGATCTTGAATAAACGCATCTTCTTTTAATTCCGTTCCTTAGTTTCTCATCTTATTTTTTCTTCAACGTAATAGCGAGGAACAATGAAAGCAAATAGTTCTGTTCTTTTTACTTAAGTGTAAACGGGCTCCTACTGTCTGTCTGATCTACCAATGACCATACTCCCAGCGATTATCTAGCGATTTAGACGATAATCTATGTTGAACGATATGTCCCAGCAGCTCAGTGTTTTTCTTCCCCTTCCAATGACTTTTTCTTCCAGATAAGCAATCTCTTTGGCAAGGAAACTCCCATATCAAGCATTGCATGGTCTAAATAAACTTTGAGAATTAATGGGGGCTAAACACCCACTGTCCCTTCCCTTCCTCTTTCAACGATCCGGTTATCTGTAGTATATCTTCTACCTAACTCTTGCGAAGGAGGTCCTCCGCGAAGGTTCAATCCGCACGCAGGCTATCGTCTCAGCCTATCTTTAAAAACATGCCCGTCAGAAGGCTTTTTTGATAATTCCTCAATGGCATTTAACAAGGTTTCTACGAAAGATATCATACTGTGTAATGGTTATGCATTCCCTGGTACTCAAACCAAAAAGATTAATTTAATAGAGAGGAAAAGGTGTGACGTAAATCTGTCATCTTAGACAAAAATCTCTTTCTAAAACCAAAGATTAGTTTCAAACTTTCGAAAGAGGAACATCAAGCTTTGAATGAAAATTGAAGAAGAAAAGCTAAAAGTATCCATACCAGCAGGTGACTCGAGAGAATATCACATGTAAGACCAATTGATATATTATATTGTATAAAATTTAATTACATTGCATCAAGCGATCACAAGAAGAAAAATCTGACGAACAATAATGGAAATCTATAATTAATCTAAACAATTTTAATTTTATCGAGTAAAATGTTCTATCTTAAACGTATTCCAACTTAGCTAGATAACAACCACCCATCTTTAGCCAAGGCAACAGTCCTAGAATAATCGATACAACAAGAATAATCGATAAAAACATTTTTATATAAAGGATGGAGATCGAATCATCAACTATGGATGTCATTCTGAATACACCAACTGGTCTTTAAAATGTTGTGATCAAATACTACAATAAACTTTCCCACCAACCTGTCTACAAGATCTGTCAAGATTCGCTAAGAAGATCAAACTGCTGTCATTGTTTTAGATTTAATGGAAAAATGCTTATGATGAAAATGAAGTCAATGATGGGCTCTGCATATTTGCATGTCGCACAGCACAAAACGAGAGCGTATCACCCATAAAGGCAATACCCTCTCTCGCTATGGTGCTATACATTGGCTAATGGAAACTCTCTTTAAAGACGTTAGTGTTGCCTTGGCTGAGAGATGCAGTGGCAAAATATTTCCGTCATACGAGCACAAAACTAAGAAAATAATAAAGCAAAGAAAATTCGGTTGGGTGCTAAGAATGAAAATATGGTGTCAGGCTTGCAAATCAAACGAATTTTAATGAAACTTTAATGGAACTAAATAATAAATAAAAAAATGAACCATCCAAATTACGCGATGTTTAACTTATTTCTTAATTGACTCTAACTTAGCTACAATTCTTTTACAGTATCTAAGATCCAAAGAGAGTATCAGCCCCAATGAAAAATCACAATAGGAGTCATTTTATGAACACTTTCTAAAGTAAATTGACCATAGCAGAATTGTTTGACGGATGGTGGTCCATTTGACAGAGTTAAGAGCTGGAAAGCTCCTTAGAGCCAAACTTAAATTCCTTCCAAAGAATTTCTTAAAACTTCAAATTCTTAATATTTTATGCTTGAAGGAAGCTTGACCAACCAACCGAATCAGGCAAGATGCATTCAAAGCTAATCAGAATCAAAAGATGGTAAATATTGATTTGATTCGTACTGCAATGCTGAAATAAAAGTCAACGTTATGGAAATCGATGATGTCTCTATAAAAGCCAAAGAATTGGGTCCGAAAGTCAAAGATTTATCTTCGAAAGCCAACGATTTCTCCGTGTGATCTTTCAGTTGCATATTCTAAATTTCTCGTAGGTAGAGTATTTTGTTCTAAGTTAAACTACTTTCCAAAAGAAAGAGCATTAAGAATCCATCTGTCTGAATTCAGTCATGTGCTATTTTGTATTATGAAGAGCGTCATTTCGCCATTAAAAAAATAGGATCGATCAAAGTGAATACAACAAATTGATCTATTACCGATAGTTGTCACTTGACTGTAACCTTTAACAACCAAATGACAGTGCATAAAAACAGTTTTAATTTCTATACCAAGTTAATGAAGATCAGACGCAGCTATTGAAGATCAGACGAGTTTCATAAATACACTGCAGAAAATACTGGATACCTAGGATCAAGAAATCGAATGTTCTTATGGTTCTGCTTGGCGCATACTTAATTTTCCAACCTAGATGATATGATATTATCTATGTGCAATGATCATGCCTATGTGAGTTGTCATTGGTTGTCTGGACTTCGATCTAACAGCAGCAGAGTTTCTTTGATTAGTTACGAAAAAATCTGGTCACTGCACATGAAGCTTGGTCTTTTCAATTCTGAATATTCTATATTTGGCTAGTAAGGACGCATGCAAGCGAGGCCTAATGGATAGCATAGATCATCGCATTGAGCACTTGCGGTTGTAAATCGTTGCATCTCTCCAGGTAATTGAAAAAAACTAAAAATCTACCAATGAACAGCAGGTCATCATAGACTTCGAGGTAAATAATGAAGTCAAAGGTCAAGGGTCAAAAGCGAGGAAATGGTGTCTGAGTAAACATCAAATCTGATCCCTGGCAAACGAGAACGTACCATTACTTGAAAACGTGCCTAAAATTAAGTTATATGATTGAAAAAGTACAATAAATCAAACCCTTGCAATAAAATACCCACTTTCTAAACAGCTGTCCATTTCATGTAAGTATCTCCATTCTCAAAGCCGAGGCATCAAGCTGTACTCTCGAGCCATCTCCAAGATCAGACGATTCATCCTCTAAGCTACCACGGCCTTTCGACGGGGACTCCTTCCTCTGAGACACTGCGTTTTGCTCCATAGTGACATTCAATAGTTCGTCATCGTCTATTATCTGTAGATGAACAAAATCTTAATTGTTCACCCAGAATGCAATTGGAAAAAGAGATCATTATCACATATCTCAGTTGAAGCATTGACAATATTCAATTTAGTTGGATGAAAATAATTTTAATAACAGAAAAACGTATGAAAATGCAGCATAAGATTTCATCAAACAGCTAAAAAAATGCAACACAAAAAAATGATCAAAAAGGTTAGTCTACTTATTCTTCGCCACAACAAACGATCGAAAATACGTTTGAACTATGTCAAAGTGATTTGGATCCGGATTTTTTTGCATTTCCTTCGTTTTTTCTAGTGACGAACTGGATTCACTGACCATAGCTGTGATTCTTGGTGAGCATTGCTCGCACTTATCAAAAAAGCTATCATTGAAAAAGCTTCAATTTCACGTATACAAGAAGGAGGACAAAATATCAGGCCCTCTAAACCATACATCTATACAACAGGAAACAAAACAGTACGATCGTCCTCCTTACATACGATGACTAAAAAATTCGCATTGCACCGACAGACAATGACAGGGAGGGAGAAGGCAGGCATCTCTTCTCTGTAGCGGTGCAATGGGTACCATGGGTATTATCGTGCGAGAATGGCTCAGTTGTTATGGTGGCTGACTATAGACCCAAATGTCGCTGGCTCGAGCCCCTGATATGACTAAACTTCAACACAGTGAGTGAGGGGAGTCGTCACGTTTCTGTATTGCCAGGCGTGTGAATCAAGGACCAGGAAGCACAGTTTCTCAGTGTTCAAAAATTACCTCCAGATGCAAGGTAGCAAAACAATACAAAGGTGCTTTTCCAAGTGAAGTAATTTAAAAAAATCACAGTGTTCTCAGCGACAGTTGTACAGGCTAATTGGAGATTATTCCAGCTGGTTGCGAGTCTGTTTACATTTAAGCAACCTTCTATCCAAAGCAAGCACACCTGTCCTTTAAAGGTGTATTTTCCGCTTAAGTCGACAAATCAGCTGAGTTGAACTTCTCAACGTATGATCGCACATTTGTAGCGAAGAGAAAATTGGGCCTTGCAGATGTATAGTGGGCGTAAATCTGTAGATGTTCACAGTCAACGTGAGAAAGAGTCACAACAAGGTCAATAATTAAGTTTTTTGAAAATATTGATGATTAAAATGATGATGAAACGGTATGATTGCTTGCAGTCGTTAAATTACGTGAACTGTGTTCTTAAATTTTTTGCTCCTTTTCAAAAAATGTAGATTTTATTACTGAAGAGGCACCAAATGACTCTTCATTTGACATCTCTACACTATCGAAACAGCAATATCTTGCACTTTTCAGTGCTGATACTCACTCCATCTCTTGTTGGAATCACCCATCATTTGTGGAAACCACACTATCGTTGGTGGGAATCACTGGCGGTTCGTCTATTTTGTAGCTAATGCAAAAATCACGTGCTGATTCTTCGGGTGAAAAATTCTCAACTTTTCTAATACTTCCAACAGAGCTACGACTCTTTGCTGCATTAAAATTTCAGAAGGACACCAGAATCTTTGATGTCGTGGTCTTTTTCAAAACAAATGCTTCGTACAACGATAAGATAACTAGGGGTCACATAGATAGATAACCAATCTTACAGAAACAAAGGAAGACAATTTCGAAAAACAGAGAACAAACTTTGAAAAAGTGTTCAAAATAGGAAAAGCAGGAAAAGGGCGGGCTCCAATCGATGAAGAAGTTTGATTTTGGTTTCTCATTTATTAATGTAAATATGTACTCGACAAAGAAGGACAGGAATGAATGAACAGCCATTCATTTGAATAATCTGATCCAAATACTGAGAAGACTTGGTTGAAGTACTGTTGGAGGGTTTGCAAAGGGTGAGAATATCTGCTTTAATGGAAACAAAGAAAAGTTGTCAAATTTATCAGTTATGAGAATACTAAGAGCGAGAGATGATTCAGAACAATCGCAACCACTAGCTGTGAAAAAGCTGCTGCGTACACAGTGATTTGATGATAACAATGATACATTTGATCATTGTGATTCATGTTGATTCTTATGGCGTTGATTATTGATGACTTACGATTGCCAATGCACGAATGATGATGATGACTGATGAAAGAATGATTAACGATAATACTGTTTCTTAAATAGCGTTTACTCGGACAATATAAACCGAGCAACTGAGGCTGCATGTTATGGGTGTGAAGAAAAGTTCTGTTTAACAGATTTTAGGAACTGAGACACTAGTTATGTCAATTAGCCAGTGTTTCGTTGTCGTTACTTCCCTCGACATCGTTTTATGAATAATTCACAATCTTCCAGTTCTTCTGAGAAAATATTGTCAGATAAGTGGGCGGAATACCCACTGATGAACAACCATGCTTACGAAATCACACAGCAACTCCTTCATCTTCCAACCTTCCGCAATAAGCAAGAATTCTCAAGGGAATTCGCCAACTGCGGACCAGGAGTAAGATTCTGTAGCAAGGAGGCGCTTTGGATTCAGCTGCGATAATGACCATGGCTTGCTATAGAAAGTTTGACTTAAAGCTTCCGCAAACTTCTTCTGCTGGGGAAGAAACTATAAGCTTGTGATGAAATTCTTCTTCAACAAACAGCCAGCAGGGTATGGTTGGAAAATATGAAAAAGAAGATGTCAGATATAGGTTGCATTAAATTATGCATGACAAGGAAATGGGTTGGTTGAAAAAAGATTGGTTGGGCGTTGTTTAGACTAGCAATAGGAAACTATATAGGAAAATTTTTATCCAATAATCAATTGATAAATGTATTACGTCGTTAATTTCTCATCTTACTAGTTATTGCTTAAGTTAGAAATTCGAAAATTACACAGAAAAACGGGAACATATCATACTTTTGATAAAAGAATTTGTATGATATATTTCCACTTTTCCGTGCTATAAGGTTTATTTGTAAATACTATATTAAGAAATGTCCTTCAGGTTTAAAATCAAAATAGGCTAAGAATTCTGACGATTATTCATGACTAAAGTGACCTTTCTCACAATGTAAGCTTAAGAATAAAACTGAAAGCTAAATCATGAATTACAATCAATTGGTAAAAACTTTTTGGGGGGTACAACATTAAAATGTTTTTTTGCTTTTTCTTAAGTAATCCCCCTCCAGAGTTCAATGCATTAGTATAAAAAACGCTTCCTGACTAAGCTTCTAGTTCAAAGACTTCTAATACCGTAATGCCTCAAATAAGCGCCCAGGCGTTTATTTAATTTTCAAGGCTCCAGGGTGGGCGCTTATTCAAGGGGGGCGCTCAATAGAGGGGGCGCTTATTTAAAAAGTAGATTTGGGTGCAAATTGTGTTGTTCATTAATCGTTCTTGTTGAATTGCCTTCCAATTATGTTTTCGTTGAAAATTTGAATAAGCGCCCATTTCTGAAGGTTGAAGGATTAGCGCATATTCAATAACTTCACCTCTAGGGTGGGCGCTTATTCTAGGGGGGCTCTTATTCGAGGGGGCGCTTGTTCGAGGCATTACGGTATGGCTAGAACTACGCAAAAATTAAAGATTTGTTGATATGGGCAACGACATAAACACTAGTTTTTGGCTCAAAAATAAACAGATTTATGTTTTGAACTTATGGTTTAAATCACCTCCAATTTTTCTCTGGAACCTTAAAATAATAACACATGTTCAAAATTAAGTACATACATACTGAATGAATGTTCTATACAAATCTTTTTTCAAAAACTTACAGCCGTTCATGTGATCGAAACAAGTGGACACTTTGCAGGTTTCACGTAGCAACAGGTCCTTTCTTGTCTTTGACATTAAGTTAATCAGATACAGCTCAAGAAACGATCGCTCAAGAATTTGATTTTTGGAACCTTTTAAACCGAAATGATTTTTTCTGTTAATTGAAGAACTCACGCTAGGCAATATAGAAAAGCTGATTATACGAGGGGATAATGACAGTTGAATTTTTCACAATCTAAACTTCTTAATTCCATAGAGTTAAGACTTAGGGCCCGTGAAAACGGAGTCAAACTAATCCGTTTTTGCCTTGCGTTCACACTACTCTGCTATGAAAACGGAGTCGTTTGAAAACGCTAATGAAAACGGATACTTTCGAATACAGTGCGTATTGAATACGTTCCGTTTTCAGTGTGAACACCAAAAACGGAGACATTTGAATACGCTAACATCGGTAACAAATTACGTGCTTTGTAGCACATCAAATCTCAAAACTTTGAAATTGAGAATTCACAATGGACTGGTAGCTGTTACAACAAAGTTTTTTCACGATTTACTTTTATTTAATTTCATTTATAATGACGCCAATTTTTTGAGGATTCGTGAACGCCTCTTTCCAAAAATGAGGCCACCAACAGCGTTTTTGTTGGAGTAGTGTGAACACCTATCGTATTCACAGCGTATTCATATGAAAACGGGTTAGTGTTAACGGACATCGTTTTCATCAACGAAAACGGAGCAAAACGAATATGGAGTAGTGTTAACGTAGTCTTAGGCTACAAATATAAAAAATATCAAAATATATCAAAATAACAAAATATAAAAACAAAACACTCCATATACTCTAAATGAATGATTTGAAAATTGAGCTTTCAGCAAAATTACAACTTCTTAAAAATACATTTTTATAACAAACCAAAATAAACAGATAAATAAGGGAAGGACTGACTCACAGCTGTATTGTCGTTCTGCTCCTCCTTAGTGCCGGACAAACACTTTAAGAATGGCTGACAGCATTTCGGAAAGGCTTCATGAATCGGTCGGCCAGTATTAGTGAATAGCGGTTTCATATACCTTTGTGAAGTCAAGGATTTTCAAACAAAAACATAGCTCTGGCGAGGGCCTTCTAACCTAGCAAATAGCTAGGTTACACTGTCATACGCAAAAGTGCAGAATTAAAGGTGCTTAAACATCGCTATTAAATTCATTCATTGAATTAAAGTTAACCTAAACATGAATTAGGTTAACTACATTTCTTAGAGATTCCAAGGTACAGTCAGGATTCAGGCTAGTGCGGGTAGTGATGCAATCGGCATCACCTTTGGTAAAGCTAGATAGCTAATCCACCGTTCGACTGTTTTCATCTTAAATCTAAATTTTTACAGCATTTCCAGCACAATTATTCATGAAATCCTTCACTTGTTGCTCCTTATTTGATTTGAGAATAAATTCGCTTCGTTGGCACTCGTCTTAAAGTCTCAAATTCAATTTTAATTTTCTATCGTGTATATATTCTACATCAGCGTTGTTAAACTTAATTACCAAAATTAAAATGCTAAATTAACAAATTTTTAAGACTAAACAAAGAAACATCAAAGAGTACGCATTGATAAGATAAATAGTAATTGGAGATAGGAGATTATCAATTATAAGAATGAAGTTTATAAAAATATTAAGGCTAAAAATTGCTTAAATCCAAGAACAAATTACGAATTATAGCTGGCTAGATAAATATTTTAATACTGTTTATCTGTATATTCTTATAATTCTAACTTCAGCAAGATTTCAAATTAGAGCAACACAACGAAAAAGTCAGAAAAATCTTTTTGAATCTGTTCCAACTATTCTAAATTGGGGGCTTCATAAATTCTTCCTCTTTTCCATTTCCTAAGAAAATTTACCCATGGAATCGTTCAAGAATTAACGAAGAATATATCTATGTTCGAAATTTAAAATCTGAAAAAGTGTCAAGGCAAATCTGCAAGATAAATATGAACAAAAAGGATACTTTTCATCGAATCTCCTCCACATCCTTACAAGTGGTGACCGTTCATATGGAATCTGGCCTGCGTTCGGTCCACTTGTATCCTACGTGTAAAGAAATGATTATTGTAGCGCATTTATGATTGAGAAAACATTGTATTAACCTTACGTTGCCGACTGGATACGTATCAATAGATCTATTGTGTAGTCCAACCAATGGGAAATTTAAATGGAAATGCGTAGGGACATGGTGACTTTAAACGCTTTGAACTTCCCCGTGTCTACAACGCTTATGTATTGAATGTACTCCACAGGCAGCGCGGAGCGTTGAGAAAAGTGGGGGGTCTAAAAAAAGTTTCCCCAGCCCCCCTGCTCCGCGGTCCCTGCTCCAGCAGAATTTTGTTTGAATGAAAGAATCATGCTAGATAGAAAAGATCCTGTCCAGACTTAAAATTCTAACAGCCATCAATGATATTGAGGACCATAATATAAAACATTGTAAAGGGAGGAAAATATAAGAAACAGTGTTAAAGAAGCTGAAATTGGTGCCTTTCGAATCTGTATGTCTCGAATCCACGTGTTAGGAAGCTCTTGGAATTCGTGTGTTCGTTCGAACAGGAATCAAACAAAGACTGGAAAACGTGATTCCAATCTGTGTTCTTGATGAACTACCTAATCTAGTTCAAAAAATATCGCAAGCGTGTACAGTTATCAGAAGCGAAGACCCCTAAAATCGAACTGGAAACTGCCAAAACACGTCCTCACAAGAACCATTATCAATAAATTAATTAAAGTACAGAAGAGAAATTGCGAAATTGGCCAGCTTAAAACGTGTCTTCGGGCAGATAAATCTCTTAATGCGGTTGAAAGACCTTAAATATGACACCTTGGCGAACAGCTAAATAGGTTTCTCGCAGATCGTATTATCAAATGAAGTTACAATAGAAACACTCTTCGATAGCACTAAATTCGTACCAAATAACAGCCGATTCGCTGAGCAAGTAGATGGATATTTGCAAAATTAGGTGCTATTTACATTTGAAACGGAAAATCAATTCATAAAAATTCCAAATCTTTTCAGTTAAAGCCTGATAGTAATTAGCAATAGAAATTGCAGTCACATAAAAATTGAGGTTCCTGCGTGAAATTCAAGCAAGATTAGAGGCTTACATGCATGCTTTTAATACAAAAATGCATAAACAAGACAGGTATGTCAGCCAGCAGAGCAATAAATCTCAAATAACGCTAATCAAAAAAGACCCTAACTTTAAGAAGAAATAATCTGTGGTGGAAAAAGTATTTAGTCTGTGGTTTCTGAAAAATCTTCGTCATTTTACACGCCTTGATTGAAGGACACAACGGACACACCTCGACAGCGGACACAACTCAGTAAAGGACATACCTCAACAACGGATACACCTCAACAACGGACACATCTCAACAACGGACACAACTCAACAAAGGATACACCTCAACAACGGATACACCTCAACAACGGACACATCTCAACAACCGACACACCTTAACAACGGACACATTTCAAGAACGGACACACCTTAACAACGGACACACCACAACAACGGACACACTGCAATAACGGACACACCTCAACAACGGACACACCTTAACAACGGACACACCTTAACAACGGACACACCACAACAGGGGACAAGCCTCGAAAAACTGACATGCCTCGAAAAACAGACACATCTCAACAACGGACACACCTCGAAAAACGAACACATGTTAACAACGGACACACCTCAACAGGGGACAAGCCTCGAAAAACGGACACACCTCGAAAAACGGACATGCCTCGAAAAACAGACACATCTCAACAGGGAACATACCCCAACAAAGGAAACATCCCTACAATGAACAATTTAATTCTCTTAATAAGAACTGCAAAATACTTTCAAAAACCCGATATAATTGTGGGTTTTATATAAATACAAAGTGGCAAGGGCAGTTTGAGACAAATGAATATCAAAAATATAATAGACCTGTGGTTTTGGAGATATTGAAATTATAGGAGCATTTAGGATATTGAAAGATTCCAGAAAACTTGCAAGAATATTATGCTAATGTTTCCAATGAATTTGGAGTTGGTTTCCTTGTTACACATTGTAAAATGTAACATGTGAGACGAGTTTCGTCCGCTGATTTTGAAGTATGCTGAAATTTAAGAACATCTCGATACATACCGGAGTGAAATCTTTCTTTAATTCTTCTTCAGGATCCACCCCAACCCTAGAGAGAAATTCAGATATCTGTTAAAGTTTTCTGCTACCAAAACATAAATCAAGTATTTGTTTCCCGAAAGTTTCGAGGGCTTATGCCGTGACTGTTGCCACCCCCATCCCCCCGTTCGAAAATTGGACAGATTTGTAGGGAGGATTTGCAATGAAAATTTACATATTTCCTACGTTCATGAAAGAATAGGCCTTTGCTCCCCACCACGACCCTCTGAGCTCATAACGGATCATATGGAGTGAGACTTTCCATTTCTTGTGTTAAATAATGGAGTATGAATTTAAATAGAGAATGAGTTGTAGGCTGAAGCAGTTGACAAATGTTGTGAACGGCATTTTCTTTGTATCCTATTAGGATACTGATGGCGATAATCAGAAACACCTCATTAAAGCTGCAACTGTTGCAGACTGAATCTTGAATCTAAAAACGGCGTCTGCTTCCAACCAGAAATAAATGTATACAGACACGAAACACTGGTGATCATTTTGCAGTGAACAACGTATGGACTTTCAAATGTAGTATGTGCTTGCTTCAAATGATCAAAATGCTTCTCGCGTGTATGCCATAAGCTGCTTTCTGCAATTAATATTCAGTGCAATTATTTCCGATGTTTTGATGTAGAGTCACAGGTCTAGCTTTAATTGGCTTCTTGTTCGCCTAATCATTACCTTATACTGGAAAGCCGATAATCACACCCTTAATACTTAGACACAACAGCGACTTGCAACGCCTTACAGTCGAAGCAATTTTCGTGTGTGTAATTCTTGTTGCAAAATATTTTGCTTTGAAAGAAACCACCTATGAAAGACTCCAGATGCCTCTTCTAGAGAGCTAACAGGCTAATTCAAAATCAATGGCTTTAAATCACAAACATAATGAATAGCCTCAAGGCACTGGAAATACCATGCTTCTTTCAATAACCTTTAAAACTACTTTCATGAAATTAGGGCACTGCTTTCAATGCGAAAGCTTGTTATTGTATCTATACATCAGCTAGCTTGTAACTTTATTTCAAATGAAGCTTATTATTCTAAACAAGAAGTATCTAATAAGATATTATTATGTGTCTTAAAGAAACCTTTTTATAGATGAAGAAAGTCCACAATGAACGTTGTAGTAGTATGGTAAAGGAATTTTGGTGCTCTTTCTCCAAAATTTAAAAAGTAGGTTATATATGGTGCTTCATACAAAAACAAAAGGACAAATCCCCAAAGCTCTAGAAACTTCATCACAAAAAAGCACAAAACATCCTTTTTATAGGCGTGTCAATTAATTTTTTCTAAATTCACTAGCTTTCGTCATAGTCGTTGATCAGCAGAGTCCAGACAAGTCCTCAACCTTTCACCGATAAAATTTTCCCCGTCAAAACCTTCCTCCAATTTTTCAAGCAATCAACTTGGGCAGGGCGTGGCTAGGGAGTGGCTACGGCATAGGGAGTGACAGACGCAATAAATCTAGACAAAGTTATATGTTTCGGTCGATGGTAATTGTCGCATACGATAAAACTTTGCTAGAATACCAATCACATTACAGCTCAAGAATAATATTTCTTTTCGAATGGCAAATAATAAAATCAATGGAAATATGATAAAATATAAACTAAAAAAATTCAAAACCATGGAACACGAACAGTATTCTCTTTTCAGTTGTGTTCTCTGGCGGTAAAAGGGCGTGGCCTAAAATTTTTACATCTGTTCGTGCCACCATTCGACTCTGCGACAGACGTGTGTTTTTAAAGCGCAACAAAGAAATAAGTGTAAAGTAATTTATCTCAATTATTTTTTTACCAAAACTTTCCTCCAAATTTCTATCGTTTATCAACCTTCCTCCGGTCAATGACCGTGCGACTGGACTGTTTTCTGGACTCTGTTTATCGGGTGACAAACATAATTCCAAGGTTCTTTATGAATGTACTACGAGGAGGACAAAAAATTGTGCCCCAAAAGAATTACCTGATATCCAGAAACTGCAGCGCACGTAAAGTTAGGCTGCCATTGAAGATAACAGTAGCGAGTACAATGACCAAAACAGTTGTCAACATGAGCTGCCGTGGAATGCTCGAGGTATTGCGGATGGCCAGTGCGAAGGCGACTGCTCCTCTCAGGCCTAGAAAACAAGAACATGAAAATAAATTCTTATCAGGCAAACTTACATCGTTCTTGAGGCCAAACATTTTAATACTCAAAATTTGATAAGCAAAATCCAGCTTTTATTCAAAGATATAAAATCATTCTGTTTTCATTTCCAAAATTCAAGTTAGTTGTTCATTATATTGATAACGAAAAGCTTTTTTTGAAGAAAAACTTTACAGTGCCGGGGATCGAGAAATAGGAAAGAACGGCTTGGGGCTTATACATCCAATACTTTTTGATACTGTACTTAAAACGACACAAAAATAACTTTGTTATTGACCCTTTGCATGCTTGGCCTTCCCCCCCCCCCCCTCGAAATCCCTCCATTCGTAATATGATCCGTGGTCCCTGTACAGTGAGCCAAGCATTTCAAATGTCACCTTCAAACATGTGTTATGACTGTGGGAATGATTTTCAGGTATCACAAATGCCCAATGTGAGCGCCAAATCACTTACTCCGTACCTAATTACAATAGGTACGAAATGAGATTAAAGGCAGCCGACAGATACTTAAGGGGCTCAAGACATCTTTCAATCAAAAAGGACCAATCAGCGAGCGTGATTCCAATCACACGCGCGTTGATTGGGTCATTTTGATTGGCAAACTGTCGATTTGGATTATATCTGTCTCATACTCTTGTTCTTACTAAGAAATAGTCAAGAGTCGAGACAGGTGTTTCAAACGTTGACTGAGAAAAAACTTCGACCTGAAAATACTTTGTAGTCATCCACAAGATTAGAGTACAAATCCTTTTATCAGAAATGGAAAAAAAAAGATTTTTATTGGTAATGAAAATTTTGGAAATTCTAGAAATGTTTTCTACACAACTTCCTAATTGGATGAAATATACTCAAGTGAATTGTGGTCACTCACAATAACTGGGTTAGAATTTACTTTAATTTCTTTTGCATAACTGGGATAGAATTTACTGTAATTTCTTTTGCATTGGGAGGATGGGAGGGAAGCGGATGCGAAAGAAAAGGGGGGAGGAGGGACAAGAGGGGGAGAAGAGGAAGGGGGGGAGGAAAGAGGGAAAGAAGAGGCGGATAAGAGGGGGATAAGAGGGATGAGGATAGGGGGTTGACAGAGTTGAGGGGAGGAGAATTAAAGGTGTGATGATGGAGGCAAGGAGAAGGGGCGAGAGGGGGAAGGGAGGTGTGCAAAAGGAGAGGGGTCCCGATATTATTTCAAGGTTCCAAATTCAAAGCAGCACTAGGAGCAGGATAACGTAAAAAATTTACGCCGTGCTTGGTTTTTACACTTTATGAAGGGACATACCACCAATAAATTAGGAGACATAAATTCCCAATGGCAAAATGTCAACCAGATTGTTACCAGATTGTAAGCTATGCTACCATATATATCAAAACAGTATTTTTTAATCCTTTTTTGGTTTCAAGGTACCAAATCATTTTACCAAAACTATTTTCTGTTAATTATGACAAAAAATGATTGGAATTGTGACATATGGAATTGAGATTAGAATTGAGATTAGAAAATCCTTTTATTCTCTTTCCGTTGAAATCTTGTACGCTATTTGTAAGAGTCTCAAGGAGGGATGCCTTGCAGCTTTGGGTTCAAAGGCATCTTGGCCATTATAATTATGTCATATGATATATTGTTAACAACTAACTGGTTATAAATCAGGAAGAAGCTCCTATGAAGGGGCTTAATTTCTTGATGTAAATAAGTGTAAAAATAAATATCTAAAATAATATATATCTAGTAGCCATTACATTGTATCTAGTACTTAAAAGAATTTGAGAAGGCAATTACTAGAAACTGAAGGCAAGTACTGAGAAGGCAAGTACTGAGAAGGCAAGTGCCCTTAGATCTTTAATTAACTACAAACGATACGAAGAAAGCACGTCCGACATTACAGCTAAATCAACAGGTTAAGGCCAGGCTCGTGCGATGTTTATACAAGTAATATATGGAGGCTCGATTGAATGAATAAAGAAAAAATCCCACCTACCTGCAAAAAACAACATATGCTGAAAGTTCCAAGGAATCTTTTTCTTCCTTTGTAGATTCAGGATGAAACTTAATGGGTAAATGTTGAAAAGTCTTGAGATAGCCATCGCGAGCTTGTAAGTGTTAAGAGCTTTTTAACATCCGGCAAGAACTGTAATACACGTGATGGGTTTGTGTGATTTAGTGACGGGCAAAGCAAACAAATATAATATTACATTAGCATTAGCGAAAAATATAGCGGCGAACATGAACTTTACAGCAGTTTTTGATATTCGAAGGATCTCCTGTGGATAACAAGTTAATTAACAGGTCATGAAGAAAAACCCCATTCAATCAGCTTTGAGCCTGATATGACTTAAACAAAAACAAGCGGTTTCATAGCAGACTAATCTATTTTTCAAAACAACAATCTTTTTTTAATGAGTAACAAGATCAAAAGATTGAACAAAACATGGTTAAATACAGCTTAAAAGGAAGGTGGTCTATCTAATATGTTTCAGGATGGTAACCGATGTGTCCCTAGAAGCACTGCAATATTCAAAATGGTGTGGGTGGCGAATTCACCGAGTTTGTTTATGATATTTTTATCAATTCCTCTCAGATAAGGTCTTGATTAGCCAAGTCAATTTACACTATCCATTGATTGAAATCGATTGGTTGAAAATCCTGTAGTAGATCTTGGTTGATGGAGGTATATGTTAATTTTCATATAAGTAAGGATTTCTGATACAAGTCTTCTCATACATGGGGAGAAATATTGTTTCGTTGTCAAAAGCTTAAAATTTTGGGACGAAAAGATACAAAAGACCACGCCATAAAGCCAACGTCTTGCCACTGATGTTGCGGAAATGTAAACACGGTTAGGCCCATGTAGAGAAAGATGAAATTTTCCGAGAGAAAATTTAGCAAACCAAACATCTACAAAAGAAAGAAATATTTCAGAGTAATGGGATGACAGAAATTGAAGTATTGGAACAAAAATGCTATTTACTATGTAAAAACATCAATCAGTAGCAAAGTAAAAAAATATGGAAAGAAACAAAAGCATTTGCTTCCGGCAATTGTACTCGATTCCTTGCGACAGGTAGAAAAAAATTCTTCATTTTGTAAAGGTGATTGATCTAATATATTTGCATGTTACCATAGAAATAAGGTTAGACTGCTACGAATATCTTCTAACCAGAATACCAAAATATAATGTATCTATCAGAAATATCTAACGACTAAATGTCGCCCATGTCGAAAATATATTTCTTGCTCCGTTTTATTCAATTTTTGAGAAGAAATTGAGAAGAACAAATTGCTAAATGCGCAACGAAAGGCAAGTCAAAGAGAGCGAGAAATTTGTCCTTGAAAAAAGTTGCTGCTACTAACACAAGCATGGAGAGCAAAACAACTAACAATCGATTTTCAACATTACTTTATGGAAACAAAAATCAAAGGTGGTTTAATAAATGACTTTATGGAAACTCATCAAAAGCATATTTAACCTAAATTACAATAATCAGTATAGCAATTAAAAATGAGAAAAACTTTACTTAATTAATGCTTTAGTTTATTTAAATTACGTTTTGACGAAAAATTGAATCATTGAATTAAATCTTTAGAATCGAAAAATCAAAATCTTTATACATTATTCTTAAAACAAGATAAAATGTTGACAGGTGAAATAAGAGTCAGTAACTTTTTGCTAGGCCTAGTCTCAAATTCGGGAATATTCAAACGTGGTTTAATAAACGAGAGTGGACAAAGCTTCTCACAGATTCAAGGCATAATTAGTATTTGAACTTACAAGTAATTCTTATACAATATTGTAAAAGCAAAACAAAATACTCTTAAGAATATCTCACAAAGATGTTTTAAGGCGGATGTTTTAAGTCGGAAAGCAATTAAATATTTATTTGCATCTTATCTAGTTTCAAAAGGAAAAGCATTATCTCGGTCTTCTACAAAAAATTCGCAATTTTCTGCCTTCTTTTGATAAACTATGATATACTATTCAATAATCTCTGTCGTTCTTTGCTTGATTTGCCATAGACAACAGTTCAAGAGATTAAAAAAGCACGTTGAGCTAAACAAACGGCAATAAAAATACTGATAAGAAAGTCTGGATTAATTGAAATGAAATGTTGAAAATCTACTCACTTGCTTTGTAGCTGCTTTTGAATCGTCTGACAAATTTGGATATGTGTACTGTGCTTGGGCGATGCCACAAAACAAAACAGCCACGATACCTATGTAAAAATTAAAGTATATCAATAAGGAGGAATTGAAAACTCTGTGATTTTAAGGAATCATTGCTTTACACAATATCAATTGTTAGAATGGCTTCTAAATCAATTATATTTCGGGAAGATAAGATTTGCGAGTCCAAAAAAAAGCAAGTCCTGAGTCCAATTTCTAAGATAAAATTACTTTCAGGGTAGATAGGCATGACGAGCAAAGCATGATCGATCAAAACTGTTACGTCTAGCATTATATCTCTGGCGCTTATGTTTCCTTTCCATTGAATTGTAAAAAGCATGCATTTGTGTAGTTTGCCCCATTATTATTGTCAATATGTACTCAAGACTCCTGGATGACGCAAAATAAGCTGGACATCAGGAATAAAATTTTTCGTGTCTTGCATAATTTTGGTAATACTACAACCAAACCTGGTAATTTTAATACGCAGACAATATTTTGGAATAAAAAGATTCCAAACAATCGCACAAATGAAAGGGGCAATATTCGTACAGATTCCATGATTCCTTACATGTCAAAATATTTTCTGATTCCAAGATTATTCCCTTGAAGTCTGAAGTTTATGTTTCAGTTCCCCCCCCTCTCCCCCCTATCCTGATAATAAACTATTCCGTCTCATACTGCAAACCACATATGAAGAACAAACTATGGTCTTCGCATTTTCCTTGTAAATTCAAACTTAAGATTAATTGTTGTAAACTAGCCATTTTCAAAACGCGTCCACTATTGTCTTCCAAATAAAAGGTGCTACTGAACAAAAGTAAAAAATATTTGCAAATTAAGGAGAACCCTAATACGGAAAAAAAAATTGATAATCGAATCAAACAAATTCATAAACTTTTAGAAGAAATATATAAGATTACCAGTCAATTGAGCTATTTCAGCTAGCAGAAATGTACTGTAAGACATCAGAGCAAACAGGGCTGTTTCAAGCTGTGGGAACTGCTTAATGTTGGTCAGTTTTGTTACCTTATTATCGTCAAGAAAGCATTTGGAAAAAGTATCAAAGACTAAAAAATTCAACTCTAATATAAACTCCTGAGACATAAACGACCTTTTTTAACACAAAACACATCTTAAAACAAAAAAACTTAATCATACATGTAACACATTGAAACAGGCAGGACACGAGATAATTTGCCGTCAAGTATCAGAAGTAGCCCTAGGTGTTTTACTGAAGCTCATGCTCTATTCTTCTAAACGTCAAAATAGTAAGAAAATATCACAAAAGATTACTATGATATCAAATCCTAATATAAACACATGGAGACAGACAGAATGGAAAGGAGCGAACGTCCATGATGATTAAAACGCAACTTTGAAAGTTATAACAGGTCTAGATTTACAGTCCGAATCATTAGTTTAGGAGAATATCTATACCACAAGATGAAAATAATAATTTAAACATGACTTCAATAGAAAGGACTTCAATTGATAGCAGCTGCATCTTTTAGCTCATTGAATCACTTGGTTGATATAATTCTACTTTCAATTAGAGCATTTCATTGGAGGCAGTCCTGTTGATGAATAATAAGCGAAGGATACTAATGCAGTGACTAGGCCCATTAGGCAGCCCAGCAAAAACGAGCCACCGAATACACCGATGAACTGGCCAATTGCTGCGAAGACTGGCTCTGCAGCGAGCCCTGACGCTGTGTAGGACTCGACCGTTCTACAAACAAAATTTGCACCAATCTCAGGATATATATACTAGTTATAAATTTGTAGACATTAAATCTAACCGATAACTTGAATATTCAATGATTTTATAGATACAACAATCAAAACTTTTCAAGGGATACCTAGAGGAATTAGATTTTTCATACAAAAATAAAAATATGATTTATACGAATGTTCTATTTGTCATTAATTTCACGATCATTGATGGAGTAATTTTCTTCAATTTAGATCTAGAGCTAGACAGAACATCAATTAATAGATAGAAATTATTGAATACATTTAGCAAACCCGCTAATGTAAAGTTGTTTTAACAATATAAAGCCCTTTATGTCCTTTTGTTACATATAAACTTGCAGTACAGACATAAAAAAGGGACTATGATTGAATATCATTTTAACAACTTTCAATAAGGAAGCTACCACGAGCTGCTAATAAAGTAATATTTCAGACCATAGTCGGCGCACAACCCTTCAAAAACGTTAGACAGTTAACATTTTTCCATTTTAATGTTATCAGGCTTAAATTGTGATCCAAAGGTCTCAATGCTGCCTCTGAATTTTCATTATCATACCCAGTTCCAAAATGAGAACTTTTCGATAAAGTCCCTATAATTTTAGCATCAGCTTGATATTACAGAGGTATTTACAACTGAGATGAAAAGCATCAAACCTAAGCTACTTTTAAATTACTATAATTACAAGAACTACAGATTGAAATGTAGCGATGGCTTGGGAATGAGACCAGGCTCGAGCCCCACTTCTAAACATTCATAGCATCGAATCAATTTTACCACAAAAGAACTAATGTTTTAACTATCAGACTTGAGAAAAATTGTCAAAAATTTATAGAGAGAAGGCTTAGGAGCACGTGCCCCCCACACTATATAGAATCAGAGTAAAAGTGCCTATTTGCAGCTCATGGAGTAGCCCTTTCTTTGCCATATATGAATTTGAAATGCTTCCTACGTGTATGCTTAAATCTGTTTTGTCCTTATCGGTTTCCGAGGAGAACGCAACCAAGATAAGTTGTTTTGGAGTAATGTTTTTTCTTTTTGATGAACATGAAAATAGTAAAGGTGCTTAATTTAAAAAGGTAATTGAAAAAAAATTTCTTGCAGAACTTTATGCATGAAAAGTTTCCTGCCAGTTTAGGTGGGTTTTCATACCCTGCTTACATCTCTCAATCAGGATATTTTTGTTGATCCCCTATACACTTTAAAATTTGAAAACCCACGTATACTGTAAATATGCGTAGATCAAACCTGTAAAGAACAATGGCAACAGCATCATTCATCACGCTTTCCCCAAACATCAGGGCGTAGAGATCAACATCAACGTGCATGTCATGGAAAATTGCCAACACAGTTACTGTGAAAGAGGGAAAAACGTCCTATAATTCGGAAAGTTCTTGAGGAAAATTGGCAAGATCATCTTCTCATGGAGATCAAATAATCAAATATGGCACAAAATATCTGCTTTATATTTTTCCTTACCTATCCATCTTCAAAATCACGATGCTTTTTTCAAAGCCTGTTTCAAATACATACTAGTTGGAAACCTTCCCACCCACATAGAACAACTATAGGAGAACTCCGGATTTTTTTAAAAAGCAACACTTTTCTTTCAATTTCATATGTACCCAAAGCTTCATACTGCAAGGCCAAGTGGCAAAATCACCTTGTATGGACAAGCAAATGTATGTTATTTAATCCATAGTCACCTTGCAAGGATAGAGAAGGTTTCATATAGAAATAATTACGATATTTACCAGGATCAGTTGCTGATATTAAGGAGCCAAACATCAAACACTTCTGGAAGTCAAATGTGGCATAGTATTCACTGTGAACCATGTTTGTGTACCCATATATCATTGCTCTTTAAAAACAAACAAAACATGATTACGGTTGTCAGAATTTCATATATATATAGTTTAGATCGGTCAATGGAGACGTGGACAAAACAACATGGCAATCAAGTATATCACTGAAGATATTGATTTGGATCGATATCAAATAGATTTTATCTTTTTCTTAAAGGTACTGTCGTGTAGTTTTTGTTGATTCAGTTTTAGAATCTATTTCAAGTGTATAATGGCACAAGGCTAGCAATATTTGAACAGGGTCCCTGTGTTGTATACTCGAAATATAATTGTTTGTCACTTGATTGTTGTTTGTTCGCAAATTCATACATATAAATATATAAAAGTGTCTCAAGCCATCCCGTTCACTTAACTGTGTAATGCTACGGACAAAACAAAACATAAGACTCGAAATAAAATACTGACTAATGCATTAAAATCTGGCAATTACCCGAAAATCACTGTGGATATTGTCGTACCAACAAACGCATACATCAAAATTGCACCAAGATTTCGAAAGAAAAACCTCTGCAAAAAAGTTAGAAAAATTTGACTGAGCGTATTCAAAGGTTGTAGCCTATTAACAAGGAGGCATTGTTCAATAGACAGCCTAAATTATGGACACAGTCTGAAAAGAGCTTGTCAAAGTATTCTAAAAACATTCTCATGTTTGTAATCAAAAGCGTTTTTCCTTTTGAAAGCTTCCTCTATGACCCTTAGTCACTATGAAACAAATAATTTCTGGCACTGTTTTGGAAAGTAAATAGACGCTAAAACTGGTTCTCAAAGTTGTTGATGACGCCAATGACATCAATTGACATCAACTTCCATATTTTTAACTAAAATAACAGTGTTCATCTAGTGAGAACTGCATTGTTAAACAATACATACGAAGTGAATTGAAAAACAAAATACAAAGCAAAATGACCATATGTTTTCCTTTATAGGCTCAGGGCAAAAATGTTCTTGTAACGTAAATATATTTTATATGACAAAAGGAAGAGGCACTGGGAATAAGCCGTCAACAGATTATATAAATTAGCGATGATAATAGCAAGAATAAACGTTAGGCAGAAACATTGCAAAATGACGAAGAAAAATCCAATACAAATTGCTATGTAGTGAAATAAGGTTTGCAGGGTTTGATCACTGTGAAAATGGTCTTAGTAAGGTGCTTTTGTTCATTTTACATAGAAAATGTAAGCTTATATTCCGCCTTTAAAAAGTGTATAAAACAATATGTTTGATAAATGTGTACAGTTGATTCAAAGGTATAAGGAAGATAGGCAAAGTCGGTTGGAATTCAGTTTTTGCTGACCAGCAGCTTGTGACTTTTAAATCGATATAAAGGTTTCATTTTCCACCATTTCTACTACTTTAATATTGGATAGTAACTTTGAATGTGATGCAACGCTATAGTCTTTTCCGTAATTAAAAGATGAAGGAAGACACATATTATTGTATTTATAAGATACACAACCAGAAAATTATGGCTTTTTAAAATTATTACTGATAATAAAAAATATATTAGAAGCATAAGGTACCACATAAAATGCCAACGCACATACCCTACAATCTCCATATTTTCGTTTGAAAATATTACTTATGTTCAAGTGAAACTAAAATCTGAATATTTTGTTGCTCATTTTGACTGATATATAGATTGAAGTCATATTATGATCTGTTTTTTAAATAAAAAAGTTAACAAGTACAACTGCAAAATATGGACAACCTTTGGCATATTGAAATATTAAACAGTTTCAGTATTAAAAAATATCTTTTAAAATTAAATAATACTAAAGGCTATTCTTAAAACATGGTATAAAAATTTTAAGACAGATAAGCTGTTTTACCTTCTGCATATTGAATCCAGCAAAGAAGATGATTGGAGGAAGAAGAACATAAAAGAATATCTCTGGGTCAAAAACGGCCTAAAACATAAACAAAATATATTTTTATATACATATACAGTAAATCTAACATGCTTTGAAATGTATGGGATGGTACAACCCTGGATTGCTGATGAGGCATAAATTTAAATTCTCAATCACAGGTGGAGCAGACTATGTAAGCCTGCCTAACAACCTGAAGTTACCAACAATCACAGACATAATGCACATGGGTTGAATAATTTTTTGTGTAATTTCTTATACACCAATTTCTGCATTATTGTGGTAATGCCGGACATAACGCAAGCTAGATCTTTGCAAAAATGATGAAGTGGATAATCTGGAAATAATTAGAACTGTGAAAAGCAATAACTGAATCTTAAAAGCTTCTGGACCTTAAAATGGGAATTAACCATTCAATAATGACACACTTTGAATCAGAGATGCCAGCTTACATTTGGCTTGGCACATTAAAAACAAAGCATGAACAGATAACTCCATGTGCATGTTACCACCCTGTCCTTAATGAAAGTGAGCCAGTACATATTATTAGACAATGTCAGATTAATAGAGTAACTCAAAGTTTGTGGCCGAATTGACTTAAGACTTTTAAACCTGTGATATGTTTTTGGACTTGTTCTCTTGTATCTCTAGATAAATAGATGCAAATTTGTTTCCCTAAAAGATGGTTTAACTGAGAGGATAGTTAAAGTTGCCAGAAGAAAACAAAAGAAAATTTCTTCAACTCACCATGTCTTCTAACTCTGAGCCAGCTTTTGTTGTCACAGTTCTGAGAACACCTTTTAACTGGTATGAAAACTTTGAATAATTGCCAATCGATACCCAGAGGGTCTGAGGAGCTGTTGTTTTATTTATCAAGGTGACAGGGACACCAACTGCAGTTGGACCCGCTCCAGCATATTTCACAATTAGCCCAATAATCATCCCTTGAAAGAAAAAAAGGAAAGAAAGACATTGAACTTGTGTCTAATAGTTTGCACGATGTCTGATATGTAAACACTTGAGTAAAATCAAAATGCAAAATATAACATATTAGATTTCACCGTGATGTCACTCTAGATCCTCATAACAATTCTATACCAGCTCATTCAGCAAGAGATGATTTAAATGTCATAAATGACCACATAAGCACCTGCTGCTGAATATGAACCCTTTTGGAACAAATGCTAGAAGCTGGCACTTAAAAGTAGTAATGAAAAGAGTTAATTTTCTACACAAGTTTAAATAGCAGATAAGTGCCCCCATTAATAAGAGAGGGGTACTTGTTCAAGCAAATGCTTAAAAAAATGCCCAGGGCTGTTTACTGTACACTAATTCAGGCCAGTATGTTGACAACTTTAGCTACAAATATGATTGTTTCAAAAGAGTAAAGTAGTTAAAAATCCTTGGCTGATAGCACAAGCAACTGAGAAATACAAAGTACTTTGAGATGGCCAAGAGAAAAGAGAACTATAATCAATCTTATTGCTAGAAATGTGATGATTGACAGTTTCTTAGCCCACTTAGGCAAGGAAACTGGTAGTAAACAAAATCTTGGTTGAAAGCTTACAAGAAAAAATAAAATTTTAGCATTTCTGCAGGCCTTTTCGTTTGATGCGAGTGATCATTCGAGATCACATCAGCACTCGCCCAAACCCAACTACACAAGTGATTGATCGCTCACGCAAAACGTAAATTTCGAGGAATAAATGTCTCATCAATTAACCTATTCTAATCATCTTTTGTGACCCAATCAAGTGGCATGGATAATACAAAGCTGATATATCAAACACGGGAAATATATGTAAGCTGACTTAACCACATCTCAACAACAAAATGCATTTGAAAATCAATTCCATCGTCAATTTTTAGGAATACTATTGGCCCTTGGAACATTTTTTGGGCAGTAAAAGCTGTTTTTAAAAAAGAACAACATTTTGCGATCATCTGGCAAAAATGTCTATATGACCTTCATGATATACATAAAGTTTAAAAATGAAGCACATTTTGTGGTGGGCATTTAATTATTTCTGAAATGCATTAAAGGTCATCCTAACAGTTTGTTTTCATTTTATATTACCTTATACAAAAGGATCATACTATTCTTATAAACATTACTGATGCTTTTAGCATTGTTCATTACTATCATTTTTAGAGCGATTGCTCATGCAAGAGAAATCATGTGAGCGATGGGCCACTTGTGTGGGCTCTTTCTTATGAAAAGGCCTGATTTATGTATAGATACATTCAGTGAAATTCACAGAATGTGCTCTAAAAATTTTACTAAGACATCCCTTATTCAAAATTGGGTAATTGGCACTATATAGGAAACTTTACTGGCTGTTTTCCTGGTTTCAAAAAGCTATTTCAGCTTACTCATTTGTTGCAAAAAAAGAAAAAGCGAACTAAAGTCCTTAAAGACTGTAAAACCTAGAACTACCAGGCAAAACAGCAAAAGAAAAGTAATTTCATTTTCGTTAAAAGGAAGGAAATAATCAACACTGTATGTTTCCATTTGATGTCAATGAAATAAACTGCAAATACCTAATGATATGATGACCATGTTAGTCATTATTTATTATTTCTTGCAATATCTAGTGTAATTTTTTTTGTATTAAACAAACATGCAGTGATGCCCTGGCCTGCAAAGTATGGGAGTTCTTAATGAGATATCACATGTGCACATCCCCTGCATGTAATCCTCCTAATTATCTATCATATGACATGCAAACAGATACTTTCTATGATAATGCTTATTGTTAATTTGACGTGCAAGTTCCAGTTTTGGTGTGCAACACTACACTGACCATGTGCCCCGGCAACTTTCATAGTCTGCAGACCAGGAGGCACATTTTATAATTTTAGATATACAGATTTGCATACTTGATATACAGAAGAGAATACATCCCTGGCTATCAAAAGTTTTAGAGCATCTGATATAAAACTTATATAAAAAATAACTAATCATGAAGACGAGATCTTATTAATTCTTACATATCATCAAAACTCCATTTAAACTCTAGCCCTAATTTCAACTGTTAAATTATTCAAAATGTATCGATGCGGTAACCACGCAAGACCGTATCTATATCGTAGTAGTCACAAAGCAACATTTTGAATATTTTTCTTATCTGCTTGTGGAGACTTTTTCAAAAAACTTCGACACTTTCAATAGAATTCTAATGCAAATCATTTGCAAACCAATATGGTAGACAAAAACAAGGCCTAAATAAATGTAACTGGTATCCCATACCATATATCATAGACAATCCGCTTTCGTGCATGTATCGGAATCTCTTCACTTTGAAAAGCCAAATGGTGAGGATTGTGGCTATTAGCAAGCCAATAAACATCAGCAAAACCTGACTGTCAACAACATGAGATCTCTCAACTTTGACTTCAGTGGCCTCTTCCACGCGGTTCACGAGTTCCGCAGTATTGCCGACGGTCGTCTTCACCAGCATGAACAGGAAGTAGAGTAGGCCTACATTGTTGAGATTCCCTAGCCATTTCTTGCACCATTCCATCTTTGCTTAGCAAATTAAACTACCTAAGAGCTCTTAATGCATATGAGAATCATTTTAAGCCATATTTACGCTAAATCATCAATTATTTACAGTATAGGAGTCGATTAAAATCCATTCCTTGTTTATGGTTTACTGCAACTTCTCCATTCTCGTTAATGGTGCTTTAAAAAGTACTTCATGTAAACCAACATGTATACAAGTACCTTATGTAAACAGCATGGCATGGGTTGCCGTAAATCCTCGAAAAAGCCCCCCCCCACGAATATGCCCCCATCCTAAAGTAATTTTCATATTATTTAATGCCGACAGTCCTCTCAAGAATACTTTAGCGATTACCATTGGACTTCAGTCACCATAAATATCATATCGCTATTAATTTGCTACATAAAGCTAATTGGAATCGAACAGTTTGGTAAATGAAAATAATGGGACATAAACCATTCAAGAATGTAACTTTTTTAAAATATAGATGCTTTTGGTGTGTAGAAAAGGACGGCTATAAGTTGCATCTCGGAGCTTCATGCTTGATTAATGTTACCTAATGACTACAAGAACACAAAAAGCAGTTTATTGACGATTCACTAGAAGCATTTATATTATATAAACATATATAAATTGGCCTATATGAATACAAACAAGGATTGGATGGTCAGGTGCTTGCTAACCGGAAAACACTTTCAGAGCTGAAAAGAATTACAAAACAAAATAAACACTTCCATAAACTATTTCTAATATCTCGAAATCATGGGTGAGACTTTAAAACCTTTACGACTTGCGGCACTGCATAGAAACATTCAAAGCAGTTAAAAGAATAGCTTTTTGGCAAAGAAGCTTCATTATATCCTCTGAGTTTTACTGAAAACCTTGCTCTAAGTGTGCGGTGAAACGTACTGCAGGCCGAATGATAAACAATAAAAGGCTGTCTTTCCCCTGCTGGTTATGGTAAATTTATAAAAACCTAAGTAGAAAACAGTTCTTTTATCCACGAGTTACTACTTTCATTTGCTCTCTTTCGTTTTTTCATTTAGTATCTCAGTACGATCCTCTCGTCACCATGGCGCAGAAAACATGACTTCCAAAACAGATTTTGTTGAAGTCTTCTTTATAACTCTCTGACAGCTTGAAGAACATGTTAAGCTCCTCTGCGGATAATGGATGTTTTTCTTCTGATTCCAAACTCATAAGAATGTTGCTAGGCTTGGAAATGCGTCTTTTTTGCTAACAACCAGTTTTTGATGCTGATAGGAAATATATCCTTTCAAATACCCCTGCAGAGAAAGAACAGTTTAATGTGAAAGAAATGCTCAACTGTTGGTGATCATTTAACAGTTACCAGCGGGTGTGATTTACAAAACTTCTTGATCCTGGAAAAATAAAAAGGTGACAAGAATTCCTTATTGACAGCATTTGTTGACTGGGGCGCAGGCTAGCGTTCCCAGGTTTTTTAATGACGGAAAGTGCATATCGGTTTCAAGTCTTCAGCAGAACTACCTGACTAGTTACCGCAGTGCAGCTTCTTTCTTGAATTAAGCATGTAAATTTAACGGAACAAATGTCGAAATGACACCTATTCCTTGCATGTTTTCAAATCTCTTTCTACGGCTCTATTCTGAATGAAAACTAGGCCCAAATAATATGTAAAGAGTGAAGAAACAAGAGTAAAGCAACCTCCCATCTTATGAGAACAAGTAGCCCCCTTTCGCTTCTTTCTATCACCCCCTGGAACCCTTAGGCTTAGACATACATGTTAGATCTTGCTCATTTTGAGATTCTGCAACGGAACATTATTAGAAGGTAGCAATTCGCCTGCATTGTAATATGAGATTGGACTTTACGTGTAATATAGAACACAATTCTAAACAACATAATAATATACCATGTGTATAAGGTTTGCAAGTATGCAGTGGACTTCATCTGTGTCCACATCAGTTGCCTACAAAAGAAGAGCCACCATTTAGTTGCGTACAGATGGTATGGTGGGCAAAAGCTTAATAGAAACGTTTCTCGGGACAGAAGAGGGACTCGTGAAAAGCGACATGCCATTAAAAAAACGATAAGAGGCAACAAAACCATTTGATGTAACAGTTTGTTACGTAATAAATTTAATTCAAATTGGCTGAGTAGAAAGTTTCAGCCTACCTATGTAATGTTTCCAACTATTCTTGAATAAAGAGGAGTCTAAGTAAAACAATATTTTCATATTTGCAATAACAAAGGGTACATTGAATGGTGTACAAGTCAATAGGCCTCTAACAGCAAAATAAATCTCACCCCCATGTAATGCAGTGCAACTTTGAAGGCTTCTATTGGTAGTTGATGAGTGTTCATAAGGAGGCATCTAAAACAAAACAAACCACGAAAGTAGTTCCGCATCCCATTGCAGCTTATTTTCAAAAGCCTTTAGGACTCCGTTACGATTTGATTCATAATTCATCAGAAGCTAATCCAACATTAACTGCGAATTCTAGTTCAAATCAAATAGCTAGTGATAAAACTTGCTAGATCTTAGATTGATAAAAGTAGCTTAAGTTTTTAATAAATATCTTAAAAGCTATAAAATACACAAATCACATTCTTTTAGTCCAAGTACAAGGAGAAAGGCCGTTATTAGAATGGTGTAAGGCAGAGGACAGCCGAGGTCTATTTTGCGAAATGGGTTAAAAAGGCATTATAAATTTTAAAAACCAGATTTAAAATCTATTTTCGAAAAATATTAATTATGGTATCATGAAAAATAGAAATGTAATTGGAAAAGAGGGCTGCGCTCTGTCCCTTAAATATAACATTTGATATCGCTATTTATAACATTTGAAATAAAAACTAATTGTGTGTACAAACATCGAATAAAGACTCACGTCTTCTTGAATAAGTTTCTGTATGTTATTATCTTAAGCTTCTCCAGAATTAGGTAAATTCCTGACCGTATAAAGAAGGTCTGCAAAAGATATTAATCTCATAAACACTCCCAAATCTAAACAAAAACCTTAAATGCAAGAAAATAATTAAGACATACGCTAGGTAATATAGTGAATTAATTTTAAGAGTAAAAAAGAATCATTCATATGAAATAAAAAAACGAGCAACTACATAGATTTCGAAAAAAGACTATACTTCTGCAATCTGAAAAGATTTCAAACTTTCTTTCGCACGTTTAAAGTTAGAAATTAAGAGAAATGCTTCAATCGACTTCAATCAAGAATCAGTCAGCTTAGCTAGTTGTGGTATGAATAGGTTAGATAACAAAGTAGCTAAAATAAAATAGATAATAGTTAAAAAGCAATTGTTTAACTTAATAAAATTCTTAAATCAAAACAGGTTATATTTGTATTGATTAGTCAATACTAGTGGCTGAGATAAATTAAGTATTGAATTTTTTAGGTTTTCGTCAAGAAATGCAAAATATGTTAAGAAAAGCAGTGAAAATGTTAGTCTGGCAAGTAGGAATATCTACCTGGTATTTCTCTAGTGCCTGATTCAGGAGTAAAAGATTGCCAACACTAAAAAAACAAAAATGGGTAATTTAGGAATGATTAAAAAAACTTGACGATGCAAATATTTTGGAATAATTATGACATTTAAAAAAGATGAAAACATAAAAATTAGTTCATCAACAGAGAGGTCTGGGGTGAAAAAGCTTGAATATTATAAAATGCTGCTCCATATCAGGCTTTATCAAGCAGACAAACTGAAAAGTACCCGCAGTTACAGCAAGATTAGGATCAAACTAATCTAAATAGCAAAAAGACTCTGTGGTCCCAGTTTTACAGTTTTCTGTCTTAAGCAGTATTTAGGGGGAAATATGAGTTGGGATTAATTACCTTATATCGATGAGTTTTAATCGTGTAAAGGAGTGTAAAGGAGCATTCTGATCAAAAGCCCCGAATTGCTCTACCTGGTGAATTGGCTGATGAGCTAGCAAGGACTCAGAATTAAAAAAAGACAACATGTATACATGTTTGTATATGTTATATATATAGTATAGTATACTGACACACGCCCATTTCAAGTTGGGCACACTATTATAACAACAACCTGGATCCAAGATCTACTAAAGACACAATATTTTGTGAGAGGGCCCAGTGTGATCTGGTTGAGTTTGGTATTACACTGTTTTTTCTTAGTTTTGACAAGCTGTGCTTGTCCTTTTTTATGGTTTCAAACAAACATAACAAGGAAACTTACCAAACTGCTTTTGCAACGTCAGTAAACTGATCTAGCTTGTACTTGTGTAGAAGTTTCTTACTGGGCATCCTTCCCTAGAATATTGAGGGTATATTTCAAAGTTGCATTAAGATTATAGCCCACAGCAGAAGGTAACAGCAAAGTCGCATGAAGAACTGAAGGGCAGGCATCATCATGTGACAGATTAGTTTAGTGGGGAGGATATTTGATTTTTGCCTTCATTATAGGCTAACTGGTTGTTTCTCGTAAAAGTTGTCAAAACAGGGTGTGCCAGCACTTTGTTTGAGCAATATGCTCTTCTGAACGCTTCCAACGTTTCCTCCATAGCTTCAGAAAATTATAATTCTTCTACGGTTGTCGAAATGGGGAGGGGAAAGCAGGGTACCACTAAAAAAAGTCCTTGCTTGTAGTTGAAAATCTTCCACTGAAATAAAACAGCAAAGGTGTAAAAGAAAGAAACAGTGACATACTGTGTCAATCCACAGGTCACAAAACCAAAATTCTAAAATTTCTTCGAGATAACTAGTGATTTGCAAAGCATAGTGAATCCAATGGGTGCACTCATAAAAAATTTCAACCTCAAAATTCGTATGAATAACAAAGAGCTTAACAAAGGAAAATTATTGTGACTTACGAGCTGCATTTTTACAGGAAGAAGATAAATCAAAATCAGTCTAGAAGGAATAATAGTAATATTTATGAAATAAACAAATTTGATGAGCCGTATGGGTAGGTTTGAAAGTTTTGATTACATTTACATAACTCGAAGTTAACAAAGAAAAACAAGGAAGAAAAAACTACTCGTTTACTGTGAAAGCAGTTTGATTAAAGTGTTTTGAGATTTACAGCATCTTTTTGCCATTAGTCCAGGAATATCGCCACAACAAGCAAAGTGACGTTTGAAAGATTAAAAAATCACTTTCTTTTACATAATATAATACAATTTCATTTGTAATATATCGAAAGAAAACATGATAAAAGTACACAAAAGAATTTATCAAAATTGGATGTCGGTTCGTACCGGATGATGGGGAGTATAAACAGCTTTGATTCTTAGTGTCTTATATTTAAGCATATATTACTTTCGTTTTGTTTGTAATGCAACAAAAATAACAATTTCACTAGGATTGTTGGGTTAAGTAATGTCCAGATTCATGCCAAAATCCATACCAAAACTCGTTATTCTCAAGGTTACAGAAAAATCTATGTACAAAGCTTCACGATTAAGATCAAGCAACAAACCTTTTATTCCTAAAACTGCGACGGTGGCAGTGGTCAAATGCAAACGTCAGATAATCATTTGCTAAAATATCAAAGGAAGGCTAAAAAGAATTTGTCTAAAGCCTGATGGCAGTAAGATTTTAAGACTACAGGCATCTTGTGAAAGAAGTCACGTCTAGAATAAACTTATGTTGGTGAACCTTAATTGGGCCAACATTTACCAGTAGAAAAAAATATTTAAATTCAGCCGAAATGTCACTCGCTATACAGTACCTAGTGTCACTCGCTATACAGTAGGATTCCAGGCAAGATAGAATTGTATTTACATATATTCATCCGAGTTTCACCTTCACGCTTAATGCATCCACCTAAAGCGTGTACAGTTCTGCCTACGAGGCATCGAGCACAATATCACAGACCGGTAAACAGTATCTCTCATTATCTTTAATTTGTATATAGAAAAACTGACAGATATAAAAAAAATTCAAAACGCTGTCAGATTATAAGAAATGAAGCATTTCGAAAAATTTCTAAGCTAAATAAGGCTTCCATGAAAATTTATTTAAACAAAGTGAATTGGATCCATGTTATAGAGAAAACAAGATGGGTAGAGCTATAAACGAAGCTAAAGGTTGGTCTGTGAACTGAAATCTTGTCCTTACACCCAGGGCCGTCACCATGGGAGGTGTGAGGAGGGGGGGGGGGTGTAATTCTACCAATTGAAAAAGTTCGTTGTAAAAACGAGACAATTTTTAACGCCTAGGGGTGCTTCATCGGCAAATTTTAGGGTTTGTCGGCAAATAAACGATTGTTCAACAACTTTGTCGGAAATGGAATCGGAGCAGTTTTGAGCACAATAGAAGCGACGACCCTGCTTACACCTATTTTTTGCTTATTAAAATTATAAAAAATAGTTGCATTCTTAAGAAAGGTTTCGAATTGATGAGTCGTGCGACTGTCTGCTATGAACATTCTAAAACAGACTACTGCTGAAAAAGAAGACACAAATAAGCGAGCTGAGGCTAAGCAATATTCTTGCGATATTCTCAAAATTTGGATGATTCTGTAGCTGAGTATTCCTATAAAAAAGAGTGTAATGGCTAGCTAAAGGTAGGTTTTAAAAACAAATATTTAACGAACATATTGACGGTCAAAATATAATAACCAAAATAATACCTAATTTATAGTCACTGTCGAACATGGCCTTCTTGCCAACAAAGAATCTGGGAAAATAATCAAGATAACATTTCAAATCAATACTACTTCTTAACAAGACGATTGATTTTATCTTTGATAAAAATACGTTATCTTCCTCATTTAATAAAGCATTATAACATAAATTGATATGATAGGATTAATTGGCATGGAGTAGATGTTGCCATACAATTAACCATATCCTGATTTTAACTTGCACATAAATTGTAATCTTAAACATTTTTCAACAGTTATACTCATAATTAACGTCATTATATGCACTTTGGAACTTGAGTTGACAAAGTGACAATGCATAGTCAACGGCAAAGTGGGGAGGAATTGTAAAACAAAGTCAGGGTAGAAATTGTTACAGTTTAATAGTGCATTTATCTTTGATTAACGATAATAAAACGGGACATGTCCACAGGTAACGAGACAAGTCCATTAGAAATGGAACAAGTCCACTGGAAACGGGACAAGTCCACTGGAAACGGGATAAGTCCACTGGAAACGAGACAAGTCCATTGGAAATGGAACAAGTCCACTGGAAACGGGATAAGTCCACTGGAAACGAGACAAGTTCACTGGAAATGGGACAAGTCCACTGGAAACGGGACAAGTCCACTGAAAATGGGACAAGGCCACTGGAAACGAGACAAGTTCACTGGAAACGAGACAAGTTCACTGGAAATGGAACAAGTCCACTGGAAACGGGACAAGTCCACTGGAAACGAGACAAACCCACTGGAAACGGGACAAGTCCACTGAAAATGGGACAAGGCCACTGCAAACGGGACAAGTCCACTGCAAACGGAACAAGTCCACTGCAAACAGGACAAGTCCACTGCAAACGGAACAAGTCCACTGAAAATGGGACAAGTCCACTGGAAACGGGATAAGTCCACTGGAAACGAGACAAGTTCACTGGAAATGGGACAAGTCCACTGGAAACGGAACAAGTTCACTGGAAATGGGACAAGTCCACTGGAAACGAGACAAGTCCACTGCAAACGGGACAAGTCCACTGGAAACGGGACATTTTAACAAAGAAAATGGGTTCTCGTAGGCCAGAGACGAGCAATTTGCTCCTACTTCAATTGCCTATTCGTAGCAAAAAATCTTTGTACCTGGTATCTCCAATTATTAAGAAACAAATCAAAATAACAAAGTTCTTAAAAACACAGGAGTAATTGTTGTCCAGGAGAGCTGGTTTCTAAAGAAAATTTTTAAAATCGTTGTCCCATCTTTTATTGGCTCCGTCTCCCGTATCGGATTTTTCTCCAGTAAGCCTATCTGGCCTGAACTAGCTACTACAGGGTGGAACATTTCGCAATCTTGTTACTTCAAGGTGGCTAGAAGATGACAAAGTGGGTAAAGTAATCAAATACTATTTACCGATAAGTGACGAGGTGAGCAACTTTGAACTGGTCCTTGAATGAAAGACTGTCAATCGCACGAATCATCGGTTTGCACAGCTGAAGCTTGTTTATCTGAGTAAAGAAGGTGAAAAATGATACTGAAAAATACAATAGCAAGGCAGCAAGTCATACGAGTAAACAACAGTGCTTAAGAATGAGTTTAAAATAAGCCTTTTAAAATAAGCTTAAAACTTATAAATTACCTTATATTAAAGTTACCTTGAAATAAATTTTAAACAGCTGATTGACAATGCCAAGCATTCCCCATTTCTTCGATTTTTCAAGCGGTGCCCTCCTGCAATGAAAAATTAGAGTCAAATTGGGAAGGTTTATGATCCAAAAAACGCCAAACGGTGGGCTCTAAAGCTTTTGATGACGGGAGACATGAAAAGGAACTTACGTATCACTAACACAGGCTCTAAACAAATTCATGAGTGCTTCTGCTGCTTTTTCCAGATTCTCGCCAAATTTACCACGATTTACTTTAGCTAACTGACGATCAGCCTGAAATGCAAAGGGCAATTTTTTACTTGAGTTGATGGCAAAAGGTTCTGCAAATCATGGCAAACTTCAATAGTTCAACACTATAATTCGAGGACTGGGCAATCTAATTTACACCAATTACATTTTGCTAAATTGTTAACAGATATTTTATTCCAATATTCCCAAACTCTTCCTGTGGTCCCTTGCCAAAAATCAATGAATCGAGCATTTTCAAAAATATACTTTAAACTGAGAGCTAATGGCAACATCACAATCGAATAGAGTAAAAGATATACATCAGTATTTCAAAAAGCTATGCGCTCCTATTGTAGGACTGTTTTTATATTGCTGCCCCTTTCTATGAGGTATAGCATGGTCATAGAGTTTTATACTGAGAGACAAAAACTTACATTTAAAGCAAACTGTCGGAGGTCAACAGCAACAGTGTAAAGAACAGGCAATACCCTGAAAAGAAAAAGAAGAGTACTCTCGAAAAATGCTGTTTTGAGAAAGAAGCAGGTCAGGACGATCAAGGAGGAGGAAGGGGAAAAAAGAAAGTGAAACAGACAGACAGTTTAACAAAGAGATGCTGGGAACAAAAAATAATAAGAAGAAGAGAACAATGGAATTCAATGGAAAAGGAAAAAGGGTAAGAAGAGGTAAACAGAAAAGAAAAAAAGAAGAAGATAAAGAGCCAGATGGAGAAGAAGAAAGGAACAACAAAAAGAATAGCAAATTCGTTGCACATACGAAAAGCTCAAATCATTGCTCAATCATATTAGAAGCAGAATCTGTTACACTTTGACTGATAAATAGACAAGAGTCTACATTTGAATAGCATCTCTTATCCTGATTCAGGATTTCGTACATCATAATTTCCCAACAGTTTTTAATAATGCCCATAACAGAGTATAGAGGAGGAAATAAACATATTCCAAATGAGACTGTAGCACCGCCAATTGATATAGAGGTCTCTTGAAATGATCATCAACGCAGCATATTTATTAGCCTTCAGGGCAAAGTGCCATTCTTACTTTTCCTCTTTTATCTCATGTCAACTTATTAAAAGAAAACACATCTTGGTTCCTATATATTTAACAAGCAGATTGAGTAATTTATACTTACCAATTTTCTTCTTTCATTGATTGGAAAATTTTCAAGAAATTTCTTAAATCAAATAAAGGAAAAACGCGGTTCTTAACGGTTTTTCCTTTAGATTCGTATACAAAATTCATTAAATAAACATCTCTTTTTAGGATTGAGCATGAGCACACATTACAAAATTATCTTTGCTAATAAATTTTTAAACTAGCCACTTGTAAGTTTCCCTCAGGGCATCAAAAATGCCAATAAAATCAAGAGTAACTTTTTTGTTTTATTATATTACGGATTAAAGAATACCAAATACCCCAGCCTTTTTCAGGTTTCATTTTTAAATTTTCAGGTAAACTTTTAGAGTTTAATCCTTTCATCTTCAGCCATTGAATGAAAATTGAGCCATTGAAGCCATTGAATGAAAAAACTTTTAGCAATATGTCTAACCACAAAAAATGCTCTCATTAATTGCAAATGCTCAATGTTTCATAGAGGAAATTTAGAAATAGCAAAAATTTTTGCTGTTCAATGTTAAAAAATTATTTATTCATTTTGAGTTTTACTGACCAAAATTACAGCATTTGGGAGAGAAGAACTTTAATTCTAAAGTTGCAGTTTACACTCTTTTATCAAAAGTTGTTAAAAAGGAAATCCATTTGTTCAATCAGAAAATTTTTCTGCATAAATTTCCTGTTAAGTACACTCATGAATACAAAGCAAGTTTTCTTGAAAACATATCACAGTGGTATAAGTTGAGGTCGACTTTCCACATATATTTTACAGACTTAGAAACTTGATGTATACAATAGGATATATAGTATGAAGAAAAAAACCCATTTTTCTATACTATAGGTTAACTTGAGAAATATGTTAAAGAAATTATGTAAATACTTAAGCATTTGGCAAATCAAAGCAGACATACAAAAAGTTATGAATACAAGGGTATGAAATGAACTGAAACACAAAACTTTACAATAGGGCCTTGCTAAAAGAACTAAAATTAAAGCAAAAACGACTTGAGAGTTTGCTTCATTGTGAAAAGATACTGCACCACAACAGCTTGTGATGCATATGCCTCCACATAATCATTGCCACTGACAGCCCAAACACCTCTGGGAGCAAAAGGAGTAAGGTCATATCCTCCATCAAAAAAGGTAAGGTGGATTTAAAAATTGTAAACTTATCTCAGGTTGCTCGTTAATGCTTGTTCAGACACACTACTTGCATTTACCATTTCAAATGCAGAGGAGATAGCAACAAATCAATATTTCTATGAAATTTAAAGGCAAAGATTACCTCAAGTGTGCAGCAACCATTTCATCGTAAGGAGATGGAAACCATTTTTGACACAGAGATATGCTATTCTCCAACTATGGGGAAACATTGATACTGACAATTTATTATTCTCAAGAAATAGGCAATTGTCAGCTAACTTAATGGTTTTTAAAACAAATTTTAAAACTGCATGCATATGCAATACTGCTTTAACATATATTTAGTTGCACTTTTGTGGATCTAGAAAACAATGAATGAAAAAAGTAGTGTCATGAATACTTTTAGTAGTGTTATACAAATATATTTAAACTTTTGTTCTGGTTCTTAGCTACCAACATTGTTACAAAACCATTTTTTGTCTCTTAAATTTACTGAATAGTATAGGATTAATAGATAAAAAAGCTAAATAAATAACTAAAAATAAAAGTACCTGAAGCCTAGGGTTGGCAACATGGGCATGCTTATAAGACATCAATTCCTTTAATAAAAGATAATCATAAGATACCATTCAAGGAAAATAATTGCAAAATAAAAAATTTTTTATAACTCTTCGTTAATAAAAACTGCATATTAATTAATCAAATAGTCATGTGGAGCTCGTGATCATAGATAGGACTGGGAATAAAAATTCTAGCCACACAGGAGAACAAAATATTGTACATATATCTGATTCAGCCCAATGTGAAGTGTGAAATATAGTTAACAGAATGAAATAAAGGATAGACAACAAATTTTAGCGATAGTTAAGATTTATACACATACACCCCAAGTATCACCATCTTTGCTTGAGATTGCATCTTCAACCTGAAAAATTGAAAAAAATAGTAACGTAACATTGTTGTTGATAAATTTGGAGTGCTATTATTCCAGAAACTGGCCTTGGGCAAGGATTTCACATCCATGGTATGTTTTTGTTAGACAGCAGGGCATATCAATTCTTCCTCATTATTAACAACAATTCTTTCAAGAGATTAATAAACAGATTCTGAAAGGAAAATGAGATAATGTGACATTAAATTTGGTTATTAGCAAACCAAGCAAAAATTCTCCGTCTGTGCTACTGAAGATAGCTAAATGTCTGAACAGGGTTGAAGCCAAATGTTTGCCAGCTGTTTGCCAGTAGATAAGAGGCTTTATGCCAAGTCTTGAAACAGAAAAAACCCTAAAAAAATATAGAACTCTGCTTCTGCTATAGAAGTGAAATCAGGATCAGATGTATGCCAGACTGGAGAACAGGTCCATGCTAGGTTTCTCAAGAGCAAAATGCACTTTTCACCCTAGCTACCAGATCACTACTTATAATTCTTTATTTTGGACAAATCTAGATAACTTTTGCATAAAATATCCAGCCTCTGCTGAGGTTAAACAGTAAAATTACATGTTTTTTATTTACAAGAAACTTGAATCACTGCTAATTACTTAAAGTTTCCTAATTTGGCATCCAAACTTTTGCGTTTTAGCACTAAACGTTTTTTAAGTTGGTTTCATATTTCAGGACCTAAAATTGCCTTTTTGTTTCAAAGTTGAGCAACTTTGGACGAATATTAACGCAGATAATTTTTTCAGCCTAGTACTAAAGTTTCTTAAATTTTTGGGCATCCTTCACTACATCACTACTTTCTTATAAACTAGTTTCTTATAAATAAAAAAAGTGTAGTGTAAGGACAAAGATTAATTTTTTAGATGAAAAGATCACACCGAAACTGAAGTTTTGTCTTCTATTGGACAAAATTGTCCACAATTTGAATTTCTCATTCCTGATAACAAGAGAAAACAAAGAAGAGAAGGCCTTTTTGAAAGCCTTTGCTACAAATTCTGTGCATGATTTCTCAGAAAACATTCATTATTTGCAAATTCAAATGTATTCTTCTGCAATAAAAAAATTTGGCCATGTACAAGGTTCCTCAAGTCAAGTATCACATGCATGATGAGCCAAGTAGCTATCAAGGTACCTTATTGTCACAAACAGACATCAGGGATGGATTTACTAGGGAATTTAGGGGATGCTACACCCCCAATATATTTGTGACTTGACCGAATCCTCCTGCACCCGACAATGATAATTTTAGTGGGTAGCAGAAAATTATTACATACATACATACATACATTATTTATTTAATAATGCAGGTCATCCAAATGGCAGCTTTCGCTGATGTAGACCTGCTAATTAACTCATAAGTAAAGGTTAAAAAGTTTTAGATAGCTTAGATAAATATTCTAATTTACATGAGTGGTTTCTTAAATTTAAAAGAAAATAACATTTGAGTCAGTTTACGATATGGTAGATGCTTGTCCAAAGGAGATGCTATCCAATATTTTGCAATTGTCTGATAGCTTTTTTTTAACTGTTTCATAATTTTCCTGAATCATCATTGATGGTGGCAGTCTATTCCAAATTAACGCTGCCCTATGCTTGAAACAAGTTCTGCCAACATTCGTTTTTGATAGGGTGAGTTCCACTTTGCAACTGTTCCTAGATGATCTCTGAGATTTTGTTTTTATCGCTAAATCTTTCAGGGCAAAAGGACACTTGTTGTTGTATATTTTATGAGTCAGGCAAGCTACGTGTCTTTTATAGATATAATCGACAGTTTTCCAATTTGCTTTTTTGAGAACGTTATTCGCAGGTGTTGATTTAGGCAGCTTGTGTATTATCTTTGCTGCTCTCTTGTCTCAATTGGTTCCAAGGATGGTCCTGTTCCCTAAATAGCCATTCCGTAGGTGCAGCTTGGTAGGATACCGTGGAAATAGATATTTTCAAGGACTTCTGGTTGTAGTGAACGGAATCTTTTAAGTTGCTTAACTTTCTTGTTCATTTTTGATGCTGCGTTGGCCACCTGGTTTCCAGGTTAGTTTGCAGTCAATGGACACCCCTAAACATTTTGATTCAGTGACCACTTTTATGACGTTATCACCTAGCTTTACTGGGGATAGAGGCCCAATGAATTTTTTATTTGATATTATCATTATTTCAGATTTTCTGGGTGGATTGTTAGACTATTGCTTTTGCACCATTCTGATATTTCTCTATTAATACCAGTTTGCAATAGTGACATCACTTCATCTACCATTTTCCCAACACAGTAATATTCTGTACAATCTCCGAACATCTCTAGTGTTCCCTTGCTGGGTACATTCGGTAGGTCATTAACTTGCATAGCAAATAGTCTTGGCCCGAGTAAGGAGCCTTGGGGCACTCCATATTTAACTTCCATGTGGTCAGAAGATTGTTCATTTACTACCACGTATTGCTTTTTTTCTCTGAGATAGTCATCAAGTATATCATATAGTCTACTTTTAATCCCATATGCTTGCAATTTTCGTTTCAACATTTGATGGCACACAGACAATAGCGGCACCAGCCACTAAGTTCTGGGGGGGTCAAACCAAAAAAATTTAAGCCACACACTTTTAACCACCAGAAAACGCCCTTTTACCAACAGGGAATGCCAATTTTATCCGAAGGTAACGCCTATGACAAACTTTTGTTTGAAAATTGGCAGTTTGAAAATCATATGATTACATCACAAAAAGTACAGTGTCAAAATATTACCCCTCCCCCAACATTTTCTCATCGAATTTAGACAAAATACAAAATTGATCCTGCTGAGAACTGGGGGGGGGGACGTGTCCCCAGTCCCCCCGTGGCGCCACTACTGCACACAGAGTCAAAACCTTTTTTGAAATCAATGAAAAGGACTCCTACAGCATTTTCCTTGTCCACTTAATCTTTCCAGACCTCGGTGAGGTGTAACAGAAATGGCTCTGTAGAGTACCTTTCCTTGTTGGCCCATTGGTGTGGACTTGATAGATGGCTTTTGGTAAAATGTGTTTCAATGTTTTCACATATGATTGACTCAAGCACCTTACTTGGAATTCCTAAAAAAGATATGGGTCTGTGATTTTCCCTTCCCATCCTGTTACCCCTTTTGAACAAAGCACGGACTTTGCTAAGCTTCCATTGGGATGGGAATTGTGATCTTTCAAAACATTTATTTATTATCTCTGATAAACCCGTTGCTGCAAAATCTCCAAATAAGGACAAGTCTTTTAATAAAACATTGTCATGGCCACAACTTTTTCCTGGCTTCCCCTTTTTCCGTATTGTCTCTCTCACTTTGTCTTCATTTATCAACAGATCTTGGACTTCTGTTATGTTCTCGGTTCTCGAGTTTACATTCTCTGTCTGCAATATCTGCGAGTTTGCTTCAGCACGTTTGTCCCCCACAATTGAAAAGTATAGATTTAAACAGTTAGCCATGTCTATATCTGATGTTAGAATTTGATTGTTTTCCCCCTTTATTGGTCCAATCTGTCTTTGTTTTTGTACACAATTCATGGCCTTGACCGTTTTCCAAAAGCTTGCTGGGTTGTCTGCTTTTTCAAATTTCATTTTTTATATTGAGCTTCTGTTTTTATGCACAAAGCTGTCAAATAGTTTCTCTGTTTCCTGTAGTTTACCCCATTTTCTGCTTTTGATGGATCAGCTTGGGCTTTCTTTAGCAATTTATACCTCAAGTTCATCTGTTTTCTGACAGCAGAGAGAACCTATTGGATCTCACTTTTGCTTTTCTGACTTTTTCATGATGATTCACTATCTCCTTGTAGAGGTATTCCCAGGCCCAGGCTGCATCATCAATGTCTTCAAATATAGAACAAATATGCCATGGGGTCTGCTTAAAGTCTGACTTTACATATTATATTCTTATAATTCATTATTTCTTTAATGGTTGGTTTTGAGATTTGCCTACGTAGGTTAAGCACTGCATATACTAAATGATGATCTGAAATTCCAGATTTATGAACACCATACTTCTTCACCTTTGATGTATCTGTGGTGATAACCAAGTCAATCATTGACTTGGATGTTTCAGATATTCTTCTAAGTTGGTCAATAACGTTTTTCAGGTTAAAGGATTTCAGGATTCTCAGTAATTTCTTTCCTTGTTTCATATCTTTTTGTACATCTTGTTGAAAGTACAAATCAGCATTAAAATCCCCAACTATTAGAATATTAGTTCTCTCCAGGCAAATTGGTTCCAAGAAGTTTTGAAAATTTTGGAAAATTTTTGTGTCGGATGGCTGTCTATAGACTGATCCTATAAGGATTTTCTGAGATGATATGGAAAGATCGATCCATGCTGACTCAATACTACTAGTGAGTCTGTATTCAGGTCTTCTCTTTCAAAACCAATTAGTTCTTCCTTGAAGTATATCATACACCCTTCCCAGTTGTTTTCTATATTCTCTCTATCTTTCCTTGCTATTTTATATCCTTTTTTGCTTATTTACTCAGTCGAAAATGCTTCTATGCTTATTTTGTTCAATTCTTTTTACTCGGTCGAAAAACTCGTTTACTAAAAACAATTTTATAAATAGTGTATTTAATAGTATTAGTCATTAATTGCTAACTAACTTTAATAAATTTCTATCAAACATGTAAGCAATAACCAAAGTTGGTTGCCGTATATAACATTGATAGAAAGGTATTTTCCCGCACTCTCTACAAATTGATAGAAAGATAAACATACCTCTTTTAAATATTGCCCGCTGCTCGTGTGCGCCATGTTTGAAATAGAAGCCTCTTTTCACGAAAATGGAAAGGAGATTATTTCGCGGGAAAGTCCCTACAAATATGAACACATGAACATGCCAAGATCAAATGCTATAGCAATAGCAAATGCATTTCGTTGAGAAAGGGTGTATTGATTACGACCTAATTGAGGAAGCTGTTTCCTGATGCAAAGGTTAGAGTCAATAGGTTTTGAGCTTCTCAGTGTTTGATTTATTTCGAACATGCAACTTGTAATACACGATTAGATGTAAGATGTAGTACATCCGTCATGACGGCCAGGGGGTGCACATAGGACGTCCATACGGCGGGTCAGTACGATATTTTAACGTGAACAATTTGTATAAATTTATATTTTTCGATTTGAGAAAACTTAAATTTTAAGAATTTTCTGAATTGCTTCTGCTTACAGCCATCAGGTGTGTTTTGTTCTTATGGAAAATCAATGAAGACTGTTTACGGCTTGATATGAAGCGAAGGGTACCTACCAAGGGTGAAATGAAGTTTCAACATGAGATTTCAGCTAAGGCAAAGGGAAAAAACAGAGAAAAAAGAAGCAGATCGTTTTACAACCAATCAGAGACTGTTGCTGAGCCAGAACAACTCCTGAAAGAAGCAGCTGATCACAGCCAGACTAATGTCGAAAAGAATGAATTTTTTGTTGGTGAAAGCTCAACTACTCAAGAGAGGAAGATAGGTATTGATACAATTGCCCTTGATAATAGAGATAAAGAATCTTGTTTAAAGGAGAAGGGAGCAGATAAAATGACTGATTGCCAACTTTTGGGGAAAGAAATTCTTTCAGAACTTCATGCAAAGGGTGTTAGTTTAGAAAATCTTGGCCAAAATGATTTAGAAACATTTTTAAAAGATATTGGAAAAAGAAAAAATCTTGATCCAGATACTGTAGGTAAAATTTTCCAAGAGTATCTTGAAAATGAGAAGCAAAAAATTGTTGGTTTAATGATGCATCTGATGCGTAACAAAGTTCCTCAGTCACTTTTGTTAGACAAGGAGCAGTTGGAGACACAGCCTTCTTACTCAGACTCTAAACAAACTGAAATTGGCAATGAGCAAGAAATGATAAGTCTTTTGACATAAAGGAGCAAGTTTACGAAGAACCAACTATCTATGTAGACAGTGATGATTGTGAAGATGGTAAACTGGACATTGTTATGCCAAGAACTCCAGCAGTTGAACTATCTGAGTACAATTGGTCAGCAGAAAATGCAAGAAGCGAAGAAACTGTAATAGAAGGTACTCTTCAACAACCTCCAAAATCGAGTATAAATCTTTTCAAACAGGATAGCGATGGTGATACGTAAGTTGCTATATTATATCAATATGATCATTTATTGCTACCAAACTGAAATGTGGTGTGGTGGCCAGGGTTTTTCTTCCCAAGCACTCCTATGCCACTGCACCTCCCCAAACCATTGAAAAACCTCAACCCTCTGGAATGCTGGGTAGAGCCTAGGATTTTATAGATTCCCTGCATCCCTTGGCGGTTTATCCTTGCTTATCAAACATTCATAGATAACACACTGATTTGCTTGATCTCAAGGAGGCTGGGTATAAGATAACTATTTGAGGTTTTTCATGGAAAATATCATGCATTACATAAATGCTCTCTTCATCAGATGTTACTGCATCCTCCCAGGTTCAAGATTTGCAGTCTTACAATTGCTTCTTTTGCAAATCTTTACGTAATGATGACACAGAGCATTGAAAAAGGTTTTTAAAAGAGTTTGTTTTATTTATCCTTATTTTTTTTGCAATATTTTTTCATAACTTTAGTTCAATTTTTTGTTGTTACGGTCTTGATATTCCTAAAACGTTTAATCACAAAAGACCCATAAAGCTGAAAGACCTGTTTGACACGTGTATAGATGATTAATGGGGAGTTTAAAAATGACTGTCAACAAATCATGCTGCATTGTTATTTGATAGCTTTGATTGGTTCATCCTATAGGATTCTGCACTTAGCAACTGTACAACAGCATTCTTCTGTTGACAAGCTCATTGATATGATGAAGAATGAATCTTTAGATGTACAAAACAAAAGAGGCCAGGTATGACATTTATTACAAGCATCCCAGGGTGTAGTCTTGGAGGCCAAAGTAGGGGTTCATTAGGTCTTATATTTTTAAATGGGAGAATAGTTACAATTTCCAGATCTAATCATGAAGAATTTTTGAAAAGAGAATAAATGAAGTTCAAATGTTAATTAACTTGGCTAGACCTCTGAAAAGAATGTGCTCTTGGGACAAGCATACCCCAGTGACAAGGATACCCCAAGCATACCCCAGGGACATTCTGAAGCATCCAGGGCTTCAGAGAGGAGAGTATTGAACTTCTTTGTGGTTAGAGGCGCTGACCACAGATCCAAGGGTCCATGGTTTGAGTCCCTGGCATGACAAAACTTTCACCCAGATTGAGTAGAGTCGCCAGCTCTCTGTAATTCCAGGTGTAGGAATCATGAGGTGTGGTCAAATCGAGAGGAAGGACCAGGACACTGCTCAATAAGCATTAGCTTCTCCGTGTCCTAAAAATTACCTTCGGATGCTGGGTAGAAACAAATACAATTACATATACAAATCTTCAAAATTATCTCATTGGAGCTCAGGTTCTCAAGTGCCCTTAGCCACTTCACACCTAACAAAACTATGATAAAAGTACATTCTGGTCTTTCAAGTAGATCAGGTTACTTGAGACCACACCCTTTTGGGTCATTTCTGCGCTACATACCAGATGCTTTATCTCCATGACAAATGACCTACCCTTACCCATTGTATTTCTATCAATTTTGAGAAGGCCCGCAAAAATCTAAATGACTGTTAAAATAGAATCTCTTATAGGTTCTATCTGGGCTCCGTGAACCGACATGTTCTCCCTGTTGCTTGTTATCTAAATTTATTGATCCGTGTTTGATTTTTATATAGACAGCCCTTCATCTCGCTGTCGTACTCAAACAAGAAGACAATATTAGAAGACTGATATACGCTGGTGCCTCCATAGCTGTAGTCGATTGTCACGGTGATACTCCTCTTCACATAGCGTGTCGCACTGGCAAGCAAACGTTAGTGTCGTTGCTTTTGAAGAAATTACTAATATCGCCATCTGTTGGATGTGAATCAGCCATGCGAACGAGAAATTTCGAAGGTAAGTACTCCTGGACAGGGATGTGCCGATTGGGGGGGGGGGGCAATGTCTGCAGAATTCAAAGTTGGTCATGCAGCGGGAGCCTTAGCATTAACTAGGAAGTTTGGCCAAATTTCAACCTATAATTCATTCATTTTATTGGTCATGGTTAGTCACAGTCAACTTTCTTTTTTGTAATACACTCTTTTTTTTATAAGAACACGAGCCTCAAATTGGTCAAAAGTTAATAACAAATTAAGAACAAGCTGAGGCTGAGCTACTGTAAAATGCAATTTTGAACAACGTTTTATCTAATAAACGAGGACTTTTAGCCATATGTGGGTTCGTTTTCGGTGAGTATTCAAACCTGTGGGCAAATTATGGCTATCTCACTCACTTTGTTGCCAAATAAGGCCTGAACACCTCCCTTGAGCGGAAACGCTTATAATTGCACTGCTTACAACCCATCAATTTAGGAATAAATTAAGAACAATCCACCCTCATATTTTTGAAAAAACAGTCAACCTGGACTCGAATTCACTGACTCGTACAAAAAAAGAGTGTATTTCAAATAACTTGCTATAAGAAGCAAGCTAACGACTATAAGAAATGACTGCAAGAAATAACTGCAAGAAGTTTTCTGAGATGCATTTTAAGCTAATCTGAAGGATGCGGTCGCAAACATTTTCTGCTCGCTCCCCCCCCCCCCAAACAAAATTGTCTAGGCACATGATATTACTAGGCACTGCCCCTGAAATTAGCTTTCATGACATCCTGCGAAGAGTGAACTTTTATCCTCTCTTCCTTGCATAGCATCTTCTAAAACCTGAGCCCCCACCTTCTTTCTGACGTCTAATTCTAGATTATTCCTTCTAAATCGTATGCCCACCGTGGTTTTCCAGTTTGCATTGCACAAGAGATATTTTGCATCAAATCACAGACTAGGCGTTTCCCACTTTTTTAAAGCAAATTCTGCTCTCTCGCCTTCCTTCGAAAGTAATTTCAGTCCTTTTCACCTTCCGATATTTTTAATACTGTTATAAGGTAGCATTTCTCGAGTAATGATACTACATATATTTTGGGACATGGGCATTTGTATGAAACGTCTAAAAAATTTTCTAGACAAATTGGCAAACTTCTTCGGTAGTTTTCCTCCATTATCTTTGATTGACGCCATAACCTGAATATCATAGTTCAGAAGAAAGTGAGGGGGCTTTAGCCTCCAAGCCCCCTGGCTTCGAACTGCCTGTTTAATCATGAAGTCTTTACTAATCTTTTCCAGGTGAAACTCCGTTACACATTGCCGTGGCTCATTCATTTGGTACTGGTAATGAAGCAGTCATTCATCTTCTAGTGAGCAACAAATGTGATGTTAATTTGATAGTGAGTTTCCATATATCAGCTACTAGTTTTGAAAGGCTTTCAAATCGATTTACAGTGAGGCCAAACTGCTCCATTACCTTACAAGGCTGCCCCTTGAATTTTATTGATAATACCAACCAATATAGAATGAAAACATATTGAAGAAAAGCAGGGCAGCTGTTTTTAACTTTTCTTTTGAACATCGAGCGTCATATACAGGGCCCACGCCACGAACTTCAAGGCGGAGCGGCCAAGTTCTATACAATGAACGTGAATTTAGTGCTTCAAAACAGGGCCTCTTTGAAAATATTTTTGCTTACCAAAAAGTGGGGGAGGGGGCATGGCCTTTCCGGTGGTGTGGGCCTTGATATAAAGGTTTAAGATCAGAAAAATGAAAACAAAAGCCATTATGCATGTTACAACAATTACGTTATTTAAGCAATAGGAACAAGTGTGGAAGTCTAGTTCCATCAAGTTTTTTTCAGGTAAAAATCTCACCCAAAGATAATATCCCGTCATAACATTGTTTGTGGGTACATTATTGGTAAAGTTATTCTAAAAGTATTGGGTTTCACACGTCTGCTTCATTTACCCCCTCCCTCTTGTTCTTATGCCATATCCTATTTTAAAGTGAATTTCAGGGAATAAATGTGGAGGATGTCACAACCCTCCTACTTACTGCTTAGACAAACTTCGACTAGAGAAAATAATTTGGGGGATAATTACGATTTTTTCTTTCGACTTCTTTATTCTTCCATCCTATTCTGGAAGACCAGCCCAAGAACTATCTTCGCTGTTGCCCTAAGTTTTTGGATGGACTTGTTTGAAGTTTTTGCCTGATTAGTGCACTTGGTTTGGGTAAGGTAATTTGACAAAAATCTTATATTATTGAATTCCCAACATGACAATTAAATGACAATTTCCAAGGCTGTCAGGGGAGTTACGCTTCGTATTGATTTGCTCAATTTCCTATTTTGATACCTACTGTAGTGTGAGGTCATATAGCCTTCTATCCATTCTGCGTTAGTATCTGAAGCAAATAAATTTATTTTAAGAATAGCATTGGTACAGATTTCTTAATGGGAGGAGCAATAGAGTCTGGTTTTAGTGCATGGAAGCTTTTGGTGTCATTTCTTACGGGATAAATCATATTAATCTTGTCTTGCTACTTTTAATATTGCCCATCTACTTGTTATATGCATACATTTAATTTTTATAATTAACTTCTCAGAGAACCGCACTTATATAATCTTTGTTGATGATTCAAGTGTTTCTCGTTATTCCAGGAAGGGAAAAGTGGCAAAACCTGTTTATACATGGCTCTTGAGAATCAGAATTATAGACTAGCAAATTACCTGATCGATCGTGGTGCTGATGTAAACATCGATGCTTTCTCAGGGACTAGTCCTCTCCACCTTGCATGTCAAGCAGGTGACTTCGACATGGTTAAAAAGCTTCTAGCAAAGAATGCAGCTCTTACAGCCAAAAATGCTGAATACGAAAGTCCAAAAGACGTGGCAGCTACCGATGAGGTATACATCAGAGCTTTTTACCTGCCCAGAAATTTCAAAAGTATTAATTTATGCATGATATCGTTACCCTAAAGATACCAATCACGCTTGCAAATTAATATACAGATAGTCCAGGGGCCGTAACATTTTTCAGTGCAGGGTTTTGTTGATAAAAACTGCATTAGCAAGTGTGGTACCCACTTTCAAGCGCCAAACGACTCTCTGTAGCCTTCTGAAATTCGGTGGCGCATTTTCCCTCGAATGTCTTTAACGTTGGTTTAACAAAAATCACTTTCAAGGTCTCGTAGGATACAATTTGGGTGGTAGCTTGTGAAAATCTTGAATCAAGTGTTTTTAATGGCATCTCTGCATGAAAGTCATTTATTCGTTACTTTGAACAACTTGCCATACAACAACCTGTTCAGTACACTTGGAACGTTACCTCACTACACCTCGTGCCAGCACCTTACTGTACTGTGAAGAAGCTATTGAAATTTGGTAAAGATTTTTACATGGTATGCAAAAAAATAGGGACTAAATTGTTGTCTTCTGCTAATCATTTATAACTATGCTATGTAAATATTCCTTTCAGATACGCCGACTGCTTGACAAGGCAATGAAGAAGGAAAGGCGGAGAAAATACAAAGAGAAAGATGACTTAAAACGATCTTCACCGAGAACTTAACGTTACCACTTTCCAGTTTTGAGGAATAGCATTCCGTTGATTCAGAGTAACTACGTAGGAGCAAGTGTCGCTTTCAGTTGTTTAGCAGCAGCATTGCGGGTTAACATTTATAAGGTCTTAATTTATTCTAATTTATGTTTCTACTTGCAATATTTAGATTTTATCGTAAAAATTTTTTAAGTACCAATCCGTTGCCAAAATTTTGGTGGATATATTTTCGGTGGAAAACTTCGGTGGAAAAAATTTCGGTCATATTTTTGAAATTTCGGTGTATATTTTAGTAAGAACTTGAAAAATTTTGGTAGAAAGAAAATATTTCGGTGGGTAAAGAAATGAAACACTTTCTGTAGGCAACTGTAGGCAAAAATGTCATAAGCTCTTATTCAGGAGGTTTTTTATCATTTTCATAACCCATGGAGAAAAATTAATTGGAAGCGGAAGCAATATTTTCGATCACTAATCACAACGAAGGAGTTTTTGATTGCCAATCACAACGAACGTTAGAAAGAAATAATTGAAGGAAATTATGAAGAGCCAGTAGAAGCATCTTTTCAGCACACAGAGAACCCAAGTTTCTTGAATGTAGAGAGTAAAGAGAAGCAAGTGAAGATGAGTCGGGTATCTTATATTTTGATAACGAAGGAGAACAAGAAACTGAAAATTGATATGTATTGGATGTATAGTAATACTCAAACAATATCTAAGTAAATTTGTTTTGTTACTGTGGAGATCCATTGGTGTGAAAGGAGTTTTTCCTAGCTTTTGACATAAGGAAAAATTTTGGTTTCGAAAAAATTCGGAGGGATTAATTTTCGGTTGCCCTGCTTCATGAAAAAGAAATCCCACTAAAATTGTTGGCCCTAAAGAAAGATATGCTGAAAGAAACAAAAGAGGAGGTCGTTATATGAAATCTAGCATTTAATTCGATCAATGGCAAGTTAGGCAGTTAAAGATTGCATATTTCTACAAAATCTAGATGCAGGAAATGATTAAACAAATAGAACCTGGTCTTCTATTTCATACAAAACAATATATTTTTAACAAATTTGTTTCAAGACTCACACTCTGCTACAATTTCAGTAAAATTAGGTTCAAGCATAAATAAAGTTGATATGATATACCGATATAGTACCATAAAAATACACAGGTTTTTATCTCTGTTTTGGTTTATTTAAAAACAACTCAATTTCTAATGGTCCTTGGGCTATTTTTTGCGAAATTCACTGTAGGTGATGACATTTGTCAAGCGAACGTAACTTTGTAGTATTTAGATATCGGATGAAATGTGTTAAGAGTGGTAAAATATAAGTTAATTCATTTATTTGTAAAGATAGGAAAAACCTACGTTTAATTATGCATGAAAATGCTATGTTTTAGCACGTTTGGCAAGTAAATCAAAATATCTTTCGCATACTAAACCCATCCAAAGATTGCGCGAATCGAATTTTCAAAATAAAGTACTTATATGACATTATAATACTCCTCGTCTCTTCCTGAAATAAGAACATGAAATTCTGGATACTCAAAAACAGTTTTATTTTTCAAAATCTGTGTCAGTGATTGTGACTGATCTAGTAAAAAATACCTGCAACGTAAAGTGAAATTTTATAAGAAACTTATAGACAAAAATGATATAAAATTGTTGGTATTAGAATGGTAACTTGTATTTGCAAGGAAACCCAAAAATGGTGTTGATGATTTCGGATTTGATGACTAAAGGCTATTCAAACGTTGCCTGATCTTACTGGTTCGTGTTTGAGTTATGGACTCAAAAGTCTTGATTGAAGTGGTTCTGGGGATAGAAAAATATTGCAAGTAGTGGTCCAAATTTTACTGTCAAATTTATCCAGTATATGTAGTTATGCTAAAGTATGTTTTGACTGTTCGTGTAGAAAGTTTAAACTTAGAGAAATCCTCTTCATACAAGGGTATTGTAATTTTTTACTAATTTTTAAAATTTTAAATTCACTTGTAGAAAAAGCTTATGATTGAACTTGCAAAAGAAAATTTTCTTAAAGGCACGCTAAAGGAAGCAATGTTTTGTAGTGTTCTTTGTAGTGTTCTTTTTCATAATTGAAAGTTAGGAGCAGTAAGAAAAAAACAGTGAGAACGAATAGGGAAAGGGACAGATGGGGGTTAAAACTTCCTGTAATTCGAAACATCCCATATTAGCTACACAGCAAAATTCTGTACATTTATATCCCTGGGACAAGAAAATCTAAATTTGTCAGAACGATTATAAAATGTAAATAAAACAAATTACAAAAAAAGCGTCTTGATCAAACCGATGTCCCTGAAACCTTTTTAGTGCATCATAGATTATTTATTTCCCTTTAAGGAGAATATGAATGTTATTTTTTGTGCTAAAATATAGAGACGGCAAACTGTGGGATGTGAAATGACTGCAAGAGCAGAGGTATGAGAAAAGAAGAGAGGAGAAGAGAGAAAGTGAAGACTCTAGTCCAAGGTTATGAACGTAATGCTCTAAAATCCTTACCCATTGTCCAATGAACCCTCCTTTTTTAAATAGACTCTTATTTTCTCTATTCCACTGTTGATGTAACTTTTCAGTCTGAAAAGCATTAAAATTTGGGTTTACAGATAGCTAACCTATAGCTAACCTAGAGAGCAGTGGCGGAAACCTGGGGGAAAAGGGGGCAGTAGTCCCCCCCCTCCCAAATGGGTTTTGTTATAAAATGATGGGAAAATGTGACGCCATCTTATCAAAACAACAGGCTTGCCTTCCTCCACTATTTGACCATCCCTGCTAGAGAGATGCAAAAAGGAAACAGAAAGAGATGTCTAAAAAAGGTAAATGAAACGAAGTCAAAATGACTATAACACAAGTACATACTAGCTTCAATGAGCTGAAAGTTGGTAAGCAGAATGCAAAAGTTTACAACTGAGATCATTAGCCCCTGCTATTACTAGGTCACGATATTTACATTGAATTTCTAAAATGTATTCCTGAAACCAGTAGAAATAATTCTCAACAAAGTATTAGTTAATTGTTACACTTACTTGTATCTAATAAGTGGATCTGACATTTCAGGATCAATGAATCTCCCCAAAATATCCTTTAATGTTGTTGTTTCGTCAACTCTAAAAATGAATTATAAGTAGGCATCTTCAAAATCATATGAACTGATAGTTTGAATATATGAAACATCAGCCAAAACTATAAAAAGTTTGTAAAAATATGAGCTAGCTGAGAAACAAAATTGGCTATTGGATTATCATGCGAAAAGGCACTTCACTGACATTTATTTTCTTTAGATTTTTTCAGAAAATGCACTATAATATTTTCTAAGAAAAAAACCATTTTATTTATCATTAAAGACAGTTTTGAATTGCACAATGATCATCATCAGCTTATAAACTTTTAACAACAGCAAATTCAAATGCAGTGAAGGAGTAGATAATTAAAATAAAATTATGTTCCCTAAGAACTTCATGGGCTTTGACTCACTTCATGGGCTTTGACCAAATCTAATTTTTTACTGGACCTTAACGGCTTTACTGAACCCAAAACTGGTTAATGGTCAAGACAAAGGAAATGACTTTTGTTTTTGTGAAAATGTTTGACTAAAATATTGAAGTTCAAAATATCAATAAAACGTTTGTTTCCAAAAAAGTTGAACAATCTTAATAAAAGCTTGCTGTTCATTAATTGTTTGATTCGGATCAAACCCTAGTATATCCTACTTAATTCAGCCCCTATATAATGATGATTTAATGAAATATAATCAGAGTTAATTTTACGAGGGGCTTTTGCATTGGCTGTTACTCCTGAGTTGATTATTGACTTTTATTCATATTTTTTGGTCTCGTGTGCCAGGCTTTCTCGTAGTTCTCTTGCATTTGCGTTACTCGTTTATTGATATTGCGAAGTAGTCTTGGCCTCCAGGGGTTTTGTTTAGTAATGCTAGGGCAAGACTTATAGCTCATGGCGGTTTTCATTCCCTAGGTTATTCTTGGGGGCATTTAAGGTTTTTGTCGAAGTGTTGGTTTCACTTTGCTTAGTGAAAGGTGACATATATAGTGTGCTGTTTATTTTCCTGGCCCCCCTCTCTTTTTCTTTTTCTCTTGATGCCTTCAATAAAATTTCTCGTACCTTTAGGCATTCCTTTATGCTATTAGGTAGGATTGGTGCATCGGCTGTTAGTGGGGAAAAGAGTCTTTTCTTGTCCATTCCCTCCCCTTTATCAATTAAATTTGGGGGTTAATATAAAAAATTCCAAAGTAACCTCTTCCTGTTTAAATCAGTGGCAGGTTTAGCAATTTGCGCTGATGCACCAACAGCCCAACTCGCTCTCGATGATGTGGGAACGTAGCCTCATAATTGATTTTCTGATGTCTAGGGCATGATTTCTGAGGGAGCTTTTTGGCCTTCATTTTGTTGGTATTTTATTCACAAGTTAGTAAATTAATAAATGATCACAGGGAAGATAGCAACCTAGATATATACATTTCTTTTTCTAAATTATGAAATAGAGGATTTATGTCCTGGTTTGGAATTTAAACAGGACTTGTAAAAAAATATTACCTAAGAATGGTTTGCTCCAGACCCTCATGAATGAATTTTAGCTTCACTCGCCAAACTAAACATTTTTTCCTAAAAAAAAGCTTTTTTTGAGCTATAGGTTTGCACAAGGATGGTTCAACATTATTGAGTAGGGATATAAACATTAACAATATGGTCACAAGGCAATAAAATGAGCAGAAAGAATACAGTGAAACACTTTGAAATGGGCAAATCAATTTCAAGATTTGTAATATGTTGTAGATTTCTAGAGATATGGTTATTGTTCAGGGAGGATCAAAGTTTTTGAGTTTATCTAATGAATTACTGTTGCCATGGACTGCCAAATTATAAAGTGGCTAGATTCGGAAAAGCCACATGGCCATACCACAGGCAATCTAAATGAAATTCCATACATTATTTTATGGTGTTCTTTCAGGTTATGTGTTCAACATCTAAAAATTAGTAAAATAGTTTTTATGCCTTTATCATTATGCCACTGTGTTGCAATTAAGGCATGCATAATCCAGAAATAAAAAAGCTTCCAAATGAGGTAACAGCAGGCCTTAATTTAAAGAGTAAAGGTAAAAAATAATAAAATCATAGATAAAAAATTATCAGAAACAATATATTCATTATCTAATTAGCCAGTCTTTTCATAACTTGAGAGGTTTGAAGATTTATTGATTGAATTTCAGTTGAAACTACTAAAAGTTTCATCATGTAGAAATATGACAAGAAATGCTGAAACTATACTTGTAATTGAACATTGATGTGTTTTCTTTCTGCCTTGTCATTCCATAAGACAACAGGTGAAGATTGATTTTCCTTGCTCTTGCTTGTTTCAGAAAATTGTATCTCTAGATTGAAACAACAACCAAAATTCTTAAAATGTTTCATCACAATAATTAATTGACAACATTGGCTTAGAAGCTAAAAAACTAGGATCTGATATTGTTAATCAAGACATATGTTGGTAACCAAGCATCTTCTAAGACATTATTTGCTGCTCACCACATAAGGGCTTTGCTATAATTCAAGATCTTTTGTCACATTCTCCCATGTCTATCTTTAAATCTGCTACACAGGTATGCTACATTTACTCAGTTTAGGACACTGTGGAGAGCATAAAGCATAGAGTTCTTAAGTGACGAAATCATAAAAGATTAATTTTAGAATTTTTGAACTTGGATTCAATAACCTGAAAAAGCACCAAGAAATACCTCTAAATAAGCAAAATCAGCTAATAGTGTTACGAGTTGGCCACTTCAGCACAGGCTCTATCCCAATGAAATCTCTCTGTTGATTTTTGTCTTTGTTTATAGCTTTATGAACAGAGGCAAGTAAAAATAATCTGTTAGCAAACTTCGAAAATATCATGGGCCAGATCTCACCTGATTTTTTGAGATATTGAGATGATTTTTCATATTTAGAAGAATTACTTGATGTTCTTTGGTGTAATGTGGTCAAAATTTGAAAATTCTAAAAACAGTACATTTTTGAAGCCACAATGAAGAACTCTTTTTGCATTAATTCACTGGATCTATGAGCTTATTTGATTTCAAGGCTGATGCATAATTTACTTTGAAATGAATTTTGAAACAAATTATATCAACAAAAAGAAAGTGTTATAAAAATAAACTACTGATAACCCAGGTAACGTACATGCTTGTTGTGTGACTTGAACATTTTTAATGAATCTCTTGTTGCACTATCAGTGTTCCTGGAAACATCTTCTAGAAACCTATAGTCTGTCAAAATCAAATATTGAAATAATGGGAAGATTTCAAAGAATTGCGCATTGGCTTCATTAAAAACTTTAACATGAGATATCTAGCTCTGTTTTATTCAAGATACAAACAAGAAAAAGTATGCTACATAAGCCTCTTTAAATTGATTGGCAGGAATCATACAATATAGGTGAAAGATGATTTGCCAACCAGAATTTAAAAGCACTTGGTGCTATGGGTGTGCTGAAACTGTAAAAGCAAAAATAGGGTAATTGATGTAAAAACAGAGGGTGCATGGTGATATATAATTTTAATGATGATAATAATAATAATTATGGCAACAATGAGGATGATAGCAAAAAAATGATGAAGTAGTTTTGTTCATATTGTTGGGGTGAGTGTCTGAGCTAAGCTAAAAAAACCTTTCTTTAGATCATCAAAAAGTCACAGCCATCTTACATTTGTATTCATTTGCAGTGAAAATCAGCCATTTTGCCTGCTCACAAACTAATATAATTCTATAGGTATTGATACTGGAAGTAACAGTCTTCAATGCAACAAAAATGTTAGTTACCACTTAGTAGATTTTGATCAGAGAATTCCTTGATATCAACAAAGGCAGTTTTGCATCTTTTCCCATCACATTCATTTTGTACTTTATGTCTTTTAACACATGGCAAGCTAGAAAAAGTGAAAGGATTCTGGCTTATAAACCTCTTTGAATAATGGTCTTTTCTAAATGGCACAGAAATAGCTCAGTATCATGATACCATTATATTTACAAAATGGAATGATCTTCCAAGGTTTCTACAGATAAACAAATGCATGGAAGTCAGCCATTTGATCAAATATGTCCTTACAACTACTTGTTCATACCACAAGTTTTGCTTAAAGTCAATTGGTTTTTTATACCTGGTGATGTGCAGTTGTTTGATAAGAGTATCCACTCAAAACCTTTAATCAGAAACATAGAGCATACGTAGCATATTAGGCTGTAAAATTCTGCAATATATTTTTAGCAGCATCCTTCTCCACAAGAAAACAAGACAGAAAGATCTATCATGTCATTTTGCATGATGTACACATAATACCTGCAAGTCTGCATACTGCAGCCAGGGCATTTGTATTTTGACTCTGTTACTTCACAGACTTCACACTTCCTGTTAAAATGTAAACATAAAGTACTGCATTTCTTTTTTAATGCACCAGTTCCAATTTAAGTTTCAGATTCATTCAATTTTTAATCCATCCTACATAAAATTCTATGAAATTATGATACAATTATATATACTATACATTGAATTTACAAGAATCACTTAAACAACTTAAGAAAGAAAGGATACCACATGATTATATATAGGATAGATTAATTATGGAGGAGCTCTCTAAATAGGTTATCAGGTTATCATAAATACTTCAATGGCTACACGACACTAGGCTATAAAAAAGATGCACATAAAATGTATTCCCAGAATGTGTTCCTTGGCAATTGGCAAATGTTCCACCCTGGATTGTAGGCACCAGATTTGCTCCAATGTAATTGATATTTCATTACTTTTAATTCAATTTGGTATCCTAAAATTGCATACCTTTTACAGGAATTCGCTTTCTCTTCCTCCATGTTTATAACTGAAACACAACAAAATATAAATCAAATGAAAACATCTGGAATTGAACTACAAATAAATGAACCTATTGCAGGTTGTGTAAAGATCCCTTCCCTAATTTCTTCTAAGTTAAGAACTTATAGGTCTGCTTTTTGGGGATTGCTGGCACTTTCCAATGGCACATCCTCTAACAAATTGTAAATTTACATCTTATAAATCATATGCTACATAGAAATGAATTATATACCATTTCTTGTTTGAGATTTCACAAGATACTACCAGTATTGATTTGAGAATGCACAAAAATGCTGGTCTGATAAATTTTTGGTGCACTTCATGTTTCTTACTTACAAGAAGAGGTTGCAGCATTTGACAGAGTGACATTGGAAATTTGGTCCTTTCACTGAAAGTAAGCAAAGCTTTTTTCAGAAAAAATGATTGCATACCGTTGTGTAACTTTCCTACCGTGTTCTTAACTGGGATATCATATCTAAGTTTAGTACCTGTCCTAATATGTGTCCTGCTTTTTACAATAACTTATTATTTTCGGGAATATAACTAAATAGTAAGTTTGAATGTAGTAACAGAAACTGAATATTTGTCAAACATCCATTCAACATCGCCAAAATACTTGAACTCAGGTAAATTTAATTACTGTACTTGATCAATTTATGCGTTTCAATTATGGAATATATTTTAATAAATGATAAATTAATCAATGGTAAACTGTCAAAAATTTATAAATAAAATCTGTTCTAATAAAATGTATAACAAGCTGCCAATACCACAACAAGAGCCCAAAAGATTTTCAAGGCCAAGTGTCCTGATGTTAAACATTCATCAAATAAAGATAATTGTTGCCAGATCTACAAAAAATGTTTAATATACTTTATGAATTTCATTCTATTGCATTTAGCTGACTAATCTTAGCTAAAAAACTTGAGGAGCAATGTTTTTACCTTTCCACACGTGCACTTTCGGTGATTTCCAGAAAATGGCCGTAAACCTCGATTTGATGATTTGAAAACTCCAATACGAGTTTTATCATGGCGCGAAATTTTTCGACTGCAAGGAAACAAGGTGATTTGGTCTTGGACTATTTGCGGGAAACATGGATTTCTTTGCAAAAAGGAAAGGAGGTGACGCCTCGAGAGCTGCCCAAGCTGGACCAAGTGGAAAATCAGTAGCGTTGAAAGTCATACCATGGGTGGAAAAATAGTAAGTTCTTCTTGCGTTTATAAGCCGAAAGTTGTTTTCGATCCCATGCTCATAACGATTATCTTACTCAAAACGAGCCACAGGTCAAAAGTTTCGATTATTATCATGCAATTTCTCGGAATGATTCACTAATCATGTTGCAAATTTCTTCTAGTCGTCCTAAAACAGTTGGTGATGTTGCTTACCAGGATGAAGTTGTTGCAGTTCTTGAAAAAACAATTTCTTCAAACGAGTTTCCACATTTCTTGTTCTATGGACCTCCAGGAACTGGAAAGACATCTACAATTCTTGCTGTATCGAAACAGCTATTTGGGTAAGAGCATTTTTCAACTGGTACTGGGACTTTCTTGTAGGTAAATGCTGGGAAATTCAAAATTCAGTTGGCTGTGAAACTGGATACATAAAACAACCTTATATTTATTAAAAAGATATTTTAGACTTAAAACATACATTGATTCTTACCAAGGTGCTATTGAAAGATTTAAAGCAAGTCTAGGCAAGACAAGGGCTGGTACACCAAAAGCCCAAATTGTTTTTCCTGAGATAGGTTTGGATAGAATGCACCCTGGTGCCCCCCCCCCCTACCGACCTCCTTTATCCACACCGCTGGAGAAGCAGTGAATTTGTGAAAGATGATGGCACAAGCCTAAAAATTTGCGAAAAGAACATGAGGTAATTTACACAACTTAACAGAAAGAAGTCTAATTGGCAACATGCTTGCACACACCAACTTGAGAGAGTCAGTGCTGCCCAGTACTAGTTTCTTAAAGAGGAGTTCTTATGAAAAAATTAGTGTACTCAAGATGCCAAACATAGTAGTTATCTTGACTCTGTGCTTAAGTTTTAGTTTATTCTTGTGTGCAATGATAATCCAATGTTTGCAAAAAGTTGTTTCTTTATCCAACAGTTTACTGCTCTGTTTCTTTATCCAAGTTTTTTTCTTGGTTTCTAGCCAGGACCTTTACAGAAGTCGTGTTCTTGAACTGAATGCTTCAGATGAAAGAGGCATCCAGGTATTTCAAATAGTAGCTAGTGATAATTTAGAAAACCAAGCCATCCAGTGTGTCAAAAAGAGTCTTAAAGCCAAAACTTTGACAGTTTTCCAATGAAATCAATCAGGAGTAGAGCATGTTACCTTTTCTATGGTCAGTTTTTTAAGGTTTATGATAAAACCAAAGTTTGCTACCTGCATTCATGTTTGGCTTGGATATGCAAGAGGGAAGAAACAAGATTGGCTGACTGCTAAAGTCTCTACTTAGGACAAGTATCAATCCAATACTTTTATATAAAATATATTAAAGAAAGATGTTTTCAGTTTCTATAACTTTGAAAGTTTTAAAATAAGATTTACCAATACTTCAGCACACAGGGCTTAATCGGAGTGAATATGATATCTGCATGCATGTTTAGCAATGTTTTGCTTTTATAATTTGATGGTTCTAGTATTTTACACAACATTTTTTTCTGTCAGGTTATAAGGGAAAAAGTGAAGACATTTTCAATGCAAGCTGTTTCAGCAACAAAAACTGAGTATGTCTTATTTAAAATCCCTACTCCCTTCATTTTTAGTTTAACAGTTTCTAGCTGAGTTTCTTTGTCAAGGAAGAAACTGAACATATTAATAAAAAAGCTTTCACCTACACTGCTACATGCCTTGCAAATAATATATGCTATTTGCAATATTTTCTGAGGATTACAATCTTTCAACAAGGTTAAAGTTTTCCTTCTTCACAGAAACTTAGTTGAAGAATGAATTGCTCTATATTTAAGCTTGTCAAATATAAATGTTGAAATTTATTGTATTTTATCTCTTTTTCTGATGTTTAATTTTTTTCTAGTGGGACTCCATGCCCACCTTTCAAGATTGTAATTCTTGATGAAGCAGATTCAATGACATCAGCTGCTCAGGTAATGTGAATTTATTTTATGCTGAGTAAAAAAATGATTGATATTTTTGACTTTATGCATATGTGGATTAAGTGCAAAGTTTATATATTGACTGAAAAGTCATTTTTATGAAAAGTTGCCTAAGGTACACCACTTGTATCCCTAAAAAACACTGTTTTTCCTTGGTCCTTGTTGAAAAAAGGCTTTCGGTGAAATTTTATTTATGTTATTTTCATAGGCATCTCTAAGAAGAACAATGGAAAGACAATCCAAAACAACAAGATTTTGTCTCATTTGCAATTATGTTAGCAGGTAACTTCTAGTCTAATCTTTTGCAAATTTGAATGTTTACTTAAAAGAATTCATTTTGGTTAATTTCAATCCTTGAAAAATCATACAAAAGATCCTTAAAGATGGTAGGACCTTCAGAGTTAAAACTGTGACTCTTTTGAAATCAAGTTCTTTGCCCAGCTCTGAATGTTGTCTGGAATATTGAAAATAGTATATTCAATTGTTGATTATTTATTTGCTAATTGTGTCCTGTTATTGTCTGTCCAATCTGATGGCTTTATCTCTTTGTTACCTGGCTACCTTACTTTGATATTTGCACTTGCTAGCATTTGCATATATTTGAATTTACTTTGAAAAATACCTTAGTTAAATAAACCTCCTATATATTTGTCTAATTCAAGTAAACATAGCATGCAGGCCTTCTAAGGAGCTTGATCATTCTAGCTCAAAGAACATGCCAGGTGGGTTTGGAAGTACTTGATGGAACTGGAGCACCTCTCCTCACAATGCCTGTCATATATGTTTCCTTGCTATTTTATCTGCTAGTTTTCTAAGGAAATTGATCTCACACAGGATCATAGAACCACTCACATCGCGATGCTCAAAGTTCCGCTTCAAGCCTTTATCAACAGACATAATAAAAACCAGACTACAAAGAATTTGTGACAATGAGGGTGTAAAAATAAGCAGTGAGGTAAAAATGCTCCATTTAAAAAAGTAGTCATTACAGTATTTTGTCATTGTGTCAGCTAGAACCCCGAAGCTAATAATTATAGATCACATGTTATTGGATAATATATCTGCTTTATAACACTCTTCGATGTTTTCAAATGTGCCAAGTATTTCAATTTCACTGGTCTTGAATGGATATTGAAGTAGTTTATTGATACAGTTTTGTGATAAGGAAGATAACTGAAGGCTTTCAACTGCTTAGTTTCTCTAATGGATTGCTTGTTCCTAGAAGTAGGATTAGTTATTCGAATTTATTTTCACTGACTTAAATTCTCAGCTCAAATGCTGGACTGTAACTTTGAGTGTACTGGTAAAAGAATTAAAATACATTGTTTGTATTTTCCCAAATCTGGTAACAAGAAAAAATATTCAAAATACCTTTAATTTATGTCTGCAGAATTTTCCTCATAGCAGAAGCTAACATATTTTGTATTTTTAAGGGCCTTGAAGACCTTATAAATCTTTCTGAGGGTGACATGCGAAAGGTAATTTGGATTTTGTATAGTCTTGAGAATCCCAGACTTTAGCACTGATTTTGAGAGGAAATTAGAAACTTTAGGTCTTAGAAGGGTTCATTTAATGTCTCTCGTTATGATAGTCATAACTTTTTTCACAGAATTAAAGTCCGACCTCCCTCATAGATAAAGTAGTCATGGCCTTGAAATTGGAAGATTCTTTCGGCAATGATTCGAATATTTAGCTTTGCATATTGATGTACTATGCATGAAATATGTTTCATATTCTTTTCGATGCTACTCAGAATGTAAAACCTTCATTTTGCTCTTTATAGGTTGATGAATTGTAGATTTATCGTTGCGAATTTCTCAAATGTTAAGGGTCAGCTTTGCACTTCATTTACTGCAAAGTAATGTAGCTTACAAGTTACCTACACTTTTTATTTCTAGGCTATAACGTTTCTTCAAAGTGCATCAAGGCTGAAAAGCGAAGTGGAAATTACTCCAGATGATATTATGGAAATAGCTGGTGTATGTTTAAGTCAAACCTTTTGTTGCCTCTTCGGTTGTTTTGAGACTGTTACTCTAGCCGTTATTGTTTTCTAGATTACTATGCCCGTCTTTTATTCCTTCCCTTCCTCCTTTCTCCGATCCTTCCTTCCATTGTTCTCTACTTCTTTCTTCATTTGTTTCTTCCCTCCTTTCCTTTTTCCTTTTTTTCTCCATCCTTTTTATCTTCATTGGTCCCCTCCCTTATTTTTTCTTTCCGTTCTTTCTCCTCCCTTTATTTTTATCCTTCTTACATTGCCGCATTCTGATCTTCCTTTCTTCATTCATCCCTCTCACCGTTTTGTCCCTCCTTTCTCTCTTTTTCTTCATTTCTTTCTTCATCCTTCTTTTCCCCTCTCCTTTCCTTCATCCCTTCTTCTCTCCTTCCCTCTTCACTTTTTCCCTTCCTCTTCCCTTTCCGTCTACCCCTCTTCTCTTTTTTTTCCTTTCCTCCTTCCCCTCTTCCCTTCTTCCTTCCTTTCCTCCTTCACTTATTCCCTTGACCTTTCCTTCTCTCCTTTCCTCGTTCTGTCCTTGTCTCTTTCCATTTTGATCTCATTCCTTCTTATTTTTTTCTTTCCACACTGCAAACCCTTTTCTCCTTTCCTCCTTCTCTTGTACCCTTGTTCTTTCCTGTCCCCCTTCCTCCTTCCTCGTTCTCTTCATTGCTTTTCTCCTCCCCTCCTTCTATTCTTCCCTTCTTCTTTTCTTTCCTCCTTCCCCTATTCCCTCCTTCCCTCCTTCCCTCCTTCCCTCCTTCCCTCCTTCCCTCCTTCCCTCCTTCCCTCCTTCCCTCCTTCCTTCTATCCTTCCTTGCATGTTACATGTCCTTCAACTCAGTAAACTATTTTGTCTGTTATTCCCACAGGCTATTCCGAGTAGATTTATATCTTCATTAGTAAAGACGTGCTATTCAGGTTCATATGAGAAAGTTGAAGGCGCTGTCAAGGTAGGCATTGCCCTCTCTCCGTAATATCTATTAGTCAAACTTAAATTGCAATAATAGCTAAGTGATTTAAATCTAGTTGTTTTATAAAATGCTCCACGCTGTTATTCGTGTGTGGATACAGAGTTAACAATAAATTACAGACCTTACTGTACTGTACTTGTAAAATGGTTTTTAGTAAGACCATGTTTATTTTTTCCATTCGTTTTAGGATGTGATTTTTAACGGTTTCTCTGGAGCGCAATTTCTCAATCAGGTCAGAAAACTGCTATACAAGCACTATGCAACTTCTTTGTCGTTGTTTCGCATACAACTGTATTGCATTTAACCAGCTAATGAAATAAAATTCCCTGTGACAAAGTCTATAGTATCTTCTCACCCTCTGCAAACGACAAAGCTGTCTTTTCAAACTTTCTTGTTTGCAGAGGGTTTATGTAAAAAAGCTCAGTGTCGGTTGCATGTACGGAAGAAAACTAGGAGTTTCAAAAGGGAGAAGGAAGGGGATTTTTACTATTGATATGAAGTCACACTATCTACCTATCACACTATCCCTGATTCATTGAAGGAATATCTTTGGCTTGAATTGCCATTTATGTAAATCTTTAAGTTTCTTTCTCAGATATGGACTTTACACTTTACTTTTTACCTGCAGATTCATGATCATATCATTAACATGGAAAGTATAAATGACAATCAAAAATCAGTCATCATGGAAAAAATTGCGGTATGCATTGTCGAAGATTCTTGTTTTCTAGGCCACGAAGCTATTTGTGTATAGATTTTTGATAACAAATCCTGTCTCAAATCTTGAATACGTCAGGTCCTTTCTTTAGAACTGCTCTCGGTGTAATTTGCTCTCATATTACCAACTGGAAATGAAAGATAATTAGGTGGAAGTTGAATTTGAAAAAATTTATTACTTTATTCTAGATAATTTGTTCCCTTGGTATCAACCTTCTATCTAGAGATGCCTTTAGTGTCTGTAAACTTTATATGTTTGTATCAACAGTGTTTAAGATTTCTGAGTTCCAGTCCCTGCTAAAAGACTTGGTACACTACACTAAATTTTCCAGAATGTCAATGGCTTCCCCCTCTTGCCTCCGAACGATATTTTTATTCAATGTTAGGGGTGAACTTGAATTGGAGAAGAGGCTCATTCATCTCCAGTTTAATTCTATTGCTATGATTATGTATGATTCTATAACTCTATAGTTAATAACGTTTTTGAGGAACAATGGTCTGCTGTCCAGTGAATCTTACATTTAAGATGGGCAAGGGGGAAAAGTGCCAGGAAAAACGGAAAAAACAGTAGCAAAATGAAGAATTTTGCAAAATGCCACGATTGCAAGGGGACCACTCTCCGCTTATCCCTCCTGCTGTTCATTTTTGACACTGGGGAAGTTTTTCGAAAAACACATAAGCACCAGGGCGTCCATTGGCAGGGATGCTCGGTAGTGTCGTAGATAAATATTATCCATTACAATTTTTAAAATGTTTAGAAGGGGGTGCTGATGATTATATTTTGTTTAGGAATGTGACAAATGTTTATGTGATGGCGCAGATGAATATCTACAGATCATGGCACTTATGACAGTCGCTATGGAACAAGTATGCAGTAGCCGTTGATGAATCTTGGCTCAAGCAACACGAGTATCTTATCTTCCCTCTGGCAATATTCAAAGAACTGATAACGCTCTGCCACGAACAGTTGTGAAGATATAACAACAAAGCCATTGAAGCAAGCAGACTTTAGATGTATTTCAGAATATCTGCAAGGATTTTTGACGGCAATTATGTAGTTATTCAAATACATACGTATATTTTTGTGTAAATACTAAGTCTCATTTATTTTTGACAACCATCTTAAAAAGTCTCCTATCTTCCGTGCCGAAATAAAATACTAACATATCGAATAACCTTCTTTACCAGCATTAAAATTACATAAAGGACCCCAAATGCTACATGCTTTTTTCTGCACTCTTTTATGTAAGAACACGACCTTAAAATATTCAAAGGTTAAGAAGACATTAAAACAAATTGAGACTGAAGTACTCAATAAAGTAATTTTTAATAAAGTTGTGAAACTCCCCTAAAAATTTCATGCCAAAAACGAGGATTTTTCTGCCATATCTAGCGGTGTTCCGATGTTTCTGCTGTGAATGTGATGTGATATTGGAAACTATGGGGGGTTGTTTTTGTTGTTGCTGCTGCTGCTTTTCTGGTGAACTTTGATCAACTTTTTTGATCAACATTCCACACACAGTTTTGCTTTCTGTGCTGATAAAGAGCCAATACATAATTGAAATGAAGGAGTTTGTATTTTACTATGATGTTATATGTCCGTACGCATACCTGGCGTCAAGACTTATCGAAGGGCTTGCAGAAAATGTTGGTGCGAAAATAAGATGGAGACCCGTTCTTTTAGGTAATGTATTACGATTTGCATCATTAATATATTTTGTTTGTTGCGTAAAAGCGTTATCTGTTTAAAAAATTAGAGAAAGAATAATTGATTTTGAACTTAGAAAGACTTTTTGTTGCTGAAGTGTTGAAGGGGATGCTCCAATTATGTTAAAATGCAAAGACCTCTCAGGGCCCGCGCCACCGGGGGGGGGGGGGGAGGGGCAGGGGGCATGAAACCAGGTTGGAAAACACAACACAAACGATGAGTAACAGCACACTATCAGCTGCGACCTGTGAACTAAGCTCATTTGAGCTACGAGCAAAGATGCTCAATATATACATGACTTTAGTAGAATGTACATGAGTTTATTCTCTGTCAAGCTACTGTGTTGTCTTACCATAAAATTTTGCATATGAAACATATAGGTTTGTGTATAAAACGGTAATTAAACCATAAGAAACCTATATATTTTTTCATTCGTTGAAACAAATATAGGATGAACCACAATGTAAATAGCACAATGTAAGCATGATTTGTACACCAAATAATGAAAAACATTATCTCATACAAATGTTCACTGAAGTTTTTGAGAACTATTTTTTGCAAACTTATGTTGAACAACCTTTTACAGTTCTGAATTTCAATATTTTGTCAGAATATTCAAAATTATACCGTCCAACTAAACAATTAATTACATTTTCACCAGTTAGCAAACAAGCTCCCAATTGTTTGGATATTGAGTGCTTGAAATTCTACAATTTGTGTAAAACAAGCATATTAAAAAACACATTGCAAGGGAGAGAAAAAACCCCCTTAGACTTAAAAATCACCAAAATCATGTAACACTTGCTCCAAAGTGCTTAAGCAAAAGACTTCACAGGTATGTATACATGACTTTATTGGCTTGGTTGAAGATAATGCGTGTACCTAAGTGTGACATCATCAAAATCTTTTTTTTAGAATTTCTTAAATTTGACCGCATAAGCTGAAACATCAAGACTTTGTAACATCATCACTTTGGTACTCTATTGGCCCACCATTATGTAAAGATTGATCGTGCAACAATTCTTTTTGGCTCAAGCTAACAAGCAGTGGAGCAAAGAAAACTTAAATGGCTTTCAGTATGACAAGGGCAACTATGATAATTTAAGAAGAGAGATCTCTAGGATGGATTGGGGGTCTACGTTTGAAAGCAAGATGTGCGACCTTTAATAGAAATAAAGTAGTTGGATTATGTGACCATTTCTTACCTAAATTTAAAGATACTGGTGAAGGCAAGGTCCAGTTAATTTGGATTAACAATGAAACACTGAGCAATATGATGAAAAGTACAGGTGCTGGCTACAGAAAAAATTTGGTATTTGTTACAAAAATTGTTGCAAACATCAAATTGAAGTGACAAAGGCAAATTGCAAGGCAGTAGCAAATTTTAAAATACTATCCTAAAGAACATGATTAAGTAAACCCAAAGATGTTCTAGAAGTACACAGAAACCAGGACCGATTTCTCTGAAAATATTGCGGACATAGATTCACTAAAAAAGCATGTAGGTTTGGACAAGGAAAAAGCAAATGCTGTAAATGAAGCTTTCACATCAGTATTCTTGGAAGAGGACCAAAATGATGTTGTGTACTGTGGTTTTCCAGAACAAACTTAGATTTTGTAAAGGAAAGCTCTTAATCACTATTGTTTTTCTATTAGGTGGAATTTACAAGGCAACAAAGCAGAAAGAGCAGCAGGCTACAAAAGCATATGAAACTATGAATCCAGCAAAGCGTCTTGTTCTTGGCAAAGGTACAACACATTTACAACTTCTGCAATCCATTATAAGTTAAATAAAAGAATACAGAGGTATTTTTTTGTGATGTTACCCTTTTTGATGAAAGCTTAAAATGAAACTTAGCATACTACAATCCTGAACAAAAGTTAGGAGATATTCCCTGTTATTGTCATTTATTGTAAAAACACCCTACCCCTTCCCCCCAAAATCCACTGATTTTGAGGGCAATTATGCAGAAAATCATTTATAAAAGAATTGTTGCATAAACTTTTTGTCCGGGATTGTAGGTATTTAGGATAGTTGTTGCCTTTACCTGCCACAGATCAGATATACTTTCTGCATATCAGGGACATCTTAACAGCATGGCCCCTAAACAGATTAACTTTCCTTCTCTCCTGCATCCTGTGAGATGCATTTGCATTTTAGCATATGAGGCTATTTTCCAATATATTGAAAAAGATATATGGAAGCTTTGTGTGGAAAATTAATTTTTTGCTATCCATATCTTTCCAATGACTAATTCTATCACCTTTTTTTTCAATTTAAAAACTCTTTTTTTTCACACAAGCATGCAAGTTTTAATGGAATTATAAATCCTTTATTTAAGATCTAATGAGGCTTTACAGAAGGCATAATGTCCCAGCTATGCCCTTCAAAAGTATGCCAGATCTGAGTACATTAAAACCAATGAGATTACTTGCTGCATGTGAGGATGAAAATGGTGAAAAAAGAAAGAATCTTACCCATCGGCTTTACCATGCTCTCTGGGCTGAGAAGAAAGGTTGGTTAAAAATCCTTTTGTTGTTTCGTTAGCAGCGAATTTGATTTAGGGAGAAGGCAAGTATCATTCAAATGAAATGAATATGATTGGGCTCCTATAGGAGTTTAATGTCATTTAAAGGATCTTTCATTACAAACATCTCACATCATCACATCATAAAGACTGTTGTTTATTAAAAACTTCAAATAATTGTGAGATATTCATCTTCTATCAAGTTTCTATCTGTAGTCTGTGTTTAAGATGGAATATAAAGCCAAACACAAATAGCTTAACATTTCAAAGAGCAATGTCCAGCATAAAGTATTAATTTTGTAAAATCCATTCATTTGACCACTTTTTCTAGTCACTGAACATTGTTCAAGGAACGTTTGATTTGATAAAAGCCTAAGATGGGCAAACAATTATTTTTTATTGGCATATTTAGCTACTCCACTGAACAAAACATTTTTGTAAAAATATCCATGCACAGGTTATGGTTTTGCTGTATTTCCTGTATATTACAATCACATTTATTATAAATTATTTATTTTTCCTTAATTTAAGGATCATTGTTTTGAGATTTAATTTTTTTATTTTCCTTGATTTTTCTTGCCTATAACTAATTTTGATGATACCGTAGAGAGAAGGTTTTATAAGTAAATATATTCTCTACCAAATTGGAGCTGCATTATCATGCTTGATGTTTAGATATCTCTGATGAAAGCATCCTTCAGTCAGAAGTAGCAAAACTAGATTGGGATGTAGATGTTGCAGCTGTTGTAAATGGAGTTGATCCTTCTGGAAAAGAAATTCTATTTGAAAATACAAACGAGGCAGTCAAAAGAGGAGCGTTTGGTGTTCCAAGGTATTATTGTATCAGTATGGTAGTTTTTGTTGGCTTTTTGCATTTCTAGCATCCCTCAATTAACGAAACTGAAGAAATTCGTAGATCGTAGAAGACATCCCAGTTTATATTTACATACATAAAGTGTAAACTCAATAGAGGAGACAATTATGTGATCAGAGTCACTGTTGTGGGGAGAGGTACTGTCAACCAACTTTATGTTACGTATATAATCTGTTAAATGCAAGATTTTTAAGATAAATTTTGTTCCTGTTCATGTCTGTTATTGGAAGGTTTCCTGTAGAAAATGCTTCATTGTAGTTGCTAAAAGACAATTTATTTAATGTATAAGTTTATCAAAAATCAATTTCTTCTTTAGTTTCTGGGTAAATAACCGCCTTTACTTTGGATGTGATCGTCTGCATTTCTTGGAAAAGGAACTAGGCAAGATTGATGCATCTCCTTATCGACTTGTCAGTTCACCCCAACAACCATTGACTAAACGAAAGCTCAGAATTTTCCACGATTTTGCAAGTCCATGGTGCTTTATTGCGCAGAGACGTGTAAGAAAGTTTTTTTTTATTTTGCAATTAGGTTGGTTGTTATTGATATGCTCCATCATTGAGTAAAATCTAAGAGATTTAGAAGAAATTTGCTCGATTCAAGAAGCCAAGCCGAACTGTTTCTTAGATTTTTAAATTTACGAGACTGTTTTGTTTTGCACAATGGATACATTGTTCCATATAGAAACATAGCTCAAGATTTTACCTGTCTTGAAGATCAGAAATGATACATCTATTCTATGTACCTTTTCTTTGTTTCGTCTAGATTTCTTCGCTTTTAGAAAGCGTCTCCCCAATGCAAGTAGAAGTTGAATGGGTTCCAATTTTGCTCGGGGCACTTTTCAATGCCATTGGATCACCGCAAGTACGCAATTTTGTTTGCAGCTTAATTTTTGGATTCTTCCGTGTACAGTACGACTGAGAGGGTCTAGGCGGGGTTTGTCCGAATTGAGTATTTATGCTTTGATATCTACAAGGACAGAAGGCTGCTTACTCGTGCTCCTAGTAAATTGCCGTCCAGTACGGTATTGTTTTTAGCTAATCAGATGACTGAATATTCTCAATAGTTGCGGGGAATTTTAGACTCTTTAAACATTTGACATCATCACATTGCTATGACATGTTAGTTTCCAGCTAATTCCATAACCTTACATTCATTATATAAGATTTCTACGAAATGTTGTCAAGTAATTAGTTGATATACCTAATATGACAAAGAGCTTCAGGAAACTCAAATTGATTAGGATCAACCTATCTATTTCTGACTTTGGTGCCAGGCAACTTTTATATAAGTCTTATACTAACTCATAGGAAAAGCTGGACCTGTGTTTACATCCAAGTAAGCTAGGTTATCTGTACTTCGCAAACGGGCCAGAAAGCACTGATACTGCACTATTTTAGTGACAATAACACACAGGAACCATTGAAGACTTTTTTATGTTTGTTTTCAAAACCATTGAAAACTAACAATTCGACGATTCATCAACAAGGCTCGAGTCAGTGCTAGCTTTTCTTGACTGGAGTCAGTGCACAAATGAATTAATCATTTGTTTTTCCTTAGGTTCCTATGTCAAGGGAAGGAGAAGCAAAAATCAAGTATGTGATGGACGACTTCGGCGAATGGTGCAAGTACCTATCTATCAATAACTTCAAATTCCCAAGCGGATTTCCGCATAAGTCCCTAATGGCCTTGCGGATGACCATTGCAAACTCCAAAGACGAACTAAGGACGGCTGTTTGTAAGTTTTTGCTACTAAATTTTGCGCCCTTTTTCATAGCTTGAACTCTGTAGCATGTTGCAGCTAATTATGGCCTTAAAGAGATCATAATGGGTACGAACATTGCCAAAAGTACTTGGAACACCCAGCAATTCGCGCTGTGTTTTTATATTTTTCAATTCTTTTCCGTATACTCCTATTTCTGCACCCCCTTCCCCCCTGTAAAATTGTTCAAAGGTGGGATAGGGAATGGCTAAATTTGCCCTTTGAAACTGACGTTAGTGTACCAGGACTTTTGGCAAGCATTGTAGGTATTGTGAGGTATAACAGGGTGTTGGAAGAAATCACGGGAAACAATGGCAACAATTTTTAAGAAGATCTTTGGCTGCTCGACGCGCTATCAGTATTGAATGTCAGATAGTAACATAAATTTGTAGAAGAATTTGTTGTCAGAAAATGATAATTTACTTCCTAGGTAAGGCTATGTCGATTGTCTTCTTTCCATCTGTTTGTGGAAGGTTTTCATTTTAAACTGTAATATTTAATTGTTAGCATACTATTTGCTTATGTATGTGCTTTTAAACTGTATCTAGAATCAAGCCTCTCTACTCGCTATTATTACCATTTTGAATTTTTATATCCAGCAATAAGGAAATCCCTCTATCTTGGTTTGTTGGTATTTAAGCCATTATACAAGTTTTGATTTCACTCACATATAATGCAAATTTACACACTTTAGTAGTTAGCGCTTGCATTACATGAAGAAAAATCAATTTAATGGAAAGACTTCAGTACTTCATATAAATATAGATTTTTTCAAATATTTTAGATGAATCTGCATGGACAAAAGACCTGGATATTGGTAACAGTGAGGTATTTGCTAAATACTTTAGTACTGTTTATCTTGCACATGATCAATACTGGGGACACTGCATTTTAGCCATTAGCCTTTTAGCCACGTCCAACAAAGTCCCATTTTGCGAAAAAATTTCCCTCGTTTTGCTTGTTTCTCAATTTTGAAGCTCTTGCCCAAATTTCATATATTTTTTTTTGCAACTGCACAATTTTGCAGCACTACATTGCACTTTGCATGTAGTAGCTCTTATTGTAAGACTTGTCTTGCCTTAATTTTTATGGTCACGTTCTGGGCTTATTAAAAAATCATGGTGAAGAGAGGGAGCTTAGAAAAAAAACTGGCTAAAGATGAGCAAAAACGCTTTTAGCTTAAATTATATGAAACCACAACATACAATTTTTCTACCGCTTTCGTGGCCTGCGCCAATCTTTCGGTGTATGGAACAGGACGGTTATCTTGTTATTATAGAACAGGATGGTCATAGTAGTTCTAATACAATAAATATTGTAAAGATCTTGTAATCAATTGTTTATTTTCTACTCTATTCGTCTGGCTTATTATAGGAAGGAGCATATTTGAGATGCGGGCTTCATGAATTTTATCTGATATGCAACGTTTTTAGATGACAATGTGTACATTCAATTGACGTTTTGGGTTGTTGTTGTATCATATACTACTTGGTTACTCAACAGATTCAAAACGAAAAGTTTTCTTGATTTAGGTACTAGCTGAAGTTGTGAAATCTGCAGGATGTGATCCAGAGGAACTTTTCAGTGCAGCACGGTCTCAAGAAATCAAGGATAAGCTTAGAGAAAATACGGAAAGGTTAGTTTACCACATAATGGGGCATGCATGTTTTGTGTCGTATCTCTTCTCAAGAAACACTTTGTTACTGTGTACGATCGTATTAACAAACATACACCTACCTCACATGCCCTTTTCTTTTCCCTATGTCTAGATCCCCATGTGTATAAGACTGACGTCACCTCAAGTCTATTTGTAGAATTGACAGTAGAATTGATGACATTAAATAAATTTAAAAATCAGCTAAACCTGTTGAAAGATGGGTGAGATATGGTGAATGAATGATTGAAGTCTACTAATTTGTGTCGCTAACTTATTATGACGTTATACCGTTATGTCTCCCCAGTAGTTAAAAGAAACATGTCTTCCAATTGGATCAAATGATATGCCAGATACATCACAATTCATTCTTGGAAAATTAGCTAGTAAGAGAGAATTGATAATGGTCATTTAGGATAGGTTAAAGATCCTGTATCATATTTTCAGCACAATGTTAAGCACGTGTCAACATTAACAGTGTAATTGCATCTATCGTATGTTTTTCTTAATCGATCCCCTTCTTCAGAAAAGGTAATTATTTTTTGTAGGGCAATATCTCTTGGTTTGTGCGGTGTTCCTTCTTTTCAAGTCGACGACCAGCCAGTTATTTGGGGACAAGATCGCCTCAATATCATTGCTGACGAGCTTTGTGGATGGCAAGATGATACTGATCAGATTGTAAGCCGTTTGTGATCAAATTGACTTTGTTGAGCTTGACTGCAGCATGGTTTTCAAACGAGCTTCCTACTAAAGAGCATTTTTTTGCAATACCTCTTTTCCTTTTAAGATGCCCATTTCCTGGTAGTGCCCTCACCTTGACAAGAAATTGACTGTAACACATTTGTCTATTATTTCAATATGCGATGAATTAAAGGTATAGTTAAACTGAGACTTTTTTGGCAAGGTATGCTTGTCCCAATCAGTAATTTGGAAAACCCTGTACATAAGTTGCCGGTAGTCATAAAGAGGTCAAGGAGTAGGACGGAATAATTTTCTGCATTTTTGCACTAAATGAACCTGGTAGCCCGTACTACTTTCAAAGTAATTCTTCACCGTGGAGAACCAGTGACATGTGCCTTTTCGTAGAGTGACATCTCTAGAACTATTGGAAGGTTACCCTTTTTCTGAGACACGTTCTCCTTTTATCTCAGTCCCCCTCCAAAACCCTGCAGCTCAATTGATCTATGCACCTGTGAAAAGATAATCTCAATATCATACGACAACCCTTTAATTTCTCCAGCATCATATCTTAGCTTAAATTTATTTAGGCATTTAGGCAAAAGTGATGTTTGCACAAGCCCAATCATTATGAAGATCTGACAAATTTAGATGCTTTTTCTAAGATGCTAGCTCCAGGCAAAGTAGGAGAGCAAAAGTTATTATTTGAGCTACGTTTGTCTTTGCTTAAAACTGACTAGAATTTGTCTTGTTTTCGATCGCAATCGGTTATTTTAGATTTGAATTTTTAATTCTGAAATTTGTAATTTTTTATGAATTAAATTTAGCATTTAAGTTTGACCATCATATGAAGAAGTAAAGAAAAATAAAATTCAAGAAGTTTTTCAGTGCTAGATATTTTATTATTCTATGTGAATTGTATGTAAAGCATGGCAAAAGAGTTTTATGCATTAAAACTTTTGTTAATTTGTATCTCTCTCCGAATCACCGGGAATAGAATGAATTTTTTGCCAAAGTTGCCTTTCACTGAAAACTCTGCTATTTTCCACGAGATATTTGATTTCTCTAATGAGTTGAAGAGAATACCTCATAGGGTTTCTCAAGTCTCTTCTTTAAACGTTCCCGTCACGAAACTGTCCGGACAGTTTCGAATTCAGATGCGAATGCATTTTTCAAAGACAGCGTTTTCTAAAACCTTTTTAATAAATTTCCTCAAAACTTTTTCTTGCTCTGGCCTTTTGAAGATCTACATACGTATTCGTCAAAAGATCGAATTGATCGATATGTAAGCAAATGTTGTAAGGGGTTTTTGTCAAGATGGTGGCGAACGAAAAGAAAGTAGTGGCTTGCTAGCAGCGGCTAGAAGTAATGTTCTATTACAGTGATAACGAAATATATCATGAAATTTCTAATACCACAGGATGTTCAGAGAGACTGCTGCTTCTGGTATAGTATGCAAAAAAGTGAAGCATAAGCAGGGACGCCGGAATGTATTCCCAGCTTCTACCAGTTCTTTTGTAACTGTCATTCTATTTCAATTTTCTGTAGGCATCTTGAAAATTGGCAAACTTCTATCATAAGAAATTTCTTTGACAGGTTTTAAAAATTCCGTCATGAATAAGGCACCACAGTCAAATCTCTTTGATAATGTTAAAGGCCGATGTCAAGGGGCACTTTTACGAAAAGGGCACTTTGGCTCCCTGGCCTCTCCTATCAAGGGGCAAGGATGGCGGTTAACAACCCCCTATCCTTGCCGCCAATCTTGCCGCATAAATCCATCTCTGGTAAGTATGTGCCTATCTTATCAAATTTGATCTAATTATCTTTCCACACTCTTTCATATAATAACCAGATAATTTTTTCCGAACCTCTATGTCTTTATTTTTGGATAATTTGAGGCTCGAGTGTTTTTAATTTTGTTCTTTTTTCTTAGATTGAGATTTCGGAAATCGCAGCTTGTTAATAAACTTAACAAGCAGCTTGTTAAAATACAATTTGCCGACTGTTTCAAACAATGTCTTTTTTATTGGTCATGATACTTCTGTTTTCTTTTTAGATGTTTGTTGAAATGATGTTTCCATTCACGAGCTCTGACGCAGGTTTGAAAATGGGGGGTCAAGGGACAAGTTAAAGACCATAGTAAAAGTTTTTGAGAAAAAACTCTATTGTTTTGCAAAAAGTGGGTGGCAATGTAATTGTTTCTCATACTAGCAAATAAGTTATCGTGAAAATCCCAATGATTTTCAGTGGAAACCCCCATCCCAGAGGTATCAATGGTTTCGTGCATGTAAACGAGGTTTTTGATGAGGCGAATTTCGAAATGCAGACTGTTCTCAGATTGCACTTCTACGATGTCTCCATCGAGAGGTTGAGACTTGCAACATGGGTTAGATGTTAGATAAGGCAATAATTCAAATTTATTTCGAAGCCCTTATTTTTATTCTCTGTCCTTCACTTGAACTATGAGTGCAGAGTTTTGTTGTTGGAAGATGCATTCGTGACGTCACACTTGACCATGGTGATTAAGGACAATTTGACGTTTCATTAATCATCCATCACTAATTGAGGGCATTGGAATTCTAATTTACTTCCATTGGTTACATTGTAACGCACGGAAAAAGATCGGAAACGCTATTTGGACGTCTGCAACAAACAGAAGTGGAATAATTTTTCGTCAATAACTAGATAGCTAAAGTTGGTACAATAATAATTTAATCGAGTTTTCCTGATTGGAAAAGATGTACTTAGATGAAACATCGATTTAAACGAAAAAATAAAATCATGAGGTCAGCTGGTGATCTTATTTATAGTGGAGCTGAAAGATGTGACAAAATTTGGAGCAAGGTTGGGTTATTTATTGTGATAGTAACCTGTTTGTTGACACCAGTGTCAGTGCTTTACAGGAACCCAAGGTACCTCTATGCGGAATCGGGGTTTGCTGATGGGGGTGATTTATACTCGCATTTCGTTGAAGCTAACCATGTGAAAGATCAGTTGCAGAATGGTATTGTAAACTTTTGGTTCAATCAAGCTTCACTTGGATATCCAATGTTTACTGCATATCAACCACTACCCTGCTTCCTTATGGCCATAGCTATGCTGGCTTTGGAAAGGTGAGAATTTTCGAGTTTTTTTATTCAGAAGCCATTTGCTAGCTGGCTGTTAAACCATGCTAAATATCTTTTAACACAAACAGTATTTATTCTTTCAGACATTGTTTTTGAAATAGTCATAAATTATGTATTGTAAATTTGAAACTGAAACTAAAACTGAACTGAAACTATCAAAAATGTAATCTGAACTTATTTTTAAATCAGAATAATCAGTTCTGTGTGTTCATAATAAGGCGGGATATGGTCATTTGAGCCCCCCAGAGATTCTGTGTTCCCATGTTCCTTAAAAATATTAAAAAAATCTTCCCCTGTTCCAAATAATTTTTCTAATGTTCCCTAAAAACCCCCAAGATCTTTGCAAAATGTTCCCTTTATCTCCATTGAATTATGAGATGTCCTCAGGTTCCCTTTAAAAAACAAGAGGTTCCCTTGTTTCCTGGAATGGTCTTTTCATTGAAAGGTTCTTCCACAAAATGTTGCAAAAAATAGCAAAAGTAGAAACTAGCTACTCTTTAGCACTGAAAACAGTTACTCATGCCCCCATAGCACTACACCTCTGGGCCATGCCTAGGCCATCGGGAACACATTTAACTGATTTTGCACATCCAGAGGTATTTTATAATGCTTTTTCAGGCTATGTGGACAAAACAATTCTATAGCTAGATTTTTGGTCAAAACAATTCTATAGCTTTAATTAGGCTACTCAAAATTGCATGTACAGTTGAATCCTGCTAACTTGTACCCTGTACAACTTGGACTTTCACTATGTCAGACTGCTTTTCAATCTCTATTGGATTTTCCTAATTTATGCAGGTCAAAGGTTTTACCCCGGATAAGTTGGATATTTGCTAAGTCAGACAATTTCCTTGCATTTCTTGGAGGTTAAGCTTAAGAGGATTCAACTAAGCAAAATGTCTAATGCAAGTTACTTATTTTATGATTTTTTTCAGTTTTATGTCACCTCTGCTTGTATTCAGACTGATATTTGTCACAGTCATATCACTGATCCCAGCATCATTGTACAAAAGTGCCAAACTTCTTGGACTGCACCCAGTACAACAGATCTCATTGTGCCTTTTATCATTTGCAATTCAAAGCTGGAGGAAATTTGGTTTAGAAATAACAGCCTTTGTTGAATATGGACTCATGACACAAGCATTTGGAATGCTTATGCTATTTCCAGCAGGTAATTCCAAATGTAAATTCTCACAATGGCAGGAAAATATATGGAATGGTTTTGTATGTGAGCAAGGCATCTCAGTAAAGGATTGCCTGTAAGATCTTCAGTCAACAACTGGTCAAAATTTACTTCAAGATAAAGGGGGTATTTTTTTATCATGTTGTTTGTCAGTCATAGAAAACTATCTGAGAGTGTGTAGCTATCTGTTCATAAGTTAAACTACAATTCACATAAGAGAAAAAGGTATTAACTGTTTCTTTCTTGAAAGAAAAGAGTGAAATGGGTTGTTTCTTTAAATGTTAAGGCAGAGGTGAATAAATGTTTCTTTAATGCAAGTGTAAGGCTGCAATGTATTGTGTTAGCAGCAGAGCAGTTTCAATGTTTTGAAATGGTTTTCTTTTAAGCACAGAATACTTTTTAGAACTGCATCAAAATGAAAATGTATGCATAGCTTTTTCGAATTTTTTTCCTGCTTTTTCATTGTGAGAAGACTTTTATGCCATTAACTAAGGTGTTACAATTTCATAATGGTACAGTAATAGCAATTGCGATAAACTTCGTTTATTTTCAAATCAACAACCAAAGTATTGAATTCTGTGCTCAGCAGTGAGTAATTCTCAAACAAAACCACTTCAGGGACAACCTTAATTATAGCCAATTGAGTCAGTTGATTTGCTGAAGAAGGCTGTGTCCCTTACATTTCCGCAAAACGAAAAAATTAAAGTATTAAATTTTTTGTGATAACTTTGAAGCAGCAATTTGGCACCCAACTTTAAAAGGAAATTAGACTACCATTTGATGTCACCCACTGCTACCTAATGTCCCTTTAAAGCTGGCTGTTAATGGTTACAAATTCACTATATGTAATTCTTGTTACAGTATCTTTAACATACAAATGGATATTTGTGGAAGATTGCCAGATGCAGCAAGCAATACCTCTGATGCTTATGATAGCTGTTACATTGTTATCAAATTTCTTCTTTGGCATTTTGACATGCATTCTTGCTGGAGTAATGTTAATAGTAAAGTTGGTCCATGTACAGTCTACTTCTGAAAGGATATTTCCAAGAATTGTCAACTTTGCGCACATGATTCTCAAAAGCATGGCCTTGATCTCCTGGTGGATATTCGCTTGCCTATGGGGGTATAACTACATTGGTGGTCTGCCATGGAGAGGAGAGAGTGAGGATGGATATCCATTTAACTACGTTATAGAAAAATTTACAGAAGGAGAGATTTTTGATGCACATCGGTTTTTACCATGGTTTACAATCCTGTTTATCATGGGAATAACCTTAGAATGCCTGAACCTGATGCCTCAGATGTATGGAAACTCAAAGTGCTCAAAGAAAGATCAAACATACAGCTTATGGATAATTTCATCAACTTTTGTTAGTTTTGCTTTATTTCTTGGAAGAACTACATTTTCTGGTCTTTATAACTGGATTCCACTACATACAGAACTAGAAGCAGTTAAATATCTTAGTGCAATACATTTCTGCGGGCTTCTACATGTCTCTTATGCTATTTCAAGAATAGTAAACAAGTTGGCTGCTATTCTGAATACGTTACTGACACTGCCAGTGTTTCTAAAAAAGCTGGCTACGAAACTCCGTAAATCACATAATGACAGTCAACAGCAAACAAAAGTATGGAAAAAAGCCATTGTGTATGGCCCTGTTAGAATATATCAGTACCTTTCAGCCAATAAGCTGTCTGTCATTCAATTTTTATTGGTTTTGGGATTGGCATGCTTCTTATGGAGAAACCACTTCAAGACTGTATCATCACATCTAACTATGACTGAAGTAAGACAAGAATTCATTGAGAAGTTAGAAAGTCTAAAAAAAGGAAGAACAGAGGGGCGGATGCTTGGGCATAGAGGTTTTGGTAAGTTATTTGATACTAAATTAAAAAAGCAATTAGAATAATGAAAGAATAAGGAGAAAAATTGCTTCTAAACGCGAGCTATAAAAAGCTTAGGAGACAGATTCGCATTGATCTTTTGACTTAAAAGATAGTAAACGTGGTCCAAGAATAAGCTCTTCCATAAAACTGTGAGAAACATAGATGATGGCAGGCTGAAAATGGAATTAGGTGGTAAGTTAGGTGTTGCTGTATTCCCGACGAGTTCATATGATTACGAAGCTTTTAAATGAGAGGGATTTGCTATTGACACAAATTTTGTTGCAACTGAAGTTTAAGCCTATGGATATCTTGATTCAAAAATCTCCTCAAGTTTCATTTTTCAGTTACTATTACTGTTCTTTCAGTGAACGTGCCAGTTCACCTGTTTCTTCAAAACACTTACATGAATCTTATTCTCGTAATACGATATACCATGGAGATGCAATTTGAGCTTAAAAGTTTAATTCTGCTAAAGATACTGATGCAGCTACTCTTTTAAGATGATTTTATAGCTTACATAATTTCTGCCAAGTTTTAGGTCGCTAATTTTTTAATCCTCTCTTATTTTTCTAGGCTCTGCAAGTTCATTTGATCTCGCATTTCTTCCACATTACACTGGAAAAGCAGGTAAGTGTGATCATAAGTCAATGTTTTGAAGTGATTAGAGCAAATTCTCGCTGTAGCAATTTTAGAATATAGTGAATTCAAGGTTTGATCTTCGGTTCGTGAACAATAAAAGGTACCCAGCGTGGCAGAACTGAATTATTAAACCTGGTGACCCAAAACAAGCGTCTTTCCTATGTGTACTTCTTCTTCAAAAAAGGCTAAGCGGAACACTCCTTGACCCTGCGTTACATTAATAATTTGTTAGGTACACGATGTTTTGTGACACCAAAGAATTATTTTTTACCTTGTCGATCAACTCAAGTTCCATATCGTAAGAGATAGACAGGAATAGATCAAAACGACGAAATGCAAGTTAACTTATATCTCGTTCCGCATATTAAGCTCCATATTCTATACCACAGTGTACTCACTTCAAGAGATCGACCATTGGTTAGGACCTTGAAGTTAGATAGAATTTTACAAACAAGAGTTTCACATATTCAGTAGAGGGGGTGCAGAGTTCTCACACCTGCCTTCTATAGTTGGTTATTTAAATTCCTGTTTAAATTTGGTCGCCTAAAGGTTGGTAAAGGAGGGGAAATATTGTATCCATTCAAAGTCATTCGGCAAATGTTACCTGGACACCCCCTCCCAGCCATGAAGACAAGACGCTCAACTGGTTTTGCCCTTTTTTGGAACCTTGAAAGTGATTATCTGACATTGCAGGTGCTATTACTAAAGTTCGTAAGGTTGTCCGGATTAAGAAAAAGTAATTAGCTCGGCTGCGCTTTTTCTCAGCTTATGATATACTATTCCGACTGGTGTTTCGTTGTCTTATTTCTTTTGAATAGAATGATATATGGTAAAATTGCACAAGGACGTCATGAAAGCTGATTGCTCTCAGTCATGTTCTACACTATCATTTGACAAGCTCACTCGACTTTGAACATAAAACTCTCTAAATAACAACGTACTCACACAGATGACGTCCGCAAAATTCAAAGCACATTCAGAGCTTTTTGAAATACCTCTCAGTATATTGAAGCTGCTGACATCACATGAAGAAAACTCGCAATAAACATGCTGAACTACTCTCGGTTTCATTTATAATTCATTGCCAAGCACCTGAATAGGCGAAATGACAGGGCCGGGCTTGTACCTCTGAATCGCGTCAGTAAAAGAAGTCCAATTCTAATTATACGCAGGATCTGTAAACTTAAAGTTTTTATTTGTTCAGATCTGCTAATTCGTATAATGGGGATATAATTGTATTGCATTTTCGCTATTATTGCTATTGACGTTATAAACAATATCAATTCTAAATGGGCACAGAATTCCTGTTTTGCATACCAAGGCTTAAACACGGAATTTAGTATAAGTCTAAATTTTTGCAGCGATAGAATTTCTATGGTATTGAAAAAATTCATTTTTAGGAAAAGGTAAACTTTGAACAAGTAGCAGACATCTTCTTTTGCAAAAAATAGCATCTTATCTTAGTTTTTCTCTATTCAGAGCTAAATCTGTTTTATACTTTTTTATGTTACATTTTATAAGCAATGAAACGTTGTATGATATTTAAATAACGTTGTATATACTTTTGTATATCAAGAGACAATTAAGCTTGACAAAAATATTTTCTTTGATGCAACATCCTGTAATTTTAAACACCCCTTTACTGAGCTCCTGTTGCGTCGCAGATATCATATGTAAATGATCGAGTTGGTAATCATTTTAATCAATTGTATTTTGCCCTAGGCCTGATGACGTATTCTCGGGGGTACCACGACAGCTTGTCAGTTTTCTACCTTGAGTCTCTCAGGTTCAATCCGGACAGAATGCAGATATTTGCAAACACACTTCGACTTTATAATGTCCATTTCATTGCGACATCAGATATTCAACTCGATGAGGCATTCGTGAAGGCCTGTCAGCTTAAACAAATAGCAAAGGTCGAGGACTTAATCTTCTATGAAGTTCTTCACGAGGAGAATGACTACGGCTATTTTGATTTCGTACGTCTCCCTGGCTATATCAGTGGAGATTTGAAGTTGATTCGCCAAGTCGTACTACGAGTGTCAGAACTGTACAATGTAAACAGTCTCTTACTTATAAATCCCAAGCGAACCATAGCTGTGAATGATAATGTTGTGGCTGATGTTGAGAAAAGATCATTATGGAATAACTTCTATGGACAATCAGAAGAAAAACTGCAAGTGACTTGGTCATCAAACGGTATTTCATTTCTTTAAAACTTTACTTTGAGCCCCGAGCCTAAGTTGAGTTCATTTGATTTTGTGTTTTATTTTGTCTATATTTCCACGATTTCAATGCAAATTTGGAATCGAGTGAAACAATTTGTTGTTAAAGATTAGTCTCCTTGCCACAGACTTGAAAGTACTAAAGTGATAATGTCTTCTGGTGGAGGAAATTAGATGAAGTAAAAGAACATTCTCTGTCGTTCAAGGGGAAAAATGTATATGTAGACAGTATTTAGTCGTGAAACATTTGCTTTTAAATTGAAGTGTTTTAGCAGACTTAGTTGCCGATAGTGAAATTTCACGAACAGAAATGACTCAATTATGTGTTAACAGAGTTAGCTCAGTGAACCACTGATCTTGAAGGCCAAGAAATAAATTTGAACCATTGTCCAATGAAATGATAACCAAAGCTTGTTCTTATTGCCTTGTCGCAGAATCCTTGCCTTATGCGAGTTTGATAATTAAGCTCATAATACCACGATTATTCAAAGAACAAGCAGCCGATAAAATTAACTTAGTAATAAATGCATGTACACATCAATAACGTAGCGTTAATTCTCCCTGCTGTTAGTCATATATTAGGGCATTGACTCTTTTGCAGGAGTCCAAACTGACTCCGAGACTTTGCTGGACAAAGTTATCAAGTCTGACTCTTGGAAATGGATATACTCACAAGTTGTCGAAGAGAGATTTGTCGGTGTAGATTATCAAGCGATAGTTCATGTTTCGGATAGGGGACAGAGCGTAAGTATTATGCAGTCGGCACAAATTATGGTAAAATTTTAAGGCTGCACGAATTATTGGACCTTACAACCGACTAGGCTAGAGCCCAACGATTTCTCAAATAGGTTTTCACAGTGTTCGGTGCCAACAAAAAACCAAACTACGATACCCTCTAAAAGCCACTTTATCTTCTCTTTGATAAAGGATAACACCTTATAGAGGATGAATAAAATGCTGAAATGTTCGATGAAATAAAAATAAGTATAATCTAAGATAAATTTTATCTTATTTGCGGTTTTGATTTCTTTAATATAAAATCAATGGTGTGAATGCTACATCAAGACAGGAATACTTTATATTACGTATCTGATTGCCTTGTATACTAACTGATATAGGAAGAATAGCATATGTTTTTTGTCATATGTTTTTTTACCATGTTATAGACACAGGTTGTTCGGATTTTTAGCGTAAATTTAAAGCTTTAACGGTTCTCTTTAAGACGACAAATTAATATTGTGTTTTGTCTTCTTTCATTTTAAGAAAGATATGACAAAAAGGCCTTGATTGCTATTAAAAATTCAAATGACTTCTTTTAGATTAATCATTGAGGCATTGAGATAAATGTTTTTCGAAATTTAAATAAAGCTATTAAAGTTTCCCCTGCTTCCAGCACAGGGCTGACAGATTGGTTTTTTTAGGCCAAATTTTCCTGTTCATGGAATTCCATGAAATTGCATGGAAAATTTGCACATTGTGATTTTTGAAATGTTTTGATTTTTACCTTTTTATGCACATTAAGCCTCTGGTGGTTTTTACCCGTCAATTTTAAATCCAAATCTGGCAACCCTGATCCACCAACAAACCAGCTAAGCAATTTTCAATGTTTTGAAATTTTTCTGCACTTGTTTCGAAAATCTTATAATAAAACTGCGGAGTACGTTTCTGTCGCATCAAAATTATTTTTGGTTGCTTTGCGCTGCTTTTGCTTTTATTATTGCTATTAAAGAAAATAGGGTCCTATTTTATTTTTCAGATCTTTTTGCACCCCTAGTACATCTATGGTGTTCCAAAAAATATCTTCTGTAAAAATTTTTTTTGTAGCTTGCTGACATGGAGCATTTGCTACTGAAAGTCACTTATCATCCATTTTGGAAATGCTTTTACTATCCTGTCTCGCGGGATTTCACACTCGACATGTTCCAGACTCCCAAGCTACTCGATGGAAAAACATACACAAATATCAATCATGTGACTCCTAATCTCATGTCAGTATCATTGCCCCCAGGAAGGTACCTTGTGGTATTCACGTATCGTTTTCCAGGAATTCTAAAAATTCTTGCTTTCTTCTGTGGCTGCTGGTACGTGCGGCTATTGACTGAATATATGTGGGGTTTTAAGACATGCAAAACTAGCATAAACGGCAAAAGTAACAAATGTCATTTAAACAAACAACAAACATCAAACTCGCATTGTCAAATTGATTCTGAACTAGAAATCGACACAAAGTCCACCGTCAAGGCGAAGAAACTCAATGGAAACCCAGATAGATTTAGAAAGGCTCGCGAGTCGCTTTATGTCAAGTCTTCTGCAGAGGATGTTGCAAATGATGTTACAGAGATTTTTACTAACGAAAATCCTGCACAGCAGTCTAAAAATCTAGAAGCGGAAGCTGATGGTAGCGGAAAAGCGTGGAAAGTTACCGGTCGTTTAAGATCACATAGCATTGCAGCTGAAAATAAGCTGAAGAACCAAACACTGACTCTGTTGAACTCGTTACCTGGTGCCACAAAGCCTACAGGTTTGCAAACAATTTCTAGTGATGAAAGTGGGGAATGGATTGATCTGACGGGTAAGATTTCTCGCGAAAGCAAAGATACATCAGACGACAGTAAGTCGGATAAGTCGGATGAAAGTGATATCAGCTCAGTGAGGTCGGATGAAAGTGATGTCCGGTCGAGCGATAGGAGTAATAGAAGTTCTGGAGAGATTGCACCATCTAATGAATCTAGATTGCTCATGACTACTGGACAAAGACAAGAGTCTATCAACTCTACTACAAGTGATTTTGCCAGCTCTCCAAATGATCCAACTGTAAATGGTGAGATGCTAGACGCTAATGCAAATATTTTGTCTGACGCTTGTGAAATTGTTCAAGACTTTTCGGCTAATAAAGACTCGCTCCACAAAGTAGCCGCCATTCTACAATCCAGCTCTTCAGAGTCCGTTGATCAGAACGATCATAAGAGCATTTCCAACCTGCGAAGTAGGCTTGAAAAGCTAAACAAGGACGATTCAGAAGAGAAGACACCGAGACAAGATGGCGGCAAGATTGTAAAAGAATTGCGACAAACATACCTGAGACAAAGGAGAAACACTTTATCAGCTCTTCCAAGTCTAAGAAAGTAGAATTTTTTGATATTGTAAATGCATAATTTATTTTCAGTTCGAAGAATGTTAGATAATTTATAATGACGTGGCTTTTCAGCAAGAATTGAAGAATTTTAATCATTTTTGCCTTGTATTTTTTTAAACTTATGTTGTCCCTATGTCAGACTTGTATTGATGGTCTTGCTTTCAGAATCAGGGTGATACTTTCAAAGCCATGAAACTTGGGTCAAATTCAGTTTGTTTCGTTAAATTGTGCATGGACAATGTATTTTGTTGTACAAAAGGCCAAGGCTATTTTCTTGTATGTATATTACAAAGAAAATGTTGGAATTTGACTATTTTTGGCGGATGTTTTTAAATGCAATGGAACAGTTTCTTTCATTTTAAACTGAATCCATTACGGTATTTATCGTCATACATTTATGGTGCATATTTAAAACAGTTAAAATCAAACTTTCGTGAAATTTTTGTCCTGGAAATCGGAGCAAAAAATTGAGGAACAAAAGAATTTAGCATTCTTTCTCCATAGTAAAAGCAATCGCTCTCATGCTTTTATGTCCTTAACCTTTATATAACCTTTACTGGCACAAAAAATATCAGTGCATTTTACATCACACGACATTTTAGAAATGAGATAACTTTTTCCAAATAGAAACGTGTTGTTGAACAGCGAAAACATTCAATTTTATGTTGACAGATAACAGCAATTTTTAATTAATGGATTTTAGAAGTTTCCAATCTTTTATATAAAAAATCGATATCGTTCATCAGCCTTTGTACCCTAACATTTTTGAAGGTACGGGGACGTGCCATTATTTAGGGGTACCTTTTTTCTGAAAAGTGCAGAATTATCGGTATCACTTTTTAAAATATGTGCGGAACTAGTGGAATATGGGCATAGTTTTTATCATGTTTGCAGAATTATGGGTCACATTTTTTCGGACTTTTGAGGAATTATGGGTCCAAATTTTTAACCAAAATGGGACTTCCCCGTCAAAAATTAGGCTTAGTTTACCCCCCGAGTTATCAGCTTCAATAAAGATACAAAGTGAGCAGGAAAAGAAGAAAAATCTAGGCTTGGATACGATTAGAAGCTTGCCCTGTTTGCTCAGTTAATCGTTTACAGAGCAATTGGTGGACGATGTTTTAGAAGTCCCCTGCTGTAATTACCAAAATGGTTCTGGTGGTTGCTTCAATAGACGCCCTGGGTATATATAAACGCCCTGGATATATATAAACGCCCTGGATGTATTCAAGTATATAAACTTGATTGACTTTTCACCCAGCCTTCCGATAATTTGGTATCGAGAATTGGTTCAAGAAAAGAGTGCAATTTATCGAAGCCTAACTGAGACTTTTTTGTCCTAAGTACACCTTACAATTGCCAAAATTAATACTATGTATATTTTTTTACATTCCAATAAAAATTGTTACACTACCTACAAAATACTTAACGACACTACAAGGACGATGGCACTGGGTGCAAAATACTATGCATACTCCGTGGCAGCACCAAAAATTAAGACAACTTACCAAAGGAAAAAACAAAGAACATTACACTCTCTCTCAAATTAGATATCAGGCGAAAAATGATAGCGAATAACAGCCGACAAGACGTTTGCTGCAGTTTGGTCGTAAAAGAGCGTATACTCCAGCGCTGAGATCAGTCCTTTGAGCACCAAAAGGGGCAGAGCAACAAGAAGTGCTCCGTATCCTCGATGTAACTTTCTTACACCATTCAAATCAATCAAATCAGATTACACTGATGCAATGTGATCATCATTGCAACCAAGCTTCACAAAATGCCCCTTTAGATAAAAGGCGTCACCAGGCTAAGTACCCATGTTGACGACACCCTTTCTTGCCCCTTGGTTATGAGTGACCTCGTTCAGGCAGCTTCTTCGTCGAATAGTCCGTGTTGCATTCTGGGGCGGTATCCGCACATTTTACCAGTCCTCTAACATTTGAGCAGCCTTTCATCCGATAAAGTCATGCAACATGTCCAACGAGAGAAGTACTGAAAGGTAAAAACCAAGTGATTTTAACATTTTATGTAACAACATTTTTTGGTTGTAAGATCTAGGACAAACTATCGTTTTCCTATATTATTATCCTTCTCAAAAGCCAAAATAGAACGCCGCTTGGCACAGTGTTAATATTTCCTGGGTGGTGTAGGCCGTGTCACTTTGAGAGAACATTTTTGTTTGAACACATGGTTAAATTTTGTCGTGATTTTTAGTAGCACATGCGCAATATTATATTGAAAAATATATTTTTTGATATTTTAGTTCTGAACCAGTTCAAGACCCCAGACCTGGCGGCAATGGAGGCGAAGTTGACGGAGGGATCGAGGTTTGTTAACACAAATAAATTTACCCTTTAGCCATTTTGAACCGAACCCAGTTGATCGTGTCCAATGATGAACAAAGCTCTATAATTTTAATTGAATATTACAAATTTATTGGCAACTACAGGCTAGCGTCAAAGAATTTTTCATCAACTGTTATAAACATATACTCGTTAGAAAATGTATTGTAAATTATTGATTTCACTTTGATTGGAGCCATTTTTCACTGCATGTTGTTCTTACTTCCTGTACGAAATATCTATGAGAAAACCGTATCAGATTTCCTCATGATATCATATCATTTTCCATCTTTCATTAATGTCATCTTTGAATGAACCTAATGTTTATGTTGATACGATTTTGGTTGCATGTCTCAAGAACAAATATTTGTTATATACTTTTTCTTCATGTCCCAACAACATATTGTCAGTAATTTTTCAGTTCCTATCTCTTCAGTCCCTCATTATATCAAATAAATTTGATAATAAATTAATAATATTAAATCTGACATTGTTTAAAAGCCAAGATGAGATGGTGCTAGCATTGTTTGAAATTTAAGGCTGTATTCTCCTTGGATAAAACCTTCTTGATTTACCATTGAACATTTTTAAAATATATTAATTACTATCTTTAATTTCCTTTTATACATTCTCATCAAGAATTATGCTGGGAGCTATTTGGTTTTGTGTTAACATATGTTAGAAACTAACAGAATGAATAAAATTAATTTTGATGGGTAATGAGGCAGAGAGCTTTAATCTGTATTCATCTGTTATTTTTGAGATAGAACGAAATTATAAATTTACTACTTTTATAGTTTAAAATTACATCTAAATACAAGTTAGGAAAAGTAATAGTACTCTCAAGAAGATATCTGAATCGTAGTCCAGTTTTTGATTGATTAACTTTGCATGTTGTCGCTCTCTTTTAGTCCAACTGGGACACCATCTATGAGAGTTTTGATGATATGAATGTAAAGGAAAACCTCCTGAGAGGAATTTATGCTTATGGGTATGTCTTTTTTCCAAATATTCTGCTTGTATTAAATGCATTTTACCTTTTTAACGACTTTCATAAGTCAATCTTATATTTCACCCAGATTTTTCTCAAGGCTTATGCATAGTTTGACAAATACAGTGAAATCCTGATATAAAAAACTCTGAAGGGAACCAGAGAATTGTTTTTTATATCAGGAGTTTGTTAAACTGTATAGTCTTGTAAGAGACAGAAAATGACACAACTTTTATTTTGAAAGCAGAAAGTCCCCCAGTTGCTTCTTTAATAAAAAAATGTTATGTTCAAACTTTTTGTGGTATAGAAAGCTTATGATGAATTTTCACTCTACAGTACTAGTATTGCCTTGATTGCAGATTTGGTCATAAAATGTTCATAGTTTGAAGTTACTTGAATTTTGAACATGACCACTTCTGTTACACCAAGAAAAGTGGATTCTATGTTGATTGTTGATATTAATAATGCATGCCTTCAATTGAATGATGAACTCATAGTCAAGTAAATATTATATGGCTATTTCTCTCTTTCGCCCAGTTTTGAGAAGCCCTCTGCAATTCAGCAGCGTGCTATTGTTCCATGCATCAAAGGACATGATGTCATTGCCCAAGCCCAATCTGGAACTGGCAAGACAGCCACGTTTTCCATTGCAATATTAGAGCAGTTGGACTGTAATCTTCCAGATGATACTGGAAGAGAGAGAAAGGTGGCCACTCAGGCTTTGGTTCTTGCACCAACAAGGGAGCTTGCTCAACAGGTTTGTGCTTGACAATTTGCAAACTGAATAATTCTTTTGCAATTTTTAGACTATTCACATTTTATAAAAAATATACATAAAAGGGCTGTTATCTTTAAGTTTTTATCTTTAAGTTTTTCAAATTTTATATTCCTTTAATTTATGTTCTTAATGTTTCTTCTTGATAGATCCAGAAAAATGTGCTGGCCCTTGGTGACTACATGGCTGTGAAGTGTCATGCTTGCATTGGTGGAACTAGTGTCCGTGATGATATGTTGAAACTTGAGAAAGGTGTGAATGTAGTGGTTGGAACTCCCGGACGCGTCTTTGATTTGATTGAAAGGAAGAAGCTAGATGTTAACGAAATAAAAATGTTTGTTCTTGATGAAGCCGATGAGATGCTGTCAAGGGGTTTCAAAGACCAAATCTATGAAATCTTCAAGAGGTTGCCACCAATGGTGCAGGTTAGTTTAGTTTTGGCCATCAGATATATATATATGTACTTATATGTATTTGATAGCAGTGTTTGCATGGAGAGGGGGAGGTGATTATTTTGTTATGTGATGGAAAGGGAACAAAACCAAGCATAAGAGATTAACAATAAAAGGAGTTGAAACATATAGAGTCAAAAGAAATAAAGGTTTTTGACCTGGTCCAACAGTTGATAAACAAGAGGGATTTTAACAAATGGGAATTTAACCTTTTGTGAAGCAATATCATTGACAGTAGTTACATTGACAGTAGTTACAAGTGCTAACTTTCTACCCAGGTTATGTTTTTAGTTGAAACGAGAGTTGCATCTTATGTTCATTACTAGCTGGTCCAGTCATTATCATAGATGCTTATTGGCTCTGTCACCTATTGGTAAAGCTCTTTTGCCACTTAATGCTTGGCATTGATGCTTCTTTAAGTCTCATTGTCTGACTATGTTGCAGCTCAAAAGGGCAACTAAACCCTTGAGTGAAGAGGAACAATGACCCACAGTACACTAATCTCTTTCCATCTAGGTCATTCTCCTCTCTGCTACAATGCCAACAGATGTTCTTGAAGTAACAACAAAGTTTATGAGAGATCCTATCAAAATCTTAGTTAAGAAAGAGGAGCTGACCCTAGAGGGTATTAAGCAATTCTACATTGATGTAAATAAAGAGGTGAGATTCAATGTCTTCCCTTTTGTGTTAAGCGAATTTACCAATAATTAAATATCTCATAAACAACAACACCAAACTGTTTTTTGACTGTCAAATGAATGTTATTTACTTTATTCACTATATTCAATCAATTTATTTTGCCAGTTATCATCCTTTTTGTATATATTCCATTGTCAATTGGCTTTGAACTTGCATGTCATCTATATCCTCCCAATTTTTTTTTCTTTCCCTTTGATTTTTATGTATTTGCTTCTTTAGGGATCTGCGTTCTTTGCAAATTTTCTGTCAGTAGCGCTTTTGACTAAATATAAAGGAACACCCTTTTCTGCTGTATTTGCAATGACAAAATTTACTTTCAAGTGGAAACCGAAATCATCAAAACCTATATGTTTCTAGCACATTTTTGCTTCCCTCAACAGTTTTTCAAACTAGATTACACCTACATTGTCAACTTGTCTAGGTACTGTTTTTCAACAACTTTGAACCTGCGATGTGGTAGCTTATTTTCATCATTAAAGTTTCAGTGATAAGTAATTAGTGCCTAGACAACAAAGGTTTTGTTACTTTGCACATGAATCTACCATTAAGCTAATATGCTTTAATTTTTGCTTGCAAGGAATGGAAATTAGAGACTTTGTGTGATCTTTACGACACTTTGTCTATAACCCAAGCTGTAATCTTCTTGAACACAAGACGAAAAGTGGACTGGCTGACAGAGAAAATGACGAGCAAAGACTTCACTGTCTCTTCCATGGTATGTTTATCCCTGTTGATTTTTATCATGAGCTTGATATGACATTGCATGACTTGATAAGATAAGCCAAGTAACTTACGTCAATTTGACAAAGATGATGTGTGGAGATTAACATTTGATACCATATTTCACTGGACCCTAGAATATAACATGATGTGAAATGAAAAATTATTGCATTTGAAAAGCATCACACTGCTCAGGTATTCATATAGTGCTTAATAATTTACACTAAAGAATGCCATTTGAAAAGCAATTTGCGCCATTTTATCTTGAATGAATGGTTGAACTTCTGTCCTTGTCCACTATTACAAATGCTGCTTATTGTATTCACTTTACCTGACAAATTTATCAGAGCTAAATTGGCTGATGAATTTCGTGTAGGGTATACCAAAGAGCTAAAGAACACTCATCCTTCTGTCCCCTGAAATATATCTGCTATTATAAAAGGCTGTCAAAGGTAGTTAAGAAAAAACTAGATACAGATAATAGTTTTTGGCTTTGATAGCACTGATAACTTGTGCTGAAATTTATGAACTTCTGCATTGAACATTAGGGGTTTAGTCAGAAATAATTATCAAATTTTTGGGCATGGCATGTTTGTTATAGAGGACGTCAGAAAATATGATTCCCTTTCCATCATCAAAATGCTGTAAATTTATCTGTATGGAGACTGGCGTTTAAGTATGTTTTGCTTAAGAAAAAACCATGTAATAGAACATGTTGTATCATTTTTTTAAGCTATGTTATTGATCTGTTGTGATCTGTTTTATTAGATAACCAGATTGATTTTGCCATTTTATTTTCAGCATGGAGATATGGACCAGAAAGAACGTGATCTGATTATGAGGGAGTTTAGAACTGGATCAAGTCGAGTTCTTATCACCACTGATTTACTGGTTGGCTATTGCTTTTTCAACTATTTTGAAAAATCCTTTCAGATAATCAACTTGATGTGTTTAAATTTAATTTCTTTTGAAGACATTTTAGAGCATGTCTTGTTTTCATGTTATTTTGCTCAATCTTTGGCGATAAACCTTTTTTGTAAGGTTGCTTCTTTCTATGGCAGTATCTATACGAGGAAGACAAAAGAGCTACTGTTTTTGTTTCATCGATGAGTTTCAGAATAAGGAATGGATAAGACAATAAAAATGTTTGATTAGTTGAAAGAGAAGGAAATATCCCATTGTATCACAGCCTTCAATCATGTTGAAAACAATATTAATAAAGACATTGACTTGAATTATTTAACATGGAGTCCTGTCACCATGAGCTGGTGCACCACCTGAATCTTGATTTTTTAACATCTTGTATTAAAGTTTGAAGAATAGGCAATAAAGTTGAGGTTTGCCAAAAATAAGCATGAAAACGATTTGCTGATGCCGTTTCATTAATATAAATACAACTGCAATACTTTTGCAGCTCCGTTAAGTGTTGAACATTGAGACTTTGAGAAAAAACTTGTAAGTAATTCATTATCCCTTGAAACAAGAGATTTTTTGAGACCGCTTTGAGACCTCCCCAGCCCAATGTCTTGTATCCACTCTAAGGATCCCCTTTTACAGGATTTAGAGTATTAGATCAACGGAAAGCAAATTGAATAAATTTAAAAATCTTTTAATAGTGAGTATATTTTTTATAAACTTTAGTTCAAACAAATTAACATGTATTTGCTAATAAGGCACCAGCTCATGGCCACAGGACTCTAGTTATTAAAAAGTTATCTAGTATATTTTACAAAGAGAAAGATTCTCTTCAATAGGGCCCCCAGGGCTGTTGCTCTCAGGTTTTGGTCACTCTCTTCAAGATATAAGCTCTATCATATAGCATATGGGACAAAGTTGGCAGTATGTACGGCTATAAATGCCATTCATGACATTAAAGTTGTGATTATTTGTCTTTTTAAATACAAAAGCCACCTTAAATTTGAACCAGACCTCAATGTCTTGCAATTAAAACAGAATCTATGTCACCTTCATTTCAGTCACGTGGTATTGATGTACAGCAAGTATCCTTAGTTATCAACTATGATCTGCCCACAAACAGGGAAAGCTACATCCACAGGTTTGCTTGTGCATCATTTGTTATGATTGATTTTGTTGGTTCATGAGGGTTCATGAGGGTTCATGAGCTCATCCATTGCAAAATTCTAGTTTGCTAGTTATACACTTTTATAAGAATACCTATTTTTTGCTTAGCATCAATATTCTTATATTTTGTTATTTTGAGCCTAAGATTGTTCTTAATTTATTTTTAAGCAACACAAGGTAACTGAGTTGCATTATAGTGTTGATGATGCCAAGGCCGGATACGTCTTCTTTAGGACATATAGTGTGAAGCTTGCATTAATTTGCTTTCCAAGTAAATTAGTTCAATTAAACGAAACATTTAACTCTTGATAAAACTTCAGACCTAAAATATTATTGAATTATTCTTAAGTTTCAGCAATTTTATGCCTTGATGTTCTTAAAGATAGTCTATATTCTTATAAAAAGCGTGTAAGCACAGTAAAGGAACCTTAGGCACAACTGAGCTACAAAAAGTCCTTATTGTAATTCCCATCCATTCATCTTCGGTTATTTTCTTGTTGTGCTACTCTACAACTGCTAGGATAAATCGGTATTCCTCCTACTTAAGAGACTTGTCAGTAGTTTAGAGATTACATCATAAGACCAAAGATTACGTCATAAACTGTTCCGTCCATGTCGGAGATCTGTCTAAGAAACGCTAATTTTTATAAGAATCGTATATAAAAACGGAGTCAAAGCCAAAGCTTTGTTAGCATGCGCCCCAGCAGTGCACAGGCAGCATTTGTGGCCTGAGGCGCAGTCTAAGCATTATTGAAACTCGTGTTTTTTTGTTATTGATGATAGTAGCATGCCATTACATTTCTTTTGTTGCAGGATTGGACGCAGTGGTCGGTTCGGTCGAAAGGGTGTAGCCATCAACTTCACCACTGCCGATGACGCCCGTCTTTTGAGGGACATTGAGCAATTCTACAACACAACTATTGACGAAATGCCAATGAATGTAGCTGATTTGATTTAGGCCAGATGCAGCAAACGCCAGTGTCTTTAAATTACAAGTAAACAAGATGGAGAACAACAGACTTAAACAAGATGACCATTTGGTTGTCATAAAAAAAGCTTTATGCAATTTATAAAGGAGCCATTCTTATCATAAAGCATTTGGAATCATATTTATTGTGTTTCATTTTTTTTATTTCTACGCTTCGTTACTGTAATCTCATCTTGTGGTTTGCTACCCAGGGTGCCAGAGCCTCAGTGAAAGAGTGATGGTATGCAAGAGTGGGTAGTCAGCAGTAGCTCTGGTACCCAGGGTAAAGATTTTCTTGAGCACAATGTTTACAAGGGTGTAACCAATCGGGGTGCAGGGGTGTATCCTCCAACTTGGGTTGGTTGGCATATACAAAAAAGTCTACATTCTTAAGTTAATTATATATTCATCCAATGTTTTGAACTTCGAAGATCGTGTACACCCACATCATCTACTCAGTTCCTGCATTTAAGTTGTCTGTATTTTATCAAATGGCTAAAAAATGGGCAATACTTTCTTGCTGCTCGCAGGATTTTTCGTTTTCCGATAAATAAGATAATATATTAATTTAGTTTTTCTAGGGCTTTGAAAAAGAATAAACCAGTAGAATACCAAATACATTAAAGCAAAATCAACAGGTAAAACGTGTATAATGCTTGCTTGTCTGTAATTGTAAACTAATTATCATCAGAGACGTCATAGAAATTATGGGGAGAAAGCAACGAGAGTTGCTGTCCTCAAACACATTCTGTCGGTCAAGAACTCATCTTTAGCAACAGATATGGGTGTAAAGAGGAGAAGGCTGGTAGCTTTTTATATTCGCAGCAAGGATATACGCAGCAATTTTTAACGACGTTAGTTTTTGTTGTTCTTCAAACTTACTCCTTAGGATTTTTTTGAAATTGGAAGGATTTTGGAAGGATTTTCTATGAAATTGAGATGAAATTGTTGAAATTCGTTTAAAAAACAGAAAATTGTCTGGTTAGTCCGTAAGGGGGTCAATTATACAAGAAGAGCTTCAAGGTTTATGCAAACTTTGACTAGTAAGCTGACTTCGTCGATACAAACAGCGTTGTGTTGCTTTAGTTTAGTTGGCTTGTTTTAATTAGCCTTTTGTACACAACAACTTTAAAAAAGAAATAATAAAAATGTCAATGCATTCTCCTCCGAATAATTAAAACCTCTCGTAGAGTTGTTTTGACATGACAAAAAGCTGCTTTTAATTCTTGGAATTTGATCACATAACCTTAAAGATCTATGGATGTTCAAAATCAGTTAAATGGTTTAAAAACTGGCTGTGGTGTGGCAACATGATCAGCACAAGCTCTGCCCCCCACCCCCATTAATCACAATAATTTTGTCTCTGCTCTAAACTTGATGAACCATGCCCAAACAGCAGAAACCCGAGCAGAAATCTGTAGCAAGCTTCCTGAGCAAGGAATCTGTAGCAATATCATATATCGAAGTTTAAAGTTAAAAAAATAGCACTGACCAGCACCCGATCGTGTTTTGATTGAAGTTAACATATCAAGATATTTTTCTTGAACAACATTCCCTGTCCCATTAAAAATGCAAACATATAGCACATTTATGCTCGAATAAATTTGAGCGGAAAAAGGACCTGCATTGTGACTTACGCGCATTGTTTGTGGGGGGCAGGTAATTGAAAGACTTGCTATTGTCTGCCTCTAAACACCCTCTCCCAAACAATTTATTTAATTTTGATAACCTGTCAGAGAGTTTTGATGCCATTCATAAAGCCCTGTCCCATAATTTTAATTAGAAAAGTATACCCTGTTCCGCGGCACGTATGGGAGTGTCTCTCCCGGCAGATGATGTCGACCTGGACTGGGAAAAGGAGAGCCTACCCTGACCCCCCCCCCCCCTTGATATGTAAAGGTCTTACGCTGTATTGCGCAGACTTATGCGAGAGGATTTCATGTGAGAAACGAAGAAATGAGATCTTGTTCTTTGCTTACATTCTTGTTATCGTGCTAATCAAAAAGTCTCCTTATTTACAAAATCTCATGATATTTATACTAACGGCATACAATAGATTAATTAATGATTGACATAAAACTAAACGAGGTACAAATGAAACCGAGGTTATACAATATAAGAAATATCCTGTTACAGATAAACTTTTACGACAACATATCTGATGTTACTGTTAACCTAAAGGTCATCATGAAAATTTAGAGCTTAGAAAGGAAAATGTACAATAGATAAATGCATAAAAAACTATCAGATAAAAAGAGTTATAAAACTAATCCAAATAATAAAAAGACGGAACCGGTGTCGCGGCCGACCTTAATTCGAAGAGCCACCTTAATTCAAATCACACCACCTTGAGTTATGTAGTGTTGAACAGAAAACACATTTCGGAGAGGTAATACTGAGAGTCTTTGTAAATTATCCTGTGATACGAAATGGGAAAAGCAAAAAAATTAACAACTCCAGGGAGTACGAAAACTATAAAGAAAGCATATTTAACTCAGCCACGTGGTTGCTGCGTTTCTTGGTGAGAGCCCTTCACTTCACATTGCATTTCATTCTCTGCCAGCAGTTAACTTTAATAATACATTACGTATAAAAGAGCCAGAAGATACTTAATAGAGTAAAGAAAAATTGCAATACTAACATCAAAATGCAGTTAAGTATCGAGTAGGACGCATGGAAAAGACTTGTATATAGAGCTTTCGAGCCATATACACACTCTTTAGGCATGCTGACAGCTAATTAGAAACAACATCGGTTCATGATATGAATCAAGATTTTACCAGGCAAGAAATACCACGAACTGCAGCTATGCCTATGTTTAAAAAGTATTAGCAGTAAGGAAAAGGAAAAATTCATAGTAGAAAAGAACATTAGAGATGAAGCTTCAGTTGGAATTGACTTGAATATAAATGCAAAAATGCCTCAACACTCCTTGGCCCTTAAACAAATTGGCGGCATATCACTCAGTTTCAGTTTCATATACTTCAAATTCAGTTTAAACAATGCAATGCAAAAGAATTAAAGATGAAAATGTTACCATATAATGATATCAGATGATAATGCCAGAATTTGAAAATGGCTTTGATTGAAGCAAACATTTTGTAACAAGACTTAGCTTCTTGTCTGATACAATTCGGAGTTTAAAATGTCAGAATAAGGGGCTGAAAATATCAAGAAAGAAAATATTTACCCAGTTGTGAATCAAAAAATACCAATCAGAAAATACTGAGCAAATTATTGTTATAGTTTCCCAATCAGTACCACACATCTATAGAAAAATTACCACTTGAATCCAAAGAAGAAAAGGACACCTTCTGTCTACACAAAACAGCTTATTAGTTTTAATGTAGATTAATTCCAAAACTGTTAGATTAAAAGGCGGCTGGGCTCTGTCATTTATTGGAAACATGTTGCATAGCTTTTGGCACAATCTGGGTCCACAACTGAATATATATTTTCTTTCTTGATCTTTTCGGCCCTTTTTCTGAAGTTTATACTCTGAAGACTGTCAGACGAAAAGCTTAAGTCCTGTTGTAGAATGTTTGTTTTTTCAAAGCCATCTTAAAATTTTGTACTGCCAAAAAATTGTTCAAATAACACAATTCTATGACAGGAGAATTTCTTTAGAGAGTAGCTCTCTTAAGTTTCTTAAATCCCATTTCCTCTTCAATCAGGTCTGCTGTTTTCAGGTTATTTCAGTTGCACTGTAATTAAAAGAGATCTGTTTTGTGCTCACTAGCAAAAAGGGGACAACAAATTATGCCAACAAAGTAGAAAAGGGGCTTTAGTAGCTAGGCTAATCAAGGAGAAACCAACTTAAACATGAAATATATCAGGTCCAAATTTTTAATCAGTTACCAATGTCAACAAATAGATTAAAACATTGTGCTGGCTTAATCTGTGCCAGTATTATACTTTAATAAAAATGACTACCAAACATTTACTACCCTTCACATGGAGCCATTTTCTTTTTATTAATGTTTCTGAATTCTCAAGACAATAATAGGGCACAAATTTTCAAACCCATTGTTTTAGGCCAAGCATCGACAAGCAAACAGAAAAGCAAGTTATTGAAGAGCTTAAAAGGTAACATTATTGTATTCATTTTATGTCTTTATAGATAGACATGGACTGAGCTTAAAATCATACAGAATGATGAAAATTTGCAAATCAAAACAAATTGCTCAAAAGTGTTTATCTTAAATCTTTTTAGCCTAGTAACCAGACTCCTATTTCAGGTCGGGTCTGATTATCAGGGTACACTTCTTTGAAATGGTCAGACAAAAGGCTATCCATTCATACTTTATCCCCACATATTTTTTGCAAGTATTTGTAAGAGGAGTAGTACAGTCAAATGCAGCATTGTTGCTGTATGTTTTTGTCTTCAAAGCTTGTCTTGGTCATGATTGAAAATTGATTGTTTTGTCAATTATTCTCTTCTAGTGAATTACAGAACTGTGTCTGTCCACGCAAAGCAGCTAAAAAAGACGACAAGAAATCTACTAAGATCACTAGTCTAACAAGATCAAAACAGAAAGTTCCTGCAAGTTCCCTTGTTCTCCTTGGAATAAATGCTGTTACAAGAGCCCTTGAGAAGGGACCATTGCTTCTTGTTCTGGTATTTATACATAAGTTTGTTATGCACATTATTTTGATTCTGTGGGTCCTGAAAGGAATAATATTTTTTCCCAAAAACTGTCGTAACATGGAGTGGGGCTCGAGGAGATCAGTGCCAGTATTGAAAATTCACAGATTTATGGAGGGTCCCAACTCAAGGTATTGTAATTACTTAGTATTGAGAGGGGCAAATATTTATAAGAATGCTCCTCAATTTGCAAATGTGTATGATTTTACTGATTTTAAAATTTGCTTCCAAGGCTTGCAGATCTGCAAATCCATCGCGCATGACCCACCATTTGATACCCTTGTGTGCTTTAAGAGACACCCCTGCATGCTGTGTAACTGGCCTTAATGATGCACTTGCACCAATTTTTGGTATCCAGTCTGTTTTGGCAGTTGGCTTCAAGGTATAGTTCTAGCTTAAGTTTGTCAGCTTCTTTCTTGTGTGATATTTACATAATGAGAAGTCTTATTTTGCTCCGAGTAGATCTTTCTAAACAATTCTGTTAATTTGTATCAAAAGCTCACAGTAATGTACTGAAACTCGCATTGTTTTGATTGGAATATTTTTCATTAAAGTTACTCAATAATTTTATTTGACTGATCACTGTCTTTCAGATTCATAGACTTTACAATTTATGAAGTCATACCTAAATAAAGATTATTTTTAAGAAGATTTATGGTCTTCTTGTTAGTTCCAAAGTAATTCTTTGGTTTTAGGGGCTTAGTTATTCAAAGTGAAAACTTCCACTTTAAGTGAGTTTAGAAGTGTTTGAATTCCTGATTTATTTGATCATTTTTAGGTTGTTGGGCAAAACCCATTAGCTGATTTGGTCGAATTTATCTGTGATAAAGCACCGCCACTTATTGTACCTTGGGTGGCAATTTGGAAAGGTAGTGGTAAGCAAGAAGTGGCACTGTCAGTAACAGATAATGTTTCCCAGAATGAAGATAGTTTTGTCAAGGATCAAGTCAGTGTTGCTGATATTAAAAGAAAAGAAGCAATTCATAAATCTTCAAAGAAAAATGAAAGGAAACCTGAAATCGATATTTTAAAGGATAGTAAGGACATTTCCTTTGAAGATAATCTGGATGATGACAAAAATATAGATGATGAAAATAAATCGGCTGTTAGTTTGCCTGAAAATAGTGAAGAAGGGAGAGCCATGGAGGTTGATGTAGTTGCAATGTCAACAGGAGACCAAAAAACATGTGCTTTTGAGCAAGAGTATGATGAAAAAAATGAACAATCAAAATCTTACTCCAATAAAATCAAAAGAAAATTGTATGGTAAATCAGACAACCCTCAAACTGATAAGACTCCTGAGACAGAAGCAAAGAAAAGGAAAATTGAAGATGTTGCTTTTGATTTAAGTGAGACGCAATTTAACATGCATAGAGCAGTTGTTAGAGAAAAGAAACAAATAAAGAAATAAGCCGAAAAAGCTACTTTTTCAGGAAGATCGTATTTCTTATGGCAAAAGTTGTAGCTAAAGATTAATTTTATTCATTTTATATCCAGGGGCATCGTGGCAGATGAATTCCAGAGGGGGCCCGAAAAAACTTTTTCTGACAAAAACTCAACTTTTGCTTCAGCTGGAAAGATATTTAAAATGCACTTTTATCTTGTCCCTGTTTCTCTCATATCTACTGTGGACGTTCATGACACCTCGCAACCCTTTAAATCGGTAGAATAGGTGAAGGATATAAAAAGTTATTACCAAAGAGGAAGATTTTTTATAATCTTAATGCTTCAAGTTCGCCGGAAATTGCATTCTTTGGAGCAAATTTTGGTAATAAAATCTTATTCTTAAAATGAATATCCATTAGCGGAAAGCGATGGCATTCATCGACGTCCTTGTTCTCATTCTCAAATGTTTTACCCCCGGCCACGATGCCCGTGTGTATATCCAGCAAAATCATCAATGGAGTATATTTACACATCAGGCCAACTTAACAGCTTTAAAGTTGATTTCCTCAGATTTTGAAGTTCATACCATAAATCCCCTAATCGCCTATTATGAAATTCTCTAGTATTTGTATGCTCGCAATTGTACCTTTTTAACAGAAAAAGCGGTAGTTTATCAACAACAAAATGTAAATACGTTTTAGTTTTAATATCTGTCCCGATTTTGGAGAAAAACTTATTCTTTCAGATAATCTCTAAATCTTCACACGTTGGCCAGACTATTTTGTTTGTGAAGCTGTGTTTGATAATATTACCATAAGTGTGAAATACGCTCAAAATTGCTCTTGGTATTACCAAATAATTATTTTCAGATTTCTTTCAGATAATAATTAGTACCAAACAATTTATTAAATCCAAGTGAAATTTTCACCTTACGCAAACCTAAGAAAGAGAGTACCAGCCTAAGATTATAAAAACCTCTCGTTCTATTATAGTCAGAATTTTTAATGTTCGATATGTTTTCAAATTGAATTGGTGATAATCTGTTGTTTTTCCATGGATCTCTATAAATACAGTAGCGTGCGTTGTATTTTTTATTTTTTTTCATTTCGAGAAATAATTCAATGAAGATAAAATTATAACGAGGTGACAACCAGAACTCAATAAAAATGCGAAGAAATCGCTGATATAATTAAAATGTTTGTTGTTGATTTGATTCTAATATAAAGCATACGAACGGCAATTTAGAAATTTGGGCAATCTTATTGCAAGACTGAGTTAATTAATATCGCAAATTTATGAAATTTGGTCAGCTAGGAATACTGACATCTGTGTCCGCAGCCGGCAGGACACTGCTGATTACTTTGAATCCAATTCTGGACATGCATCAGATGGCCACCGTGACCGCACCCTTGGCACCAAGCATACAGTCCCTTAACCGGCAAATGGCAGATAGAGCACAATGCAGTATTCTTTTCACAACGTTCACAATACCAGCCTTTTCCAGACTTGACTGGCTTATTGCAACCACCGCATAAGGTTTTGATTAACGTAGAATCTTGATTCAGAAGATTTATAGTGGGAATATCTGACTGCTTGATAATTCTGGTTGCAATGGTCCACAGTTTCAATCGGCTTAGCAGCTCAAGATATGCCAGAAACCATTCTTCCTTGATGCGTACGTCGATCTCATCTCCAATCTTATTCTTGAGAACCAAGAGAGCAGTGACAGCCATTTGTACGTCTCCTTGCTCAGCAAAATAGTGCAGCATATCAATCACCAACGGCTTGAAGTCCCAGTCTGGAATGGCCAGAAATTTTGAGAACCGTTGAAAGTGGAAATTGCTATCGGCAAATCCTGATTTCTGTTTATCTGATGATGTTTGTTCCGAAGGGCTCGATGATGATTCTTGTAAGTGGCCGTAATCGACGGCTAATGATTTTTCGCCAATAGAATGCCTTGGCTGAAATGCTTCGTTTGGCAGTGTCCATTCTTGCCCGTCCTCATTGATAACCTCAGATGTAAACAACTGCCCATCGAACTGTTCGTCTTGAAATATTGCATCCAGATCTGCACCGATTGCTAGGTCTATCTCGTTGTCTTTGATCATGTCAGTATATACATCCCCATCATTGCTCTCACTAGCATTTTCATCGAAAAAACCATCCGTTGAATCAATCAAAGAATTTCGATTGGCATTTTCAGAAGCAGATGTACGTTTGCTTGACGTCATTACGTTGTCACAATCTACATTTACTTCTGTTAGCAGAAGCTTGAGAATTAGCCAACTTTGGGCCTTTTGGTACAGTTGGAGCTCCTGGCATACTTTGGCGTTATGAGCACACATGTCAGCAAATGATTTTCCAGATGTAACAAATCTTCTTGCAAGTATTCCTAATGATAATTCATTGAAAATGTCCTTACAGTTGAACATTCTAATAGTACTGTGCACAGCCTTGAAATCTTCTTCAGCAGAAGCTGTTTTCTTGAAAAATGTAGGCGTCGTAGTTGCAGTTTGTGATATTGGCCTAATAGGGGGATTTTTCTTTTGCTCGACTGTATGGTCCGTCTGATCCGAGCAGGCAAAGCCTACATCCCCCCAGCAACTGATACCAAGCCCAACAGGAGGAGCATGCTCCGCAGGTCGAATCGCATCATGGAAAACATGTTGATACAAGTTAGCGTCTTTTGAACAAGAATACAGAATATCTGAATCCTTATGCCAGATCATTCCGGTTGCCACATCCTGGTGTTCTGTAAAAGCAGCCATTGGAATGTAGGGTCTTCTTACATCCCAAACACTCACATGATGATCAACAACAAGGGCACAGCTTGATATGTGAAATTTCTCTTTTGGCCTCCACCTTACACAGGCAACCTCTGCAATTGTTGGCACACAAAAGATTGATACTCCCTTGCTCTGTGTGTTCCATACTTTTATCATCTTATCTCTCCCACCTGTGCCAAGCCAACTTCTATCTTCGGGGTGCCAGTCAAGTGAAAATACTGGCCCATTGTGTCCAGTAAACTGAAAAAAGCAATGATCTGTTCTTCTTATATCCCACAGTTGTATGTTTCCACTTTCACAGGCCGCTGCAAAGAGATTTCGGTCAAATGGATTAAACTGTACATCTCTTATGCTGTCTGACGCCCTTCCAAAAAATTTTAGGGTAACACACTTTCTTCGTAAGTCAAATTGATTGATTGTACCATCTTGTGAGCCACTTAAAAGAATGCTTGCATCAGTTGGATGAAAACAGATTTTGTTGACAGTTCTTTTATGATCATAGAACACAAAATCCTGCTTGGTTTTTGATGCCTTGTTTAAGTCCCAAAGGATTACTGCACCGTTACCTGCAGCAGTGGCAATTGTATTTTCATCCAGATGGTGCCATAGAACATCTGTTATACTGAAATTTAGGTTTATTCTTCCAACTCTGAGATTGATTTTTTCAGTAAACCGCGATTCGTGAATATCTAGAATTTTAAATACATTTCGACCAGCAACGGCAATCTGTGTCAAATCTCTACTAGTACTTATTGCATTGATTGGAGTTTCCAGGGACAAAAAGAATGTTTTTGGATGAAATATTGTACCAACTGCTCTGTCTTGTGCCCTTGCCATGTTTATGAGAGTGTCATCAGTTGGGCTAGGCTTATTAACTAATTCCCACATTCTGCTCCATTTCTCCTTTTGCTAATTGTAGTTGTCCCTGAAATAGTTTATGAGAAGTTTAGTAATCTGTAAAAGAAAATTTCGAAGATTATGAACGTTAATGAGTTGCAATGGCAGAAACAAATCTAACTGCTTCTCCAGATTGTAAGATTCATGTTTGAAAAGAGAAGATGTCATATTCTTGTTTAGCTATTACAGGCCTCTCTCTTGGCTCAACCCTCCACAAAATGGCATCCAAAAAGTATTCTTTGGCTAACAAGATAACGGAAAAATCCAGTTTTTCAAACATCAGAATGTAAAAAAATTGCCCATTTAAACTGGATAAAACACTGTAACCTAAAAAAGCTATTATAAATGTATCCTGTGAAGTAAAATAAATACCAAAAAATATAAAGCCATTTAAAGTTAAGAAGAACATAAAATAATCTATACAATGGGAGGGCATTGAAACGTAAAAATGAAATTAAAAAAAAACTAAAAAATGCTTCTTAGAAATCTAAAAAATGTAATTTACTCAAGCTATGGGCTTCCAGCTGTTTAGTTTCAGTTTCATATAATTTTAAAATTCCACTACATACAATCAAAAAAGACAAAATTTAAATACAATTAAATATGACATGCTTAACTAATTAATTAGGTTGAAATCAATCATTTTTATGTTGCTAACTACTTCTTTATAACAACAATTTGGGAAAATTAATCTTTTTTGCTCTTTATAGACTATCCTGGTTGATCCTCTTTTGAAGATTCAAAGGAGATAATCAGTATGAGAAGGAGATTGATAACATAAACAGAAAAAGTTTTCTGAAGAACGGTAAACTCATGGCCATTTAATTTATAGCTGGCCTATTCAAATCTGTACATTTGTACAAGATAATTGCAAGCTTGCCCATTGGTATTACCAAATGTGAGTGCACCTTTTCAAAGCTGTAAAAAACAGGCTCTGACCAACAATGGGCCAAGAGAGGTTAAATAAATATTGAGCGTTTTGTTATGATGTTATTGTTATTGACTTGTTATGATGAAGCATTCCATAAGTTTGCTGACACACAATTGCTAAGGAGACTCTGAAAGCCATGCACTGAAAATCATCTAGTTCATTTCTTTAGATTCTCAAGAAATTAATTACCAGTTCTATTGCAAGTTTTACTGTTAACCACAGACACTGTTTGCAGATGATTATGATTATCCAAAGTTCGAACACAGACGCTAGCTTTTCTCTGACTGTTATCAAGTAATTGAGGGAAAGTGCAAGTAAAACTGATGCAAAAGATACATATTGTTTTTCATGCCTTTCTGCATTAAAAAACTGCACATGTACTTGATGATGTCATTTTTTAATTTAAACCCCTTGTCGAAAAATCCACAAGCTGTGCCCCCTATGAGTCACTACCCACAACACCCCTGTCATTGTAGAGTTATTATTGTTTCTAAATATTTTTGTAATTTTCTAGGTTTTTGATTTATTAATAGTTAGTTAAGCTTATACTTCACATGCATACATAGCTTGTGGCATTTCTTGCTATTGACTTCTAAAATATATTCGTGGCAACCCCGTTGTTTCCTTTTTCATAGCACCACACCTCTGGCATAAACATTGCAATCATCTTGGCTGGGAGCAGCATCTACATTATATTTCATTTTTTAGTCTAGACTATGCTTATCGAAACTGTGAAAACAGAAGTAATAGAGTTTGCTGGTGCAGATACCATGAGGTTATTCTAAAACATGAAAACCATTGTCAATTTTTGGATGCAATGCTGACTTTTATCAAATACTAACCAGAATGATAGCTTCCCAGAGCCACTTCATGCCTAAAAATAATGGTGGCTGGCATAATAGCTTTGTTTCAGAATATTTTGTTGCAAATATATTCTGGGGTTTATCAAAAGATTGGTTTTGACAATAGTTAGGGATAATCTGAAATAACTCAGAGTTGGGTATGAATCAGACTTTTCAGATAATGCAATCTGCAATCAACTGAATTTTTTACCATTTCATTTTGCTGTCTGACATGTATAGAATGCTTTTCTAGTCTTTCAAATTCTCCTTAGTAAAGCAAGGGAGATTTTTCTCCTTCTAAAAATTATTTTTAAAATCTCCACAAATTGTTCTTCATTCAACAAAATACCTAAGGAATTTAATTTTGGCATTTAATAATATTGTAGCATTTGGATAGATATTAGGTTTTTGGCTCAGTCCCCCCAGGGGGGGGGGGCATTCCTATACTTGACCTGATGGGATGTGTGCAAAATAAGGTAATATCCTTTTCCAATGAAAATTATGAGCCAGGGTATTTTGAATTGCATCAGAATAGGTATCAATATCAAGGTTATGATAAATGTTTTATGGATGAAAACATCCATTTTTCGATTATTTCACATTCAAGTAGCCAAACTTTCAAGGCACACAATGATACCAAAATTGAAACTAACAGAAATCTTGAACATGGAAAAATCCCATGTAAACAAAGGTGTCCATAATTTCTTTATCAGAACTTTTAGTTGAGGCCTGAAAATCTCTTGACCTGTTAAGCCGATTATTGTTGCTTTGAGGTTGTGGTCGCATGTCTCATTTACAATATTGCATGGCACATCCTAGTATCCCATGTATGGCAGTGTTTATTTGATCCAAGTTAAGTAGGCTTATTGATCTTAAAGCTTCAAGTGTCTTGACCCGGAATACACTGTGGTTTACGTGTGTACCTTGCAAGGGCGATCAGTAAAATCATGTTTTCTACAGACTCACAATTCCTCTACATACAGGTACGAAAAAGCTATTCTGTACCTAAGGAACAAATCAAATGGCTCAAAAATTTGCACACGGCCAGGACAGATGACGGGTAAGCAAAGTATGTCTCAAAATTTTTGTATTTGCTCTGGTCCGTCTTTTATAGCCAAATACAGCTATAAGAGGGAAGAAAATTGTTTGCCAATTTTTGACAGGGTACAGTTTCAAGGGGAGGAAGAATTTCAAAAATATGGGACAAACTTTGGTAGCTTGGGGTTTGAGCTTTCTGCTGATATGAGTCAGATTTTGATACCTTGAAGGCAAGGGTAAAAAATAGCTTTTGAAGGTGGCACATTCATTTAAGCAATAAATTTGCCTGGAAAGTATCATTTTCCAATATTTGCCAATTATTTTGATATGGTTAGAATCGACACATTCTTGTGCATCGAATGATAAATTGCTTAACCAGATGCTAGGTTAATGTAACCATAATAGTTTGGTTTTTAGGAAAAGAAAACCAAGTATCCTGTTAAAAACGTTTACCGTAACCTTAAGAAAATTTTCTTACAAGAAATATTCTTAAACAGATTAATCTGTTTTTTAGATTTGTTAGAATAAGCATATTTCCATTAATAATAAGAATAAGAATAAGCATTGTTAGAATATACATTTGTTGGTGATAAATAAAATGAAATCGAGTTTCTTTCACAATTGTGCCATACTTTTGGCATACTATTTATGAGGCAGGGTATACTTTTAGCAGTTTTGTATGGGACATGGTTAGGATGCAAAATATGTTTTCTGCACACCCCCTTCCCCGGCGGGGGCTCGGACTTTTCAGCTAGTCCGCTTTCTATTCAATTTTTGATTACCTCTCTGGGGAAAGCTGCAAACATGAGGTCATCGTTTAAAACATTTACAGGGTGTTTATGTCTGAAACACGTTTTGGATGCATCAAGGCTGCTTCAGATTCCATTGTTGTCGCAACCTGCCACACGTAGACCGGCTCTGTCCTCCACCTATAACTTTTTCAGTCTGAATTCACCTTCTGAAAGAAATCATGTCATACAAAAGCATTGCGCAACAAACACACATTATATTAGCTTATACTTCAATTAAAAATAAACTGGAATAAGCATCATGATAAAGAACTTGCGTTATTTTCCTTACCTAAATACACTTCCTTCCAGTTATTCCCTTATTGCTGTGCTGATGCTACCATTTTGAATCTACCTCAGCTTCATTTGTGATAGGCTGCCAAAGGAGGCTTTGATAATTCGCGCGAAATCCATCTTCCAGCATTTGGCGGGTTTTCTGCATGAGCTCGTGGAATAGATTAACTGGCATATTTGGTAAACTTCGCACCTATTCGCAAGTATTGGATGCTTTTATAGCAGCTGCAAGAAAAACAGTATTTAATTCGGGTTCTCGCCCTGAAAAATCATGCCTTTTTTGGTTGATATTGACGACAGTGATGACGATTTGGGGATAAATGAAGTCCCTTTTGGGACGTTCAGGGCACTCATCGTAGGAATTCGCTATTACAAAGGGACTGTGAATAGAAATGAAATGGTTTCAATGACTCGAGAACCATACAACCCATACGATAGAAATGCCATTCGAATAAACAATGTTGGTGGTGTTCAAGTTGGACACATCAAACGAGAACAAGCCCGCGTCCTTTCAGCAATTATTGACAAAGGAACAGCAAGAGCTGAAGGGTGAGTCTCGAAAATTTATTAACTGTCATGTCATGGCTTGGTAGTTCTGAATATTTCTTAACTGTCTGGCTTTCTCTAAGGCGGCTGTAATTAAACAGTTGCGTAAAGTTGAGCACAGTAATTATAAATCCGTTAATTATTAGACCTCGTTATCTAGCGCTCATCTCAGAGATACCATTCCCTTCTACCCTATATCCGAATTAATATATATCCGATTTAATAGTTATTGTGCATCCCTATTTAAGCCATTATGTATTTTTACAAAACTATTCACAGTACCGTTTATAATTTTTCCGCAACAGAGATCCCCACTTTCTTTTTGTTGACTTTTTGTTGATAAAAGTTTTTACATCAAGAAATTTTGATATTTTTAGCTAAGTGATTTCTTTGTGTTGATGCACCATTTTTTTTATTTTTTCTATTGTAATATTATTGATAAGAAAAATCATTATTTTGATTGAAACCCAGTCTGCAGAGTATGGCATGTGCACACCGGAGATATTTTTGTGCAAAACCTGTTGCACACCCGTATTTTTGGGTGTGGCAACTAAGATGGGTGTGGCTTAGAAAATGTCAGCTGATAAAAACAAGCACAGTTGTGTATAAGCAATTTGAGATATCATGAATCTTACTTGACAAATATACAAATAAAAACTTGCGCTATCTTCAACAGTATACTTCACACGCATTTTTACAGTGAAATGCAAATTCACGAATTTCAACCACAACAGGGGAAAATAGTCGGTGCACACCAGCACACCAGACATTTTTGGTGGTGCACACCGTCACACCAGGCTTTTTGCTTGTGCACACCGGAGATCTCGTCGAAAAGTGCCACACTTTGCAGACTGGATTGAAACCAATTCAACTCATTATTTTCTTTGCTTAATTTTTTTGCAATGATTTCTGGGCACACCAGGATTCAAACACATAGTACATGACTTCACTTAAATACACAACACATGCAACTAATAGAAAATAGCAGGACGAAATTTTCTTTTTAACTTATTTTTTTCACCACACATTTCACAGTTTCTTGCCACAAATATAGTAATATTTTTGAGGCAATCTTTAGCTCTTCTAATAAAAATGGAAGTCATATATTGTATGCAAGGTATAAACAAAAAGATGATATAATGAATTCAAGGCAACATTTTTTTATATGAATTTATTTTATCTTTGAATCATAAACGTAGGGTTGTTCCCTTTGGAACAAACAACAAATTCTCAATGCCATGTGACATAACACTTTGGGGAGATGAGGAAAATAAAGATCAAGTCATAAGAGAAATGAATCGTGGTGGTCTACATCTCTCGAGCTACAAATCAAAAGAATATGGATCTGACGGATCTGATGGTAACAGTTCCATTGGATCTAGAGGCCCCATGGTCCATTCTGTCAAGGTTTCTGCCCAGGCTGTGAGTATTAAACCTCTGCCCTATGTTTTGTATGTAGGTTAAACTGTTGTTCAATGTTTTTTATTCTCAGTCATTGTATTACTCTTTACAGAGTGGGGAAAAAAATTAGTACTTATAAGTAATGAATAATTTAAAAAATTTTCTGTTACTAGAATGCTAAAAAATACAGAACTTTGATAACCATTTAGGTTATTAAATTGAAAAAAACAAGTATATTGAAATAAGAAATATCAAAGCATTAGACAAATTCAAACTTTTATATTTTCCATTAGTTATATATTGTTGCAACATGTTTTTATTCAAAATGAAAATAAACAAGCTTGATATTTCTTTCCTCTCTTCGAAGCCTGATCTTTCTTTCTTTCCATCCCTCCACCCTTTTCTTTGTTAGGGCTTAGCTATACCCTCCTGAACCTATCCCTAACAGCACCAACTTTAAAAATATCTCAATTTTTCAGATGAAAAGAGAACTGGATCAAATGTTTGAGAAATTAACTGAAACCTCAGTTTCTATGATTTCTGAACCTGCTGATGTGAGTAACATTGGAGTACGGAGAAAATTTATTCTTTGTTTCCAAATTTAACATGTCTTGAAAGTGACATTAGCAAAAATACTTGTCATCATTTTCGCAAATGTGGGCTCACACAAAAACCTTTGCAGATGAAACATGATATTATATTGGCTTCTGGAAATCTGCGAGATTTTTTAAATTGAGACCACAATAGGTGTCCACATATGAACAAAATTGTTGACAAAAAAAGCAACTTAAAATGTGCAAAGTTGAGCTCTTTGTTAAGTCATTTGTTGCAGAGATTATTTCATAAGTTTGTGTAATTTATTGAAGAGGTTAAAGAGATTTTGATTACTAATTAAAGTTCTAGCAAGCCCAACATACCCTATTACAGTATCAATATTTATCGGCAGCCTTTGAATAGATAAGCATATTCTTTAGGCATTGAAAACAAAACTATACCCACATCAATTGCAAGCACTTTCGTGGATGATGGCTTGCGAAAATGGGAACAGTTTGCCACCATTCTGGGAGGAAAGAGGACCAAAAGACTTTTTCAATTCAGCAACTAATTTCAGTGCTCCAAAGCGTCCTGAAAGTGTCAGAGGTGGGATCTTAGCAGACGATATGGGCCTAGGAAAAACATTGGAGGTCATATCACTGATTGTCACAAATTTTAAGAATGGCAAAAATCTTGTCACTGTTGACAAGACCAAGGAAGTTGTCATCAATGCAGAAGATGGAGTAAGTATTTCTTTTTTCTTTGAGCATAGAGAAACACTGTCTTAGTACCTAAAATGTTGCAATAAAAGTAACAACGGCTATGAAATGGCTTTTTATTTTCTCATCTTTGTTAATCTTAATGATCTATAAGTCCCAAATCTGTCTTTCCTTGCTCGAATGCACTCATATTTTGGGTGGTGCTCCCAAATCTTTGTACCACCTCATTGCCAAAACCCATTCCAAAACCATTTACCTTGTCAGCAACTGTAACCTTACAACTTTTCTTGAACCTTTTTCTTTTGGGTGCAGTGTTTTTGATCTCTATTTCTCAATTTTATAGACTCCACAATGGGCATTGTTCTCAGGAGATCAGAGATTTAATCAGGGCTCCCATGAGACAAATACAATGTACCAGATCCGCCTCCAGTGCTCACCCTTTCCAGTTCTCTTCACCAAATTCTGTAAATTTGTCACACAACTCCTCTTTCCTTATAAGATCTTGTAGACTTTGAAACTTTTTACTTTTGAACTCTCTACTCTCTGCCTGAATCCCAGACTCTTTAATGCCAACAAAATGGTTAAGCTTGATCTTTTGTCCCTCTATTCTCAATCCTTCCTCTTTTCCTAGCTAGGGCTTTATGCTATATACCCTCTGGCCTTATAAAATAATAGCAATGCAGAACCAAAAAAATAACGCCAATGCAGAAACATTGCATATTTATGTACTTTTCGTCTGACACATAGGCAAAATAATGACTGAAGGTAAGCAGAGATTTACGGTGAGAGTAAGAATGAAACATTGCTTCTTTCCTTGTGACCAATCGATGACTGCTAACTGCTCACAGAGGTCAAAAGTACTATGTGCTTGATGATTCTGTGTTTCCATGCTATCTTCCCATTTTACCAAAGGATTTTTTTGAAAATATCACTTTTGCTAGGGAGGCAGTTGCCTTCTAGTCACTATGTTGTTGCTGCTTAATAATATTCATTGAAATAAAAACATTCAATTCTGAAAGGTTGCATAATAAATTTGTAAACTTATTACAGGAAATTATTCCAAAGAAGAAAAGGAAAAGAACACCAAGTTCTCATAAATCAAAGAGAGAGAGTTTCAAAGAAATCTTAAATGTTAATGATGAGGAAGATGATGCTAAAATGGAAGCTGAGCTTCCACCTCTTCCATCTTTCACTTCAACAGAAGACCCAGATTTCATCTTGTCTACAGAAAATGCACCACCCATGGAAACCAATGTAAGCAAGCGCCCACAAAGGTATGACATCAGTTTAAAGAAAAATGTCATATACTGTCTTTTGAAGGTCTGCATCTTCTTTTAACAGTCTTTCTTATAAAATTAGACTTTCACATGAGAATTTAATAAACAAATTGTAACCAACGTTTCTTAGAAAACTCCTGAAACCTTTTACTTGTGGCCAATAGTTTTGACCAGTAAGATTTGCTTACTTGCAGTTCAGTGCTTGTTGTAGAAAGGTGCTAAATTTATGAAAAATGAAAGTGTTAAGGTACAAACTTAAGCCCTCTTTTAGGTTTCAGAATAATGCCTTATTATTGTGGAATCAGATCCAAATTAATCTCCATCCAAGCTGGTATGAGTTGGCCTTGTGTTTGCATAAGTCATTTCACACCTGAACACATTGGAATCTGCCATAAGTCAAATAATTTTTACATGGATTTGTTTGTATCCGTATTTGACAAAGATCTCTATCACAGGCCTGTATCTTTTAATTATGAGTGACAAATTAAGGTGTGTAACATATCACACATTTAGAAAAAAGAAGTTATGGCTCAAGGAATAGAAGAGGGACATTCCCAGTCAAGCATGGGGTATCTTTCGTAGCTTTTTGTCTCACTGCATATGAAAATTTCAATGTAAAAATGTGCCACAGCTCAAAACCTTGCCCTAACTCAACTTTATTATTAGGAGATTCTAATCTCTAGTTCCTGTAGGTTTTGTGTGAACTCTGCAAAAATTCTTTTTGATAAGAATTTCTTCAGTCTGATAAGAATTTACTTATCCTGTCAACAGAGCCTCAAAACGTCCGGTGCGGTACATATATGATGATGATGAAGAATCTGTTAATAGCTCGAATGTTGATACTGATTCAATGGAAAATGCAGGCAAGGAGAAAAGCAAAAGGAAAAAACCAAGGCAAACTAATAGCAAACGTTAGTGTTTATTCATTTTTTTGAACAATGTGATTTATTATCAGATGTTCAAAGGAGATATAAATAAATGATGTCAGTGAATAACACTGTAATAAAAATACCTTCAAGGCCATGAATAAAACTTATGCAGCTTTTACTTTCAAATAGCTTTCACACAATTTTCTTAGATTAAATTTTGTAGGAGCAGGAAACAATTGAAGAAGATTCTGCTCATAAAATAGCCATTATTAAAAGATAAAGGATAAGAATGAGGATTAAGTGGTTTGTTATCTTGGTTCTCTAAGATCATGCAGATCTAGAACTGTCAAGTCTTTTCTACTTCAAGAAGCTTATTACTCTTATATTCAGCAATCAGAGTTTTCACGTACTGATGTAATGCATGCTTTTAATAGTTCGAAGAATACCTGTTCAAGTCAGCAGCAGACACTTCATTGTGAAGTTATTGCCAGACAGAGAACATAATCAAAAGCAAAAATTTTCCAAATTATTCAAATTCTTCTGTTTTTTCCTACCTCGTTGAAGCAAGCCCCTTAAGAAAGAAACTTTCCAACTGTTTTTGTTCTGACAATAAACTAGTTGGAAACAATTTGCTAAAGTAGCAATGTTTTTTAGGCATGGAAGGTTTTTCATCCGAATTATACTTGATTTTTTCAGCAAAATTCAACGAAATACAATCCACCAATCAGTTACCTGCCCAAGAACAAGTATGTGTCAGCGAAACTGTCATAGTTGATGGTGACACTTTCAAAGTTGATGGCGAAACTGTCATAGTTGATGGAGGTAATTTAAAAGTTGATGGTGAAATTGTAATAGGAGATGAGGGAAGTATGAAAGTTGAAAATGAAACAGTCATAGTTGATGGGGGAGATTTAAAAGTTGCTGGAGAAATTGTTGTTGGTGATGGTGAAACGTCCCAAGTGCACTGCAGTCAAAATGGCGCTGTAGCTGAAGGTAATATGAACATATATTTAAACTTAGAAACTATTATCTTCAATGTTAATAAAGTAAATACTGCATTTCAATCAATGTAGTAGACATTTTGATACTGAGAGTGCATGACGTATTGTTTGTTTTGGTAGGCAAATACCATTTTTTTGGCTAGGCAATACTATTTTTCTGGTAGGCCAAAAAACAACATGACAGTGTGCCTTTTAATCTGGAATTTTTAGACATTTGAAGTATAAGTAGCACTTATTCAACTGAAGCCTACATTGTAACAGATTTTGAGCAGCCCTGGTTTTGGCTTATTACCAAGATGCAATTGTGCATTTGTTTGTTTTATGTTTGCAAACGCACACATTAAACATTTAAATTTTGATTGAAATTTTACTATTGATATTTTCTGACCCTGGCAAAGTTACCATAAGTTTGCAAAAACAAATTGTTGTCAAATTGTTATTATGGGAATAATTACTGTTAAAATTTGTATGTAGACTGAATTTTCTGAAAGAGATGAAGAGTTGTAAGTCTTGTGTCATGTTTTCAAGGTTGCACTGAAAAAAATAATGATTAAATTTTTGCATATTTTTAAACAAATATTTCTATCTCAGTAAACCAGGACAACTGCTTTACACTCAAAACTTACAAAAGCAAGAAGACAAAGGCCAGTGGAGCAAGAGCAACTTTGGTGATTTGCCCGCTCTCGGTGCTTAGCAACTGGCAGGTAGCTACCACAATTTGTAATCATCAGCTTCATTTTAGTCCTCTTCTTCATCTTTATTACCCTTTATTAAAGTGAATGACCTAAGTTAAGACAGGGAATCCAATCAGAATGCAGAAACATAAGTTCATGCAAGAGTCTCTTTCATCAATTATCACCACAGCTCACGTGTTCATGCCTGAATTACAGTGAACTGAAGGTTGTTTGTAGGCCTTTTAACTCAGGCCATTCACTTCAAGAGCCGTAATACATCATTATATGCGTCTCCAAATTCATCAACATCGTTTTCTTGTTATATTTGGCTGTGTACATTCTTTTTCTGAACTTCATTCAGATGTAGTTTTTTCAAAAAGATCTCGAATGATCTCCAATTGGTGTATAGAAGAGGACGGTTCTAAGTTGCCACTTTGAGTTTAACACTTAATGCGATCATCGGACTACTATATATATTTCCTAGCTGAGAACTTGCGAACATTATTCTGTTTTGTTATACTCTGAAGAGTGCCAGACAGAAATCGGCAGTATGTTTTAAAATACTTGTTTTTCCAAAGCAAATTCTTAAATTTTTCCCGCCAAAATTGTTATCAGATGATAAGTAAATATTAATTATCATTAAATAAAAGAGATACTTGTATATTTGGTAATCTTAAGTATTCACTATGCTGCCAGTTCTTTGTTTAGTATGCTATTTCTATGTTTAGTATGCTATTTCTTTTCCTCTTAGGCCGAAATTTCAGAGCACGTTTGGCCAGGCCTCCTTGATGTTCACACATACTATGGAAGTGATCGTATTCGCGACCCGAGCATTTTAAGTCAGAAGGATATTGTGTTGACGACTTACCAAACGTTGGCTACGGAAGCCAGTAAGGTGGGCTTAAAGATTTGGTAGATTTGTATTTGAGTTTGGAAGCGAAGTTGTATTTAGAAGGGCTAATTCCTTGAATATTGATCAAAGTGAGCGAGAATTTGCGGGAATGGTTTGGCACTTTCCCATTTCTATGATGCAATAAATTTGCAACCGATTTGTTCAGCAAACTCTTTCCCTGTACCATGCAGCAGTTTTTACACTGATCTTTTAACCATTTATTGCATGTTCCGTAAAAAGCTGGGACGTTGTATCTAATTTTTTTTCATCTGCTCGACCACTGCATCTATATACACAGAGTATACTTCAGGTACATCATCCATGATTCAAAGACGGATGTCTGCAAAGGTCCCCTCTCTGTCTTTTCAGCACGAATCTGCTTTGATGCAGACAAAATGGCTTCGCATTGTTCTCGACGAAGGCCACTGCATTAGGAATCCAAATGCCTTGCAAACCAAGAAGATTCATGAACTGCAAGCTGAAAGGAGATGGGTCGTCACTGGTACACCAATTCAGAATTCAATGAAAGATTTGTGGTCTCTGATCTGTTTCCTGCGATTGGATCCATTCACAGACAGGCAGTGGTGGACAAGGTTCGTGGAAAGACCTATTAAAAATGGAGAGAAAGATGCCACGATGTATGTATCAGCTCATATACTCTTATCAAAAGACAAAACTTGCTTGTTATCACCAGTACTTGAAATTAAGATCTTGGTTATGTAGCTCAAAAGCATGGGCCATTATTCTTCTATGACTTTTAAGTATATTGTATAATTGTTTATAACTTACGTTGCGTTGTTTATATATTTACGTTGTTTATACATACATTGATAAATGCAGTTTGATGCTGTTTGGTCCAATGTTTATTACTAGGTTTTCGTAGTCTGACCCCCAATACTCTAATTTTTGTTGAGATCATTTTCCACCACACCCTTGGCTTCTCTAGTCTTTCAAGCCTGACGTTGATTCTATTATCCACAACTTCGTTATAAAGGAGACTGCAGCAAGTGATGAAAGTGATTGCATTGCGTAGAACTAAAACTCAACGTGGGTCAAATGGAAAACCTATTGTAGACATTCCCGAAAAGAACATCTTTGTCAGTTACGTTGAATTTTCGCCTGAGGAACGAGATATTTACAAGGCTGTAGCAGAGGAAGGGAAAATCACAATTGGAAAGTAAGGAAAGATTGATATATACGTCTATTTTAAAGGCTCTTGCGCAACTGTCATGCTTTGCGGTAGCTGATCTTTTAAGCGACGAGAAATAGGCTGTATTTGGTATTTTTTATGCAGTACAATATCATGCTGGCTTGGGAAATATAGGCTTGGAAAATATGGTTGCTCAAGAGCCCTCATCTTGTATTGGCTCAGGTCACATAATTTTTGCATTGAGTTTAAAAAGTTTACAAACATCATATAATATTCAACGTATCGGCAACATTTAAAGTTTATTCGTTATTCGAATATCTGATTGTATAAATATTCGTTATTGCCAGCAGTGTTATTTACGTGTTTTCTGAAAAATAAGATCAATTAAAAGAAATTTAGGATTTGAATAAAAATTTGGAGTAAATAGAATTTATGTTGGTTATTGCTATTTTGCTTTCAAATCAAGGTTTATCGTCCTGTAGGTTATCAAAATTTATCCGCCTAAGTATCTGGCTAATTACTGATAACTTAATTATTTTCTCCCTTTCATGTGTTTTTGTAACTTTGTGTTTATCACACAAAGTCTGTTGGTACCATTTTTCAATTACATATCACCGAGGTATATATTTATCTTGATCTTTCAGATATCTAAAAGCTGGTACACTATTGAAGAACTATTCCGAGGTTCTTGTCATCTTGACAAGACTTCGTCAGCTTTGCTGTCACCCACAGCTCTGTACTGCAGCCCTTGAAGCTGCCGCAAAGCAAGGTATAAGTATAACGAATCATGAAGGCATTAGCAAGTCCCTGCGATTTATACCCCAGCCCCCTCTCTTAATTTATTCCTATCCTCTAGTACAATAGAAAGTACATATGGAGAATTTATTTGTCCTAGTTTCATGTATTACGATCTCTGCCCGTGTATTCGTGTACATTTACAGATTTGTCTTAACGAGACTAAATTGATTGGCATTTTTTCAAATTATCAACAATTTTCAAATCTTCTTAAAAACAAGAGACAAAAACAACGACAACGGAGTCTAGATGGATTGGTTTTGTAGCCTTAATAACATATTTCACATAACAAGCTAACTATACGCATAACAAACTATGATCTCGATTATTGTCTATGTTGATAAGATGAACTATAATTTGCTAAATAGATGTGTGTTATTGTAAAACTATTTGTCACTGAAGATTCAAACTAGTCTAAGGGTTGATGGCATGCAGTCTAATATGCTTTGTTGCGCATTAAATTATTGTCCATTTGCAAATGAAATTTTTTCAAAACCTGTGGGAAACTGCTTCATCTTCGAAAATAGATGTCGTAAACCCTCGTTAGAGATAATTCCATTTAATTACAATATAAGGAATTAATCGCTGCATGCTGATCTCAAAAACCTGACTCTAGGACCCTTTGGCAGATGCAAAAATTGTTATTTTTGCATTTCACGATGCGGACTCCCATGCCCTCCGTTCATAGGTAGGCACTTCTTGAGGCCTTTTTCTTTCGCTCTCTTATAAAAAGTTTGATTTAGGTGAAACAAAGTTACATACTTAGATCCCTATATTACTTTTGAAGGCACTATTTCAGTTGTTAACCTTGTTTATATTTGGCAAATAACCATGGTAGTTTCTCCTTTTCTTTATAGCCATGGAGGGTTCAACACCAGAGGAGCTTAGAAAAAGACTGACAGCAATTTTAAGCATGGTCATTTCAGGGGTCAGTGAAGACTGCCCGATCTGTATGGATCCTCTTGATCTTCCCGTTATTACCCACTGTGCGCATATTTTTTGTCGGAAATGCATTGAAATGTCAATTGAAAGAACAAGTCCGACATGCCCTATGTGTAGAGGATGCATATCTGTAGATAAACTGGTTGATCCCCCCGCTGATCAAGAGGAAGACAGTATGGAAAGCAATGAATGGAATTCTAGTGCCAAGGTATGCAACTTTTTTCAAGTTTTTATTTTAATCGATGGCAGTAGACGGCCCCTTTTTATTTGTAGTCCTAAGGAGACTGTTTTTTATGAGAGTCTTGAGTCTATAAATTGGCCACTGCGTAGTAATGCTAGCTTTCTGCGCTTTCTCAGTTTTTTTCCTATACTAGTCTTGCATTGGTATTTTTTTATGCCAATATTCATTATTTATACCAATGATAGTATCATAATTAGGCATGCGTCGAATGTAACATTGTAACAAGTACAGTTTCCACGGTCTTCATAAGTCGGTGCTTCTTTGCAGTTTTGTTAAAGCAGTTAAAATACTTTTTCAGTTAAAACACTTTTTGAGTTAAAATACTTTTTCAGTTAAAAATTTTTTTACAGTTAAAATACTTAGTTAGAAGCAGTGTTATTCGGTACCATTGATGACGTCATGGTCTGGATTTCCAGGTCGATGCTTTGTTGAATGCCTTAGAAAAGCAAAGACAAGCAGATGCATCAGTAAAATGTCTCGTGGTGTCTCAGTTTGCCTCATACCTGCGCTTGCTGAGAAAACCACTGGAAGGAAGGGGCTTCTCTTTTGTGCACCTCGATGGAAGCATGAATCAGGAGCAGAGATCTAGAGCCATCAAAGAATTTTCTGATAAAAGTCCCAACTCTCCAAAAGTTTTTCTGCTGTCTTTAAAAGCTGGTGGTGTTGGTCTCAACCTGACTGCTGCTTCGAAAGTTTACCTGATGGAACCAGTGAGAATGCATGATTATATTGAATTACAATACTTTTTGGATAATTAAACCTAACAACTTGATTTGTTGGGTTACATCGAAGAAGTGCACTCTTTTTTTGGCAGACAATTGTCCTAAAAAAGAAAATCATTCAGCAACAAGACGAGGATCGTTTTGTCTTAACCCGTCATTAAATGGTTTCTTGATAGCAATAGATGTCTTTCGGTGATACGGTCTTTTTTGCTTTAATACAAAACGGCACCATTTGCTAACTGAAGCGAAGAACTCCTTGTTATATTGGCAGTCCCACTTCCTGTTTTACAGCCAGTGAATCAACTCCCCCTCCTTACTGGCTGACACCGTTTAAACATGCTATACTTTAAGTTTTTCCTGCATTCATTGTGCAAATGGAGAAAACAGTCAAAATCCCGGGTCCTGTTTTTCTACAAGTGCTTTACTCCCTCCTCCTTACTTGCTGGCACCGTTTTAGCATGCCTTTAGTTGTTCCAATGAAAAAAACAGTTAAGAGAAAGCCAATTTCAACAGAGAGAAAACTGGGCTTTGTTGATGGACACTCTTTTAGAACACAATTTTGCAATGTAGTTTAGTGTTTCGAAATTTTATTCACGTAACCACCCAATGCATTTTGTTGACTAACATCATTTTCGATAAAGCTCTTTTGTTTGCTTTCTTCTCACCAGGCATGGAACCCAGCTGCTGAAGACCAATGTTTTGACCGATGTCATCGTTTAGGCCAAACAAGGCCCGTTGAGATTCATAAGGTATTCACTTATATGTGCTATCAAGCAATCGAGATTTAATGAAGTTTAAAATGTCAGTTAATGCTTTTAGCCTGTTTAAATGTTTTCATTTACTGTTAGCTCAGTTGTACATATAACTCATGAGTGGCTTTTAAAAACATTTTAGTTGCCATATTTCATCTTTTGTTGCATGTTTAGAATCTATCCAAATTTCCGCCGGAATCTACCATGATGTCCATAAGAATCATATAAAAAGGACTGGTTTAGTTTCCTTGCGAATCAACTGAAATTATGTCAAATTAAAAGCCTACTTTTAGTGTTGCATACAAAGTTTCTACACAAAACGACACTCTGTGGGGTTGCTACAATGAGTAGTTAATCCATTTGATACCAAAGGCTCTTTTATTGACTGTGGGATGAAGGTATCTGTACATCCGAGATATACAATGCTGGCTGAAAGTCTGGGAGTATCTGATTATCTTGATTTCTATTCCTGACCACCTTATTTCTAAGTAATAAAATATCTTTACTTTTTTCGAAAAGCAGACAGAAGCAGTCGGGTATAAAAGCAGCCCCAAATTAAGTGATCCAACACTACTCTATTGGACGTGAAAAGAGAGAAAGTTGATGAAATGTTTGGCCACTACTGGGGGTAGGGGGGAGAGAGAACCAATACGACGATTGTTCTTGGGGGGTTTTGTGTAACAGAGGGTGCTCAGAATAATGTATTTTTTTAACAAGAAACCTTGCGGGAGTTTTAGACTAGTGAAAAGCTGGGAAATACCAGGCTGAGTTATGAAAAAATCCTTTTGAAGAAGAAGTTGTATTTAAAAATTAAATCTTATACTGCTTTTATAATCTACTTTTGGTGTTTCTGAAGACAGGTTTTCAAATGATGTCTATACACAAGAAAACGCAAGTAAATTTAATGCTTGAACTGAGAAAACGCCCAGTCTAAAGTAAAAAAAACACTGAAAATGTCCAACGTTTGTCGGAGATAGCTGCTCTTTTTGTGACAGAACGGTCTGAATCCAGCAATACAAACTACTAAAGAGGCTACCAAAAAGATGCAACATTTATACAGTTTCTCTTTTTCGTCATTTACCTTTCACTTTTTCCATTACGTCTCTCTTGAGAATATTTTATCGATAACTACTTCTTCTACTTCTGTTTTTAATCGCTACTACTGTCATTTTGTCTTGCGTTTTTCTTTTTCTCTGTAATAACACGTGGCACAATAACTAGATTCAAGTTCTCTGTTAGAATTTGGTAACGATTGCGATGGATTTAACTCACCTGATTTCCTTTGCGTTTCAGTTTGTCATTAAAAATTCAATTGAAGAGCGCATGCTTGAAATGCAGGATCGAAAGAAGATGCTGATGAGTGGGGCATTTGCGAAACCCAAGGCGGAGGAGGCTCGACAGCAAAGAATCAAGGATGTTGCAAATCTCATGAACTTTGCATGAATAAATTTTGGTTAATTATGATAATGCATTCTTCATAGTATTATAAATGATTCTAGATTATTCAAAGATGGAGGTGGCATCGATAAGATTTTATTCGATTGAGTAAACGTGACAATGAAGGAAAGTGCTGTAAAGCAACAAGTTAGCAAACAGATATGATACTCCTGACTTGTCCGTTTTTCATTTGGGGGAGACACGTTTTTGAAAGCATCTGCAAATCAGTTTACCTTCCCTAGCCACTTATCAGTGCCACCGAATGAGAATTGTGTATTTTTTACAGGAATTTTTGTAAGGTCGAAATTAAGTAGCTTTTAGATGAATTATTAGTTACGATAACAGTATGTGCCTTAGCTGTGCTGCTTCCTGTTCGAGAGGGTAGGGTATGCTGTATTTTTGCTGGGACCACAGAATAGAGAGTAGGGGCTGTGTTTCAACAATGTTGTGTTTGACGTGACCTCATGTTAATACAATGAGTGCAATGAGAAAGGAGTGCTAATTCTATTCACAAAACAACTAGCAGAGCTTGTAATGTTGTGTAGTAAGGGCGTTTAAAGCACTTCTTTCCTATACGAAATCTCCAGAAGCAGAACGAACAACTGATTTGACAGCGCATTTGAATCGTTTCTTAGCACCCAGACAGGTCTCTATTCCTTAGCGATTAGTAGTGGAGACATGTTAGCAGAATGTGATCCAAAACTACAGGAGAACATTCTGAACTGATCACAGTCACAAATGATTATTCCATACTTGTGGTTGACTCAACCATAGAAGCAAATGTATAGTCCGGATACTACTATTGCCTTTCTCCTACACCCCCTCCTCTTCTAAATACCCGTCGTGTCCCCTGTTCCATATGATATGTCAAACAATAGTTCATTCTTCGTATTATACTTATATTCACGTTCTGTTCTGTTGTAGTTTGCGTGGTTGGCTAATGTTAATAGTAATAGTAATATCTTGTATCTTCAAGCTTTTGTAAGTAGAATTGATTAATTTTGCTCTGAAAATTCATTCTTTCGAGCATATCATTGTTATTTTTTCCATCTTTAACTCTGCCATCGATGTCTTTGTGGCCTTATATGTGATAATCCACTTCAATATTATTTCCAGAAAGGCCCATTAAATGTATTAACACGTAAAATTCGTTTATTTCTCACTGGCTGTAGTTTTATATCTAAATGTACCAAAGATATTCTGCCTTTTATAGAGACGATTCTGACAGGGTGACAGGCCAGAGTGAGGGTCATCAACATGTTCGCAAAAGAGAGTCAATTAAAAACCAAGTGACTGAAACCCAGGCCAAGGCAAACCATTAGTCTTCTCCAGGTTTCTAAGTACCCAATAAGCATTTATTTTCCAATTTTGTTCTTCCTTTTCAGTATATTTGATTTCAATTAAAGTATCCGCGATTAAGAAATGTTTTCCATCTTTTTCACATGGTATCTAGGATAGAGTCAACAATTTTCTAAAAGTTGATGCTCTTCACGCACCGAACCGTAACTAAAAATTAGCTCGCTCCCTTTTAAAAATTATAAATTGAATTTTCGTTTTTGCTCCTATCACTTTAAAAAAATGGTGCCCCTCCAGTAACTCTACCCTTTCTACGTCACTGCCATTACACATTCAATCTGTACGTCAATTTTACCCTCGGCTGTCTTTGGTCTATCACGTTATTCTTTTTGCAATTACATACCCCATAATCAGCATCAGTCATAATCAGGGTAAGACAATTTTTGAGACAAAATGCAAAATTTGTAATTTTCTACTTTACACTGCCTCTGTAAATTCGAATCCCTCTCCCCCCCCCCCAAATCAATGTTGGATTTGTAGTTCTATCATTTCCCCTTCAAAATCATTCATCCAACATTTAATTGAGGGAGGGGGAAAAGTTATTTTTCAAATGAAAGAGAAAATATAATCTTTCCTTGAAAAGTCTCGAATTTTTTGTCCGGTATTTTGGTTTAATAACTTGGAAACAATGTTAAAAGTTATAATAGCATATGATCGTCTGAGCAATACGAAGTAAAAGCGGAACTTTTGCTCAATTTTGTTGTGTCTGAACCACAACAGCTGCACAACTGAAAGGCTTCTTACCATTCGAGAGCCGGAAAAGGATCCCAATTTCCTTGAATACACAACTATCGATTTGAATACACAGCTATCGATGTATTTGCCTCACAACTTGAAAAGCGTAGCTTTGATTTGTTAAATCATGTCTGGTACGCCTACATTGTGGGATAAGTATTAAAGTTCAGGAGCAGGTAACATTATAAAAGGAGCTTGGCCAAGTCTTAACATCAGCAGATATGCTGTAAGTTATTGGCAACTTATAGGAATCTGCCGTTTTTGAAAGTTAACATCGCGAAAGGTACTCTTCATTTTTACTTCAATTTGGTAACACGAGTTTAATATTGAGTAATAGTCAGGAACATAGCAACACGACGATGAGTATCTAATGAAGTCAAATCTTATTTCAAAATAGATTATATTTCATATTCGTATTAATAATCATCGCAAGATTCACGGAATCTGGCGGACAGCATATCCTGCGTTTCTTCCTTTTCACATACTTCTTAATATTGAATGTCGCCTATTTTATAGCATTGCATTTTGTGTCAAAGAGCCTCTCACAACATCTTGGGCTATCCTGTATCATGCAGTGGCATTTCATTGATACTTAAGACTTTCTAATGTATACGATGGTACTTACTGCTTAAAATTATTTTATAAGCTTTTTTTCCTTTTGGAGCTTTCTTGCTTATGTATCTATGAGGAATAAAAGCATGTCGTTAGAATATTTGATAAAGAAGTTATTATCTAAAAAGGTTTCTGTCATCGTAATTCTGTCATCGTAACTGTGAATTCAGAAATCAATTACATCTCAGTTTCTTTGCTGTTTAAAGTATACCCATTATTTACATTGCTGCTAACACTTATCTTTCAGATATCGCCTTGGAGCATGAAAACCAAAATGTCGAGGAACTCCCCACTTCTCCTTAGTGCAGTAATGGCTGCAGTTATCCTAATGCTGGTAATACATTTTTTCCTTTATTTGTATGTTTACCCTGCCCCCAGACCCTAACCACACCAAGAGCTCTTAACCACACCAAGAGCTAATCAACAGAAAAGCTATTTATTTTTTTTTCAAATATTCTAATGTGATTATCATTAAGTGCACATAATATATATATTTCTGTCTGTGATGCGTTTCTAACTATGACAGCTCAAAGCGTTTAGACCAATCCTACGTTGTGTAAGATGTATAAACTCAAATTGAAATCTCAAAAATTGAAAATATTGAGCGTTTGTTTTTAGCATTTGAAATGGCCTAGGAAACTACCAAGCTTAAAAAAATATTCCCAAAAGGAATGTCTGCGTAAGTTTCTTTTATTCTCTTTTATCTTATCATCTTTCATCTTTTATTTTCTTTTATTTTTCTTTTATCTTATTTCTTTTATTTCCTTTCTTTTAAAACTCTGGTGTTCTTCCCAGGTTGCAGTTCAGAACTCAACGCACCGAAAAATGGTATGCTTGTTATCAACAAGGAAGAAACTGTTGCCGTAGCATTCTGCCCGGAAAATTCTTTTCTTTTAAAAAATGGCCAGGCTATTGTCTTTCCGGGAAGATATGTGAAGAGGGATGATAAATGGGAGCCTGATCCAGTGGAACCAGGTCCGGATCTTGTTCCTGTTCCGGACTGTGTTCGTAAGTATATTATGAGTGTATCAGAAATTAGTCAATTTGGTATTTTCCTATTATAATAAGGGTCTGAAAATAGATAACATTTTCTACAGCTGAGTTATCTGTCACAGAAACTGAAACAAATTTGTCAAATGAAGGATAGACAACCATAACTCCAACCTTCACCAAAATGTATCACGTGCACCGTATTGTTAGTTTGATTATTTGGGGATCCTGTATTCGAAAATATTTTCATGTTGGTTCTCATGATTGCTTCTCACCCTTCTAATAAATAAAGAACTGCTCTTATATAAAATCGTTTCTTAGAGAAAAAATTATAGAAGGGATAGAAAAGCTCTTCCTTATAGCGAATTCCATGATTATTTTTCATGAAAGCAGTGATGCAGGCTCTACACGTATTTTTTTATAAGAAGCTAAGGTCCGGTGCTGGTAGGCAGTTCCTTAAATTTTCTGGCCATTTTGCTATCAAAAGTTTCTGATATGTTTCTTAAATTTCTTAGGTAATGAATTTTTTAAATTTGCTTCCAAGGTAAAATAAATAGTTCACCCACATTCAGAGATGAACTAACAAAGTGATCAAGGAATTTTGTTTTCCTAGAATGACTAACTCTGTTGAGATCTGTGAACAGTTAAGCTCATTGAACTTCATCAATGTCAAATTGAATTCAAAACAAATTTTTAAATGGAAACTTCTTGAGTATGCAATTTACTGGGATAAATGCAAACTGCATGTGAAGTGTAGTGTTGCAATATACAGTGATATTCAATGTCAAGACTGTTTCTAGTGTCAACTCGGAAAATTAAAATTGCAAATTATAAAAGTTTTTTAGCTTTTTTCAATTTGGGTAGGGTTGTTTCTTAACTTTCGAAAAATTGAGCCTACCGTTTCTTATAACCTGTTTCTTATAAAAAATGAGTGTGTTTTAAGGAAATGCTCTATCTTCTTTTAGATGTTGTCACAGAAGCTATGTTGACAAACTTTGCAGAGGCGTATCAATATAGAGGCAGTTGTAGTTCTCAAAACGTTCAAGATGATATGAAGAGACGATTTTTGGCATTTGGTGTCTGCGAGGGCCACTGCCAAGAAGGCTTGAAGTCATTGAGTGCAAAATGTGGCTAGACCCTCAACAAATATATTTTCTTAACTGCCAATGAAGATAAAACTTTATAATACTTCTATATTATTGGCAGTATGTAAACTTTAAGGGTTTGTATATTGAATGTGTATGATAACAGTTAACATTTTAGAAGGTATAGATGCTAGATAAAAAACAGAAATGCTTTTCTCCACGTCTCACACCCAGAGTGTGTGTTTTGTTATGTTGTTGCTTTCTGCAGAGCCGTTTTTAAATCCTGTACTGCCAAAAAATTGTTGTGTCATATTCTGAAACTGAATACCTTTTTATCAAATTGACCAGACACATTCTCGAGAATGCAGAAAGGTGCCTTCTTGCAATGTGATAAATACGGTCGACCAAGAGGAGATATGTTGGTCCCTGGAATACTTGCATTATGTACATTAAGCTAAACTTAAGATTATGCTTTCCAAACAGAAGGAGTACTTTCAACAGTAAGTTGAGAATTAGCCTGTGCAAATCATAGACCACAGTTTGCCATCGGAAATAAATTTGAAATACCTGCATTTCCCCTTCAAGATACGTCAAGCGTTACTGGGGGAATATTTGACAGTTATTTAAAATCATTCTCTTTGTTTAAAAATCCAGATATTTCTTTTTGAAAAGCGGAGTCATTTATTGTCTGACGCACCTTTCTTAGTCTTGTTTTGAAAATTTGAAAATTTTCTGCGTCCTTAATTTGGTCTGGTAAAAAATTCCAAATCATTGTTGCCTTGTATGTGAAACTATTTCTCCCAGTCTTTGTATTATATCTTTTCACTTCGAACTAGAGTTTATTTCTGTTCTTTGTTTTTCTTGTTCTTTGTTCTAAATAACAAACTATTGAAAGTTAGAAGAGAATCACAAGCGAAAAGGTACAGGTCTTTAATGTCGATAGTATATTTAGTTACTGAACAAATTAACCTGTACAATTATGAAAAGTTGTCATAAATATTAACAAGGGATAGATAGCACCACGAAAGAATTTAATTGCGATGACAATGCACGAAGAGATGCTTGAAAGCAAAAAACATTTAAGCTTTGGCTTGAAATATGAATAGCAAAAAAGGAAATTAGAAAACCCCGAGCCAGACAGCTTTTCTGCAAATATTCTTTCTTGAAATTATTACAGGATTTGTTTCAGGGAGGATTTTATTAGAGGCTAGGCCTGTAATAGGTAAATACAGCAAGCACGATCATAGCTCTACACACAAATTTTATAAGAAGTCGTCTTAAAAGCTTGGTTCCCACTAGGCGACTAAGTGCGTTCAAGTGCGTTCGTCTCTGAGCGTTCAAGTTAAAACCCAAGTGGGAATCCTCCGGGCGTTTAACTTGGAGGAGATAAACGCACTTGAACGCTCAAAAAAGTTAAACGCTAAGATAAAAAAAATTTGATCTGAGCGTTTAAACATAAAAGAAGATGAAAAATTCAAGGAGTGTTTCATTCATCAACCAACAAGTAAGGTGCAAATTTAATGCCAAAATAAGGCAATTTCAACCGTAGCAAAGCATCAAATCAATTTTGTGACTGTTAGCACCTTGTGATCAATAAAGCATTGCCAATTAACAGATTTCTGCTAACTTGAAAATTTTAAAAAGAGCTAAACAATCAGGATTACTTGAAATGACTAACGAGAGGCCATAAACTGAAAGCATAGAACATGTACACGGAAAAGAATTTGGAAATTTGTGTCACGAAAATGCAAGGGAACTTAAGTTCCTGTTGCGATCCTGTTGCGATACTTGATCGCATAGTGTGGCTAACAATGGCCTTTACATAATTTTCAAGAGAGGGTTACAACAACTTACAATTGCATAATTTATAAGTGATAAAACAGCAAAAATGTTAGTTATTTTGGTGTTTGAATGCATGTCCCAGAGTCTATAAAATGCGACATTTAGACATTTTGACTTGTCTTCACACAGCTAGCTGAGTGTTTATTTTTTGCAAGTGGGAATGCCTCGGTAGGTTTATATGTTATCTTTAATTAAATTATAGGATTAGAGATGAACGCACTTGAACGCACTTAGTCGCCTAGTGGGAACCAAGCTTAAGAAATCACAAAAATTACTCTCAATTTTAAACAGCTGCTCGAATATCCTACTTTTAAAGATGGGAAGATCTCCTTTAGAAGTATTTTTCTGGTGGTATTTATTGAACTGGTGGTATAATTCTGGTGGTATGAGACAATAGTATTTTTGAAGACACTATTTAGCTATTTAACACTGTACAGAGGTTAATAGATGGGTGTTACGCACAATTATCTTGCCTTTAAGTATCATAAAACTTGATCGAAATTCTGACTAAAAATATTTGCAAAAAAATTTCAGAAAAAAAAACGATTTTATGCTAGAGGGTGAACAAGATAACATCGTTTTGAAAAGATATAACGATTTTTGTACTATACAGAACCTACAAAATTTTATGACCTACCTAGTTTTAAGAAAAATTTATTACCACACATCTGATAAAAATTGGGGGTTTTGGGTAGGGTCCTTAAGGAGTTTCTTCTGGTCACACCTATACTGGAAAACATAAAGGACGAGGCCGTCCCAGAGCGGTGCGAGCTGAACATTTTGGCAACCATGCCCTTAAGATGGGCTTGAAATGGATATCAGAATTTTTGTTGCAGACATTCTCTTACGATCGTTTGTTATTTTTTTACAATCATATCATTTAGGCTTTATTATTTTTAAGCACTCTTTCGTTACTTTTGATTAATTCCATCCTTACAGTGAAATGCATTGCTTTATGGGCCCCCTAGACCCTCATGAAATGTGCAATGAACTAGCTTCTTTCACTGCACCTTAAAATTAGGTATGCTTTTGGTTGAAATTTAAAGATAAAAAAACCCTTCTTTGTCCAGAAGCACACGGGGAAATTTTTAATTGAAAAAGATGCCCCAAACTCTCGATATTAAGTGACAGTAACTTTGCAAGCTCCCTTCGGTGGGTTCTCAGCTCCATGAAAAACAATTCCTTCGTTTAAGAGGGAATCTATTGTAGAATGCTTTTAGTAAGGACTGAAAAATAACAACGCTTAACATGGGGTTCAAAAAGCAAACAAGGTACGTGGATAGCAAAGATTGTATGTGTAATATTTACACATAGGTTAGTTCGTTATCTTTCTTTGTTTATTATTGGTAATGAAATGTAGATAGTTAACTTTAAACGATTTTACGGTTTTTTGTGCAGTTTATGTACTTAATGTAATGTCGAGTTGCATACAAATAATCATAACAGCTGCGTTGGAATAGGGGGGCATGTATATCATACCAAGAAGAACATTTCATGTACCCTATTACCGCAGATACCAGCAAATGTGCTACTAACGGTTAACAATCTCGGTATTATAACAATTAGCCAAAATTTTGGCGATTTTTCTATTTTCTTGAGTCGACAATTTGTACATTTGATAGATTTTAAGAGAAACAAAATGTGCATTTAAGCTGGAAAATCATAAATGGCGTACTAAAATCTGACAAACTACTTCAGGATGCAAAAAATCAGGCAACGTCTTATTGTAACAAAAATGAAACACCGCAATACGACGAGAATGAACAACAATAAAAACACGTAATTCAGTAAAGGCTAATAATTCTCCCCGGCATAAGGGGCTTCATCAGAGCAAAAGTTAACGGGCTAAAAATGTTTACATATTTTAAAAAAGGCGATGGTGGTGTCGGATTGGCTGATGTGGAATGGTGTGAATGCAGCGCAGTGGTAGAGGAGGGAAGGGTGGCGAATGAGAGAGGGTGGGTGGTGGTGGTGGAATGAAGACGTAATGGGGATGAAGTAATATAATATGAAATAATGATATTGTTGCTATAAGGTTAACGGTCAGTAGTTCTGTTCATGCCGTTCGGCGTGAGAGTGTTTGCTAGGCCAATAAGGTATTGCTCTTTGGCTCGTCGGACACTCTCTCGTTTGTCGTTGAGTTTCAGTAATGGTGTTACAGTAAGGTCATTGATGGTATGTTCTGGGTTACAGAAGTGTTTTGCGACACCAGATTTGTCTACTTTTTTGTTTATAATGTCTCGTCTATGTTCGTTAAATCTGTCTTTCAGTCGTCAACGTCTTATTGCTTTAAGTTTTTTTAAACGCTCACAAACATTCCAGATTGAATGGTGAGGCTTTAAAAAGTTGCATTCTCCCTTTTTAATCTTGAATTTTTAAAATTTATTAGTGTGCTAGGCACCGCGGAGAAGGGGGGCTGGGGTGGGAGCTATAGCCATCCCACTTTTTGCCCAGCCTGAGAATGCAAAAAAATTGCCAATGAGTCACCAGTCAAGCCACTTTTTATTCGGTTTTAGGCTCTCCCACTTTTTTTAGACCCCCCACTTTTCTCAACGCTCCGCTGTGCCCGTGCACTGTGCTACTAATCAGATACTTGCACATGTGCAGTTAATCGAGTGGTGCTAGCATCCTGGAGATAAATCTAAACTTGAATTAGCACACTTCTGGCTAAAAACGAAAATGTCCCGTATTGGATTCATGCGAAATCTCCAGAGTATACTGGTTTTTGCTAGACAATTTTTCCGATGCTCGATGTTCCTATCATTTGGATAGTCTGGTGTTGTTCAGTGGCAGATTCAATGGGGGCAACTAAGGGCAGTTGCCCCTCCCTCGCCGAGTTGAAGCAAGTCAGGCGCCCCTTTTTTGGAAATTTTACGCCCCTTTTCAAGAAAGAGAATCAGGTGAAAAAGTTTCTGAGACTTATAGGTTAATTTACTTCAAGGATTACTTCAAAGTATACAACAATTATTGTGAAAATTCCCTAACAAAGTGAATGGAGAGCCTTCTATCAGTAGCTAGAGTCTGAAATTGTTGTATACAGCGTACACTAGTCACCAATTTCTGAAAATTTTTCAGCGCCCCCACTACCAACTGTCCCTCCTTCAAATTTGCTCTGGATCCGCCCCTGGTGTTGTTAATATTGGTCTTTTGCCATCACTGGTTTTTCTACATATTATCAATTGTTTAGAAGACGACTTTATAGCAATTTTGCATGACATTTTTATTAGCACTGGTGAGTAGTACATTCTGTTGTTTAGTACACAGGAGACAAATTTTCAAAACACGTTATTGTTTCTTTTTGACAAATCGAACCTCGTTGTTCTTTTCAGAAAAAAGTGCAGACTTACTAATAAATTGAAGTTAGGCGAAAATTTTGACAAATGCATACAATTTTCTGAATTTTTATGTTGTGGATAATATATTTGTTGTAAAACGATAATATATATATATATATATTTTTTCCTCAATGATGATTCAACATTTGGTGCTGTTTATATACCGAAAGGCCGCCGGTTCACACATGTTTAGAACAAAACTTGAAAAACTTGAATCTTATTTTTTTTCCCAACAATTTTAACTAAATAATATATTGAGCGAATAAATTCAGTACCAGCGTAAACAAACACAGAATCCGTGAATCATACATGAAGTATATCTATATGATGTAAATAGAATTTGCGAAGGTGAGTCTGGACGCACGCTGTGAGTATCTGGGGGCATTTTGATACATGGATGATGCTGAACTTCAAATTTCTTTGAAGCTATATTGTAAAGACGAAGATATCTGTGCTTCTGTTAAATATTCAAGCATTTAAGTATGTTATTTTTTAAGTTTATATCCTTTTATTTTACCGTTGCGCAACAGATAAATTCTTTTTGCTTTTTTTGGTGTCATAGGTTAATGTTAATGCATTTTAGATATCCTTTTTTAATTTACGTTCCTTAGGCTTTCATTTCTTTTTCTGACACGCAAATCTGAGTACTGTTAGCATATCCTATACTCATTTCGCAACATACGGATCAAGTTACTTTTGTCACACATTGGATTGGAGGTGTGTTGTGTTGAGTTCTGAGGTTAATCGGATTGGCGAGGATTTATGTCCTATTTGGTTACAATGTGAGTTGAGGGAAGAAACCTTGTGCAAACATGAAGATTACGAAGAAGAAACCTTAACAGTTGCAGTGATTTTTTTAGATCGCAAACTACACGAAGCACGAGAACCAAGTATAAAAGCTTTGCATGTTCAGTATACTCAAATGTTGTTTGTAAAAAAGAATGTCATTTTGTACCAAAGTAAATTTTAAATGGCTTTTATAGGTTCTTTTGTGCCAATAAATCATGGCAGAGTGAAACAATTCTCGCTGCAAAAATCAATGAACATTGGGTCCAATCTCCAGTTTTTTATATTGTTATTTGTACGTCAACCAACTTGTAAACAAAGTTGATAAACAATAGCAAATGTGCTTTTTCAAACCAACTAGTACATTCCAATCTTAAACATATATAAATAATTGAGGCTAAAAACCTAGAGAAATATGAAATCATATGCAATTGAGAATTGGTATGCTCAGTCTGCAGATGCAAGCCGTCATAGGCAGCGGTTATGAAGTATCTGCTGTATGGGGGTGGATGATATTTTGATGGGCCATGGAAAATTCTGCCAAACCTTTCTGAGGGTAGGAAAAAATCTTGCCTATTTTTTGGGGCCATTAAAATTCAACTTAAAAAAAATCCTGTTTTCTAAATTTGCAATTGACCAATATTGTACACTGATGCTAGCAACTGGTACTCTTTCACAAAGAAAGTATACTGCTGTTTTGCAATTTCCAGTCTGTTCTGCCTTAGAAAGCTGCCAGTGATGGTTAGGCCCTCTCTATAAATTCCCAGCGAAGGCTTGACCCCAAGCCCTAAGGAGTGGCCCCTTTGATTTAAGCTTATAAAGCTTGGCAATACCGTGATTTGAGCTTGGAATGAAAACAATGCTATTCTGGCATCAGATGTCAATGAGCAAAAGCAATCGGTTTCTTTCAAATGCATCATTAATAGAGATGTTAAGGAGATACACTTAGTGGTGCACCTTCTAGTCCCAATCAGTCACCAAGCTTGGTGAAATAGCCTGTTACCAATGTGAAGAACGTGGAACAAAGTATTGCCATTAATTAATTGCAATATAGCACATCCCATAAATTAGAAGCAGGGCCATTGCCCAACATTAATTTAAGTAACCGGCGAAGGGTAAGAAATTTCTTTGACTTGTTTGTTATCAGGCATGTTTTCTTTAGATGTTCCCTAAGAATCAAATGTTTTGTGGAGTGGTAATTGCTAGATTTGTAAACTACACAATTTTTGACAAACTCTTGTTCCGAGGGTTGTGATGCCCCACACCCCCTATCACTACTAACTGTCTTTGTTCTCCATTTCAGAAATTAAAAGACTAATCTGATGAACTTGACTGATGTTACGCATAACAGAATGAGCAGGCTACATTCTGTTGCAAACCAAGGGTATGTTGACAATTTGACAGGTGACAGGTGACAATTTTAGACCCCATTCACATTGTGACAGAAATTTTTGAAAATACAAATATTCCCATCCAATTACTTTCCGTCCAATTTTCATCTGTTTACTTTCCGTCCACACATAGCCTACGTTACTGGTCAACCTTCAGTGTGGAAATTTTTGAAACAACTCACTAGTCTTATTTTCTGAAGATTTGCCATTTCTCCGTGATTTTCGACATGATGAAATTATTATCCCTAGGCAGCAGTAGTAAACAAAGCAAATGAAAAATTGATACCAACTAAATTGCACATATACATAGCTGAATTTCAAGCATTTTCATTTGGCTTTGTGTTTCCGTGTGGATAAAGATATTTTTGAAAACACTCATAGTGTGGACCCATGGTGTGGACCCATAGTGTGGATATTTTTGAATGCAGATAAAAGTAATTGCAGTTTCAAAAATATCAGACACTGTGTGGATGGGGCCTTAGAGGCGATAGCAGGTGAATGCCTCAATGTACGCCCAATTTATCCAATCACACATGCAAATATCGGTGTGTAAAATATCACACATGCAAAGCAATAAATTCATGAAGAAAATTTCTTAAAACTCAACAGCCTTAAAGTTCTAAAGTGTATTTTGAAGTTTCTATAAATGTAATATAAATGTAAATGCACTTAACAATTTAAGGTGTTTAAGTTGTCCAAGGTGTTTAAGTGTTCCCCATACAGGATTTAACAAAGGCACCAAAAAGTATGTTTTAGTGAAAAGTAGACAAATCAAGGCGTGCATCCCTTGATATGAGAATCAAGGGTTTTTCTCTAAATCTAAAATAAAGTGTGTCTGTTCATAAAATCTAAAATTACCCTCCAGCCAAGAGATATTTTGAAAAGTACTGCAATTAACCTTAAGGGTGCTATTATTTTTGAAATGGTACAGTGAATTTTTTTATGACAATGGTAAAAACAAAATGTCACTCTGTTTCTCACCTGGCACAGGAGTTTTTCTGCAAATTGCAATTTTTGAAACTTCATCCATCAATCAAGGGTTTTTTGTTCAATCATTATCAAGGGCCTGACACAATCCTTTGATTAGGAGAAAAACCCTTGATCTGAGGAAAGTCCTCATATCCTGAGTTATTTTCCTTACTATCAAATGGTAAGATATCCTCAAAAGAGAGCAAGAACAGTTTCTCCATCAATTTCCTTGGTTTCTGTCTAGTTTGTAGCACAAAACTTCTTTAACACAACCTTAAAGAGGACTTGTCCTCTTTAGTGCAGCACCTTTTATTTCTCGATAAATGGAATGAAAAAAGCAGATAAAAAGTTGTTGGTATTCCACACTGTTGCAGGTGCAAGTTTATCACGACATGCAAAATGCGGCACACAGCCTATTTTTATTTATCAAAGACTGAGTCATCGTTTTTCTTATATTTTACTGAAACATGGCTTCAGCTACAGCAACATTTAGGACATTTTTTAAATGAAATAATCTAAGCCATATAAGCAGAGCTGAACATGCTTTACTGTATAGAAAAGGATGGTCCCAAGTTTGCCATGACGAGTTTCCTGCTTCATGCAATCGAGAGGCATTGTCGTAAGATTTAGTTGACATCTTCATTCATCTAGTTTTCAGAATGGGAGCACAGACTCTAGAGGAAGTGTCAGCTCAAGTTATGCTGATCTTCTTGAAGCCAGTGACATTGTGGTATGTTAATTTATCTTTTGAAAATTTAAGATGTTTTGGTTTTATCTTTTTTGCCAATTTGCATACTACTTTATGTCTATAAGTGTCATACTTTATGGAATTACAAGGGAATATCAAATTATATTACCTTAAATTTAACACTTCCTTAAGAACATTTACAGGCTGGATCATTTCAATGAATATTTTAGTATCAATACTGGCCAATTTTCCATATATTCCAATAAAAAGTTTTCACTACATATTATGAGCTATATGGGCACCCTACTCTGGGGAGGAAAATACTGTGTATACTCAAAGACTATTGCGGAGACATAAAGGAAATTACTGAACTTCATGACTAGAACCTCACACAAGAATACAATGATTCAAAATTTTGATCCTCAGGCTTCCTACATTTCTGTCTTTTTTGAAGCATTCATCTTCATATTAATTATTTTGATTCTTAAGCATTTTATTTATTCTTTGTTGTTGCTTCTATTGACCATAATGCTAAGGATGGAGAACATAGATGAAAATTTCTGACACCCCACTGTGGATGGATAACAAAGTTCTGACACTCCACTGTGGGTTTAATTACTCCCTCCACTGTAATAGAAATATAGCCTACCTAAATCTTCTTATAAGGGATGATAATGGGTAAGAGGAAGTCCTAATTTTTTGTAGCATTTGTTGAATAATTTAGACAGTTTAAAAGAGGTATACAATAAAGTGAACATGTGCAAAAAGAGGGTGCTTTTGTAAAATAGAAAGAGGGTGGTTTCAAGAATTTTCTCAGGGTTACATCCATTTACCCCACCTCACTTTGCAGGAACTGGAAATATGCGAGTCTATCCCGTACCTTTGCAGGAACTGGACCTGTACCTGACTTTTCTGAAACTTGGCAGCAATGCAGAGTTTATTTCAACATGCAGTGATAACTTATTTGTGCAGTGATAAAACTGTTGAGAGTTTGACCATGAAAAATAAAGATTGCAGTAGCTAGAAAAAGCTGATATATAAGCATTATAATATTAAGAACATAACAGTAACAATTACCATACTCTACTAACTCTCTAAAATTTGTTCAGTATCTAGAAAATAATTGCTTTTGTCCTTCCTTTTCTCCTTTCAGTATTATTATTAAAAAAAGTTCAAACCTAAATAACTTTTTTCAATTCTTTTTAAAAGCTTGGGTGAGAGGTGGTGTAATTTGAAAAGTTGACATAGGTAAATATAATACACTACAGCCATGAAAGGCAACTCCCAAATTTCTTATATTTTTTGAATATGTGCAGTGATAAAAATTCGATGAAATAAACCCTGGAGCACTGCATTAACAAGAAAAAATTTAAATATTATAAAGAATAACTTTGCACAAATTTTTTTCATACCACAGTTAAAAACACAAAAACAAAATACAATATTCTATGCCATCCACATCAGAAATAGACATGACATTATACGGTTCTGGCTATGAATGGCATTTAACCAATAACTTTAACAATAACCTCATAAAAGAAACACTGGGACCATGATATACCTTTTTTATCTATTGAGCATAGTAACTTAGTGCATGTTAATTAACTGACTTTTTTAATTGATCCTCTTTTTACATTTTTACATTTTAGATCAGAGATCAGTATGAGGGATCCATACAAGGTCTTCCTTTTGGCTGCAATATTGTTACATCAAATCTTCAAAAATGCAAAAGCAAGATGATTCATCCTTACTACAAAATGCTTTCACTGGTAAATTTTTTAATACCTGTTTGCAATTACTTAAGTACCGTATTTGGTTGTGTATAAGACACACCTTTTTCGAATTATTATTGGCTTTGTTTGAGGGTTTGCTTTTGCATGGTAACATTGACTGTCCCATCATTACCTTTTGAAGGCAAAGTGTTATTTTATAGACAAAATGTTATGATATTTGGAGCTCCTGTTCTCTTAATTCTCACGTTACCACACTTTTACCTGAAAGTTAGTAAAACCTCTCCAGCTGCGACAGAAAATTATCTGACAAAGACTTGTTTATTCTTAAATGGAAGGGTTGTACTTTGCATTGTCTTAATTGGAGGGCACATCTCTGTAATCATTGTGAAAGTTGTGAATGAAATGGATGACAAATAGGAAATCCTTCTAAACAATAAAGGTAGTTAGAAACATTCAAAAATTACCGAATTATTTTTTGCAAAAGACATCCACTTAAATTTTTAATTACCATTAAAATCTTTATATTAGCCACTTGTTTCACCTATTTTAACTCCTGATACTTGGGGATGCAGGCTATTAACAAAAGTAAATTTTTCCAAAGGGCAATTTCCTGAAAGTGAGCATTCCTTTGTCCAAGTCATACAATTCAAGCATTGCTAGAATTGTCTTTGCATGAAATTGGATCAAATCAGCAAATCTGGACTGCAGATTTGTTCTCAACTTGATCTCAACAAATGTATCAATTTTATGGATTTTAAAACCTGTAAACGTTATTGATGATTTTGAAGTTGAAATAACATTATCATATTCTGTGAAGCATAATTTTGCAATAGGGCTGTCTACCCTGGACTAACATATTTTGCAATAGGGCTGTTTACCCTGGACTAACAATTTTTGAACATAAGAAGTAGGAGCACAACTTTAAAGGTTTTAATTGCCATCCATCTTGGCCTGCCTTTTGGGGCTCATGAGGCAGCTGTCAAAATTATAAAATCGGATGAGCAAGCTCGCTATTGACTGTCAATGAATCAAGTCAATGAATAGCAACTGTCAGATTTTATTTTCATTCTGTGGAGTTCAAAGTGATAACATCAAAAGGTTTACATACGCTCAATGATAATTATGTAAAAATAAGATAGGTAAGTTACAAAATTGACTGAGATATGACCGCTTTAAGCCCTTGGCTCTATCCTCATCAAATTCCAGTACTTGATTCTGAAATCTGGCCAAAGCAAAAGGTCAGTCAGGAAAGCTCTTTCGCCTGCTATATCCCAGTTAATTTGCTCAAATTTTTTACTGATTTTACATACTGAAAGGTTTTTTATAATGTTCTGTAGGGGCATGTAGTGAATAGTTATATTTCCGAAAATGTATTTCTTATGATGTCACACTTGTTTCATCACTCATTTTTAATACTCTCTCATGTACCCATGCTTTCCTACCTCCTGAATAATATATTTTGCTCCTGCTTGTCCAATTTGAAAGCAACTTTTTCGAATTCTAGATTGCATGGAGACCGTTCGCTCCAAATTCAGTTCATTTTCAGTGTTTCTGGTCAGTCGTCAACTGTGTCTACCCTCTGCTTATCATATCACTGCTCATGGTCTGGTATATAGCAAGGGTTCTCACATGCCAAGGCAGACTTTCAATGGACCAACCATCACCAACTACAGCACCGACAAGGCCGGTGAGATGCTGGATTTTCATACTCCCGTTTTATCTGCCTAAGTCTCGTAATTTGACTTTCCAGTTGCTGCAATTTCTCCTAATCCAAGAAAGTTGGCCTCCTCTTAATAACAATTTTTTTGGAACTGAATTTCATACTCTAAAAAGTTTTTATAATTTTTGGAGTTTGATTTTAGAGAAGTTGTTGTTTGCCATTTTTTAAATCATTATAGTAAGAGTACAAATGCTGAATTTTGTCATTTCTTTGCCTGCAGCCAATGACAACAATCGCTCCAATTTCCAATATGACCAACTGGAGCTCTTTAGTACCAGCACAGTCACTGAATGCTACAGCAATTGACCCTTCAGATCCAAAGAAGCCAACTAATTGTCACCATCTTTTCGGCACATACATTGTCCCAGATATACTTTATTTCATAGCTTATATCATTGGGCTGTATCACTTCAGAATTCAAGAAAGCGAAGGACTGTATGCCCTGATGGAAAAGGTAGGGCAAGCTGTATTTTTCACTTTATTTCATATCCGGAAAATCTATAGGAAGTTGATTTTTGCGATGAAGGACTAATTCCTATACTTGATTAGATGACTGAAGGTACGAAGACATTTCGAGGTTGAAATGACCGATACAAAGGAGGAAGTAACTTTAAGTGTCAATGGTCACTGCAAGTCCTCTATGACGTGCCCCTTCTTATTTAAACGACCTCTCTGATATATTTATTGGGACATTTTGCTTGTTTATTGTTTTGTATTATCTTGACTTGAATATAAAGATAATTCCATCACTTTTTTAAATCTTCAATGATTATTCGAATTTTGAAACTACAAAAGTTCATCAAATCATTATGGTCATAATCAGTTATACGATGTGTTGCAAGTTTTATTTTTCGCTTTTTTCTTATTGCTTATTTCACCATGTATAATTTGTTGTTTTTGTTATTTTATTTTAATTTTCAGTTCTCTGTATCCATTTTAGGTTTATCTGCAAAGCTCTAAGCCTCAGCAAATCACAAGAATGCTACGGTAATTTTAGAATTATTTTTGATAGCTCTGTTTACAGTGGAAATTTGATTTTGACAATATGCCTTATGATGTCATTAAGCGTGAAACTCAGAGTTGCCTTTCTTTCCACAAAAGCATTGAACTATGTTATAGCAATGATTATTTAAAGCCTTATTCAATGTTTTGACTTGGTGTTGATGTTATGAAATCTATAATAAGTATAGATTTGTTGGTACTTTATACGCTAGTAAGTATAAATTTATTTCATTTAAGACATTGAAATTCATTAACTTCAATCGTCATTAACATAATTACAACTTAATATAAATTCAGTGCAGTTGTCCTTTCTTTGCCAAAAATATTGCAACAGGCCATTTTTTTACTAAATTGCTAAAAAAATTTAAATTTGTTCGATTATCAGTATCAGTATTCACAGGAATGATTTGACATAGATCATAATTATTGGAAGTTGGTAGTCACGTGAATGAACCATTTGTGTTGTATTTTCAGGTTAAACTTGTACATTGGCTTTTTCTGGCTGCTTTGTGCCACTGGCCTAGCTGTTTATTTTCATTACGTTTTCGGGTTAGCAGCAACTACTGGAATGTCAAATGACAAGCTAATGTGAGTGTTATCGAGCAGGGACGCCGGAAAGACCAAGGGACAAGGGGGGGGGGCAGGCTCAAGTAAAAGGGCATTTGAAAGATAACTCCCAGTTAACTACAATCAGAATTTCACATGAGTCTCTCTGAATATTATAATTGGCCGGTTTCAAGGGCACGTTCATGAAAAGGGTACTCTGCCCCTCTTGCCCCTCCTATCAAAAGGCAACAGGGGTGGTTGACCCCCGCCCCCCTTCTCCGGCATCTCTGTTATCAAGATAAAATTTAAACTCGTATTCAGTAACAAGCCGCATATAGTAAACTCACTTATAAAAAAATTGCAGACTGACCTTTTCAAAGTTATGAGCAAAAATATTAGAATTATTGTGCTTGAATGTTTTCAAGTTTCTAGATAAGTGCAGAACAAAAGTTTGCGAAAAAATGTAAATGTAAGTTTGCCAAAAAACAAATTAGATTTTGATTTACTGAATTTAAAACACTGCTTTGTAACAATGCACTACGTTCTTTCATAGTGTATACGTCAATACTTTCTGGGCTGGTTGTGCTATTTTCTTTATCTTAAAGGAAACTCATTTTTATCAGAAACTCACCAGTCTTTTTTCAAAGATTTATCGATGTTTGAAAAACCGTGCGGCCTGGTCCGGAAAAATGCGTTTCTTATATGTGTGTTTTGATTGTATTCTAACTAACCCAAATTAGAAGCTATCTGCATACAAAAGCAGGAAAGTTGTATAAGCTATAATCCATGCTAAAACATGACAGAAGTGCAAGTGCCAAGGAAGCCACAGCAAAAAGCTAGCTAAATTTGGAGAAGGAGGAACTAAATTTGAAAAGGCGTCCTAATCGCCATGTTTCTGCTTTTCCCTGCTATTATCAAATTTTGTGATACCAAAGGCCTATTTGATAAACTGGAATCATTAAATCATTAAATAATTTAAACCCTCTTCGCTTTGCTTTCCTCAAATCTTTATAGAGCGTATATCTAAAGAAAAGTAGGAATATGTATACCTCGTCTTGTAACCAAGTTTTTGCAAATGCTTGGATATTTTTCGTATCAGGGGCAAGGACCGTAGCTACAAGTGTTCTTAGGGGGTCCGTGCTACTCCAAAAATTTTGAAAACCATTTTTCTAATGAACCCTCTCTTTTGTTCCTATTATTATCAAACAATGGTATTCTCCTAGTAATTTTATCTTTTCTATTATAATTTCATGAGATTATTGGCATTCCTGCTACTGGTATTGGCGTGCTACTTGAGCGTCTCTAGGCAGTAGCACAGTGGACCCAACCCCTCCCCCATGGTGAAAAGTATCTCCGAAGCCCCCATTTTTGTGTACGAAGAATGAGTACTCTTTATACAGAAGAAAGGGCTCTATAAATTGCATAATTGTCTTCGTAATAGCATAGTTCATACAGTGGTCTTCTACGAGAATTCTTCGTACACAGCGACAGACTACCTACCATTTAATTTACATCAACATAGTTTTTAAGGTTTTAGTTTTGACGGTGCAATACATATATGGTGCAGCTCGAAGAGGAGAACGTTGTGGAAAATACTCAATCACAATAGTTTCTTTACGATAAATAAACATACGATATATAGACGATATACAGTCAATTTGAACATGCTTGAAATGAACTGCTAGTTATTTTGGACATTGTCCTTTATACACATATCACTTTCTTCATGGCTGAATGACAGTTTGACAGTAGGATGTAAGTGACTGACTGTAGTTTGATAGTGAATAACTGTAGTGTGACAGTTTGTAATCAAGCCTTGGAACAAGTAGTCACACTGTTTGATGATTGACATTTGAATCTTCCATCATTTGCTGAAAAGGCAACCATTTTTTTTTGTTTCCGACCGCATTTGGCAATTCCTCTTTTGAAGAATTTCAGCAAGATATAGACCATCGGGTCCATTAATGGATTGAGCCAGTACAAGAGACTCATTGCAACAACGCCACGATTTAATTCGTAATTGGTTTTCGTTTTTGTTTTTGTGATAATCCGAAAGCTCAGTGGAAAGGTGCAGAAAATAAAGACTAAAATAAGCGTTATCGCGTATGCAAGGACATACGTGTTTTGAGATGACTGGGCAGCTGACGATGCGATATTGCCACGTTTCGCAAGAAGGTATCCAATAAAGCTGTAAGCCACTGCCAGCACAACTCCACATATCAGTGTGGCAGCGGCCATCAAGTACCTGCGTTTCCCTGAAAAGAGAACTGGTGTCATTGAAATGACCCATATCATCAGCAAGATTAGAATGCATCGTTTTGTAGTCATGATGCGGTTGCAGCTTAGAGAAAACCGGACTGCTGTCAGTCGCTGCAACGTAATGAAAATCAAATGAAGAGAAGAGCATGTGACCGAAACAGGTGCAACTGTCATATAAATGAAGCTGATATAAGGCTGTAGCTCAGGGTCACCAACAAAAGTAAAGCTGCTGAATAAAGTGCATCCCAAGCAGATAAGCAGGTCGGCAATTGCGAGACTCAAAATCGAAATCTTGAACGGATGGCGACGATCTCTCTCCCTAAGTATCATGGTGATCTGCAGTGTGTTGAGGACGAATCCCGTAGCGCCTATGACCAACAGTCCATAATTATGCCTAGTTTCCATTCTCTCTGTAGCTCACAATTTATCGTTTGAAACACTAACTGTAACCGGTCGTGTCCTTTCTGCCCACAAATGCAATTGAGGTTCATGTTCAGGGGCACATTCACGCTTTTTTATAGAGACATTAACTGCTAAAAATAACATTTTGTACCTGAAGAAAGTGATTGGTTGCGATCTAGTTGACGTAATTAAACTTAGTTTTATGCCAAGAGATTCTTAAAATAAAAATGTTTTTAGGAGATTAATTTATGACAAGAAACATTTTACTTGAAGTCGCTTATTAATTGTATTAAGCATGGTAAAGCTACAACTGATTAAGTTTGGAGAGAGTTTGGCTATTTGTAAATTTCTTTATTTGTTTATGAGTATGCTTAAGAGGTTTTTGGCGTTGTTTCTTCGGATTTAGAAGTTTTAGCTTTGTTTCTTTGATGTTTTCTTAAAGCTTTGTTTGATGGACAACCATAACCTTTTTAATATAAACACAAGTAGCTGTTAACCAGGTCTCCTGTATTTGTTATTTATTTTAATTTTAATCATTGACGTAATATTGCTTTGTGAATTGTTGTTAAAACTGGTAGGAATTATGAAATCAAGTGCTTCTTTGCTTGAACTTTTGTATGCCGATTTTAATGTCAGCTGCTCTCATGTCATCAAGGGTGAAAAGTTGTATTAATTATGTACTTTGCGTGTGGTACTTAATCCAGAATAACGATAATATAGTTTGCAAATAAATTGAGTACCAGAATGATAATATAATAGTTTGATTGTTAAAAAAATGACGTCTCGAGCATGTACTCGTTATCAAGTGGCTAGAAAAGAAACGAGCCAAGCAAAGAGAAGGCGAGATTTGATAAATAGAAAAGAATGCGAGATGCGACGCAACCGAAAAAACAGAATAGGGGAATGGGAAGAAAATAATAGATAGATAGAAAAAGAAATTATTGAAGGAAATTAGAATGTTTATTAAGACCATTTGGATAAAGAGCAACGCTAAAAATTAAGCTTTTCTCCAAAGCTAAACATTTTAGGCTAAATTAACGATTCTCCAAAGTCTTCCGTTTGGTGGTGTCTTGCGGTGCATGCAATAAGCCAAGGATGGACACGTCGGCAAAAGGATGATTGGAGGAGTTTAAATGTTTAGATATGTTGCTATCTGCATCGCTTTGGTGTTCTTCTGTGAGATGGATTTTGTTAGCAACATTTCTCAAGTGTTCTCCAAAACGTTTGTTTATTTGATGGGAGGTTTCGCCGATGTAAAGAGATTGCCATTTGGTGCAGATGATGCAGTAAATCACACAGGAAGAAGAACAGTTAAAGTGAGATCTGATGTGGAAGGATTGGTTATGGTTGATGATAGTGGTCGATTGGTTAATGTGTGTGCAAGTACGACAGAGGTGATGTTGGCAGGGGAAAGCACTAGACTGTTGGGATGTTTGCTTTGAGATTGTTCTTGCCAGGTGGTCCTTTGAATTCTTGTCTCTGCGGAAAGCCAGCAGTGGTGGTGCATTGAAGAGGTTCTTTGTTTCAGTTTCATTTATAAGAATATGGAAATTGTTATAAATAATGTTCTTTATGCTGTTGTTTAGAGGGTGGTAGGTCAAGGTGAAAGGAACGCGGTTGTTGTTGTTTTCTTTGTTGGATTTTAGAAGGGCATCATCTTGAGAAAGTTGTTTTACTTTATTGAATGCTGCCTGGGTAATATGGTCAGGAGAGGTATTGTTTTTGAAAAAAGAAGACATTTCTTCTGCTTTGAAACAAATTTTCATCATTGGAACAAATACGGCGGAGACGGCGGAGTTGAGAGAAGGGTATCGAGTCTTTGCGTTTCTTAGGATGCGATGAGTCGTAGTTAAGGAGACAATGAGCATCTGTGTGTTTGTAGTAGATGGATGTGGAGATTTCGTTGCCAGAGATAGTGAGGAGGATGTCCAAAAAAGCAAGCTTTCTTCTGTAATAAAGTGCGTGAACTGTAAGACTGGGTGAAAATTATTGGTGTAATTAATAAACTGTTGAAGATCAGCCAAAGGAAGAGATGTTGCTCCCCAAGCTATGCCTGCCATTTCGTTGGCCACCAAGAACAGCTTATCTACGAATCATCTAATGGCCTTTTTCCTTGTCTCATCAAAAGATACATCGATGACATCGCAGGAGCAACATTTTTAGAAAACACAACCGAGCAGGAGATAACTTAAAGAAGGAAGCTATTGAGAGTGATTAGAACCCATCTCAGTAAATTCTTATATGCTAGTTTCACAAATCTCGACAATAAAGGAAGAGAGAAAAATGTTCAAGAAAAGGCCCCTACCCAGAAGGGTACATAAAATGAACATTGATTGCATAGAGTTTCCCATTTTTGCGTAATATTTTCTTTCCAAAGCTGAACAAACGCAGCATTCGATTAGTAACATACACCTTCTGTTGTTCAAAGGTGTGTATTCATTAATTACCGTATTCCTCTAAAGAACGCCGTGGCGTCTATTACAAAGTCTAATTTTTTTTGATGCGGCGTTTAATAGGAGCTGGCAATAATGGGAGGGTGGTGTTTAATACAAAATTAAAAATTGAAGAACGAAATATAAAATGACAAGAAAAGTACGATAAAAAGAGATAAAAACAGGCTTTAAGCAACGTTTTCTTTTCCCAAAAACACAAAATAAAGATTGTGTGAAAATTTTATTACGTTATGGAGATGTCAAGGAATGTCAATATCCTTGTTTCGTCGGAGTCCTCGTCTCTATGAGAAACATCTTTAAAGTTTTTCGAATAGTAAGCGTCTAGTAAGCGTATAAACTATTCGCTACTTCTTGTTTGATGTGTTTTCTAATAAACGCCATTTAAAAGAGGGCGGCGTTTATCAGAGGACAGCGTTTTTTGCAAATGGTTAGCTGAAGGTGCGGCGTTCAATAGAGGGCTGCGTTCATTAGAGGAAATACGGTATGCCACTTTTTGGCTGTCTGATAGATTACTTCTTGTAACTAAAGAAGGTGATTGGCTATGATCTAGTTGACGTCATTCAACTCATTTTTATACCAAGAGATTCTTAAAATAGAAATGTTTTCCGTAGATTAATTAATGACAAGATAAAGTTTACTTGAAACCACTTATCAATTGCATTAAGCATGACAAGGCTACAGATGATTAATTTTGGAGAGAGTTTAGCTATTGGTAAATTCCTTGATTTGTTTGCAGGTAGGCTTTTACTGTTTCTGGTGTGTTTTCTTGTGTTATGTTTTCTTGTACGAAGAATGAGTACACTATGTGGTGGGATTGATCAGTCTGCAGGTGGCGTTGTTCTGGAAGTTGTCTTTAAGGTCTTTTAGAGTTATGAATGCTTGTCGTTCTGCCATACGTTCTATTCGGTCTTGAATGTTGAGTTTAAAAGGGCGCTTTTGCTGAAAGTTTGATTCTTTTCAGTTTTCTGACCAAATTTTTTTTATGTGATTAAGATACTCCAATCTATGGAGAATCTGGGAAACATATATTTTTCCAAAAAGAACAATATTTGCGACAAAATCAACACTAATCTGGATGCAGGTCAAGTGAAATTATCAAAAATAGTTGTACTGGCTCCCACTTAAAACTGGTAGAGAAGGCCCCCTTCTTATAGGAACCAGTTTCCCTCCCTACCTTTTCTCTGCCTGGCATTGCAAGACTTTAACTCCCCGGGCTGCCCCCCAGTTTTGCTTGGGTGCCCTGAGGCAGATACAAAGCAGGCTGAGAAAGGTCATCTATTACTGGCAACAGCTGTTTAGATTGATATGAGGCCTCTTTTCTATTACTCTAGACGGACCTGACAATGAAGAAGTGCGCCGCATTTATATTTTTGTAGCAACAAATAAACGAATTTCGAGGCTCGGCGACTCTGCACCGTGGCGCCTTAGGCGTCACTGACCATAGGATTTCTAAGCATTTCATGTCAGCAAAAAGTTAAAATCTAACAACCTACAATAGCATCAGAACAGTACCAGCATTCTTTGTACACAACGACCGGTTACCTACCTTCCCCTTGCCCAACTCGCTTTGCCCCCCTATCTTACCTCTCTGGCTACGCTACTGCCTCCAGGGTATTGGAACTAGTTCAAAAGAGATACCTTCTTAAAATGATTTTGTTTTTAATTTTGCAGTTATCAGTATGGAATAGCGGCTACGCTAGTCATAGCAGAATGTGCTGCTAACTGCGTCATTGTGTCGGTTGTGATCAGTCATGGTAGTCAGTGCCAGCTACTGAAGTACTACCTTGATAGTATAATGAACCGACTGGAGGAGAAAAACACAGAACTACGATATATTATGAAGGTTTGTTGATTTCATCTGCAAACTAACCTCTCTGCTAATCACAGAATATATTTCTTTCGAAAAACCAATAATTCAAGTTTTAGTTTATTGTACAAAAATATCATGAAAGCCACGAAGTTAATAAAAATGAAGATATATTTGATTTGCATGTTTGAACAGTAGTGTTAGTCACTTAGATAGCCTATCCAGTCAAAAAGTTGCATCAAATTTAATTGATTTGAAAGATCTTAAAATATATCTACTAGATCTAAAGTATTCATTAATTTCTAAAGCTTCAGAATTTCCCCTGTTTAAGAAAAGCCGAACAAAGACGAATGGGTTCGGTAACACTGTGACGTCACGATGTTCTACTACGGTTTGCTACGAATCTTCTGATAGCCCGACAATTATTATGTACTTAAAGAGCCTTAAAACTTAAAAAAACATGCACTGCGCCCTAACCTATATGATCAACTTGCTAAGCTGAAAATTATTCTAAATACCGTAAGGTACGTAGTAAACAGAATTCAGCTTAGGCCTTGGGGCTTTTCGTACACCACAGTGTCACAAAACCGAACTTTTCTTTTTCACGTAATTCGATTCATTTTTCGAAAGACAAGTGCCTTATTTTGAACAAACATGTCTGAACAAGAGAAACTCTTAGATTCAATTCTTTGTAGTAGTTAACCAAAAAAGGCGATTGCAATTGTTGGCGGGAGATCCCCTTTAAGTTTTTTCGTATGATTTTGCATCGCTAGCAACTTCTCATTTTTCATTTATTTCAGGACATATTAGATGTAAGGCAAAATTTATCAAGAATTAACGGGATTCTCGCATTTAATACGGCATGTGTCGTTTTCAATGTCTGCCTTATGACTCTAGTAGGTATGTACACATTGAAATTTTGAACAATTTGCGCCTAGTCAGTACCACAGTCGGCTTCAAACCAGCAGGTTTACATTCGGTTGTAATAATGCCCCTTATGCCGGGACTAGATATTTGTTAGTTTTTTTCATTTTTGTTTTGAAATCTTTTTCATTTACACTGATTTCTTCCTCAATGATCTGCATTGTTCCCGCGATTTTCCTCGGTTTTTATGGCTTGATGTTGCAGGGATATTGAAAGGATACTTAACAGGGATGGAAATTCTTTAATGCTATAATTTAGCTATATTTTAGAGCTTGTATTATTTTTTACACATTTTTGTTTAATGATTGCAAGATAGTTGTTGTAAATTGCCTTATAAAGGTTTAATTTACTCCTCTTACATAACACCAAGCCTTTTTATGTTGCTCAAATTATTAATACGTTTAATGTATGTTCCAAGGGATCTGTCTGCCTTCTAAAGGCTTTTGACCTAGGTATTCATCCGAAAAAATGATTTTTCCACGATTTTAACTGATTGATCAATTTTCGGATTTATTTTGTAGGTTTTATTCTGCTGGTTACAAACAAATTAGATTATCGTGATTTGTGGATATATCGTTCGTGTTTTTTTGTTTTATGGAGCGTCATTTTGGCATTCAGTGTGATACAAGTAAGTATTAATGTATTTATTATTCACAATGGAGAAAGGAAACGATTCTATTTAACATGTTTCGATGGCCATTTATATTTCCTATTGGTTCGACTATACAATAGACCTATTGTTAAATAACCAATCCGCTAATTCTCAATCATAAACACGCTGCGGAGCTTGTTGTTTACTTTGAACAGTTGAATGGTGGAGCATAGTGCCTTTAAAGCGGAAATTTCATCTATAATACTTCTAGATAAGAACTTCAGATAAGAGGGTGAAGTATGATAACTCCGGTGGTATTATTCAGAGCAAAAGCCTGCGTCCATGCATGAAAGCAACGATAAGCTGTTTTTATGCTGGTGGATCATAACAAAGCCACATCATTTGAACCAGGTATTAAAAGAACCGAATATTATTGCACCAATGTCGAGGGCTGTTTACTATCTAATCTACTGACAACAGGGCTCTGTCCATTTTAAGTTCGTATTCGCCGACCTTTAAAGTAGAAACATTTGTGTAGATAAAGCGAAACGTAGAGCTGTTGAATGTGGGATGGGGATAGGGGCTAGCTCTAGGAGGCTTCAGTGTGTTCTTCCCTATATGTTACAGATAAATGACCACTTTAGCACCCTAGATATTAGCACCCCTCATTTTACAGCACATGCACCAAAACTGCACAGTGCATTGTTATTTAGATACTACCCATGTCAAAAGGGGAAAGGGTTTTGGAATAATCGGCCAATTTTATTTTGAGAGTTTGCGGAAGTTTAAAGAGGGCTCAAATCAATAACACAGTTTTTCTATTTTGAATCCTGCGTTTTTGGCAGAATTTGTTACAACAGTTTTAAGTTGAACACTTAAAAGCAAGTAGTGGTTAACGTAATACCACACATGTGCTGTTAAACTTGCAAAATTTAGACTCTAAATGTATCTAAGATCGCCTAAATTCTGTTAACTGCACATACATTTCTTGGTTAAAAGGGTAGGAAGTCTCTATCCGACTTTCTGAAAGCTATTTAACGGACTTCAAATAAAGCATACAAAATGGGTTAGTTTTCAGCTCATCATTAAACGTATTGAACCATCACAGAACATTTTTATAGGAAGTATCAAGGAAAGAAACTTGCTCATTGGTTAATTTGAGTTATTGTTGCTCCGTATTGGGTATTAGCAGTAAATGTAAAATTAAAAGCTCGCAAAAGGTACAAAATTGAGCAGCAAGAATGATTATGAACGGTGCTTATGATGCTACCGCGGCTCCACTTTTCCAAAATCTAGACTGGCCAACAATTCCTAATCTTATGTATAAATCTTTGAATAAGCTTGCATCCGAATTAATGCGAAGTCTATTCACAAGATGTTCAGAAAGAAAAGGTCGTGTACTACGTTCAACTGATACAGATCTAAAGTTACCACTTTTAATGAGAGTTGGACAAAAGTCGTTCTTATATCGAAGGGCCAGCCTAAGTAGGGAGAACTAAAGTCGCACTATGACCCTCCCCCAGTTTTCAAACAGCTATCACAAGATCAAGTCAACGAATTGAGCTAGAGCTAGTGTTTCTTTGCACTTGTTTCCTCTACTTTGTTCAATTAGCTAAAAAGATCGTGATTAAGTATTTTTACCGCTATGTTGTTAGTTTGTTATATATAATAACTTTGCTTTTAATGTGTCGGTTTGAAAGCAGTACTGGTACTGAGACTTTTTTGTATCAGTCAATAAATCTCATTAAATGAATATTAAAAAAAGGAAGTCTGTAGGCCAGATTTAATGTGAATCCCTGCCAATCTGAATCTCATTTAAGGTGCCTGATGGTGGTTCTGGCCTATTTTATTTTTTTTATCACGATCTCATAACTGAAGAAAAGATGACCTTGATACAGACTTTTCATTGTTGCAGATTTCCTTTCTTTAGTTGTTAAAATGGCAATCGAGCTTATCAGAAAAAACCTGCTTAAGAATGTCTTTTCCATTTCTTTCATTTTTGCATAGTTATTTAAAATGCTGTTCATCATTTGCTTCTAGTGGTTGAAATGTTTATTTTTAGCCAGCCCGATTGACAGCGTGTGGTGCAAAACTAAAAGACAAAGCCCTCGTGATAAGAGTCTTTGGTTATCATACACACACACAGTTGGATATCGATTCATTTTTAACTTTTTTACATTTGGTTGATCTCAAGGTATTTTCATACATCTCATAACACGTACTGAGAATGATTATTAGATTAAACATTTGCTATTTATCAGTGCTGAAAAATCAAACAAACCATTCCACATTTTCCAACATTCGCTGCAAGTTTTGCTTCCATTACTATCATCTAACCAGCACCAGTGCAAAAATTCTTTTTACGATATCCTATGGCTTTTATGATCTTATTTAGAACAGGATTTCTTCGAAGCAGAGAAGCATTGGATGAAGTTCAAGCGTGGGAAAGCATGCCAATGCAGAATTGCAGATCTTTTTCATTTTGGCAGTGTCATAAATTAAGAAGCAAAAGTTGTCAGAATTTAGTGAACACCAATTCAAATTACTACCTCATTTTGAAAAATACTCCAAACATCTTTGTGAGAGTTTTGACTTAATTTTCAGATTAAGAAGTTTTAATCGCATAGAAGAGTTCATGATGCTAGTAATACAATAGACTCCTGTTCTTTATTGATTTGGTCCACTCATATCACTCATATTGATTTTAAGATGATTCTAAATCTAAAAGTGTCATAAGAGATTTGACCACAATTAACAACTTGTGGTGCAGAGTTCATTTGCAAGGACATTCACTGTCAAAGAGCTTCTTGGTTTTCAAATATTATTTCTTTATAAAATAAACCCTACAGGAACATTACGATTGACTAAATTAATAGTGAAGTGGAATTCTAAGATGAACTCAAGAAGTCATACATTGAAATTTGGAGTCATTTGTTAAGTGAGGTCATAAATTTGATTGGTGTATTGACTTCAAAGTTGTCAAGCTTTGATATCACAATTTTTTCTAGGCCAAACTGTTTACAATACCAGTGAAGCCACAATATCTTTGGGGTATTCTTGTTATTGCAACACAAGTGATGATTGTTGTTGTGCAAATGGCTGATTTTGTTCCCGAAAACAATTGGTTTTGACTTCTTCATTCAACTATTGAACTTTTACTGGAATGTATCAACCGTGACACAGAATTTTATTGCACCCTTAGAAGGGAAGTATAAGATCAAACTCTGGAAACAATATTTAAGGCTCGAGAAAACTCTCACCTTAACACAAGCACTTTTTATAGACAGTATATTATGTAAATATCTTACAAGTGCCGTACATGCTTCTTGTGCCTGGTTATTTTATTCTGGATAGAAAATGTTCTGCTGTAAAAAACATTCACTGCTGTGGAAAACCAGTCTCTGCATTTTTCTTTAAAGTTTTATGAAATTTATAGAATGATAATAATTTTTCACTGGAGCTAGGATTATTTTTCAATTTCAATTGCCGTTTTTGTCCTTATATCACTGAGTTTCTTATTTTACAACATTTATCTTTGACACACTGTTTTGGAAAAATTTTACTAACCATTTTACTAAAGCTTTGTGTTAAGAATATCCTGGGAGATTTCATGTAAAATTCAAAAGCTGACTTGTTTGCCAGTTTACTGTTTCAGATTTAGCATTCTTCAGACTTTGATATCAGCAGTGAATATTATAATTTTTAGAAAGAGTTAAGGTTGCTGTAAAGCCATCAACATTACATGTATTCAAATGGTCCTTGACATCCATTATGTGTCAGTGTAGATTTGATTGTTTACCTAAAGTTTTCTTGATGTGATTGGTATGGGTATAATGCTGGTAATATACATATAAAGATAGAAAAATAGAATACTCTAAGCCTTGAAAAATGTGATGGAAGTTGGGAATCATCAGACCTGTTTTTCTCTTGATTTCATGGCTTTCACATGGTTTTTACAATCTATTTGCCCCTCATTTAATTGTTGCAGTTAAATTAAACTGTTAGCTGCTGATTTTCTAAATTCCTGAAAATTTACAAAATTGTATGATTTTGTCAACCCTGTGAACTTCAATGTGTATCTAAAATATTTGCCACTCTTAAGTCGACATAATACCAATTAGCTAAGTTAATTGGTGCAAGCTAGGTTGCAAGAGAATTTGAAGTCACTGTCATTTTTCAATTTGTAAACAAATCCCTAAAAATTTTGTCAACATAATGGTTTTCAGTTTTCCTCTTTCTCATTTTCCCACAATAACAAAACTTTAAAATATTGACAGAACTTTACCATTTATTCCCCAGTCCCAACTTCCTTCAAACAGGCTATGAGAAAGAAAATGTATATTTATTTTGATAAAATTGTTCTTACTGTTTTGGTATGAGAAAATGAAAATAATTTATAATTTTTTGAAAAGAAATATTTTTGCCTTACCTTTCAACAACACATTATGTTTTTCTTAGCATTTATTTTTTCTCAACAGTTAGGTTTTTACCTATTGTATAGACTGAATAACATCAGTTATATTTATATGAGAATTACCAAGAAGAAGGGTTATCAAAAGGATTGCCAAATAGTTGTGGGTTGAGTAAAGATACTTTACACACAGAGTCATTTCAGAATCAAAGCTAAAATTAACTGAAAGTAAAAATGAAAAGAGGAAAAAAAGTCAACCTGATAAATTTGGGTTTTTATTCTAAATCATAAAACTATGATATATATTTTCTAAAATAAACCCTCCTATGATATTCAGCAGATCAATTCATTTTATTTCATACCTTGGTACATTATTGCCAAATTACAAAATTAATAATGAAAGCAAGAGACTTTATAGAGTTTTATAAAAAATGTATTTTGTTAAAAAAGCAGTGTGGCAAGGGGAGAGGTGAAAGAAAAGTGTTGAAAAAGGGCACAGTACTGATGTTGAGAAATTGTCTGCATCAAACATGTATGAAAACACCCATACCCTAATTAACCTTAAAGAAGAGTACTGGAATATTTTAGCAAGGCAGTATATTTTGTATAAATGTATATTTAAACAAGAAAAATTAATTTCACTCAAAGAGTATCGATAGTCATTTTCTATTTCAAAACAATCTGCTTTGTTATATATTTGAAATTCAATTAGAAGATTGAAGGCTTTCTAAACTGATTACTGTATAACACATTTCAATTTGTTTTCTTCAGAAGTATCTTCAACATTTTCATTTTCAAGTAAATCTTTATAAGTGGCAAGTTCTTCTGCTCTAGACATCAGTTTATTTACTTCTTTGTAGATACGAGCTTGCATCTGGCCTGGTGGAAGTGATGTTACTATCCTGAGATATAGTTGTACTGATTTCTGATAATTTTCCAAGGCTAATCCAAATTTCTTTTCTTCATCAAAACTTTCTGCACGTTGACTGACTTTAAAAGCCTCTTCAATCTCCGGTATATCTGTGAATTTCCCTTGCAGTGAATGCTGTCGTCTTAAGGGCTGTCTCTGTTGCTGTTTCTTGTAAAGTTTTAATTGTTCAGCTCTATTAATGTATTGGTTCACTTTCTGTCTGATTGCTTCCTTCTTTGAATGGTCTCTCTCATAGTCAATAGCTGGCAAGAAAAAATCCAATGCACTACAGTAGTATTTCACAGCTTCTTCAAAATCACCTTGAGTGTCAAACTGAACTGCTTTTGTAACAATGCTTATAGCTTTTTCTAGACACCCTGCAGTGGGTGCATGGGCAAGGTCAACAAATTCATGGCTAAAAAATTTACTGAATGATAACCTGTGACTTGGATCTCGTTGCAGCAGCCCTGTGATTAGATCTCTACACTGAGGAGAAATTGGTGGATCTGAAGGAATTCTTATAGGATCCTTAGACAATATTTTCATTTCAAGCTCCTCGTATGTCCGTGAAGCAAATGGTGCATAACCAAAGAGTGTCTCAAAAAGAATAACTCCAACAGACCATAGGTCAACAGATGCATCATAGCTATCTGAACAAAACATCTCAACTGCCATGTAGAGAGGACTTCCCCTTAGATTATCTCTTCCTTCCTTGCCTAACAGCTGTTGTGCAAAACCAAAATCTCCAACCTTTAGTATTGGGTCTGTTTTTGAATACAATAATAGGTTCTGTGGCTTTAAATCCATGTGAGCAATATTTTGTTCATGAATAAACTGTAATGCAAGGGCAAGTTGCCTTAAGAATTTCCTGGCAACTCTCTCGGGCAGCCTGACATACCTCCGTAAAAACATGGAAAGGTCGCCACCACTGCAGTACTCGAGAACAAGAAAAACATTGTCATTATTCCACTGGAAGTCTTTTAACTTAACTATATGTTCATGATTGATGCCTTTCAGTATTTCGATCTCACGGACAAGATTGTCACCGGATGATTTGCTAAGTCTCTTTCGTTCTATGCATTTGACTGCAACAACTTCGCGCGTGTCCCCCTTTCTATACCCTTTGTAAACAGTTGCATACGTACCTTGGCCCAGTTTCTCACTCAGTACAAAATCTGTCATTCGTGGAGGGCCATACGGACTAAGCTGCCTGTAAAAACTCGAAGAAGACCTGCTTGGACTTGCAGCCATGACCGAACAGAAAACAAAGTTTCGAAATCCTAAAAGGAGGTAACGATGAGATCGAGAATGCTCGTCGAATGAATACGAGGTAGGTTACTTGGCAACTTGTTGCTATGAAACTTTAATTAATATTGATCAAAGATCATTTGAGAAGCAGCAAGCCGTGAGAGAAGATTGAAAATGCATCGTGCATATCAACCAATAACCCCTGCCAACAACAAATTATTGAAGAAGAGATGGGACACTACACGTTTCCACTTTCATAGGAAAAAGGTAAAACAGCTGTATTTCATGATCAAAGCCTATAGAGCGTGTTATTTTCCTGCTTCTGGGTCATTTGGGCCTATGCCATGTGTGGTTTCTTATTCCCTATGTTGCCCGAAAAATGTACTTTCAAATTCTAGAACAGCAAACTCAAGTATATTTTCAGGATTTTCATGTTATTCATGTTGTTATTTTCGTGTTGGCATGTTATTCAATTTTATAATTGATTTTGTCTTGGTAACAGGTGTCCATATACACACGTACAATAAACTGTTTTAGAAAAACGATATTGAAATTGACACAAGTAAGGAATCCAAAACAAATCAATTTTCGTTTATATCTTTATTAATTGGTTGTTTTTGTTTATGTTTAACAGGTAGACCAAGCAGCTCCTGTCATAGATAACAAGCCTCCAAAGACATACATGCATCTGCATCTGAAATTAAAAAATTTGCAGGTAATTGTTCAGACTTGAAGAAAACTATTCCGTTTCTTTTATACCGTTTCTTTTATGCTTCATTTGTGCCTTTTTCCCCCTTTTCTATTGGCTGAGTAATTTTAATTGTTTGAACTGATGACAGTTAACATTTCCATTTATAATTCATTTTATAGATAGAGGAAGAAAGACTAGCCGAAGTTGAACGAGACAACAGGATTCTTCTTGAGAAAATGTCATATATTATGAGAACACGGGGCAGTGTTGACAACAGGAATTATTATCAGCAGAAAAGTCTAAACAAAACAAAAAGACAGAGAGAGCTTCTCAGACTAACACATGAAAACCAGGTTTTTCAACGTTTTGTTTAGATATTTTTGCAGCCTGATATCCAGTTATCATAAATCTTCTTTTGTCTCAGGGTATAATGAAATCTTTTATTCTTCAACCTCTTGCACACAATCGTTGAAGCTTATTTTACAGATGAAACATCTGTATTCATTTATCTCTTAAAATATTTTCTTAAATTCTTCTTGTAAACTTAAGAAGCTAAAGAACAAAACTGAAAAATTTTCATCTGTATGTGGAATGCAAAATATTCCCCTTGGTCAAGGAATTTCTTATAACCTGATAAACAGGTTTTTGTATACACATATCTATGTGAGCAATATTGACATTCAATATTCTTCACTCATTACATTTATTGCTATCCATTTTAAGCATATATTTTTAAAACCTGCTTCATTGTTTTATAGGCAATTCTAAAGAGAATAACTGCAAAAGAGCCCCATTACAATCATGCTGAATGGGTGAGTTTTTTCTATTGACCTTTTTTAGAAAAAAGTATAGGTTAAATAAGGTTTTTTAAATATATTTGTCCTTAATGTACAAAGAGCTGGAATTATTGTAGTATAGTTTCCCAAAACTTTGTCATTTCTGACATATATTCAGCTTATAATAGAATAACAAAATGGTGGAATAACAATTAAGTCCGCCTTGGTACAATCTTGATGGTAATTATGATAATCTAGCAATCATCATGTTTAGAAAATTTTCAATAAGGATGATGTTTCTCCTTTGCATAGATAGCTTATAAAAGGCCATTTTGTTTTACATGACTGATTTCCCTTGCCAGTATCCTAACATATTTGTGCTGTCCAAGGATTGTTCGTGCAAAAATGTGTTTTGTAAGAACTATTGGACAAATGTATTGCTCTGCTGATATGTCAGGTTTCTAATGAAACCATAACGGCTTGACCTTTAAGAAGTGTCAGCATTTCTTCAGTATTAACATTCATTTTAATCTCAAATAATTCTACTCTCGATTAGTTTGCAAACTGAGGATAATGCCACATCATATCTAGATACCTGAAGATTAAGAATTTGTCAAAACAAGGATCATGAATCAACAGGAATATCTAGGCAAATTTAATGGAACAGACAAAAAGCCATACATAAAGTTTACTAGAAATTTTGATACTAGGAATGTCACCAAAAGATAATTGATGGAAATGTATCTAGGCTATAACTAGAAAGTATCATCTGATAGTATTTAAACAAGATGAACCAATCAAATAAGTTTAGAGTATACTTAGAATATATCTAAATGAGGAGAAAATATTTAGGCTATGGTTTTACATAAGCTGAATTTAATGAAATTTCATTATAGGAAGAAGATTGGCAAATAAAGCAGAGATATATGGATAATATATCAAAATATCCAAAGTATTGGCACAAGAAAGTGAAACAAGAACTATCACCCATTTCACCACGAACCAGCAGCAAGGCTAAACGTTCTAGTGCCACTACTCAGAAGAAGACTGATGAGCAGGCAGCAGAGGCTGAAGATAAAGTCAAATCTGATGATGCTGGTCAAGAGAATGGCTCTGAAGATGCAAAGGAAGGTCAAAATTCTAGTGAAACTCAGCAGGTGGATGAAAATGAAGCCAAAAGCGAGACTAAAGAGGAAGCAAACAATGAAGATGATGATGGAGAGAAAAAAGATTCTGAAGAGGCTGCTAAGAATGATGCTGATAATGAAAATGCTGATGGAGAGGCAGAAGGAGAAGCAGAAGGAGAAGCAGAAGGTCAACAGAAAGTTGCTGATACTGAATAAATTCAGAATTTAGATATTAAGTCATTACTGTAAATATATATGAACAAGTACCTTAAAACATCTTTACATATTATGCCATTTTTAATCTTTAGTTAATTGTATAATCTTTTTACAATTGAAAATTAGTATTATGCTTACACTTTTGATAGACTGCCAAGTAGCTTTGGTGCCTTTGAATTTTATATTTATTTGTGTGTATCACTGTCAGACAGCTAAGTTAGTTCATTAGCCTATTTCCTCAATATTAAACTTTTTTGCCATATAAATTGCGTTATGCAGTAACAATGAAATAGTTATCAGTAGTCTGTTGCCTATTTTGTGTTGCCATCTGATTATTTCTAAATTTTAGAAGGTAAAGCTGTAAAAAAAGAACAACCATCCACAAAAATGACTTCTTTCAACAGGGAAGTTTGGTTAAGACTTGCTAAAGGGTCTTTAGTTAGTTGATTCTGAAGAGAAACTCTGGGAACTGTCCACGAGTGGAGCTAGTGCCATTCCCGGATTCATTGCTGGAATTAAACGTAAATACAACATTATCGCATGTGTATGTGGATGTATTATACTTAGCAAATTTAGACTGAGGGCTCTTGATTATTACCACCAATGTGTGGACTTTGAATGGCAAAATCCGAACAGGTTGACTAAACATAACTCGATATGACCCTTCGGTTGGTCCAGAATCAGGCATTCCAACTGAAATCTCTGGCTTAACAATCCATTCTCCAGTGTTAACAGAAACCTCAAGATGTTGCAGGGCCGGCTCACCAAACAGACTGATTCCACACATACTAATTCTTTTATTCACAGTGAAATCAAGTGCGTCCGGAGCGCCTTTATAAGACCAATTTTGCATTGTACGACCCTGGCCAAGTCGGTTTAAGGACATCATTGTTGGGTACATGATCCGCTTGGTAAATGGAAATGGAATCCGTTTGATGATGTCAGCTGCGTGAATACCGTGTGGTAAGATTGTCAGGTACGATATATCGCGAATTTGATCCAAAGTTAAGAGTCCAGAAAATATGCAGTGAGTGGCAAATTCCTGGCTTGTCATACAGGGAAACCTGATAAGATAAATAACATCCCCGAGAACTTTCTTCCAGGATTCGGGCCCTTCCGTCATCTTTCTTCTTAGAACTTTACTTTTGCACCATCTTAGCACTGCCAAGAAAAGATTGATCTCAGCGACCTGCAATCTATCTTCCTGCAAGATAACTTTGAGTGTGTTCAGGTCCAGGTATAAGAATGACTCCATTTCGACCACTTGCGTTATGACTGGTTGGATGAATTCTAGACATCTTTCTGTGAGTCCTTCTTCATCCAGTTTTACCGACTGCTGCAACACGGCCAAGACGTTTTCCTTTGTTAAGGTCTTCGCCAAGTACTCGCAGCAGCGATTTGTCAACGAGGGAATCATGTATTTCTTCGACAAGTAAAGAATGTTAAAAGAATTGTCCCAATTTAAAAAAACTTCATCGGTATAGATAAACTTGAAAAATTCTAGCAAGCAGTCTGTATTTTCGCAGTCCACTACTTCAATCTCCGTGTCTGCCTCTGCTATTGGCCCATAGAACATGGCAAAAAACACAGAACTGCTTGCCGCCAGGACAAATTTATGTGCAGGTACACGACTGGGCGAGAGTTTGTTGTCATCTTTCACAACAAATATAACATCACTCATCAAGTCGTTGTTATATAAATGAGCTACACGATCCTTGATCGTTAACTTTGTCGCTTGCCAGTCGAAATCGAAATTATTGAGAAAATTATAAGCAACAGCTTGGCCACTCTTCCTTAACATACTAAATCTGACAGAATCCGAATTCAATTATATTCAAGTACTTACATACCGTTTATCATAACGTCATTTTTAAGCATTTGTCTACACAGTCGAGAAGAAGAATTTGCGTTGCCTGAAATTTCATCGTCAAGTTGAACTATATTTAAATGCTTCACTCATTAGCATGTTAAGCAATGGAAATCCAGTACCATTTGACACAAACCACACGTATATCACGCGCGTAGAATCGACAGCCTTAAAGCGGTTGTCACACCCTCAGGCTTAGCAAATCTTGCTTTTAATAATGCTGAGCTATGCAAATCGGAGCTTACAACATAACACAATGGCATTATCGATTTGGCTTGAAAAACTGCTACTTACCTTGTTGACAAGGTAACAGTCAGTTTTGGAGCAACCCAGGAGGCACCATACCTATGCCTTGGTAAAGAACAATATATGGATACGGGTCTGTTGTTTAGTCCTCGACGGTGCACATAGAGAGCTGTAAACTACTTGATGTGTACAAGAGGACCGTTTAAGTTGCAAATTTGAGACTCAAGCTTATGTATATTGCTGGGAAACATAGTAATTATTTGTTTCCGTTCCTTCGCTTATTCCTCTCCCCCTCTCTCAAGAAATAGGGAAAAAAACATCTCTGATTCATATGTAACTATATTGGTAGTTCCTTTGAGAAACCCCCTCGTCGTAGTACAAATGTACGGCAATCTTGATAGATGCAAGTTCTACAGTCAAGTTGTTCAGTGTATTTGTCAATAAACCAATTTTGCTGCCTATTCTGTCGCTTCAAAAATTCACATTCAATTATGTAGATTGGCAAGAATTAAATTGTCTTCGATGGCTGACTTGCAACATCAATTTCCTGCACAATGTTTATGAAGGGTGTGAATTGCTGCACGAAATTTCTTAAGATGCTTCTATTAGACCTCGTTACAATAAACATTATAATCAAAATAAACATAATTTTGAAAAATTGAACAGTCAGAAGATTTTCATAAGGTCTTCACATCCATGGAAAAACAAGTTCAGTCTAAAAAGTTTACTCGCGATAAGTTTAGTCGTTTTTAAGAACTTTTTTGTAAATTTCTTGAAGTACTAAAATGAAGTTACTTCGAGAACCTAAGGTGCACAATTTGCGTAACCTGTTTTCGGTGTTACGAGTGATTCCTACAAAGCCAAAAAGCATTGAACAGGTATATAGTGCAATTGATCATTGTGAAAGTTGTGAAAAATACCTAACCGAAAAACAACAGCAACATATTTTATTCTTACCTGTTAGAAAATCTAAACAATGAAATCTAAACGTCCTTCCTTTAACTCTTTCCTCGCCCGCTTTATTGATTCTCTAATGCAGAGGAAGAACTTATTACTGCATAGAATTTTTCTGAACCATCAACCAGTGGCAAACGTGGTAAAAATAAATAATGGCTTCTTGTAAGCTACTTGCATGGACCCAGTTTCTTACAGTTTTCTATGTCGATGCTACTTTTTACATTACAATATAGTCAAGAGTTGAAACTATATCGGCAAATCTGGACTAAAATTTGTAAAAATTTTCACCATGACAGTTAAATACAAGATTCAGTCGCGAAAATTTGAAATGTGAATAATTCTCTGATCCGCAAAATTTTTATCTTCACATTTGGCAAAAAGGATCATAGAATTCGAATCTTAATGTTGAAGTTTTGTCACCGCTTGCTGATTCCCGAATTCCTGCTATATTGCCCTTTTTCGCCATCAACTCCCAGGCGGAGAAAAACCAATGCATTGCGTCCTCTGTTTGAAAATATCCTGCCTCTATTTCATCCCTGTCTATAAAGATAGCTGGAATCGTCTAGTCAGGCAAGTCAAGGTGAGAAAGGAGAGAAAAATGGACTCTGTTTTTGTGCCTGGTGCTCTTGGATTAATTGGAGAGTTAGACAGTAAGATAAGAATAAATTTTTAATTGATTTTTAATTTGTAATTTTAATTGAGAATACAACTAATTAAGTTCACTTGAGAGTTCGAGTTCGAATGTAGTAGTCTTGTCCTTAGTTAACGTGATTTGGCCTTTAACAGCTGACCCCCTCATCACTCATAACTTATAGCCTTATTGGAGCATCTTGTTCCGGGGGGGGGGGGGTGGCGGGATGGCACATTTGTCACCGCTTGCTAAGCCTACATAATAACCGGGTAAACTGTTTAGCTGTTCAGTGGTTCATGGTAGGCCATCATAGTCTCTCTCTATTGATGGGCCAGACTGGAAAGAGCACCAGAGACACACCTGAGATCGTGACGATCACAGAAATTTGCTGCACTTGCTTGGGGAGATTTTGCCTTTTTCACACTTTATTTTAGGGGATAATTTAGGTCTGACTAACTGGTTCTGAACTGCTATCGTCATGTTTGTTAGGTTATTTTTCTTAGGAAAAAAGTTATCATGCAACTGAACTAGATGCTCATTCTATTTCCATTAAATCCATTTTACAGATGAACTGTGTATCACACTTAAAACCAATTTCCACACCAGACTTTGGACAAAGAGCGTCTGGTGACCCTGTGTTCTTCTCAAAAAGTTCCAGACATTCTAGCCCAATGGATGGGTTGAAGGCAATTTTTGAAAATTTCTGTATAGGTTTGATTAGGAATAAATGTGCTACAAATAACTATAACATATTTAGATTAATTAATACATCTTTTTTCCCAAATGTATAGTTTTTAGCATATTCCAGCTTTTGCAAATCTTTGTTACATATTTCTTATTATCATGGACTTAAATAGTATAGCCTAAAATGTCACCGTTGCCCAATTTCAGGAATATGGCAAACTCCTTTGTGACCCGTTTACTTTTCTTGCAGAAGACACCAAATTTACGAGTGTAGATCAGAAGATATACGGCACAAATCTTGTCTAAACTGGAATCCTTTTGCTTAAAAATCCAACTTAGTTTTTCATTCGAAAATGGTATTTTAGAAACATATGCATGTTGACACAGGTATATGATAAAATACGACTTAGATTTTATGAGCACTAGCCCAGAAGATGATTGCAAATTGTCATATAATAATGGTTTCAAAAGCCTTACATGTAAGAATGAAATTTACCAGACCACTACTAGCCCGATGCTACGGTCATTTGGTCGGTGTTTGATTGCATTCAAGTGTCGTCACAACAGCTCTTCAAAATGGTTACAATGACCCAGTATGGTGGACAAGACCGGTAAAACACATCAAAATAAGAAAAGCAAAACAATGTCTTGTTTTTTCTCACCTTATTAGTTTCCAGTGCTTTGGTTCAAAAACAACAAATGATTACAAAAATAGGCATGCGATTAAACACACTCCTTGGTGTGGGGAGGCATGTACCTTGTGTGAGTGCGATCCCACGCCTTTCCCAGGAAGGCCTGCTCTTGGTTTCCTAGTTAATGGTCCCTGCCCTCTCTTAATAATTGTTCAAAAGTTTTTATGACCCCTTCTATATGCTAAGAACCCCCCTGTTTATTAATGTTTGGGTCATTGGCCTTAAAAGTTGACCAGGTATAAACCATTCAGTCTGTCATCACTTCAAAATCCACTTATAGTATGTTGTAAAACAATAATGTCCGCAGTTATTGTATTTCGTTTTCTCTATAACACAAATTTCTGCAGTCATGAATTTATTTTCTCACCTGCTTTTTGCATCTTTATCCTTCTTTTTCTGCCCTCTTTTTATTGTTTACCTATGTATGACATTTGCAACTATACAAGAAAATGAAACTCTTTTGATCCTTTGAAATATATCAGAATAAATTATATCCAAAGGGCAGAATTTCCAAAAGATTGGTCAGTCAAGAAATAGTAAAACTTGTTTTTGAATGTGTATGGTTTTCCTTATCTATTGATTGCAAAATGATGAGAGTTTGTGGAGAATACTTGTTTGTAATATTTTGGTTTTAGTTGGACCTTGAACTTACTTGGTGTATCTATAAGCTAAATGTCTGTTTCTTTGGCCTTAAAAAGGTAGCGATCTTAGCTTACTTGAAAAAATCTGGTTGCAAACAGGGAACAAAATGATTTTTGATCCACAAAGTCCTCCAAGGTACGAACTGGATATCACTGGAAGAGTTTATGGGGTTTCGCAATACTGTTGTCCTGGCAATGTAGACGATCATTCAGTCAGATGGTCAGTCAGTCAGACAGGGGTGTCCCCAAATGGGGGTGTGGGGGTGTGGTACCCCCAATAATATGTCCGCCAGCTCATTAAGGACTTTTGCTATTTGATAAAAGATAAAAGAAGCAATTTTTGTACTCACCCTGTAACCTTTTTGCAACAATTGTAATGTATTAACATTTCTGTAGTGGCTGAACTTTCAAAGTATGGCAATAAAGTATGAACTTTGAAAAAGAACCGCATAAAAGGAGCATAACAGTGTATTTATATTTTGACCACACCCTTAATGAATGAGACACGTCCTTTTTGTTGGCAAAAAGCACTACTTTAATCCTCCAAAAAAATTTTTGGCTTCGCCCCTGCACAACTTTCATGTTTATTTCAGTACCATCACAACAAAATAAATTTTTGAGGATGCCTGTTGTATTATTTCCAAATCAGTACACTTTTGAAAAGGAAAGAAAATACTGTTTAGCAACTATTTTTGGGGGGGGGGGGCACCAGCGACCTCGTAGTTGGTACCTTACAGAACAAGTGACTTACATTTAAAAACATAAAACAGGACATTTAGGGGCAATATTCAAAATAGCCATTTTTGTACTATCCCTAGTGAAACCAGTGGCACTGTGGGGTAACAAAACTTTGGTTATCTAACAAATCTCATATAGCAAAAATCTGAATCTGAATTCGTTTTTTAACCTCTTGAAAAGAAAAAGTCTTCACAAATATCTCAAACAAAGTTCATGGCTCATCCAACAAAATTCAATTAGGATGATGCTAGGATGGTGCCAGGGGACACTTTAAATGCATTAATAACCATAGCCAGAAATCAAAGACAACTAACATTCTGAGAGGAATACTGTTCCCTCAATTTAAAATGGTTTTGTATCTGGATAATTTAATCTTCTGCTGAATATTACATCTATTGGAAATTCAAATTTTGCATCTTTTATGTATTGTGGGATATGATGGGATGCAGGAAGCATTTGAAAATGGAAAATCATATTGCAACTGGGGAGCACTCCCTTTTTCCCATCAATCGATTTGTTTAGCCACACCCATTTTGCATTTACTCCTATTAGCATGTAATGAATAGTTGACCAACAAATATCATGTTGAATATGATCGAATGCTTTTTAATGGGATCTTATCAGAATAAAGCGCCTTCTTGCTTAATATTGGTATTTTCTTGTAACTATTTAAATTATAATATTGCTTAAAATTCCAAGAAGGATCTTTGAAGATTTCCAAGAAGGTTCTTTGAACTATTCGAAACAATACATTTATAAGTTGACTCACAAGGATTCTTTGGTCTTGTCACAGTGAAGGGAAAACCTGCTGTTACTTATTAGCATTTAAAATTTACGCAATAACTGGCATAATCTAAAGGGACATGCCTTGAAATTTCCTTATCTTTATATGAATGTTTTTTCTTTTTAGAAAAATTGCTTGTTGTTATGAGAGATGGCAGAACATTAATTGGCATTTTGAGAAGTGTGGATCAGTTTTGTAAGTTGTTTAATTGCTAATAGATGAATAACAATTTCTTTTCAAGGATAAAAATTTCTTGTAGAACTTGTGACTTTCTCATGGAGATGCATATTTATACAATTCCTAAAAACTAAAGAAATATTATATCTCTAAAATTACTCACTGCCTAGCTTACCAAGGAGTGTGCTTGCCACCATTCCCTACTATCTTTAAGTACTCAGCTAGCGAATAGCCTTTAAATTAAGGGGTCATTTGCACTCAGGGGTGCAAATGAGGGGGGTGTGGGGGGGGGTGTCACACCCGGTTCCAGTTGAAAGTTGACAGCAATAAAGTCGGTCCCGATCTAGCCATCTGCTTAGTATTTCTGTCTACCATGCTGATACCATGCTGTATTGCAGTAAAGTAAGGCATATAGTGGGCGCATTTTCTAGGAAGGGCTAATCACCGAAAAATGACAGGGGACAGAATCGGTCCAGTCCGGTCCCAACCAGCGCTGCTTTGGAAAAAAACTCTAGCTGCCACCGACAACAATAACTTTTCGCCATATGTACATGCTTTATCTTGTTTCCGTGCTGTGCGCAGCGTTGGATGCGTAAATTTCAGGGGGAATGCGAGAGCAGCAGTCACATTCCCTCAATAGTATCTCAATTGGAAATTTCAGGTAAAATCCGCTTGGTGGAAGAAACGCTTTAGGTATTTCAGAGACCTTCCTGTCATAATATCAATAAAGGATCAAGCAAAGGTAGTTGCTCCGTTGGTTGAATTAAATATGATATTGTTGTTGGCATTAAATCTAAAAATCCAGGCCCTCTTTAGGTAAAATTGTGCCTTATTTCAATTTCCCCTTAAGTTTCTCGAACTGCAATTCACAATGAAATCCAGATTTTTTTGAACATTCAAAAGGCATGCTAAGATGGAAAGAATGATCTAAATTGACAACCAGCGTTGCTTGTTAAGTAACTGACAACATGGTATTTTTCAAGACCATAGCGAAATTGTACCAGTTGTTTCTAACTGCTGTTCAATTTTTTTGCAAGAAAAAATTTTCAATTGGGTTAGGAGAATTGCTTTAGTTAAATTTGCTTAAAAAGTGCATTTTCCAGGGAACTGGAAGCATCAAAATTCGAAAATTTCCTTCTCCTTCGGCGGCAGCCATGGTGCCGCCTTGAGTGGTAACTATATCCTTTACCCGTTCCGATATGGAGATTTGACAAAACTATTAGGAAAGCCCGTTATTATCATATAAAAATATATGTGGCGAATTATATACAGAGTTAGATTCACAAAATATATTGCAGAGGTTCGTGACAGCAACTATATAATTTCAGGCAATCATATTTCAATCAGGTAAATTTGTTTTCCCCGACAATATCCATATCGCAAAAATAGGTCTGTCGTGGCGAAAACTCGGTCCCTTCAAAGAATACCCCCCAAAAAAAATTTGCATTTGCGCCCCTGTTTGCACTCTTTGTTTTCAGCTTTTAAGCTATTGGTCTTCCCCAACATAACTTTCAAAATCATGGGGCAAAACCATATCCATGAAATAATCATTGGTTGATTGCACCCATCATAGAAGGAATGTAATAGAACATTTCTTGCTCCAAGTGCCCATCAAATTTGCAAGTTCTGAGTACCCACAATATTTTAAGAAATGTTTTACAAATTTTTCAATTGAAAATGTCTGCTCTGCATAGGCCTCCTTCCTCTGTTCCATATGTTTGTTCCAGGATGTATACATGAAGAATTTCTCCTCGAGGCTCATTATTCACTTATTATTCTTTAATTTTAGCAAATCTACTGCTGCAAGAAACCATTGAAAGGATTCATGTTGGGAAGGAATATGGAGATATACACAGGGGCATTTATCTTGTTAGAGGAGAAAATATTGTTTTGCTAGGAGAAATTGTAAGTTTTTGAAATTTTTTCAAGGCTGCAAAATGAAGCTGAAAATTTCAGTTAATTTTAATGCCATTGTGAATTATAATTCCTACTGTGGTCAGTATATATTTTCTTAGAACAACGGATAATGCACCTGAGGCAATTTTCTTACTGTCAGTGGCAGTATTGATTACTGATCGAGTGTTCCATGGATTAGTCCCCTATGGCCAGAGCAAAAAACATGCTTTGGATGCGATATGATTGCTGCAGGGGATGTGCAAATGTATATTTGACTTGTACTTTTAGAGAGCCTTTTTGTTTGAACAATAGAAAATAGACGGCAATAAAATTGAATGTGATGAAATCCGAATATAAACTCCATCGGGAGAAAATTGTCATTTTTCATTACTGCACAATTTATCATTACACTGAAACCTCTAATAACAGCGACCTCTGTGCAATGGCCACTTCCAGATCTGCGGCCAATGGAGAGAGTCCCTACCGAATTTATGGTCAAACTCTAAAAAAATCCTCCGCACAACGGCCACCTCCAATCAACTGTAAAACAGCCACTTGGAAGTGCCTCAATGCCTTATTTTACTTCCATTTACTGTCAAGCAGGTAACCTTTTGTAATGGAATGAAAGAAATGCAAAAATCGTTTTAGCATCTTCCATTTTATTATCGCAACGCAACAACCTTCACTGTGCTTCTCTAATTATTCCAATTTGGTTTTGTTCTCGACAGGATGATGAAAAAGAAGTTAAGTCTCCCTTGCGTGAAGTTTCAGTAAAAGCAATATTAGAAGCCCAAAACGAGGAACAGAATTTGAAGGAGGAAAAAGAAAAAGCTAAATACAGGGCGCGTTTAGACAGAGGACTTGCACCTTATATGCCAGACATGGGCCTTGATGATTACTCATAGAGTTCATGGCCCCAAAATTGTTGGGTTATTCTTTCTGCTCCTAATAAGGTGCCGCTTTATGGGTTTGTAACTTCATAGACGTATGCGATGCGTGTGTGCAATGACACCGTCATCTTTTCTATGTCGTTGCTGTTTTCTGATGCACTCCTTGGTCGCTGATGGAGCATTTTGCCTTTACGAGGCAGGCAAGCTAAATAGACACAGACAATTTGAAATAATTGTATTTCATTGAATGGTTGATACCATTATAAATCGTTTATCTTGAGCAAACATGCATTCAGTGGCGTTGTTCTTCATAAACATCAGTATCATACTAGATAATTTGTTGGGGATACGACCTGAAACGGCTATTGTCTTTCCTTTTGTTTGTGGCTCAAAGTTTAAATCCAATCAGAGAAAAGTGTATTAATAGAGCATGCGCAGTTGCTCCCAATATAAATTCAAAAACGTGGACAGCGAAATCCACAAAAATGTGGACAGAGAAGATACCATTTTCAATAATAAGGATGAAAAAGAATTAAAGTGGCACTGATTGGTCAACCTCAACAGCCATGCGCTCGTGTTTCTGATTGGCCTATTTCGATCCACAACTGGGTATATATATTACCTAGCGTAGAGTTTTCGATCTATGTTCTGACGTTTTAAACCCTGAAGAGTGTCAGACGAAAAGCTTTAGTTTACTAAATGTTTGCTTTTTTTCAAAGCCATTTTCAAGCTTTGTACCACCAAAAGATTGTTTTAAAGATGATCTGCAGAACATCGCATATATCACTAGGATGAGATGCATGAAATATAAAGCAAACGGTTAAATGTTTAATGCAGAGATGTCTTAAAAAGCACAAAATGTGATATTTTTCTGAAAGCACGAGTGTAAAAATTGAGACATCTTTTACATAAAGAAATTAGCGAAAATTATAATGTTAACAAAAATTATTGTATTGAGGATAAATGCTAAAAACCCCGATCATCTGTAAAATGTTGAAAGAAACTATCGATGGTATATCTGAATGTTAAAGCAAGATTAAGGAAATTGAAGATATGAAATGCACAGTATAAAAAAAATTCAATTAAGATAAAATATATCCTTTTTAATTTGTTTCGATGTTCAATTCTGGTATAACTTTCGTACGAAATAGAGGGACTTGTAGAAATGCTATATAAATTTTCCTGGGAAACGTTTTAAAGCACAGACGGAAATTGAGCATTTTTCCTGGGAAGGGGGGGGGCAAAGACACTTAATAAACCGACACAATTGTTGCATCCATTTCTGGCAGGGATGTAGTCGTATAATCTTAACACAAGGGGGGGGGGGCTCTATAAAATTTCTACGTTTTTCTTTCCATGTAGCAATTGCAATTTGAGCATGACGAGGGTTGATGTTTTTTTCCAATCATTGGTTGAGTAGCCAGGCAGGTACATTGATGGTTCCAGCGGGCAGCTGAGATCAGAACATCGATACCATGGAAAGGACGGGGAAAAACTTCCTTTCAAGTTAGGGATAAAATGTTTACATTGGTCAGGGGTTAAGTAGAAATTGGATGGTTGGCGGCGAGAAAAATTGTGAACTATGACATTCTAAGAATGGCCAGAAAATGCATATAAAATATTTATAGCATTGATAAGAAAGAACCTTATATTTAAAATTAATGTCCCATTGGTTGGATTTTGAAATGACACATTTTCTCTTGTGTTAATAAAAGAGGAATTTTCTCTATATATGTCAAACTTTGTGTATACTTTCATGCATATGAAGTTTGCAATGTGTTTAAATCTGTCAGTTGTTCTTTTTTCTTTTCTGGTTTAATCGTCAATAGCAGACCTGTGGTGAAGTAACAGTTCTTCACAGTTTTCTTTGCGTAGCATGATTCTTGGCTAGGTCCAACCACATACGACGAGGCTGAGCCCCCACATTTTTCGAAAATTTTAACAAGGGGTGCCGCGCCCCCTGAGCCCCCCCCCCCACCACTACTTGTAATCAACAATGAGTATTGAAGTTTCCAGAACATTAATAAACTGGAGAACGCAACATCGAATATTGTTTTTTGTAAAAATAATGATTGTATGTAAGTGCTCATTCTTCCACATAATAATTTTTTGAAACATTCACAAGGGCCCCTCCACGGCTTATTTATTTTGCTGATAAATTTTATATTGTGGGTGAGTTTTTTCGGATATGAGTTATAGTTGGAAGGTTCACATTTAAAATGTAAATACAAAAATCTCAAAAAGCATCGGCATCCTAAGTAAAGTAAGACATTTTGCACCACAAAATATATTGCTTGACATATATAATGCTTTTGTATTACCAAACATTCTTTATGGGCTCTTAAACTGTGGTAGTGCCTCTAAAACTGCCCTAGATCCACTACATAAAAAGTTAAAAAAAGCTGTACGTCTTATAACATTCAAAAATAAAGCCGAACATGGTAAACCAATTTTTTAATGCCTAAACACTTTAAATTTTGAAGACTGTTACAAACTCGAGTGTGCTAAATTTATGTATGATATTAACAAAAGTATAGCCGGAACTTCTTTCAGTAAACTCTTTAAATAAGCCAAAAATACTCATAATTACAAAACAAGATATGCTTGCTCAGGAAATTTTACTAAACAAAGATTTAGAACAGAATTTGGTAATAATTTCATAAAAAATGTTGATGTAGATGTTTGGAACTCCATTCCACAAGACATCAGACAATCAGGATCAAAAACAACTTTTGCTAAAACCTTAAAAAATTTATGATCTCAATATACTAGTACCCCCTTCCACTACATATGCTATAGTATTGGCACACAAAGAAAGACAAGAACTCTAACAAAGTTTAAAAGCATTCCACCTTTTTTTATCCCCTTTTTAATTTTTGCCCCTTTACCCTCAAACAAATAGATTAGATTTACGTTTTAACTATCATATTCGAAACAAACTTTTCTATTTTTCAAAATGTTTATTCCTAGTTTAAAAAAATGTTATTCTTGTTTATTAATATTGTGTATTGATTTATAATTGCTTCAGACAAAATTCACATAAGATGGCACATGGCTCGAAAGCCCCTATGGGTTATTTCCATGTGTCATTCAGCTATAACTTTTTAGATACAAATAATTATTTTAGATATCTGAACCTTATATGTATTGAAATATAACTGAAATTGTATCTTGATTAATTGTTTGATTAGATCAGTATATTGTAATTAAGCTGAGAATACACATGAATTTGAAATTGAATTGAAATTCTGGCGCTCGCCCCCCACACCTCCACGAATTCCGCTACTGTTTTAAAGGAACCTTACGTTTTGAAATACCAAAGGCCGTAAGCATTGCAAAGATTAGTTACGAGAATCTGTTAGATAATCAAAATTTCCTTTTGACCTAGCACCACGAGTTCAGAGCATAATAAGACAAAAATAAAGTCGACATGGTCGCAAAAACACTCAATAACAACCACTTTAATGGAAGGAGGTGTTTGATAATGAATGGAATCTAATGTGCACATGGCATCTTGAGAACCAAGTCCTTCCCTCCATTGTACACCATATGAGAATTGACGTGAAACTCCCACAACACATTTCGAAAGACAAAGAAAAAAACATATATAGCAGCAACCTACGACGTTAGAAACAAGCAAAACTAAGCAATTACTCGAAGATCTGACAACCCACACTTCATTTCAAGCTTCTACGTAAATGACATACACTTGAACGCAAATATCAATAATTCACGGCGTAATAAGTAAGGTGGCTTTTGAAAGAATATTTTCTGCTCAAACCTCAACATATGCACGAGGTCAAGCGTTGACAAGTCCCAAATGCATTAGCGATCACTTATGTTTAATTTACTTTAAGACAACATAGATAATATATTTATTTGAGGTTGTTTTGGCTTTGATTTTTTCTGGGCACTTCAATGTATTCTTTATTTTAGTCATTTTATCTACTTCGCCACAGGGACCTCGGAAGCGTGAGTAGTCCCAAATGCACGAGTAGTCACTAAAAGTAGTAAAAATAGACAGGGGCGTAGTGTGCCAACGGGGCTCTGGAAATTTCCCGGGAGGTCCCTTGGAACTTTTCATGTGGGCCCCTTGGATTTATCTTCCTTTTAAGCTTTTATCATTTGTAACATCAGATTTGTGAGAAAACAAAAGTGAATTAGGGCCCAACGCTACCTGTGCGACACTCATTTCCAACATATCATAAGTCATCAGTGGTACAGTGGAGAGGTAACGCGGCATAACGGCGTTACGCTCCATATAATGTCTGAGCTTCAGTTCAGCGTTATACCACCTACCTAAGCAAACAGTAGCGTTATGCTTCTTAAATATCAGTATGATACCAGATATAAGTACAAATAGCCAATGTTTTGATTTGACAATAGAGCAAGTAAATTGGTTAGGCTTTCAATACTTGTGTCAAGGTTCGAGTGAGAATGAAAGTGATTAAAGTCACATGAAGAAATCGCAATTGCATTTCGTACATTTATGTAAACTGGGCATGTGTACTTCGAGGATCCCTTTGTTCATGATTGTACGCAGTATCGTAGGAAGGACATTGTTCACTGGCCGAAATAGAGAGAATGATCTTAGAAGAAGTAAATGTATATGGTTTAGGTCATCTTCTTATAACCGAAAATAAAGCAATAAGAAAATTGAGAGAAGAATAGCTGGAGGAGGGAAAATATTTGGGCAATATGTCAATTCATGAGAAAAAGTCAATGCTTTAATTTTGTAGAAAAAGAGTCATGGGTTGAGTCACTACTAGCAACAACATTTGGTGTGAAACATGGACACTGGCACTTTTGCTGTTGTTTATAGCAACATTCTGTGTAAGAGCCCCCCCCTCCCTCCCCTTGTTATTTGATACCATTACACCACTGATCTCAAGATACATAGTTTGATCTTCTCCTCTTCCCACAGACAGTCTCAAAATCAATAGCATGTCACCTTGCTTGTTGTATCAATCTGTGTTACTAGTAGTGGTGTAGAGCCGAGAAATGTAGAGGGGGCTCATAGAGCTCTATATTGTATAAAAATATGAATATACCAATCGTTTTCATTTGCATGGCTCCTTAATATCAATTTATTTACCTTTTCATTGTTGCTAGGGTTAAATCATGATTTAGGGATTAAAAAAGTAAAATTTTTTAGCATTTATTGAGTTTTCAGTTATCAAGAGGACTAATGAGGTCATACATGAATTCAAATATCAAAAGTAATATCAGTTCAATCAAAGATTTGATCCTGGCAGAAATTAGCGATGATACTTTAGAACTACCGAGAAAAAAGAGGAGGTGTTGCAGCCCCCCTTCGAAAAATAGAAGGGGGCTGAGCCCCTTTGAGCCTTCCACTTCTGCAGCTCTGGCTACTAGTCCAATGACATAACTCAGGTAGATTTCCAAAGTAATGACACCACAAACATCCACTTTTAGTAATTGGGCCAGTTCCTGATAGAGGGTTGTGAAATACCTCTAAATTTTGAAAATCGGTTAGGAATTGGCAGAAAAGAATGAAAGTGAAAAGAACAACCAGGCAAAAAATGCTTTTTCTTTTTCTTTCAGAGAAGCAAAGATGTGGAATCGGCTCTCAACTGAATCAAAGCAAGCATCCTCCCTATATTTCTTTTAAAAAGTGTATTTCAGTTTGAAACATCTTCTTTAACTTGTATATTTGAAGTTTTAAATAGCAAGTAGGTTATTGAATTTTAGATTTTTTAGAGTTTAATTTCATTCAGATCGTTGTGTTTTATCAAGGCCACGCCTCCTGTATTTAAAAGTTGATAATATCGAAATGTTCAACTAAGGAGATCAATTTACTATCTACCCTTTAGAGTTGGGGTATTGGCAATTGTATGCATACTGGCTTTCGTGTATTTTTCTGTTTTGACGAAATGGATAGGTTTGTTTAAAACAGATCTTTATCTTTATTTTTTGTATCACCTTAAGTAGATTCTTCATTTTCTCAAATTATTGAAAACAAATTTTTGTCTTTGATAGTTAGATTATATTGTTTTTTGCAGGGACAATAATAAAGCAGTTTAATTATTATAGCTGAACTGTATCCCAGGGTAAATATGCTTTAAATAAATTTAATTATTTACACCCCACTTCCCTGCATAATTAAATACACAGGCTGGATTTGCCCGTGCATGACCAACAATAGCCGTACAACAATGGAGACAGGGTGTTAGGGTAACGATTGGTTCCTTGAATCTTGGTTGGCTACGTTCTTGGTGTTGTAGAATCCCTTTGGAGTTACATTCTGACTTGTTGGTTTGGTAGAAACAACTCCCCGAAGGCCCTCTTTCGTGTAACAAGTACTTGTTTTGTTTCGCAGAAGTTTATGCTTTGTGAATTTTCCTTTGAAGTGCGGTATTGCCGGGGCGATGCCACCTTCCTGCGCATTCCCAAGGGGCACCAATACCCATACATTTAAAACGAAATTTTGTTGGTTATATTACCATATTTCTCAAAGTGAAACGTCTCACGGTGTTCAGTACTTACGCTGTCGTAAACATGGGGACCTGTCATTCGAATGGAAAGTCAACACGCGCGCCTAATTTTGCCAGCTCAGTTCAAGTTACTGTGTATACTCCCGCTAAAGATAGCTGGAATTGCTCAGGGCAGACTGTGGCAGACTCAAGAAGAAAGAGAAGAAAATTCAAAAGTAAAACAAATAGGCCAGGAAGTTTAAGGTCTTCGCGACGCTATTACAGCGATGCTTTGGTTCGTAAAAATTTGGATCTTGAAAGGCATGACAGCAAGGCGTCTTTAATCCCGCGAATATTCTCATTTTCGACCCCTTCAAGATCTAGAAGGAAAAGGAAGGATAAGCTTAGAGCTAAGGAGAATAAGCATCCGCGGAAAGCAAGGCAACACCGAGAAATTACTTTAAGCAAAAAGCTCAAGGGACTAAGCAAGGAGCAGCTCGCTGAATTGATATTGCAAGTTTCCAACTCAAATCCTCAAATAGAAAAGGTGCGTATCACTCAACGGCATGCTTGCAGCAATTTGGTCTTGCTATAAGAAACTTCACCCAACTCAACTTTATCTCAATTTTCACCAAAAAAGCAAATACCAGGTGTCTTTTGCCATTATAAGGGGATGCAAATGATTATCACGGGGACTAAGAAAAGTGCTGCTTATTTTCTTCTACTCATGGTGGTAACGACGCCATACATAGCGAGGGGGGAGGGGGCAAAGGGGCATTTAACTCAAAAATTATCCCCTGTCTTTCTTCTGAAGCTTTAAAAGCAAATATTTTTACATTAAACTTTTGTAGAGGCAACGGTAGCAGAAACATTACACATATTTCCTACTTTCATTTCAAATTGGACATTCATTTTGTTAATGCTAAATTTTCCCCCTAGTAATTTTACAATATGTTCCCAAAATTGTACCCCTAACTCCGCACATTTTCATCCACACTCCTAAATAATGACACTTTTCCGTACCCCAAAACCTATTAAGATACCTCTTCCCCGGGCAGAAACGCAACACAGCAAAAGGCCCCTAGCCCACAACGCTTCCGAGGTCCCTGTGGCGAAGTAGATAAAATGACGAAAATAAAGAATACATTGAAGTGCCCAGAAAAAATCAAAGCCAAAACAACCTCAAATAAATATATTTTCTATGTTGTCTTGAAGTAAATTAAACATAAGTGATCGCTAATGCATTTGGGACTATGTTGAGGATTGAGCAGAAAATGTTCTTTCAAAAGGCCACCTTACTTATTACGCCGTGAATTATTAATATTTGCGTTCAAGTGTATGTCATTTACGTAGAAGCTTGAAATAAAGTGTGGGTTGTCAGATCTTCGAGTAATTGCTTAGTTTTGCTTGTTTCTAACGTCGTAGGTTGCTGCTATATATGTTTTTTTGTTTGTCTTTCGAAATGTGTTGTGGGAGTTTCACGTCAATTCTCATATGGTGTACAATGGAGGGAAGGACTTGGTTCTCAGGATGCCATGTGCACATTAGATTCCATTTATTATCAAACACCTCCTTCCATTAGAGTGGTTGTTATTGAGTGTTTTTGCGACCATGTCGACTTTATTTTTGTCTTATTATGCTCTGAACCCTGATCAAGTGAAGTTTTCGAAAAACTTTTTGCATATTCTTTATGCTCTTAAAAAATGAGCCCCGGATGCGATCGCATCCCAGCATGCCTTGCCAGCCCACTACTGATACATAACGATTGTCTGTTAGCCATTTAAAGGACTATTTTACATCAAATATAGAAGGTAAATAGGACACTGGGACAGCTCCAAACCCCGAAAATAGCAAATATTGAAAGTTTAACGAAAAGCATTTCTTTCTAGCACTTTGTTTCAAACACTTCTCGAGAGTTCCTTGCATTTATCATAGTAAGAGAAGATATTTTTCAAAGGGAAACTTTGTTTTTGGCAGGAATTTGATGAAATTTGTCCAAATGCAGACCTTGTATCCCACAAAAGAAAGTTGTTGCACCTGCTAGATGGGATTTATAAAGCTTTTCCGAAACATCATATTGGGTCAATGAGAGATAGTACCTGCTTCTACCGGGTTCTACCTTTTATAACTATATTCAAGGTATGTTTTCTTTCTAGTCTCCTCATCGTAAACCGACTTTGCCTTTTACCGTAATTCTGTTAAGTAAATTTATGTAAATACAATGATTGACATACAATCCTTGCCAAAAATAACTGGAACGCCTTCCCATTGCAGCATGCAAATAAACAAAGCAAGTCTAAAACTACCTTACCAAAATATCACTCCCGCTTCAAAAATGTCGACCCTCTCCCCCCGTACAATGTTGATTTATTTTCTCAATACTTTCATACAGCTTTCAGTGAATATTTTTTTACCTTCAGGATCAAAACAGCTCAATTGAACAACATTGTAATGGGGGGTAGGGGGGCATTTTTCAAAAAAAGCTTCAGCTTTGCGCAAGTGTTCCAACAATTTTGACAAGGATTGTAGCTCCATGATTTGTACACGCCAAGAGGGGCCAATAACTTTCTTGCAATAACTTTGTTTAATTTGTATGTACATTTCTATTATCATTCAACTGTGTTAATTATTCACTTTCTGGAGCGTTCAGAATATGCTTAGTAACTGGAAAATGCAAGAACAATCAAAGAAATGATTTGAATGATTGAAGTATAAATTTTGATTGAAATGTGGCTACATTATCGTCTTTTTAAGAAAAAGTGTGGCTGGCTTTCCCTAGCGTGTGGTTAAGACCACTCTGCATTTATGGTAGGGGTCTGGGGCAAAATCTAGCATCTTTACGTCAGACATGCAAAGCTCTGAGTAGGGACAGTCTATTTAAGGTGACAAGAAGCAATTGCCTCCCTCTGAAATTTGCAAAATTAAGGTTTATATCTAATGCTCGAATGGAAACTAAATTTAAGGAAGGCACACCAATTCAATGTGACGTAGTGCCAAATCCATATCATAATAAATAAAAGTGCTATCTATAGGTTAAAACGCCCAGAAAGTTTTGTTGGGTTAAAACGCCCAGAGATTGTAAGGGTCAGGGTATGGGGTTGTCACTAAGGTCTGGCTGTGTTAAGTATTTCTTTTGAAATGATTTCTCAATGAGTTGTGAGAGACGTTTTCGCTCAATTTTATGATCTGATATTCCTATTCAGGCGCCACGAATTTCAAAGTGGAGGGGCCAAGCTCGATAAATCGAATTTGAATTTAGTGCTTCAAAACAGGGCTTTTTTAGAAAAAATATTTTAGCTTACCAAAAAAGTGAGAGAGGCGTGGGCTCTGCTTTGGGTAACTTATTTGAGTATACATACTTTTCTTTGGATTTGTTGGATAGTGGAAATGAACTTTCAGATAATGAGGTGAGATCTTTCCTGATATTATCCACAGATGTTAATTTTGATGTAACATCTCACTCATTAATGCTTCATAGAATGAATGTGCGGCACAGTGTGAGCAGTTTTACAAAGATGGACTCTGGTCTGTTGTGATAGAGCATGTGTTAATTGTATGGCCAATGATCAACAGATTGCCAGAATGGAACGACGATGAACACAACATCCTAAAAAGATCTTTAATGAATCATTTTGTCATGAGACTTCGAAGTTCTATCAGGGCAAACAAATTCACGGATGAGGAGGCCTGGCTTCTAAAGAAACGGTACGCTGAAGGTGCAATAAATTCTACAAACATAGTGCCAAGTCAGGTATACTGCAGGCACCGTAGAGACAGGGGCAAGCGTATGAAGTCAGTCTTTTTAATAAGGTTTTATCATGGTTGTTCGGTTGTTAAACAGCAGTTTGAAATACCACTTTTCTGTGCTGTGAATAAAGGATATTAAAAGCTTATGCCTTTGTTCTCAGAATAGTCTCTCGGGCTGAAGGGGTTGAATTGCCTCCTACATAGAATTCGAAAAGTCCCTGATCTCAAAAATAAACTTCATCTGGCTGGTAGGATTATATATATTACTCTCAAGTACCGATTATGATCATCCCACCGCTTATTTAGTTACTTTTCAATTACTCAACTTCCACTTTAATTCAAACTCCCTTTCAATTATTCTTGAAAATGAAAATATTATGAAACATAATGAGCAAAAAAGTCTGTCCAGTTAGAAAAGTTTCTAACATCTCTGTTAGAAAAATCCTACCAAAAAGCAAGTAGAAGCTTCAAGAGTTGAATCAACAGAACCAAAGCTCATAAGTTCAATGTATCAGTAACATTCTATAAAAAGATAGGTGCATAGCTATAATTACGGAGATCAACTATTTTCAATGTTTCCAGCCTCCTCGCTCAATCGCCCCATTCCGTAGTCATTTGTAGATGGTTATCATATCTAAACATTTTCAACCCCCAATTATTCCAACCACTCTGATTATTCATATATTGAGCCTTCACGATATATGGATTATTTGGTACTTGAGAGTATTACAGTATTCTCTTTCTTTAGACTAAAGAGACAAAAGAATATCTCACAGTGTGGTTTATTTACCACATATTTTCATCTAAAGCCTGGGGTAATTGAGTATTGGCGTTATTTTTGCAAGAATTGTCTATTGCTAGGGGTCTTGAACATGGGCAATCTATTGCATGTTATAGTGATTCTGTGTATAGAAAGAAAATATTTTCTTGTTTTTTAGAATTGAAGAGGCACTCAAGATTGATAGATCAATTGAAGTTGTTAATGACGATATCAATAGAATAATTTATCTACAAAGGGTTTGTAGTAACTCATTCGATTTGGTAGTAGTTAATTCTATTTCTTTGTTGCTGTTTCTATGTTTTAAAGGTTTTTGGAAGGGAACCAATCAAAAGGAAATTTGTTGATCTTAAGGATATCATAAATCTCCTATTTATGTGGAAAATGCAAATGGGAGAACAATCTTGTGCTCTATCCTAAAAAGTACCATGTTTCTTTAAACTGAGACAAATTTTTACTCTATGTCTTTTAGTTTGTTTCATAAAGTGACATATATACTTTGTTTATTTGAAGTTTCAGATTAAAACATTCTTTAGATCTTACTGAAAATCTTTTTCATGCCTTTCTGATTTTCTAACATTACATTGTTCAAGCTTCAGTTCTTGTGAAAGTGTTAACAACAATAGTAAAAGTGAATTCAACATATTGCTATATCATTTGCAGGTTATGAAGTGAAGATTTCATATCAGAATTGGGTTTCAAATTGGGATAGGAAGTGGCAAAAAAGAATCTTGGAATGAACTGTGGACTAGTAAATGCTTCTATTTTCCACAAACAACAGAACATGATTTATTTATAGAATAAAGAGAAGTTGAAAATATTCATAAAATTATTGTTTAGTATTTTTAATGTGCAAATTATTTTATTGTTGTGGGATTGAAATGAAACAAATATTGTTCTTGATTCTGTATATGTCAATCATTCTAAGTAATTGTCCATGCAAGTCTTTGGTGATTAACTTAAGTGCTGAGACATTTGCTGTCACCGTTGACCCAAAGGCACAAACAGGTTACCTTGTGGGCATCTTGCTTATCAAATACAACTTCCCATTAATAAAAAATGTCACAATTTGGCTTGCAATCTATTCTTAAGGAAAACACAATATTTTGTTTAAACTATGGATTTTGTTTAAATGGCAATTGCCAAGTCAGTAGAGTATGATAGTTCTTGACAGGACCTTGCACATGCACAAAAATTTCCAGAATGTTTTCAGCCTTTAAACCTCCTTTTATGATTCATATGCCATGCAAAAAGGAGGTTATAATATTGACCTCTCCAATGCATCTGTCACAACCTGCAGATTGGTCTATAGCAATGTGTTGGCCAGGAATGCACAGATGTGCAAAACCAAGAAATAGGCAGCAGGACTACATGTTTGAATTACAAACTTACAAACTTTAAATTATTCAAACCATCTTACTTGAAACTTTCTTGGGTTGGTTAAGAGCATTAGATAGATAGATATCTGAGAGTCACGTGGGTGCATCAAAGTGAGATAAGCTTCCAACTAGCAAAACCAATTGAAAAAATGAAGAAATCAATGAACTATATACTCCTATTATCTTGAACACAAAAAATCCTTGAAACATATTCTTCATTCACTTGGTGCTATGAAAAATCAGAATTTTGCACTGGGTCTTACATGTTTTTTGGTTTGCAAGTTTCTAAAAGAGCTAGCAGCTACTCGCTTTATTCTATCTCCATACAATTGTTCTTTTAAAAACTTTCGGCCAATGTTGGCTTTCGATTCTACAGAAGACAGTTTCTGCTTCACAGTTATAGCACCAGGAAAGACATTTGAAACTGAATTACCATGCATAACAAGAGAATCTTTACTTTCATCACACAAATCACCATCAAACACTTCATTTTTCGGTTTTTTGGCACTTTCAGCTTTCAATTCTCGTCGTTTCTTGCTACCACGCTTACTTCGACTAAGAGGAAGAGTGGGGGCTGTTGTTGTTTCCTGATCAAGTCCTAATCCTGATGTTTCCTGGGCCTCTTTTCCAGTAATTGAGTCCGTCTTTGTAGAATCAACGTCCGATAAAACATTTAAAATTTCGTATGGCAACCTCACTAGAGACTTCTTACTTTTGACAAGTTTTTGTTCCTTTAGTTTCTTCTGTCGTTCCCGTCGATATTCTTTAGTTGCTGTTTTCTGACTGTGAATAGAATCTTTAACGTTTCGGCTACGTTCCTGGGCCGCATTTTTAGCTTCTGACAAAGACATATCTTCTGGTGCTTCATCTTCACTATCAATTTCTTTTCTTTCGGAACTCATTGTTGAGAAATTGCAATTCTACAAAGGATAAAATGGCTATATTCTCGAAATTTGGTAAAGACAGTTTCGATGTATCACAACGTGCCTAATCAACTCGTTCACTGTTCACAGGGTCTTGTTGTAGCGTTGTTGTTGTAGCGTTGTTGTTGTTGTATCGCTCATTAAGCTCCAACACAGGAACTCCATAAAGGAAATTGAACTACACTGATTGAACTACAGCATCTCCTCGATTGATTTTAGCACTGTTTTGGGGGGCACCCTATTCGTGTGCTGTTTGCAAACTGCAAACGGCTAATTGCAAACTTCAAGAAATTGACAGAAAAATTTTTTTTCAAAAGTCAAATTTTACTAAAAAATATTTAAACAATTGTTAAAAGTCAAAGGTATGAAAGAGGACCTTTTCGTCAGTAGTTAGGATCGGACTCGTCACAAATTAATGAAAATTTGTTAGCGCCCCGTTACCAACTGCCCCCACTTCAAATTTGGTCCGGATCCGCCCCTGCAACTTTTAGTCCGTCGGCACATTAAGGATTTTTGCCGAGTAAAAAACGCAATTTTTGGAACTCACTCTGTAACCTTTTTGCAACATTTGTAACGTATTAGCATTTCTGCAGTAGTTGAACTTTCTAAGTATGGCATTAAAGTATGAACTTTGAAACTGAAACGCACAAAAGCAGCATATAAGAGTATTTATCTTTTGGCCGCACCCTTAATGAATGAGATACGCCCTTTTTTGTCGGCAAAAATCACTTCTTTAACTCCTTCAAAAAGTTTTTGGCTTCGCCCCTGCTCCGGTGTCATGGAGGCGCAGAACAATTCACCTCATTTCTTAAGTGTTATTGCGGAATAGCGTGCCGCAGGAGCTTGTAAACCAAGCAACAACAAGTCCTTGACAACAGTTTCTCTCGGGCTTGAAGTGGGACGGTTTCTTGGCCACCGCTAAAATTGAGAAACAAAATGGAGGATATACTGAGTCAGATGAGTTTTGACGAAGGCGTTGCTATGCCTATAGCTAATGAAGAAAACAAAAAATATGAAGCACAAGTAAGTTTTTTCTGCATAATCCCGGTTTTTTGGCAATGACCTTTTTCGAGCGAAATACACATTTTAGGCCTAGGCCTTACTGGCCTGCACACCTCTTTTTGGAATGGGGCTTTCCCTCCATAGACTTCGAAAAAGTCTCAAGAAAAAGTCATTATTAGACGTTTTGTTTTTTTGTCTATCATTTTTTAAGTAAAAAACTTAAGAAATTCTTGTTTATAAACTCACTACTCCATCCTACACAATTTATTTTGTATGTGAACCAGACAGATCTTCTTGATCAGTCAAAAAGCTCTCACCCGCTGACTAATGTATCATCAGACCTTTGTATGTTAGCCTGGTTTCCATACAAAAACAGGTCCATATAGCCTGCTCAGCTTTGCATCTTTGAATCTTTTATCAATGGATCTGATTCATCTTTCCTGTGTCACCTCAGTGTTTGTTTGATGTATGAGGCAAGACAATCCCCAGACTTGCAGAGTAAAGTATTTTTTCTGCGCGGAGAATGCCAGTACAATCGTTTTGAAATTTGTAGATAACAAATGTTTGGCGATACAGAAAAATATTGACGATATTTGTGAGTCTGAGGCTATAGAAACAAACAAGCTTGACACTGCCAAATCAATTTGATGTTTTTTTCAGTGAATTTGATGTTCTTTCAGATGAATATGTAAGAAATCTGATTATGAAATCAACAAGTAAACATTGTCACCTTGATCCAGCACCGACATGGCTAGTCAAGAAATGCATAGATGTACTGCTTCCTGTGATCACAAACATGATGAATCTGTCACTTTCATCTGGCTGCTTTCCAGATGTCTGGAAATGAGCGGTATTAAGACCCTTATTAAAGAAGCTTGGTCTTGATCTTCTTTTCCAAAATTTCAGACCCGTTAGCAACTTACCATATGTTTCCAAGCTAACCGAAAAAGCAGTTGCTGACAAGTTGAATGAACATACCAAGTCAAATGAATTATTACCAGAAAAAGTGGAACAGTCCTTAATTGGTTTAGGTCATATCTAGATAGAAGGAGACAAAGAGTTATTGTGAGTAATGCCATATCAGAAGAGATGCATTTGAACTGCGGGGTACCTCAGGGAAGCTGTTTAGGGCCTGTACTGTTTGTTATTTACATCAGTTCTTTATATGATGTCATTAGTCAACACCTTCCAAATGTTCATGGCTATGCGGATGATCATCAGCTATACATATGGCTCAAACCAGAGCCAGTTTCCGAGAGAGAGTCCATTAAGGCCATAAAGATGTGTGTTTCTGATGTTAGGAAATGGATGTTGGTTAACCGTCTCATGATCAACGATTCAAAGACGGAGGTAATGTTACTGAGAACAAGACAACAACTGTCAAAGGTTTCTGTTGAAGGTACAAGAGTAGGTGATGAGGTGATTGCTTCTGTTGGCACAATAAAAAAACCATGGTGTGTATTTTGATCAAAATTTGAAAATGGACAAACACATTACAAAATTATCGAGTAAGGCATTCTACCAATTGTATAAATTGAAACATTTAGGGAAGTTCCTTAGCAACGAGGCAATCCAAACTATTGTCCATGCATTCATTACTAGCAACTTGGATTACTGTAACTCTCTGTTTTATGGCATGCCAAAGCATCTTATTGACCGACTGCAGTGTGTCCAAAATGCTGCTGCTCGTGTTGTGTTGCTACTACCTAAATTTGGCCATATAAGTACAGCCTTATTTGATCTGCACTGGCTTCCAGTCAAACATCGCATATGGTTTAAAATTATTCTGCTTACCTTCAAGTGCTTGATAGGAAATGCACCTGTTTATTTACGGGACATGGTGGAGAGGTATGTGCCCTATAGAACTCTCAGATCAAGTAACGCGCTGCTGTTAAAGGTTCCTCGTTTCAAGAACAAAACATTAGGTGCTAGAACTTTTGCCTATGCTGCAGCTAGTCTTTGGAGCAGTCTTCTGTATGAAATTCATTCTGTTGACAATATTGATCATTTTAAATCGTCTTTAAAGACTCATTTATTTAAATTAGCTTATGATATTATGTAATAGGTTTTAAATTGTAAGTGTATAGAATATTGTATTATAGTTATGCACTTTAATCATTATTATTATTATTATTATGTTTCCAACAAAACCGTGTGCAAAATTTGAAGCAAAGGCTTTCGAAGAGGCCTTGCACTCTTTGTTTTTATCTTGTTATCAGAAGTTTAAATGGTGGAATATTGGCAAAAAACATGATCAGATAAACAAATATTGTGCACGGAATCTATGGCAGATTCTTAATCATATATGGGCGGAATGAAGGATAATGCCCAAGCAGAATGAAAAGTATGCAGATCAATGCGTTCAGGCTACAGCAGCTGAACGGTAATAACCCTCTCAGTGGTATCTGGGAGAAACATTTGATTGGGAATTTTTCATGAAAAGGGTCTATAGACCTCCCAACCTTTTTGCAATAATAGGTTGCAAAATGTTTACGCCAACGAACCCATTAGTCACAGTTCTTCTTGACTGCGAACCAGTTTTTGTTCTTTTTCATGGTGCTTTATCTTGTGTGATCAAAGATGAACTTGTATTCCATCTAACTCGGTTTTGTATTTCTATAGTAACTGAAATCTTCTCTGAATGGTTATGTTTATTATGTTTATGAATCGTTATGACAGAAAGAAGCAAATATTTTCTAAAAGAGATTTTTTCCGATGTTTCACAGGACATGACTGTAAAAAATTTAGGGATGAATCCCCTAGCTCTGTTCCACCAGGAATTCTAGCAAGCGAAACAATTGCACGGGTTCTTGCAGCAAATCCTAATTCTGCTGATGTAGAGAGAGGCTGATTCCCACCTACAGCAAGAGAGAAACAGGTGGGAAAGCAGCATAGCTCCAGAAACACAATTATATGAATATTGCAATAAATATGCTTGATCTCGCAAGTTTCAAATTCTGTGAACAGCTGCAAAGATATGTCTCCAAAAAAACCAAAAACACTAAAGTCTAGGAAGCAAGACTGATTTAAGGGGATTTTTGAAGGGTTTCCTTTAGATAACCTTTTGCTCACAAGTTAAGACATCACTGTGTGTTGCTAATTTTCTTATTTACCCAATCCATATATTGCAAAGAACCAGCTTCACATGCTTGATTCGTCCAAGATTTTGTCCAATTAGGACATGCTATTTGCACTAGGGTGGCAGTATCTATATTTGCCACTCCCATTGAAAATTTTATAAGAAAATGTGGATCCGTAAACAATTCTTATTTTAGGCCCTGAAATGAAGGGAATTATTTCAGTTCACCTGTGGAAAAATAAGCTGGTTTTTTCCTACATCAGCAGAAGTATTTTGTTGAAATCTATTTAGAGCTCAATCTTGCCAATCGAATTTAAGTTCAATTGTAAAAACACTGACTTTTTGCCACATCAGGATGTTTTGTTGGCAAATTTTCAGACTTGTCAGCAAATTTAAGATGACACACCCAATTTCTCAGCAAATCAGATCTTAGCACCTGGCCTGAACACAATAGCTAGCAACAGCCCTACTTAACTGCTCTCTTGTCACTATTCAGTGCCAATGCTTATTATTTTTGCAAGTAAAGTTAATGTTCTTTGCTAAAAGAGTTTGAATGTTGTCAACAGCTTGATCAAGCACAAAAAGAGATTGCGAAAATGCAAGAGGAGGTGAACTTGTACACAGATCGAATTCACTCTATGTCTGATCATCTGAAAAATGTTAGGCAGGAGCTGCAACAAACACAGGTGAGGATTATTGCAATTCTAATTTTCTGATACCATTCTATTACTCATTATCCAAACTTCACAATTAACAGCACTGGAATTTTGAATCTTCTATAAAATTTTCATTTCCCATATAAGTTTATTAATCATATAAAATTGTTAATTCAATAACACTTGAAAAGACTAGAGGCAAAAAAGATGTTTTTGCAATCTAGGAGCTTTGTGGTGCCAAGAAAAGGGAAATAGACAGTGAGGACCACCTGAGACAAGTTGGTGAGTAAAAATGGTCTGCCTTATGCTTTTGATCAATTAAACATCTTATTACTTATAATGTTTGTGGATTATTGAGTGATGGATTAAAAATGGATTTAACTGTATAGGTGCTTCAGTGTTCTAAATGGCAATAAATTTATAGCAAGCATAAAACGAAAAGAAAAATATTAGGTTACACAAACATAAGTAATAATTAAAAGCAATTATTATTTATTAGAACTACAAAGTAATCAAATAATAAGAATAAAAGTTTACAGAAGAATGGTTTGCCTTTAAAAAGCAACGTTTGAAATTCTTTAGTGTCACAATGTATTATTTACAGCATTGATATATTTGTTACTTAAAGTGCGAAATTTTTGCTTCAGTTGTACAAGATCAGAAATATTTGAACAATGATTTTTTTATGTTTGGATGATATAATCAAAGTGCTAATAGCTAAGGATGTTAAGTAAAGTGATTGATGACAGTACGTTTTTCACGACATGGTGTGTGAAATAAAAATAAAAAAGGAACGCTAAAGGCAAGGCAAAAAGCAGAAAAGGTGCCTAGAATTATTACCAGACTAAAAAGGCATGTGCCGTGCCTATGGCAGAGAGACTTTAGCAAAAACAGTAAGAAGAATTTTTTTCATGAGGTTGTTTGGTTTTCAAGCTTGTGAATTATAATTTTTATGTATCACGCTTGTCTTTTATATTTACCTTATGATATATGGATAGTACAAGGATAGTTTAAAAAACTGTTTTGTTATGAGGACTGAACAATTAACAGTTAGTTTGAAATTCAGTTGCAGATCCAGATTTGTTGCTTGCAGGTGCGCTTAGGATTACTCCATGTTGTACAATATCCTAAGCAATTCTAAGCCAAGAATAAATTCTGTAGCAAGATCCTTTACGGCACCCTATTCCAACTAGTATAAAACAGCCATAGGCAAAAGGAATCTTTTCCTGCTAGTGCTAAAACCAATTTTTAGCATAATTCATTACAACACAAAGTATAAAGCTCTAGAATAAAGTCTATAGTCAAATTCATACCCGCTCTTAAAAGAGTTTTTGATAAAAGATGTATTAAACTTTTGACGAATTTAACGCAATTCATTCGCTGTTCTTAAATAACAGCCGAGCGTGAAAAAGGTAGATTGGCTGCGGAAGTTCAAAGAATAACAAAGGAGATAAATGTGCTTACAGAACGAAGAAACATATACGAGGTAAATACGTTGTATTTATTTTTGGCCAGGATGCAAACACGGAACTATTTTGAAGAGTTATTGCTGAGCTAGGACTATAACTTGCATACTTTTCACTCTATACAAGTTTATTCGTTCAAGGCATATGAATTATGTAGTAGTTTTAAGTAAGTCATGTAAGGTGAGCCGAATTATCATGAAAGAAATACAGTCGAATTCTTATAAATAAGATCTTTTCTGAGCAGACAAAGTGATCTGGCTTACCCGAATAAAAATAGAGAGTAAAAATCGAAATTGGACATCTAAAAACCGTTACAAGTGCTATAAAGTAAGAACATAATTCTATCGGGAAAAGTATAGAAAAATAGATTTTTTGCGGTGGCATCCATAGTTGGGTAAGGGCATCGTGCCATCGCCACGCTCACGCTAGATTATGTTTGTTTTTAGGGAAAGCCTCTTTCTATATTCTATCGCAAAAATTGAAGAGAAATTATTTCGTCTTGTCCAAAATCCAAAAAAATGTTTGCGAAAGACGGTATGCTTAACAGGTTTCTTATCCAAATTTATTCATCATTTATCCAGAATAACATCTTCAAAGGCAATGAGATGCTACAACAGATAAAGAATCAGATGAACTGGGATCAAAAAGCTCTAGAAGCATGGCTTGAAGAATCGGCTCAAAGAGATGATGATGCAATGATACTGCAAAAGTACACGAGGTCTGATGAAACCAAAATCAAGGTCAGTTGGCCATGATATTTTCGTTGAATTATATGAGATAAAGATTTTCTCACTGTGATTTTTAACGGCAGCCCGATAGGATTTACGAAGCCTCTGTGGGATTTGCTCATACATAATGAGGCTCTATCTAAACACGCTGAATAATTTGAAAAAGTGGGTATCTCATTGTTCAAAACACGACTTCTAGTGTGAAATCAAAAAGGTACCCTCAGGGAAAGAAAATCACTACACGAAAATCGAAGCGAGAATTGATTGATGAGGGCATTACGAAAACAGGAAGATCGACAACTTGAAAAATGTCTTTTTTGTTTAAACATGTCTAAATTGAAAAGTTGGAAAAATTTGTGCGAAGCAAAACGTCTATAGATTCTTTGCTGTGTCGCTCTTTTTTGCAAATCATTTTTATTCGTTCTATAGAGTCAATATGTAACACTTCTACCAAGTTCGATTGTGACAACTAATGGTTGAATCATCAATTTTTTAAGATCTTTCGCTCACTGCCGGCATAAATATAATGTGGTCAATATGAATACTTAGTCAAAAACCAACCAGATCTCATATTGCGAAATGACTGTTAAAGCTTTACTTCATCAGGTAGAGAGGGAAGACAGCCTTGTTCTCAGTAGTTGAAAATAAAAATCGTCGTCAAAATTTATCTGGCAACATTTCAATGCATTTGCTGTGTTGCATATTGACATGTATTTCATAGACTGCCTGGTTGAACCAATATTATGGAAATAAACAACATTAATGACAACATTAGTTGGAAAGATTTTTGCAGGTGCGCAAACTGATCAGAAAATCAAGTAGACAAAGGTTACTACTAACAAGGATATCTCCCTCAAAGGATATCTCCTTCAAGGATATCTCCTTCAAGGGTATCTTCTTTAAAAAGAGCTAGCCCCGAGATCTGGCCTTGGCACGGAAGGCTAAAAGCAGTAAAGTTTAGAGAAAATGCCACAAAATTCGGATGCTTTGAGTAGTATTGGAGGAGGTGACTAGAGAGGTTTTGTAATTGGGCTAAGGCATATTTTTGTCTTTTTTGTTAGTATGTTATAATGACCCTTAATCAATAGCAAATGTTGCATACACAGTATAGGAACATGACTGTTCCCTCAATGCAATGTTCAACAACAACGTGTACCTGTTGGGTGAAAATTTTTAGCTTCTTGAATGATGATTATTATTTCCCCACGATAAATATAAACTTTGTAAATCTGCATGCAGTTGATAAAGATATTCACTGAAAATCACTGTTTACCGGTAATGTCAAGCATCAGGCAACTCTAGTTGCGACCATCAGAAGTTGCCTGATGACCGCATTAGGCGTGAAATGCGGAGTAGCAACTTAGTGTTCTGTTCTATGCACCAAGAGTGTAAAAATATATTTTCCAAGCCATATATTTTCCCTGCCATTAAATCATGTCTCAAAATCAGCAGCAAAATCATTAGTGGTAACCAATAAAGCAAAGCCAGAAACAGAAGCTATCATGCAGGTATCATGATTAAAATGAAAAAAAAACCGAAATATATTCTGACAAACAAGAAAGGGAGATACGTTAAGAACGGTACCCTTAGCGGTTTGCAAGTGATGCTGAAGACCAAATATAAGGATAATGGCAGCAGTACACCTCTCAAGCGTACGATCAGCCTTGCGCTTGTTTTTTGAATTAACCTGAAGCTAAAACTGCAACTGAAATGCACGATGCAATCAGTTTCACATCTTTGTCAAACGCATTTTATAGTCTGAATGTTACAGTGATTTTTGTCTGTTAATTAACGCCTCCCTAAGTGATTGTAATTAGCGTTGACCTTAGCTTCAGTGAGCTGACGTTTGGCCAATCGTTAGCTGTTTCTTCAACTTATCTACTTTGGTTTTACCCTAATTGTTTCACAACAAAGTTAACAGATATAGAGAGCACATATTCGATGCTTCTAACTAAACAGAGAAGACTCTTTATTTTTATTTTTAACAATTTTGTGAAAGCACTTTCTTCAGGATTTTGAGATAAAAACAAGTCAGTGGGTTTTCCCCTTGATCCCCTTGATCACCTTGATCACCTTGATCCCCTTGATCCCCTTGATTCACATGATCCCCTTGATCCCCATGATCCTCTTGATCCCCTTGATCCCCTTGATACCCTGATCACGTTATATGCCCTTGATTCCCATGATCCCCTTGATTCCCATGATCCCCTTGATTCCCATGATCCCCTTGATACCCTGATCACCTTAAATGCCCTTGATTCCCATGATTCCCTTGATACCCTGATCTTCTTGATCTTCTTGATCCCCTTGATTGGGTTGGCAATGGACAGTCCCTCGGAGATATTTGCTTACATCATTTCTTGTCTTAGCAGACTCAAATTTCTGCTTTATGCTTAACGGGAAATACGATCATAATCTCAAATTTGAATGGAAAAATTATAGTTTTAAATACTCCAAGAACTTTGGAATGGCCTTCAAGCAAATTAAATCCCGTCTTAGAAACTGCAGAACATGGAAGAACCATTTTTTATTGCTCGCGATCGTTAAGTTATTTTTATTTATCGTTCAGCAATTAATAGCTCCTTTTTCTTTGTTATTACGTATTGCTTTTTTGAATTGTGAAGTTTAGGGTTTTTTTTTCGTTGTACAAGGCAGTATGTTGTACTTTTTCTTTGTACAGGAAAACGATTTGTGTATCTAACATACGTCTTTACCCTGCTTAAAACGTAAATGACATTAAATTCTGTACGGAAGAACCAGGGTGAGTGCTTCCAAAAAGCTACATGTACGTACCTTAGAATCACCTTCAAAAATAACCTATTGCTGCCAGGGGCGGACTGGCTCTAAATTTAGGGCCGGGGCAAAATTGGTCAAGAAAGGGCCCCGAAATTAAAATTAAGCTTACCAGTATCTTTTGTGGCAACATTTTTAAGGCTGGCTTAAAGGCTATTGGAATATTGCTATTAGTTCTCATTAGTTACCACCATATAACTTAAAAAACTCCAGATGCAACACAGCGGAGCCACATAAAATAATATTTGGATTTAATACCGTATTATACAGATGTAGTGAAATATGGAACTCAGTTCCAACGAAATAAAATGCTCAACAACTTTACAAATATTCAAAAAAAACTCTCGGAATTTTCATCGTTCAATTGTACTTGTGATCTTGTGCAAAGAATACGTATGCAGCATCTGTTATACTTTAAATTAGTTGGTTTTAATTAGCTTGAGTATAGCTAGAGATTGTACCAACTTTAAATAAATAAAGAAAGGAAAAAACCAGGGATGTAGATATTTGCGTAAAAGATTAACATGGGAGTTCTACAATCCTTTATTTGGGTCCGCCTCATTTTCACTGTATTGCCTAGGGTTTCATTCTGACGTAGGATAAGAGGAAAGAGAAAATTATGCCATTGTGGGGGGAAATTATGGCTTTTAAGTGGGAGAAGAATGTAGCAAAGTAGATGTAACGGCAGGTTGTGATGGAGAATTTATTTTCTCTATAGTGTATGATTATCTAGGGTTAAATATGGCTGCATTAAGCATCTCTGTAGTGTTTCTACCACTAAACTTTTGATTGGTGGATGGCTAAACCCCCAACCACAAAAGTCCGCAATGAAATAGTATCAGCAGCAATGAAATAAAAGCCTGTTTTTCGGTCAGAAGTTTGAAACTAAGCCTTTCTTTGGGTATTTCAAAATGGTTCTCGATATTTCCTGTCTTTATTCTTCATGCATCCGCTCCGCTATAATGTTTGTTAATGCAATACATATTGAATCGAATGAGGTGTGCTCGCCTCATTTTCTTTTGTCTTAACTTATCAGGTAGTTATTGCTTTCTATCTATGACTAAATTTCCCGCTCTAAATGTAAAGGGCAACTCAGAATAGTCTACGCCACTTAATCCGTGGCCCTGGACCTAGCTTTTTTCTCCTTTCCAGCAATTATTGTTCTAGATAGCTAAAAAGCTTGCTCCACCTGGTCAGTATTCTTTTCAAAATTTACAATTGTATAAAAGACCTCTCTTATTTTTTTGCACTGAGAGATTAATAATTCACTAGTGTGAGATTCAAGAAAGTCAACTGGAGGTAGTAAGTGGGTTCATTTGGCATACATCTCGATAACCCGACGGTTCAAGGCACCTCTATTCTGTGTTGAAGCTGATACTATGAACTGGACAGTGGAAAACGGCTCTATCGCACAACCGCCTTTTTTCTGCAGCGGAAATGTGCAATCAGAACGCGAAGAGAGTGTCATTTCAGCGTACCTGGTAATTATCGTGTCAGCTTTGATATCAGTCGCTGCTGTTATCCTGAATAGTCTTATATGTTATATTATGGCTACAAACAGCCATCTACGGACACCTTCAGGTACACTTGTATTATATATGGCCATCACTGACTTTCTCACTGGTATTGTCACCGTGCCTTTATCTATAGCCAGAGAGTCTCTCTTTGTTATGGAAACTCCACACAACTGTCTTGTAGATGATATTTTTTGGCATTCAGGCGTTGTACTTACTATGGTAACTTTGCTTCTGCTGTCACTTCTAAGCGTTGATAGATATATGCATGCTTTGCATAGTAGAAAAACGAGCGGATGGAAACTGACCAGGAAATACAACTTTCTGGTTGCCTTGATCTGGCTCATAGCCATTGGAGCTAGCGTCTCAGTGTCTGAAAACGAATATTATCAGGTAGTGTCTGTTGCACCTGGTATCTTCATTGGAATTGTTACCCTCGCCATCCTTTGTATCGCCTTCACGCACGCAAAAGTTTGTCTTTTTCTGCTGAAGAGTAGAAAAGTCGTCGCAGGAAGTTCCGTTCAACCTTCATCCGATTTCAGAAGGCGATGGGTACGCAAGTCAGTGGTTACACTGATTATAATAATTGTTTTCTTTGGAATTTGCTGCATACCACGACTTATCTACACGATCTTGAAGCTTCGACATGGACCTAACGGATATGAAGAACTGCATAGGTGGTCGGCTACAGTGGTTTTCGTCAATAGTGTTGTCAACCCAATAATCTATATTAGCAGGAGCAGCAACATCCAACGGATACTGAAAAGATATTTGGAAAACCTTGTACAATCAAGGCAAGGCAGTGAAATGGACGTTCATCCGCTCTGATGGACTTCAAGACAAACAGAAACTTTTGGGGGATACAGATTCAACCAGGGATTCGAAAATTATCTCTTGAAAAATGGAGTATCTTAAGGGTAATACAGATTCAACGAGGGATTAGAAAACTGTATCTTGAAAAATGTAGTATCTTAAGGGTAATACAGATTCAACGAGGGATTAGAAAACTGTATCTTGAAAAATGTAGTATCTTGAGGGTAATACAGATTCAACGAGGGATTAGAAAACTGTATCTTGAAAAATGTAGTATCTTAAGGGTAATACAGATTCAACCATGGATTCAAAAATTGTATCTTGAATAATGTAGTATCTATGGTGTAATACAGATTCAACGAGGGAGTGGAAAATTTTTATTCTTTTTTCCTCTCTGTTTGAATGATGTAGCACATATGGGTAAAACTGCGCGTGCAAATAGCCATCGAATACAACTCAAAAAGTATCTGCTATTGAAACACGACTAAAACGGACAATTCGTGACTCTTGAGATTCTCATAATGACGCCTAGTAGCCAGGTTGTTGATATTTAGACAGAATGCTTGATTATATGTTACTTGGAGATTGTATTTTTTCATAGGAATTTCATTTTTCTTTCGTTTTCGTCACTTGAAGATCAATTGTTGTGCGCAGCAGCTCATAACGCAGTAGGGGCTGGCATCGAGTCTTCCAGAATTCTTTCGTTTCACCCTGCATTCCTTTTTCATCAGAAACGCTTTTATCGCGAGAAGAAATGATTGATTAGAACGAAAAATTGAATTTTGAAGAAGGTATTTAAGTTCAGTATTTATTTTATAGAGAAGACCAAAAACTGCAGTTTCAAACTAGGATTTTCAAAATGAGTTAATTTTATTCGGTCTTGTTTGTTTCAGTTACAAACACTCTAAGCAACCCATTTCTCAAGGCTTTTGTGGGCAACATTTTCAGTTGTTAGAGCCGCGTGACTACAATAAATCAAAATGATAATCAATACGTATTTTCTATAATTTTATTTTAGTATAAACTTATACTCGTGTTTTTAAATCTTTTCTTTAACGAATCGAGAGCACTTTTTTAAATTCTAAAGGAATTTTTCCAGTTTACAAAGGAATGTAGGCAGTTTGTCTATATGAATAAATAAGATCCAAGTTATGTATTCCTTATTCTGTTCCGATTTCTAGGAACTGTCTTTGAGGCAACAGAAGATGACTGACGAACGGGCCTCCAGAAGACAGGCGTTGGAACATGAGATAACCCAGACACTAACTGCACAGGTTTGGATTGCTTTTTTTATGTTTTCGAAAATCTAGCCCTATTTTGATGGCAACCCTGCCCAATCTTGATGGTCACTAGTTTTCTGTGCCAAGAGAGTTTCTACAACTTATAATCCGTTCACATTGAGTAGAAGTTACAGGATCGGGATCGCGATACTGAAAATTGTGTCCTGTAAACTCTAGATTGCAATACGTATTCCAAATAGTTCGATCCCTTTCCAGTGGTGGATTGGATCGTGTTTGTTATCTCAATCCCATAGGGTTTCCCTTTTTAAACGATTTAGGGTCGCGATCGCCTAGCAAAAAAAAGACAATATTAAAAACAAACAAGTTGATAGCCCGTCAGATTTCTGTTTTTCAAATGTCCATCTTTTCAAAAAAATAATGTCAATGTTTTAGATTTTCAACGAAGACCAATTAAATGACCAAGTGATGATGCCTTGAAAATCAGTTTCTAGAATTTTTTAATGTTGAAAACATGGGCAAAAAGTACACAGTAAAATACCTCTAAACCTCCAAAAACAGTTAAATACGTTCCAGATTTTCTGAAATATGACCAATAAAAGACTTGAAAGCTTGCTATTGAATTACTGTTGTTTTGGCAAAAAACCTTACTGTTCCATGGCTGTGAGCCGGAGGAAAGTTTTCCAAAGATGCAGTAGTTTTGAGGAATACCAAACCATTAATCATTTTACTTCAATTCAAGTTCTAAAAAGATTTTGGACATAAGGAAAACTTTGAGGAAGGCGAATAAGGAAAATTTCATCCAGAGGAAGATTGAGGCATTTTTTTAACTCTTGTTTTGGCCTGGTTTATAAGTATTGAAATAAGGACCAAATACTAGATGGGGGAAAACCATATGCTCAAGTGGCCTTGTCTCAGGCCATCTATAACCAAACCAACTGATTTTCCACATCTAGAGGTATTTTATGGCTTTATTTCAGACTTCTTCTTCTGTGGCTTATTTTCCTACTAGATTGCGTCCGACGCTACATCATACAGCAGTCATTCTTAAATTCCGGCCCGCGGGTCAACTCCGGCCCACAGCAAGTTTTACCTCAAAAATATTTTTGGCTTACGCTTTTAAAATTTTGAATTCGATTTAGTTTTCTTGAAATCTTCTTTTTCTCTTCATTAAATGAAAATGAGCGTCCTGTTGATCAATAATTGGTCTGAAAGGAAGTATCAAAACAGGAAAAAGCTTCTTTTAATGATGTAAACGTTTTATAGCACAATATTTTGCTGCTTTGAGTTAAAAAATTAAAATAAATAAAGACAGGATTTCCAAAACACCACCTTCATTTATTTCAATAGTTCGTTGATGTGATCACCATGATCTAACCCTTTCCTCCACTTTCTGAGTTCCCAAGTCCGAAGCCAGATTTGATCTTTAGTTCATGTGGCAGCATTTGTGAACTGGGACACAGGCTAATACTTTTTTGCCAAACTGTGTTTTATTTATTTTTCTCCCCATCTTAATTTGGTTTCATTAGTCGCTGCTATGCTAAGATAATTCTAAGACTTTGGAAGACCCTTCCTTTTCATGTCAACATTAAAATAGATGAAACTATGGAGCCGTTAGATATTCCCCCATTAAACTCTTTTTTTTGATGCAGTTTCTAGCCATCCCTAGATTATTATAATCCAAACTTTTTCTTGCCGCCAACAATACTGGTGACCTTTATTTAGCACAAACACACGCTTTAAATTCTGGTCCCACTTTAAATACGTTTCGCCGTCCCTGGATCAGTTTTTAAGTGCATCAAGTCGACCTGACGAACATCAACCTCATAGCCTAAAAGTAGCACAGCCGTCTTCTGACTCAACCTGGTAAAAGAAACGAAAAGTTACAAAATTTTGTGTAAACTCCTTTTTTGGTTTATATACATTGTTTACAGTTTGAAGCCTTTAGTCCCTCTTCTCGGAAAGTTATCCCAGGCTTCGGGCGTGTAAATCCGTCGTGTATTGCAGATTGAGCTAATCCCTCCTACATCAAGCCTGTACCATGTTCTTAAGTGTTATCATTGGCCCCCCTTTTCTCTGCTTTCATCTACCCTTTTAAAAATTATTTCATGAAAATAACCACACTACATAGATTTTATATAGATAGAATCTAACACGAAATAATAGGCCTGCCGATCTCGCCATTACCTTATACAATCTTCCTTTTTCCTTACCTGGAGCTTTCATATCACACATTTACCCTTGATTTTCTTCCATGCTCCTCAGTCTGGCTGCACTCTCTTTTCACCTCCTTCTCCTCTCCATCTGCCTGCACTTTCGACCCAAGGTACTTGAACCTCTTCACCCTCTTCTGTTCTAATCCTTGCATTTTCACCGAACCTTCTTCCTCATTGTTCCCAATAAATCAGAATTTGCGCCGATGCACCAACGGCCCAACTCGCTCTCCATGATGTGGGAACGTAGCCTCATGACTGACTTTTTGATGTCCATGGCATGATTTTCTTAGGGAGCTTTTTGACGGAGTATTTATTCCCGAGAAACCCCTTTTCGCTCCTTCAAACCCCTTTTACAGGTCTTCGTAACCACCTGCCCTTGCAATCGATACTGCCTTCTTCAATATCCTCAAACTCTAAAAACTAAAAATAGATTTTGTGACGATATCAGTTTGCTGATCTATATCAACGATAAATTGAAAACTTAATTTCTGTAGGCTTTTTTAAAAGGTACTAGATGCATCAAGGAAAGTGGAGGTGACTTTCTCCCTCTGACTCGACTAATTTTTCATTAAAGGCTTAGATGATTTCTTCTCAATACCGGTATCGGCATCGAGTTATTTTTTGGCCGTGTTAACGCTACAAGTTGACGATCCCAAAGCCCGATTCCGATCCAAATTCCCATCCCGATAAATATCCTGGTCCTGATCCCTATCGTGGTACCGATCCTGCTTTCGATCTTCTCACTTTTGCCCCTTATAGATGGGGTACCAGGGGGTTCTAGAATGAACAATTTCACATGGCTATGTCTTCTAATTCGTCTTTCTGCAGGTTCAACGAGTCATAGAGACGAGTATCTATTCAGCCCGTAGCGGGCAAGGAAGAATGTACTGTCAAGTCTTGCCTCTGTGTGTATATTTAAAAAATAGTGTACAAATCCACAGTTCATGGAAAAAAGTTAGAGGGAAGTGCTTTCTGTAAGGGACTTTGAAAATTTTGGTTTATCGATCTGGTTTATCGATCTTTTGTTGAAATAATTGTTGCTGATTTTTAGAGCAAGCGATTGAATAATTTTCCTATCACTTAGCTGCAACTTGACAAAACTGCGGAGGCGTTCAGAAAAAGTCACGCGGAGCGTCAAGAGCTTCTACGTCAATGGGAGGCTACAATTCAACAAATGCAGAAAAGAGATCAGGATATGGATCTAGCTGCTTTGGTTTGTTGTTTCCCTATGCCAATTTTTCTACTTTTAGTTATTTAAAGCTGTTTTATTATTATCTAGAGAATACAGCGGACTTTTTTGTCCTTGCTGGAATTTTGCTGCTTTCGATACAGTCGAGGGGTGAATTCAGTGTGTCTTTTTCCATTTCAAACTCTCATTTTATGCAGCAACTTGAACAGAAACATTTTCTTTACGGTCAATCATATCAAATAAGGGTGCAATATTAGGGTTAATGCATTTACTTAAAAGTTTTTAATTCAAGTTGTTAATTTAAATATTTTTGGAGCACGGGGGGAGGGGGTAATTTTATAGTCAGTTCAAGAGCTTGGTTTGATGAATAACTATAGGTTTAGGTTGGAAGTGACATTGCAGTAAAAAATGTTCAATTTTATTACCATTTAGTAAACTTGATTAATACGAATAAAAGGTTGTTACAGGTTATACTTGAAGAGTCATTACCCTTAGGGAGCTAGAGGTCGAACGGAAACGGACATTTCTTACTGGATGGAGACGAGGGAGCAAAGACGGAAAATTGAAAATCGGTTCAGGAATACAATTGAAGGACATGGAGCGAATCTATGGTATCCTTTAAAAGGGGATGGCTTGCAAAGGAGCCAATTTTATTCAACTTAGGAGCAAATGAGCGATCATCTCTTTCTTAAGACATTTAATAATTTCCAAACTGTACAACAGAATGCTCAGTCTTGGAGGATTAATCAGCAAGCTCCATTTCCTACCTGGAAGTCTGTTTCGATTGTAGAAGAGGGCTCATATAGTTTAGTTTTCTTATTGTTCAAGCAGAAAGCTGGATGAAGTTATCAAAAATCGCACCAAATTGGTAGCATTAGAAGCAAATACTTTGAAAAATTCGAGCTAGAGTTAGGCCGTTAACGATTAGAAAATCTTAGAAAAAAGTAGCTATCGTGAAGGCAACTGAAAAGATTCATCGTGAATATTTAAATACTGACTACGAATAAAATTTTGTGAACGACAGGAACCCTTTCTCCCAAAAATGAGTGACAATGTTGTACCGAGAAAATGACATACACCAAGGAAAGAAAACCGATAATATCTCATTTACCTGATGTGTTAAGAACAACCAAGGGACGTAATGGCAAAAAATCTCTTTGAAGAAGGGCGTTTTTTGGCGCTTAAAAGGTTGTAGAACCCAATATTTTCTTGCTCAACTCGCCTTTGCCCACCCTCCCCCCAATTTTGCCACCCAGGCTACACTACTGAGCACAACATCACATCATAATCCTAGGAAGATTAGTTTACAGCCAGAAGCAGCGGCTCTATATCCTTCTGCCATTCCTGACTTTTCAACAAACTTTCTTCCTGTTTCAGTTCCAGATCCAATTCCGATTCCTGCTCCTGCTTTTATGTTTCTTTCTGCCCCTTCGAGCAACCATAGTCAATGATATTATGACTATTCTTTTGACTAGGGAACACCCAAGAGAATAAAAAGCTTATTCTATTGCTAGCAAAACAAGTGGTCTACCGAAGGTTGCTCCCGAAGTTTGCAGGAGACACTTTGAAGTACAAAAATTTCAGTTCTTTATTTGATATGGTTATAGACTTGTGGATCTGCCACCCAAAAGAGAAGCTTGCTTTTTTAATAGAATTCACAAGTGGAGGGCAAAAGGATTTGATTTGAATGTGCTGGTATCAATCTCCAGTATCTGGCTATCAACGAGCAAGGGAGTTGTTGGAGCAAAATTATGAAAATTCTATTCAAGATGCCAATGTTCACATGAAAATGCTGATTTCATGACCTAGAGTTTATGACGAAGATAACAGGAAGATGCGAAAGTTCTATGTTTATTTGGTGAAATGCTAAGGCTGCTTCACTGATGTGAACATAGAAATAGTAGCGCTAGAATGCGTGGTCTATCACGTGACGCGTGCGAACTATGGGGAACCAAAATGGTAGCAACAAGTTGGCAAAAAAATACGCGGGAAATCACAGCGGACAGTATAGCCTACCCCTATCACCGTATACGCGCTTGAATTTCTAATTAATCTAATACACTGTCTGTTGCTAATATTGAATGATAATTGAACTTTGATAAAAGAAATGGTAGTGTCGTGTGCTGCTTTCGGCTGCCAGAATCGATGGATTCCTAAAAAAGACTTGCTTCCCGGTCAAACAAACACAAGTAAGTACGCACAAGTAAGTAAGTACAAACAAACACAGTTGTGTGTACTGTGTTTCTCGTTATTCTTGATAGGTATTTGAATAGGAAAAAAATATCTTCCAAAAATTCTATGATACTTTTATTAAGTATTCGAAATGATTTTCATTAATGATATTTCTACTATGTTCACAAACAGACAGTAGGTACATAAAATCGGGAGGGCAGTGAACCAAATTAAAAGTCATCTTATGGTTCGTGGCATTAATTCTTCAAAGAGGGTGCAATAGGTGAATTTACTCGGATGCCGAAGATAAATTTTCCTATCATTTCTTACATTGTAGCAAAATTTCCTTACAAACTTTGGTGGAAGGGGGGGGGGACATGTATTTCAGTAAATACATACTTAAATATGCATAGATCAATATATCTCTTTATTTAATGAGTTTATGTGAGAATGCATAGATAGGTTATATTTCCATTCCTATTCTGTTTTTTATACAGGATTATAATAAGCAGGGGTGGGGGGTGGGGTTGCGAAAAACTACTGACCTGAAGAAATACCATGGTATGTCCCTATTGGTAACTTTTTAACAAATAACCTAAATGCAAAAATATTGAAACAGCTCATAAGTGAAGCAATTAACCTCCTTGCTGAGAGAGGAGCTAAAGTTCATGCAGTCATCTTTGATGGTGCTCTTAAGAATGTTAGCATGGCTGAGAAACTTGGATGTGATATAAAAAACCTTTGCACATAATTTCCACATCCATCAAACCCCAATGAAAAGATCTTTGTAATTCTTGATATCTGCCACATGCTGAAGCTTGCAAGAAATGCCTTTTCCACCATCAAGATCTTTTGTACCCCAGGTGGACAAAGAATATCTTGGGAGTATGTTCTTGCACTCTATAGAACAAAAAAAATGACATACTAAATCTTGCAAATTAACTTAAGACAAAGCATATTCAGTGGCAGAATCACAAAATGAAGGTCAGTGTTCAGCACAGACTTTAAGCCATTCTGTGGCATCTGCAAACATATTTTTGAGAAATATGAGAGAAGGGGTTGCAAGAATTTAAGGACAGCAAAGCAACCAGCGACTTCATCCTTCTGATGAACAATATCTTTGATATGCTCAAAAAGTAAATTTGGAAAGCACACAAAGAGACCTGAAAACAACAACGCTGTTTACATATATTAATTTGAACTGGAAAAAGTTGATTCAAAAGTTTCAACAAGACTTTCTAGACACTGAATCACGCTGTTGTTGACACTTTTGTTTACCAGTAACTTCCGCGTTTCTGCTAGGCCAAAAATTTGAGGAATTTATTAAGTACTACTCAAAAATATAACGCATACCCATTTATAATGGTTAAAGGTTGTCTAATAATACTGAACTTGAACTGAATAAAGCCATAATTAATTACTAAGCTGCCCTAGGAAAGGAAATTTGGTAAAGAAAGGAGTCCAAACAAAACACGAAAAAAAACCGTAAAACGACTCGCTGTGGCGTAAGGAAAGAGTAAAAACGTCCCTTACCTTCTTCTATTTTGGCGCTGGAAAGGTTTCATGAAATTTTTTTCCTCATATCACCACGCAGAATCGGTAAGTCCATAACTTCTTATTTGTGTACAACGTACGCCACAAAAGCTTTTTGCCAACATGTTGCTACCATCTTTGCTGCCCATTGGTATTACGCAGAAAACAATAGGCGAACAATAGAGCGCGCATTCTAGCTCTACTATTTCTATGGATGTGAATATGATTATCAGATGACCTAGGCGCGATTTAATTGCTGCAAGTGCTATTCTGAAGCAGCAGGAAAGACTTACGCACAAGTGCATATGATCGGATCAAAGGAATCAAGAAGATCAAAGTTTAAAGATTTTCTGGCATTGGATTTTGTGTGCGACCCTACTACATTCAGTAAAGAAGCTATGTTAAATGTCTTACCAAAAAAGCATCAAATAATTTCAGACCACAGCAAATATCCTGGAAGACGACGAATAATATCGCTTTTTGTAAGTTGAAATGCAACCGAACAGGTAAATGATTCATTTACAGGCACCAAGAACACTGAGGCGAATTGTCTTTTTTGTATAGAGAAGAATTGCCTAGATGACTGCCAGATTTTCTTGAAGAAATCTCCATTTGCAAGAAAGAGATTTCCCGTAACTCGTGCTTTGGCTATTTTCGCCTTCATATAAAGTCAGAAATTGTACTTGTTGTACCGAAATAGCAACAGAAGATGCAGATATCGTCAATAAGATAGTTATGTCAAGCATTGATTGGAGCAACCAAATCAAGCTACCAAAGTGTTCAGTCGTCAAATGATCTTCCAGTTTATCAAAATGAGGTAGTAAGAAGATGGTCATATTTAGAAGAAAAGGCAAACGAAATTCCGGAGCTCGACAGTGACATTCGGATAGGTCCTTTAATTGTCCGGCTTCTTTGCGACCTATCCAAGTTATTAAAGAAGATAATTTTTTAACCAGAATAGTGGGAGAAGATGGGGCTCACAGGCACCGCGGAGCAATTACCTGTCTGCCATACATTTGAAGCGTACAACCATTTTTGTACACCTATATATTGTCATTCCTATCCTGAAGAACGTAGAAGGAGTGATCTTGCTTTTTTCTATCGTGGGTCGGGGAAATGGTCGAAATTTGGCATCCAACCGCCAACTTATTGTCAAACCAAGAAACACGACATAAAAGAGTCAACGCTTCAGAATTGTTTTCCCATCGGTTATTTTTGTCAACTATATCAATAATACACAATTTTATCAACAAACATACTATTTCTTTCTACAAAAATCTTGGGATTTGCCAAATAGCGAAAGTTTTCTAACTTTCATGTGAATTGAGAACCATAAGTGATACTTGCTAAAAATATTAATTTATCAAGGAAAAAAAGTAAGTGCTACCGATATATCAAAAAAGATTTCAAGATTTTCATTGAAAATGATTGACTGTTATGCATATGAAATATATTTTTGCATTTGATAAATTTATTCAAATATTTTTCTCGGAAAAACGCATGCCAGTGTTACAAATATTTTGATTTTGTTATAAGAACGATCAGTTCTCGATTATATATTTCCTACGGTATTTTTTGCTAATGGCTACATCGAACTGTTTCACGTGAATAGCTTTCTTAATGTAGGGTCCATGAGTTACAAATAAAAGTAGGGAAGAAGTTTGAGAATCTAAATCAGCTTCACTCAACATTTCAATATCTATCCAAAAAGTATAATATCTAGGAAAATACGTATTTTATTCTTTGTGCTTTACGTTGCAGAAACTTGCAGAACTGAAGGTTCGGGTACATCAGAGAGAAGATTCCCTCAACGAAAGACAGGTAATTAATTGGTTGGCTAAGTTGTTGGAACAATATACAAAATTACCGTCACTTTAAAGGCTAGACCGCTTCGAGAAATAATTTTTGGAAAGAGTTTTGTGGAAATTCATATACTTAATCAATACCATATTCTCAATTGTTTTTTATTCACTTTATTTAATGTTGGTTTACACAATAACAGCTAATAAACAGCTAATTAACACCAACTTGTCTTATCTCTAAAAGGCACATGTTAAGGCCATATTTGTCTTCTATTGCTTTGATCTCATAAAAGTTCATAAAAGTTTATAACTCTTAGAATGTGCTACTTGAAGTATGAATCTTTTTAACTATATTTTAAATTCATTATTACTTTAACATGTATTATAACTGAATAAAGCTTTTGTTGTTACTAAACAAGAACCGATTAATGTCAAGAAACAAAGATCGTACTGCCCCAGTACGCATGCCCGATTCTGATGTATTCTTGGTTTTTGCAAATCTGTTTAGTATTCAGAATTAAGATGTGCTGCCTAAAGGCAAGAAATCATCGTTAGCCTAGATAAAGTTTAAATATCAGTTTAAAGCTTTCTTCACAATGAGCGATTAAACGATGCTCCTGAAAACATCCATTTTTGCTGATGTTTCTTTACTCAGCAATTTTTGGATGGCGAACTGGCAAACAATCAAGAAAAAGAGAAAAAGATAGCAATCGCCGAAAGACAGTCCGCGAAGTATCGCTTGGATTATCAGAATAGTGAAAATGCAAGAATCCTTTTTCAGGATGAGGTAAATATAATATGCTTATACCATTGGAGGCAAGCACGTTTAGGACCACTAATAAGTGGACCATGGTTTTGATAAGTACCATTGAAGAGGTATATTATTGATTGATCCTATAAACGGGCTTGTATCTTGACTTTATCCACAGTGGCGGACACCTTGGGTGGGCGAGGAGGGGGGGGGCGGTTGCCCCCCAAAACTCTGGATGACAATGGTCTTTTGTTATAAAACAATGGGAAAATGTGATATCATCTTGTCAAAGCAATATGCTTGCCCCCCCAATATTTGTCCGCCCCTGTTTATCCAGTATGATACCGCTCAAAAAGGCCCTCAGTGGTCATCACATAGAAAGGAAAGTGCATAAAGAAAACAACTGAACCAATCCGTTAAGTAAAATATTGCTTAAGTAAGATTTTTTTAAACGGGAAAACCATGTTCGCTAGCTTTCTTTACCCAGCCCTGTTTCATGATTTTTATTTACAAGAAAATGATATCATGAAATTCTGCTTGCGCTGAAATTAACCCTGGTTTGCTGTTACTTTTTTAAGTGATACTTGTTTTTTAGCTTGACACATTGAAATACACTGTCGATCGAACAGCCAAAGATCTCGAGGCAATGAGAGAGAAATGCACACAACTAAAGAAAGATGTTAACGAGAAGCAAGAAAAGTATGTTATACAAACGACAATAAAATTTCATTTGGATTTATTAGAAGAATACTATGTGTTTATCAGGAAGCTATAATTTAGGGGAGAGCGATTAAGACTAGGGCCTACTCCCTTGCTTGAAGCAACAACAACATTAAAATAAGTTCTATCCGTGTTCTAAACCAGCCTCTTTTTGACATGATTTTTATTTCCGAGTTTGAAGGCTGAATTCTTTTCAATCTGAGTTAAAGTAATGGCCTGAGTTTAAAGTAGGGGTCTCCAAGTGTTCCCTGTTGTGTAGAGAATAAGTTTAATCATTAACATATATAATTGTGTTGTCTCGATTTGATGCAAGCCTCTGTAATCAATAATTATTGCAGCGTATGAGTTCATGCCTAAATGGAAGTGAACTTTAAATTGTTTTCAGCGTCAGTTTTTTAGCTCAGGTCATTCTCTGTTTAAAGTGCGTATGTTAGTAAATTTAGGTTGGAAAACTGACTGATTTCTGGGGGCCCAGGGACGCAATCTGAATCTGCTTCCGTTACTGATTATATTCCTGTTTTTTTGATGTTCTACGTCCTAAAAGTGACATTTTAAATGGCGTAAACATTGCTCTTTCCCTTCTTTTCTTTTGAAGTGGGTACGCTAATGTATTTTTCATCCAATTAGGCTTCAGAGGGCACAGCAGACCCGAGAGAATCTTTATGAACAGTTGAAGATAGCTGCAGACACTACGCTGAGCGCCGAAGATCGTGCCTATAGAGTCGAGGAGACGTTAAAAAACGAAGAAAGCAGAATTCATGACATTGAAAAAGAGCTTAATAGACTTAGAGAAAAACAGGTTCACATGCTTTGAGGCTTTTCTATACTTCTGTAAAAAATGCTACTTAGAAAGATACAGATGAATATGTAAAAAAATTTTTTAGAAGAAATAAACAAATATAATTATCCACAAGTATGTTGAATGTGATGATTATAAAGGAGAGGGGATAAAAAAGGAATGTTATAGATATAGTCAAAGTTTGTTTCTGTTGACAGTTTTGCGAAAATGTTAACCTGATGTTACTTATATACAGTTCAAAAGTGGAAGGACATGAGATAATGATTGCAGTGTAAAAAAATCAGCAAAAGGGTACATAGTCTAGTTAAAAAAGGATAGATCAAATAAAGAATATTTGAAAGCGATATAGCCAGGGGTGCTGTAGAAGAGAGAACCAGAAAGGAGAATATACTTTGTTTTCGAAATAAGGAGCATCCCAAGAGAGCAGATGGGAACTGCAGCTCCTTAGAAAATATATTCTTTTCTTCTGTTACTATCTTGAAACACACAAGATTATTTTTTCCAGTTTCGTAAAACTCAAGAATTATATCAAATAAAGCAAATGGAATCAAATACTACAGCTGAAATCCAGGTATTCAATTTTTATTGATTTCTGTGTGTCAGAGGCGTTAAGCTTCGCGTCCGTTGATTGGAATGATGTATCCTATCTATGTTGCTATATTAGGCAAGTTTCTCCAACTTGATTAATGTTGTTAACGTTTCATAATCTTTGTTGTATTTCTGTAATTATCTATTTGGGTCAGAAAAACAATCTTTGGCGGTACAAAAGTTGAAAAAAGACTTTGAAGAAGGAAACATCTTAAACATATTAGAGCTTTTCGTCTGACACCCTGAAGAGGATTTCAACGCGAGTTAGATTTTGACATCTATGTTCTCCGAAACCAAAAGATCAAACCAGAAGTGTCTTTATTTGAAATTGCTCTTTTTCTATAGGGTGCAAAAGCTGCTTGTCGGAATCTCTCAAGCAAACTTCACAAATTGGATCAGGACTCCTTGAAACAGCAAGAAATAATATACAATCAAGTGAGTGTTGTTAACACAAGCAAAGGAAAATAAGCCGTTTCGATCGGTAATTCGTAGTTCAAATTGTCTTCTAAAAAGAGGTGGATCAAGTACCTTACCTGGCGACCCGCTTATGTCTCTGTTTTGTTCGTTCATTCTCGTGTGCCTCTTTACGAAGAAAATTAAATACATTAACAGTGATTTGTTATTTCAGCCCAAAACGACTTTGATTTAGTATGGAATATATGGAAGAAGTTAGATGTCAATCTTCAAAGAGATAAACAGTTTACAAACGCAACTGACTTAAGACAGAAAAGTGTTTGAAAACAAATACAACTGTCAATTTTCATAAGGAATGTACAAAATAGGTCGTTTATAAACTTCTTTTTATTTTAGGATTTTCAACTTCAAACGTTGGAACGCAAGATAGGTCGGTTACATGGGGAGCGCAGCAGTGATGAGAAAAACCAGCTCGAGGAAAAAGTCAAGGTTACCTAACTTAATATCATTCGTTTAAAGCACTGGATTTGATTGCATTGGATTGTAATAACAGGGCTGAGTTTACAGTCCGACCTGTCTCTTGGTTTGAATTTTTGTTGTTGTTGATTGTCCTTCCCTTACTCAACTCACCATTTGAATGTGTCTCTCGACTGTTAAACAAACTTAACCTTTTTATTTCGGTCCAGATAAAGGACCAAGTATTCACACTACTTTTTAGTTGAAGCGAAATGTATTGAATTGGATTACTACTTGTTTTCGTAGGAACTGTCCCAAACACTGGATGAGCACAGCACAACGCACACATTGTTGACGAGCCAACTCAAAAATTTAAGTGTAAGATAATTTCTTATTCATAAAAGCATTGATATTGAATTGTCAGCAAATTGCATCGTCAGCCATCTTATTTTAAGATGCAACTATTTTTGTGAAGATTCGGCGAATTGAAGGAGAATGGGTTTCCTAGCATTTCGCAACTTGAAAACACAACATATTTTTGTCTAAGCAGGATGTGCCAAAATGTTCTAATTTCTGTTAGAAACTATTCTGAAGAAATGACTTTAATTGTAAAAATAGTATCCCAAATAAGACTGCCTTGGTCGTTTGTCCTACCGTAGTTGCCATTAATTAAGATAATCTTCATTTAAGCTGGCAGAAGTAACTCAAGCTGGTTACTCTCTTCTTATTTAATTTTGAAGCAAGGTTTTCGTTATTTGGTGCGAATTACCAGAGAAATGCACTGACAACATTATCCGTGTACTCTAAGAAAACATGGGTTTAAGGTTGTTCATTGATGAACAGAGGGATGAGGATTTTATTCGGTAAGTGAGCCTTTCAGGATGCTGATTGACCAATTAAATACAGTAAATAGTGATTGTCCCCGATGCCGCAGTCAGGCCAGTAAAGTGATCCTGAAACGTGGTACGACCCTTAAGGTATGGCACGCAGATTAAATTGGAAATGTGTTGGTAAGTAGGGAAAATGTAACTCATGCTCTTTGTCTTCAAGGATGATTTGAGACGAGTTTCTAGACAGCAAGCAAAAGGAAGAGAGGAAAAGGAAACACTGACAAGCAAAATAGGTTTGTTGTATTTCAATTGGTGTATTCTGGTAAAAGATGGTGACTCTACTTAATTTTCCATTCACTTCCTTCTAATTCATTGAGCATGCCATCACCATTACATCAACTAATGTCATTCACGGCATCACATACCATAGAAAATTTCCTTTACCATTTTAGTGTGCATCGGAACAATTTTATTAAATGAAATATTTCCTTGCACTGGACATATAAAACAAAATTCTTCGAATGAAGCCACTTGATTGCATAATTCCATGGCCTATGAGCAGCTGATTTGTTTTTTTTACAGAGGAGCTGAATCTCCATAACACAAATTCGGAAAGAGAGTTGAAAAAGCTGACTGCACAAAAACAGGTAAACTGAGGCTATTTTATTTTCCACAAATAGACTCGTCACGAGGCCTTAAAAGCGTTTATCTTAAATCAAATGCCAGCAACATCAGATGACTCGACCTGCAAAGTGGATTTTTGCTTATTGATATCAGTGTTCTCGCCACCTGCATGTAACACTCCAGGGAATTACCAGACTCGCTTTCTCCATGGATTGGGCCGTCCTCTTGAGAGTTCCTAAGTATGGGAATGGAAGAGTACTCAACAAAAGGGGTAATCACCTTGTGGTTTAAATACGATATACCATATTTTCAAAATTCTCAGGTAGCAATAGCGACTTTGTTCCTGAATTTTATCTAATCAGCTTAAATCCTTCGTCTTATTTCAAGTTTTACATCAATCTTCAGGAACTATCGAAATATTTTGTGTCTTTTCTTTTTCTAAATTATATAACTTTCTATTTTCAATGCGAAGAAGCAAAATTGTTGATCATTGTTGAAATCGCTACTGTTTTTTATTCTGTCCACATGGGAATTTGCTATTCCGCGTGGATGACCTGAATTTTATTGTGATATCATAATTGCGATAATTTCTCTGCGTAGGATTTGATGGTTGAAGAGAACATTTTGAGATTGCAGATCAGGAAACTGCGTGACCATCTCAGCAATAAAGCTGATAATGTATTGTCGCTCGAAAAGCAAAGGTTGCAGCTGGAGACGGTAAGAGCCGAACCTATGAATGCCGGGGGAGAATTTGTTGGGGATGGAGGGGAGAGAATGATAAATCATCAAATGCAATTGCAAAAGTCTTCAGATATTCCAAGAAAGAGTTGAATTTTTTTTCATCATGTGCTGAATTTTCAAAAGCCCTTCCGTCCACTGAAGTTTGCCCCCCCCCCTATCGAAAATGGTTTTTTCAGCCCCTGTATACGAGCTTGGGGCCCCTTGGAAAGTAATGATCAAACACTGAAAGGCTTGGAGAGATTGTGCTCTTCATACGGATGTAACTCACTGGGAAAGTCGAATAGAACTTCATAAAGTGGTTTTAAGAATGGGGGAACATCCTATAGCGTAAATATTATAGCGTCTCCTGCGCATCTTTGAATCTGTCCTATCAAATCATTGTTGACTTTAAAAAGATCTTTGAACGAACAGGGCAGTAGATTTAGGTACATTATAGAAGATTTTTACTTGATTTTCCTCCATTCATATACTCACTTATATTCAAATATTCTTATGGTTTTGTTCCATTCCTGTGATGCTTACAAGAAAGTAGTATGCTTACAAGAAAACACTTTTTTGACCAAATATTCTTTTCCTGAAAACGACACTGTTTATGTTCTCCATATTATGTTTTAAAGACAATGAAGGAACGTTCACGTGAAATTGCTATCCACATGGAGATGTTAAAAACACAACTGAGGGCTGCGGAGGAGGAGAAACAAACAATCAGGTAACAGTGAATCAGGTTATTGTCAGTTCAAAACTCTGCTTGCTATTAAATGAAAATTAGAGTTTTGGAGTTTTCTCATAATCCTTTTGTAACCTATCCTAAGCTCGCATTAGATTTATTTCAATGTTGTCTCCTGGATAAATCGAAATGTAAGCACTTTTTGTTTGAATAAGAAAACATCATCCTTCATGACTAAATCGAACCGAATAATTGTCCATGTCCCGAATAATTATTTTCCATTTCTCCATAAATTCCCCTCCACACCAAAAAGCTTGATATAGGACAACTCTTCTGTGTTTTCATTTCAGTAAAAATCGTTATTTTGATCAGCTCTTAAATTGGTATACACCAAGTTTACATTTACAAATCGATTTTTTCGATCTTGCAAACTTTTTTGGATAATATCAAAATATGCTAAGCATCGATTTATGTAATGTTTGTGACTTGTCTTGTTTCAGTGCTGAGCTGCACGAACGCATATCGAAGATTGACAAACTGAGGAAACGATATGAGATCCTGATGGTGTCCATGGCTCCGCCTGAAGGAGAAGAAGAAAAATCACAGGCCTATTATGTCATTAAAGCAGCTCAAGAGAAAGAGGAACTTCAGAGGAATGGTGACGAATTGGATGCCAAAATTCGAAAGGCAGAAAAGGAGATAAGGTAATCAGATTTTGTAATCCACTCAGAAGGCTGATAGAGATCTATGTTAATGTGATGGGATGCTTTTGTGATCTTGCTTCTGGGTCAAGGCCTTGCCAAATGAGTTCAACATTTGTAAAATATTATCAAACAGTGTTGGGTGGGTGATGTTTTATGACCAGGCTAAATATATCAAACAAATATCGAAACATTTGGTCAAGCGCTGCTGCATACTTTCTAACTATTACTGCGCTTTATGTTATCCCAATATTTCATTGGTCTGGCCACGGCTTAATAGCATTTCAGAAGATAAGAAGTGACATTTCATGCTTCATTGATGACTGCTTCAGCTTGAATACGATTTGCACGAAAATATTGTTTGGAGAGTGTACCCTAAGCTATGTTTTTACTTGCATGTGACAAGGCATTATAGCTAGTTTAACAAAGTATTCTGGCACTATGCGAGGTACGTGTCTGCTTGTTATCTCAACCAACTTTCAAGAGATGATTTCTTCCTATAGATGTTCTTCCCCCCCCCCCCTTCCCCCTTATTCCGGTGATTTTTTAATGATCATCCGAAGCAAACAGCGCAGTACCATTTAATATCTTAGATTATTGTTTGACTATAATTCGCTAGCCCTGGCCTAGCTTCCAGTTCCACTAAATCAGAGTTTCGAGACAATAGATTAACAAAATCCTTTTCATAGTTAAATATCAATTGTGCAGTATGTTTGATTGTGCAATGATCTTTATTCAGTGCAGAAATTTCTGTTGCATTTTATGACTCATGTCTAGACATCTTCGCCACTTATTTTTGGGGTCTACAGCTTTTAGACTGTGAGTAGAACCGGCATAGTTACCTTTAACAACTTCCATCCATCCATCATACTTATCAGTGGCTTTTTGTAGAGCCCTTGAAAATACATTGCGACTGATGAGTAGCAAGAATGAGTCATACAGAAAGAGTTTTAGCAAAGTAGAGCAGTCAAGTGAAGAGTACGAGGAAAAACAGAGGTTAGAAGAGCAACTTAGAGCATCTATGGACAAATATAAATACAAAAGACGGCAAATCAAGGAGCTTCAAGATGATTTCGAATCAATGCAGAGAACACTGGAGACACTAACCAGCGAGGAACAGCAGCTTGTTCAAGCGCTTGAAGAGAAAACTGCCAAAGTCACCAGGTATTTTTTATTCATTGATTTGCTGCCACTTCGATCATTTAATTCTGGTTTTTATACGGTGTTGTGGTGGTGCTTTAGCCGGTCTATCTAGGGATTTCTGTAATGAGATGAATGAGGTAAGTCTGTTATGAAACTCTAGAGTAAATTATTTTTTAACATTCATTTACATTTTATAGCTTGCAGAAAGAACTTGACGATCAAGAAGGGAAAAAAGAGCGTGTTGAAAATCAGCTACATAAGCTCGTTCGGACTGTAAGAAGCGCACGAAAAGCTAAGGACCAACTCCCAGAAGAGAAGGATATCGATCTGAGAGAGCTTCGCGACTTTAACACTTCAGTCATGAAGCAGCTTGGTGGAGTCGTACACGACAATCCGGAGATCGCGGCCGCCGTCCACCTGTACTTTACGCAGGCTGGTCTACCAATGCCACCGTCACCTGGTCCTGGACAGAGTTCTAGACCCGGATCTACAAGAAGCTCAAGAGCAAGCCTGGCATCAGTGAGGTATGTAGATACTGCTTCATTTCCGTGAGGTATGTAAAGACTGCGTCACTCCGATGAAGCACTGTATGCCGGGGTGAAATAATAACTTATTTAATTTGTATCTTATTTACATGTCTTTGCACAGGATCATTCCACGACGAATTCAATTGTTCTTCATCGTTGTGTATCTTTCCTGTCCACTGCTTCCTGTTATGAAGTCAGTACAGCCCCAATTTCGTTTTATGGGGATTCCCGTTTGCCCTGAATAGCCCAATTTCCACTTAAACGAAAGCGGCCGAATCGATCGATTTAACACATGCGCAGATTGCATAAAGCGGACTCCCCTCAACCGCTATCGATTGCTGTCGATGGAATTCGATCGATTGATAAGTTCAGAGGTACCTCTGTTGTGCTGTAGCGTCCGTCAAGTGAGGCAGTAGCGAAACAGAGGCTCATAAACAGAGGCAATAAGTCTAAGTTCAAACCATTTGTCGATCGAATTTGATCGATAGCGGTCGAAATCGGATTCAGAATAAAATGGCATGTCACTAAGATTCTTTGAGATCAGGAAATAGAGAAACCAAAACAAACCTTTTGAATGTGTAGGCCTACCCTAAAGTATATACCCGTTATATACCCTGACGTGGTTCGTGTCGAGTGTTCAATTCTGCTCGCATCGCTTGTGTTTCACTTTCATTGGACATACGTTTTTTAGACATAACAGTAGCTTTAGCTTTATTGTTAGAGTTTGAATATATGATAAATAATATAATATGATAAATAATATGTCGATAAATAATATGAACTCTTTGATTTCCTTTCTTAGAATTACTTTCTGATGAAAAAACTTTCCTTCCCTCAAAAATGGCAGGAAAATCTTTAGAAACTTTCATGCCGAACACATTTGCAGCCTGAGAATCGACATCGATTGAGAGCGGCTTTTTAACATTTGCTCGCCCCAATCTTCTGTAACGTTGTACATGGAGGCGATTTATAAAATCTTTTCTAAAATCAAAATAGAGTCAATTTATCGCTTTACCGTTACTACGTTCACAAAATTTCAATTCACATTCTTAGTAGCACAATAACATCATGCCTTTCTTCTAGCATTTTGTAAGGTAACTGTCTCTCATCTCAACTTTCTGTTTTCCATGCAGTTCAAGAATACATTGTAACATCATAAAGACTATTCATTCATTTGCTTATAGATCTTCTTCAACAATTCGAAGCACGGCAAGTCGCCAAGGGTTAGAAACAGCATCAGTAGACGTGGGTGCAATGGCTGTATCTGGCATTGGTAGTCCGAAAGGAGGTAAGCGTCACATTTCTGTGTAAGATAAAGCTCTCCTTCCCTTTTAATTTCTTACAAGTAAGTGGCTTTAATTGAAGTGAGCCGCAGTATTGCCGGCCTTTTGGTGAATTCAAAGCCGTTATGAGATAGCCAATCAGATTAAGGGACAAGAAAACAGCCTATGTGTTGTGGAGAATCTCTTTTTCGTTGCGTAAACCATAGATGTCCTTTATCTTTGCTAGAAATCATTCTCGGGTCCTGCCAATCGCTGATTCTTCCATTTATCTTCCCCGTGTACTAGAGCCATATAAATTCGAGCGCGGATATAAAAGACAGGAGCGGGAAGCGGATAAGCGTCTATCTCCGCCAGATACTCCCCCGCTTCTCTGCTTGGTTTTCCATTTCTGTGTTCGGAATTTTGTGGCTCTGGTACCCATGGTACTGTTTCTCTCTCTCAAAAATCTACTCGGATAATAGCATATGTTTTTGGACTACAAAAGGCTCCAAGGAATGGCTTTCCAACGAATTATCTGCTTTGTCTTAGAAGCTGAAAATTCCCGACGCGTAAGCTTAAGGAATGGCTTCTTTTCTGCCTTTGACTCGATCTTCAAGATTGGGCAAAAATTAAGATAACAGCCTATCATGAGTATTGGTGAAATTAGAAAATACGGTGTAAATTGCTCCTTTTTGTCAAGAAAGATAGCAGGTTCAGTTTGTTTTTCAATATCCTGTTATCTGGACAGCTTAACCTGTGACAATTGTCTGCCATTTTTAAGAAGCACACTTGTTCACAGCCCCCTGCAGGACAAGAGCAGGCGGCCATTGATCTTAAAAACAACTTTGTAGTGAACGGCTAATCAAAGTCTTTTCGTTTCTTGTAGTTGCATCTCACACACCAACAAGCCGAAAATCAAAACCCGGATCCGGCGAAAGGTCATCTTCAAAACCGCCTTCAAGGCCAAGCTCTTCAGGATCACAAGCATCTAGGGGGTCACGTGCCTCTTTATCGTCTTCCAGGAGATAAGTCGTTATCTTCAGAAAACTCCAGTTGCCCTGTTTTAATTGAATTTAACAAGTATGTTTAGTAAGGGAAGCGTTTTGCATCAATTGTAAGTAGCACCAAGCTTATGATTTGCTTTCGAATGAAAAACAGTATTAGAGAGCTTTTTTACGTTTTTTTTTTGATCAACCTTCATATGCATGTATTTTCGAACTGTCCTCCGCAGTCTCCATCTTGTCGTTTGATTATCGACCATCTCTATGTCATCAACCAATAATGGTAATTGACTAAAAATCTGCAGAGTTCACTTTAGATAAGGATGCAATGACGTTTTCTTTCCAGTAATTACCTAGAATATCCTGTGCAAACCATTCAATTTCTGTTGATCTATTGTTTGAATTTTCTGTCAGCCCAAAATGTAAGTAACTCAATTTAACAAAGTGAAGAAACTTCGAAGGTGAAAATGATTCGAAAATCTCTTATATAAAAATCCGGTGTAGTAAAAGTAGAAATATGATTCTTTTTTACCTAGTATTTTTAACAAAGTCAATTTGCAAAAAATAAATAGCTGATTGGATTCGTGGAAAAATATGATAATTCTGAAAAAAGGTGGTTGTGCCTGGGATGGGTGCAGTGGCGATAGTGATAGATGTTGTGGCGATAGTGATAGGTGTAGTGGCGGTAGTGATAGGTGTAGTGGCGGTAGTACTAGGTGTAGTGGCGGTAGTGATAGGTGTAGTGGCGGTAGTGATAGGTGTAGTGGCGGTAGTACTAGGTGTAGTGGCGGTAGTGATAGGTGTGGTGGCGGTAGTGATAGGTGTGGTGGCGGTAGTGATAGGTGTAGTGGCGGTAGTACTAGGTGTAGTGGCGGTAGTGATAGATGTTGTGGCGATAGTGATAGGTGTGGTGGCGTGTGCACAAGAGGGGCACACCTCACACCTGTCTATAATTTCTAAAAGATGAACCTTTCTTTTCTTTTCTTGCAACATTTTATAAAACTCTTACGCGCAAAGTAACATGCCACTTAAAAAAGAAGCAAACTGCTGCAATCTGACATTGGGGGATAGAATTAATTCAACGAGAAATGAGACACTCGTCTTCACAGCTACCGATGGTTCTCACTCGCCGTTATTTTGCACATAATAATAAATTAGTAAAAACTAATATTTTAACATGTTGACTTACGACAGATGTAATATCACCTGTTATCATACAAAGAGCCTCACTTAGTTAATTTTTGCGCCGAAGGCGCTTCTATATCATTGGCCAATTCTTATAACACGTGTCTCGACTTAATAAAAATATCAGCCTATGCATATTGTCATATTCTGAAACAAAAGGGATGGCTTGACTGATGCCGCTACGAGATCTTCCACTTATTTTCAATAAATATTTGGAAAAACCTTTCTTATTGTCCTGTATCGTCGTTCAGCCTCTGTAAAAGACTCGTTTAGCATCCCGTAGATTTTGCAATTTTCTTCCAGCAATTAGCTTATACCTTCCTGTCCTGAAAGCATTTACATGATTGATCGTAAATTGGTTTAGATTTTATAATCCTTCGATAAATTTCCAAACTGATACAGCGTTTCCTTGGGACAAACCGTCCTATTCAGCCATTATGCTAGGCGCAAGTGTGGCAATAGAGGTAGGCTGGAAGCTAGACATGATCGCCGATGGACCCAGATAATGTTCTCATATAAACTTTCCCGTCGGCGATCATCGCCGACGATCGCAAGAAACAAACTTAGTTCATCGTCGAGGATCTGCTCTGCGACTTACACTAACTGATGTTCTCATTTTTCGCAAGCATCGCAAGGCCTCATCGGCGAAGATCGCCGACATATGATCACCAGGCTAGGCTACAAAAGCGTGTCTCAGATTTTTCAAATTCCTCTTCCTCTTGTAACTATATCCTGTCGAAACTCGAAAATTGGTAAACAATTTGATTTTGAGACACAGGAATCATTCGATTGGTTCCTTGGGTACAAAAAGCTATTTTGTAGCTGTATGTAGAGGAATTGTGAGTCCGAAGAAACCGGAATTTTACTGATGGCACTTTAAAGGTAAACCTTGTTTACATTACACGAACTAACCTGGGTTCGCCCCAGGTTAAAACTAACCCAGGCTAGATTTTTGAAGTGTAAACAAAACTAACCCAGTTTCGCCCCAGGCCAATGATCTTCTCAGTAATTTGTTTTGCAGCGTCAAATCCCCTCCCAAACATGAATACGAAAACGATGCTTATTAACGATACAAAAACGATCTCGGGGTAATAGAGTCTGCTCTCGATAAGTGGAACCCCGGATAAGTGGAATTTTTGTTTAGTGGAACCAATTTCTCCCGTTCCTCGGATTTGCATTAACAAACATCTCTTATTTTATTCGGATAAGTGGAACCCCGGATAAGTGGAACTTTCGTTTAGTGGGACCAATTTCTCCCGTTCCCCGGGTTTGCATTAACAAACATCTCTTATTTTATTCGGATAAGTGGAACCCCGGATAAGTGGAACTTTCGTTTAGTGGGACCAATTTCTCCCGTTCCTCGGATTTGCATTAACAAACATCTCTTATTTTATTCGGATAAGTGGAACCCCGGATAAGTGGAACTTTCGTTTAGTGGAACCAATTTCTCCCGTTCCCCGGATTTGCATTAACAAACATCTCTTATTTTATTCGGATAAGTGGAGCCCTCGATAAGTGGAACTTTCGAAAAGTGGAACCAATTTTTTTTGGTCCCATGAGCAATAGTTATACACATAAGTGGAACTTTTCCAAAAAAATTATCTTAAGTACGTTCGAATCGTTTTAATCAATACATTCTTTATTCGAAAATTCTTGCGAACATTCGATTGATATCAGCAGTCACATTTAAAAAATGGCAGCTGTGCAGTCTTCGAAACGAAGGTTTGCCTGTTTAAGTATAGTCAACAAATTCAAGGCTTTAAAAGATATTGATGCAGGCCAAAGCTGCATAGCTACAGCAAAGAAATTTGGTGTTGCTAAAAACACAGTTTCACTCTGGGTAAAAGAGGAAGCTGAAGAAAACTGCAAGATACAGCAATATTCCTTTCGGCTGTAGTATATTTAAAGAAAAAGCTCTAGAGTTCGCGAAACCATTAGAACTCAATGACTTTCATGCTTCTGATGGATGGGTGAGTCGATGTAAGAAACGATTCAATGCCAGTTTCAAAACTATTTAAGGTAACTAAATATATTTACATTACATATATATTTATTGTATTTTCATAGAGCCTTTGCAAGCTGTTCTTTCAAAATGTTTATAAACTATCCTCAGCCGTGAAATATAACTTGAAGGGCACCTTCATTCCTTTTCCATCTCCTTGATTGATCGCTTGTCCAACAATTCCGACGGAGCAAGAGTTTTGAGTCACAGGCTCGTAGGAAGTAGAAAACCATTCTTGCAAATCTTCCTGTTTTTCCTTTTGGTAGATGTCCGACCAAAAAGTCATTTTCCATGACAGCAACAGCAAATTTTGTCTGTTTTGTTTTTTGGCTCCATAACCGCTTTCAACATTTCACTCTTCACTGGTGTCCAACGATCTTTATATTCATGATATCCCATAACTTAAGATGACGTGGATTCAAATCTTAATTTAAACCAATCGAAGCTCATTCTGCTCAACTATTTTAAGGCTGGTTTTCGTATGTCGTATTTCATCGCATTTCGTCGGAATTTAAGGTCTACAATAAATTAGGATCATTTCCAAATTAAGAAAACCAGCCAAAATGTATGAAAACCGCATGCCCTAATTGATCGTAATTCATCCTAATTCGTCGCAATTCATTCCAAGGAATCAAAAAAATTTGTTTCTTCTGATGAAATGGGATGAGTTCCGACGAATTACGATCAGTGAAATATATGAAAACCAGAATTCCGTGAAATACGATAAAAAACTGACTGATAGTCTCGTATTGATGAAGGAGTTCGAATTCTGTGCTTCGAGTCACGTTTTAGTTTAATGGAAACCAGGCTTTAGCTTTTCATTCAAGATGGCGCAAGAAAACCAGGAGAACGATTTTGAACTGATGGATATAATCCAGGAATACCCGACCATTTACAATCGTTCATCCCGAACAAAGAAGCAAAATTGCTGGAAAGCTGTAGCCAAACGCATGAATGAGCCCGTTGATGTTGTGAAGAAAAGATACAAATCCACTAGAACGCAGTTCAGCAAGTATTTAAAAAAAGTGTAAATGTTGCTTAAATCATCGATTCTCAGGACCTTTAAAAAGCAGAGGATGGCCAATAAATGATGCAACGTAAATCGGTTAAATCTTTCCTTCTTTTCTTTTGATAAAATCGTCCCGGCAGCTACATAACTTGCATGCTAACAACGGAACGGCATAATAATTAACGCGTGACATGGGCATAATCTTTCTCAAGAACTATCCCAGAGGTCTTCCAAAACTGATACATCTCCTACAAATATCTCAAAACGACTAAGAGCAAAACGAAGGCGACAAGATCTTTCACAAGCATCTTGCCCCTAAAACGGTGCATGCCTAAACTGCTTTCTCTTGCTGCTACTTTTCCATAATTCTTACTGCCCAAGATGAGGTACGGGGCCCCCATATATACTGAGCTAAAAACAATAGACATACGTAAATGAAACGGTGAAAGGAAGGGGGCATCTGGAGCTGGTGCAGCTGATGTATCAAAAGATCCCAAGTTTGAGCGCTCAATGTGGCTTCAGAATTTTATAATTAGCAGGCCTAATTCTGGAAATTTTCAGAGAAAGCAGGTAACAACAGCAAACAGAGATCTTGCTGAACATGATGATAATGACAGTATTTGTAGTAAAAGTGATGATGACGAAGAGCTTTTTGAAGAAGATGAGCCCGATGACAGCTATGCTGTTATGGAAGAATCAAACGAGGTCAACAGACCAGATTTACAATTTGATGCAGCTGATTTGACATCAAATTTTAATGGGCCAGTTGGCAGCAGCACACCAAGACCACAGATTGCTGAACCAGAACCAAAAGATAACAGCCATCCGTCAGGAAAGAAAGCAAAAACTGAAACACAACGACAAAAGAAAGTTCATTTCCCCATTTCCCCCCAAGACCAAACAAGCGCACAAGACGATGTATATGACCCGTTTATTGAATTAAGAAGCGATCTGGAAAATTGAAATCACTTGGCGTTACCGTTGCCGCAACAGAGCCTATGTTATCTGACGAGTCAATTCTTGCAAAATTTAAAGTATGCAAAGGGCTTGTTGAGAGTCATATTCATTATGCTGACGGGGTCTGGGGGAGCTTGTCGAACGCTAAAATATCAGCCCTTCAGAGACTGCCAAATCGGGCATTTGACATTATTGAAGCATCTAAAATAAAGGACTCTTTGATTCGACCAACATTTAACATCGATCAGATGTTTCAACTTGACCGGTCGGTTCAGATGTTTTAAATAATTAACAAGATATGTCCTGAGAGTCTGCACGATAAATTTGCTGAAAGATCCACGATAAGCAAGTATGGTACAAGAAACAAGACTGATCTCCAAATCCCAAGGCTAAATTTAGACTTCACTAGAAAAAGTTTTAATAACACTGGTCTAAAAACCTGGAATTCTATCCCAAAACACATAAGAGAGTCCGATATAATAACCCTGTTGAAGAATGGGCTAAAAAGTCGTTTCCTAAGCTGAAGAAATACATTTCCGCACGAATCCATGGAAGAGCAGTACTGGTTTTTATATCTGTTTATTTAAATCATCAACTGTATTAATTAACTTTTATTTGTAATTAAGATTTGTATAATTGATACTGAATGGATGTCGTAATTAAATGATTATTAGTAAATAAAAAAAACCGTTGGGTTTTAGATCAATTGTTGGCTGCAAAAAAGATTTTCTATTTTCAACTTTCGATCTAAGGAACGATTTAATGTAACATCGCGCATTTTTTACATCATCATTTATATGTTTCGTTTAAAGATTTTGTAGCAAAGAATCGCCAAGAACCGTATAACTAGATTTTTGGCAAACATTTTTTCTTTGACTACCATTCTCAAGGTCATCTTTGTGCTTATGTCAGCCTTTTCTTTCGTCTGAAATTATGACTCTTTCGGCATTTCCCGCATTTTTTGCGGCATTTTTCGGCCATAGAATATATCTCAATTACTCAACTTCTTTTCAGTTTATTCTAGGGCCAATACTATGTTTTAAGTTAATTTTGTCGTCAGGTTTACAATTGGGAAAGGTATGGAAGGTCGCCTAGATGAGATACAAACAATTTTCCATGACGTCTTAAAGCAGCACAGGAAAAACGTAATCAAAAATTTTCTACCTTAAAAAAATCTATCGAGTTAATCAACAAAGAATATGATGATCAAACAATAGCGACTTTGAGACTTTAGCGACTGGAAAAAGAAAATAAGCACTTGAAAGAGAGATTTAAACAATTTAAGAAAACCTTCGAATCAGCAAACAAAAATATATGACCTGGTACAGTACGCTGGAAGGGACTTCCTTGGAAGATTTCAAAATAGTTTCTTCGATGTCTCCTATCATTTTCTTTATAAATTTGCTACACTGTTTGTAAGTGCATTGCGTTATGAATAAACAAGTTTATTCAAAGCATTATGAACAAACAAAGTAGTGTACACCACCGATATCTTGCCCTTATGGAGCGAGCGTCCCCCTTTCTAGCAATTCTTTGTCCTAAAGCTAAAAAGCTTGTTTCACCTGTTAAATATATTTTCCGAAACTTGCCCTTGTATTGCCCTTTTAAATGAGCCCTTTTATTGGTTTTTTGGTTTAATAATTCATCAGAGATTAATAATTCACTAGTGTGAGATTCAAGAAAGTCAACTGGAGGTAGTAAATGGGTTCATTTGGCATACATCTCGATAACCCGACGGTTCAAGGCACCTCTATTCTGTGTTGAAGCTGATACTATGAACTGGACAGTGGAAAACGGCTCTATCGCACAACCGCCTTTTTTCTGCAGCGGAAATGTGCAATCAGAACGCGAAGAGAGTGTCATTTCAGCGTACCTGGTAATTATCGTGTCAGCTTTGATATCAGTCGCTGCTGTTATCCTGAATAGTCTTATATGTTATATTATGGCTACAAACAGCCATCTACGGACACCTTCAGGTACACTTGTATTATATATGGCCATCACTGACTTTCTCACTGGTATTGTCACCGTGCCTTTATCTATAGCCAGAGAGTCTCTCTTTGTTATGGAAACTCCACACAACTGTCTTGTAGATGATATTTTTTGGCATTCAGGCGTTGTACTTACTATGGTAACTTTGCTTCTGCTGTCACTTCTAAGCGTTGATAGATATTTGCATGCTTTGCATAGTAGAAAAACGAGCGGATGGAAACTGAACAGGAAATACAACTTTCTGGTTGCCTTGATCTGGCTCATAGCCATTGGAGCTAGCGTCTCAGTGTCTAAAAACGAATATTATCAGGCAGTGTCTGTTGCACCTGGTATCTTCATTGGAATTGTTACCCTCGCCATCCTTTGTATCGCCTTCACGCACGCAAAAGTTTGTCTTTTTCTGCTGAAGAGTAGAAAAGTCGTCGCAGGAAGTTCCGTTCAACCTTCATCCGATTTCAGAAGGCGATATGTACGCAAGTCAGTGGTTACACTGATTATAATAATTGTTTTCTTTGGAATTTGCTGCATACCACGACTTATCTACACGATCTTGAAGCTTCGACATGGACCTAACGGATATGAAGAACTGTATACGTGGTCGGCTACAGTGGTTTTCGTCAATAGTGTTGTCAACCCAATAATCTATATTAGCAGGAGCAGCAACATCCAACGGATACTGAAAAGATATTTGGAAAACCTTGTACAATCAAGGCAAGGCAGTGAGATGGACGTTCATCCGCTCTGATGAACTTCAAGACAAACAGAAACTTTTGGGGAATACAGATTCATAGCCTGAGTCGAAAATTTGTAGAATCTTAAGGGGAATACAGATTCAACCAGGGATTCAAAAATTGTATCTTGAAAAATGTAGTTATCTATAGTGTAATACAGATTCAACGAAGGAATGGAAATAATTTATTCTTTATTTCTCTCTGTTTGAATGATGTAGCACATATTGGATAAACTGAATAGATTCTGTATAATGTTGCAACCTTGACAGTGACTACGAAGAGCCAGAGCAAGTGCTCCTCTTTTTCGAGGATTTGTATATATTACCTCTTATTTGGTATATTTTGGCTTTGGGTGTGAAGAAAGAAAAAAGCCACCCCAGACAAGCAAAATTATGAACTGCGTTTGAAACACCAATGAAAAGAACAATTCATGAATCTTAAGATTCTCAGTCATAATAACACCTAGTAGCCTAGTAGTAGGTTGTTGAGATTTAGAGACAATGCTTGATAAGACTATGCTCAACTTTTTTCATAGGAATTTCACTTCTTGTTCGTGCTGTTTTCGTCACTTGAAGATCAAGTGCTGTGCGCAGCAACTCTTTACGCAATAGGGACTGGAGGTGAGTCTTCAAGACTTTTCTTCTCTCCCCTTGTGTTTCGCATTCCTTATCAGAAACATCTTATCGTCGGAAGAAATCGTTGTTTACAACGAAATTGGTATATTGTAAAATATATTTAAGCTCGGTATTGATTTCGTAGATAAGACCACAAACGTTAATTTCAAACCGGGACTTTTAAAACGAGTAAATTTTTAAGGCAGATAATGGATTATAACCGGAGTAGGAAGCAGTGGCGTCGCCAGCTCGAAAAAACTAGGGTGGGCTAAAACAAATTTTCTCTGCCACGCCCTTTAGACTCTTGGAAAAGCCTTTTTTAGTATTCTTTTAATTATTTCGAAATCTCTGGACAAGCAACTTTCTCAAGCAGATTTTTCAACGGATTTTGAAAATTTATAAAATTGACTTCTGGGGAAACTGGCAGGAAGAACAGGATAACGCAGCGACCGGTCCCTAGGGTCATATCTGGCCCTTCATCTGTTGAGGACTGGGCCGAGCTAATTAAATAGTAAATAAATAAGGAGGTTTCAACGTGAAAAAGCTGTATTCTCGAATGTTTTTGCTTTCTAATGTTTTGGCTTATGCAGCTGCTTATAAGGGTAAGGACTTTGCTAATACGGAAAGCAACATGGTTTTGCCAAAATGAAGGGAATTAAGGGTTTCTCTCCTTTGATTCGTTTCCTCTCCTCTGGATCATATAAAAGATGAAAAGAGATTGAAGGCATAGCAACATACACCTGCTGAAGTTGTTACAATTTCTCGATTAAGAATACCTACAGAAATAAGGAAAATTGGGAAATTCTTAAAAATTCAATAGTTAAATGAGTATAAAGAAGGAGAAGGTTCCCTTCACAAAATTATGCATTGCAACACCTAGAGGGAGAGGAAATAGCGCAAGAATTATCGAAAGCTATTGTTGTTCGAATTGATTGTGGTTTTAAGGGGCGAATGGCAGAGAGTCGGTAGTGAAACAGTAACCAACAAAACTTCAATCATTTTTTGGAGCACATTTTAAAAAAATAACAGTAAGAAACAGCTTTAACAGTTTCAAGTTTTGAAATTTTGATTGGAGCAGAACTTTTGAAACCGCTTTCAGCCTTCTTGAATTGTGGAATTTCGTATCAAACCTGAATTAACGATTCTTTGGTTCTTCAAGAACCATTCAAATTACGGTTCATAATTTTTTTCAAACGTAGCCGGAAATTTTCAACGATTTGCAAATCTGGACTTGATGGACGCCATGGAAAAATTTGAATTCTTCTTATTTGGAAATAAATCGTTGAAAAATAGTTTCCTTTTATTCAAGTAATTTTTTTATTTGTTTTTGTATAAGACACTTGTTCTAGTTTGTCTGGAAGGATTTTGAGTTGAAAAGCTTTGCTCAGCCCTGGGTTCATGGCCTTTAGTGTTCCTAAGTGAAACAGACAAATTCAGTGGTGGAAATTAATTTTTCAAGTGGGGGGGGGAGGGGGGGTGGGTGGGTTAATGCCTACAAAAACAAGCAAATTTGCCGAAAAATGACATAATTTTACCGACATAGTTTGCAATTTTTAGTTTGTAGTTTACAAAACCAAAACACAAATATTCAGAATCTTATTAACCCAAAAATAAACTGTACAGTTAACTGACCCAAAAATAACTTAGCACAAACTTTAGATCCAAAATGTACCTAGACACGCTGGAGCGACCAAAAGTCACGGTGCAGGCTTCAGTTAAAGGGCAATTTAAAAAAAATCCAATTTTCTTCTAATTCTTTTGCAACTGTTGTTTATTTCGATGTTCTGTAGGCATCTTGTAAATGGGCTAACTGCTATTAAAATAATTTTTTGTACAAATTTTGAGCAATTTGGTCAGGAAAAAGGATTACTATCAGGATTTCATATGAATCTCTTTAATAATTACAAAATGCCGAGACCAAGGGCATGTTTAAAAAAGGGCACTTTTGCCGCCCATGCCCCTCCTATCAAAAGGCAAGAGGGGCGGTTGCCCTCCCTCCACGCCCCCTTTCCGGCGACCCTGAATTAGTTTGATCGCCCATATCCTCTCTGAGTAAACGAGATAAATTAGTTTTGCTCGTTCTTTGATATTGAGATAAATAGTTTCAAAATAAAGATAAGACTGAAAGGATAAATATGAAAAAGTTCAAGATTTGTTACATTTTGAAATTTGGCAATAAAAGATCTAAGAGTGCAACGAGTACAAATAAAAAAAAACTTTCACTAAACGCTGGAACAAAACTTGACATTCATGATATCGGTAAAAAAGAAATATTTGAAAGAAACTTCAAATGTAGTGGAACTAATCCATCTCAAGAAATTCATTATAGTTGAAGTTTTCTACAACGGTTATACCACTTTGAAATGTTATGTCAAGGCCAGTTTCAAATTCATATTTTTATCAAAAAGATCTATCCTTAAGAGAAGTCTCTTAATTTGCTACCTTAAAAGTTGCTATCTTAAGATTAAACTAAATTAATAGAAGCAATTTCTATCGTTCGTATGACGAATAGTTGAAAAAACCAATATTAGCTTTTACGCGCTATGTTTTATTGTTTAAGAAAATTATTATGAAATTTTTCCTTGCAAGTGTCTTGCTGAAACTATATGTTTGATTGTTTCCTTGTGCAGGAATGCTTTATCAATTTGCAATTGTCATAATTTCTGTTGTTTTTCTCGGCCTGGATTTTTCGATTTAGTACCAACAAGGATTCTTAAAACCTTCGCGATTATATCATCAGGGATGGATTTAGGTGGCAAGGATTGGTTGCCGTGCTGGATTGGTTGATAGGTGTTTGATTGGATTTTGGTGCCACACCCTTCGGGTGACTGGAAAATGATGGAAAGGCCAATTTTAGAAATTAAACTCCTCGATTCAAGGTAAAGCAGGTAAAAGATAAACAAGGTTAATTTTTGCAGTATTTTCTTGCTACTGACCATCAAAAAAGTGTTTTTAACTGAATTCACCGAAGGACACACAAATATGGGGGGGGGGGGGGGTCGCGCGCCCTACACCCCCTCGTGATTATTCTGTCCCTGAATATCATACGTAACCAACGTAGAAACAATCATTTTATAATTCTTTATTGATCTATGAAGACGTGAGGGCTCTGAACTACCTAAACTATTCCTTCCATTGAACTGATTTTCCCTGAAAACTGAAAATTCCTATAGAACTACTATTGGGGGGCTGTGATAACCCAAACCCCACACCCTTTGTTCGCGACACCCTTGGTGATGAGTAGAAGCAATTAGGCATCAATCTGAATAAGAAATTGAGCTTTAAAAACATGCGCAACAGCTACTTATGCTTTAACTCGTATTTCGATTTTAATGGAGCCGGAGTAACTAAAACCATTGATGTCTCAGATTAGCTATTGCCTGTTGATTTGGGTGTTTGGAAAAAGAAATTTGAATAATGAGATAAACTGAATTTAAGGGAGGGGCTTATAATATCATATATTGATGATGCTTCTAGCTTTGAAAAATTATTGGAAACCAGTACAGTTGAACCAGTATTTGCTTTTGGTAGAGATCCATAAAACAATAACACATCTAAATTCTAGATTCAGTAAGCTAACTTTGGTGGAAGATTCTTTTTACAATCTAACGTCTCTTGATGAACTACAGTTACCAACTTGCCTTGGAATCAAACATTATAGGAAAATGTACAATAGACACTATGACCAGAATTAAAAAACTCAGACTCCGTTTAGATATTCAAAATATATATTAATAAATGCCCAGAAATGCAAGCTCGCAACAGCAGATTATGTAAGATATTTTATTCAAATTTAGATTTTTTCTTGCAACAAGTATTTCTTTTATTTTATTATTTTAATTTTATGTTTATTCGTAAGTGGTATGATTTTCAGCTTTAATTTATTTGCAAACCTTAAAACAAAGAATTAAGGATTAAGAATTAAGAAAAAAGATTAAGAATGATGGATTTATTCAAAATTGCCCAGAATTTGATTCCTTGATCTGTGTGCAAGTTCATCTGGTTCTTTAGCCAAAAGAATAGTTGTATATCAACAACTAATTTTATATCGTTCGCTTTGAATGATAAGAATCATTTGGGGAAAGCTTTGTGTAAATCTACATGATTTTATTTATATAACGCATGATTTTATCACAAGCTCTTAGCTTTATATTAGCTAGTTGCTGTTTTCTAACTCCCCTCTCCTCCATTGGAAGAAATTTTAGTTTATTGTCGGAGCAAATTTGACAAAACAACCTACGAAAACTGCATATTTTAGCCATTTTAGCTCCCCTGTCGGAAGCTCCATCCCTCTGTCGGAAGATTTCTGGCACCACCTCTGGATGTAGTCTGGGTAATTAGTGGCTATCGGGTTAAACTAAGACACTAAAGAAAGAAAAAATGGAAAAAAGAACCAAATTGAGCGTATCACAACACTTTCATGGACAAAAAGTTAGTAAACTGGGCTGTAAAGAAGCTCGAAGCTGTGAAAAGCCAACTAGATTGTCAAGTGTCAAAGTGTTTGAAATAAATATTTGTACAAATATTCATTCGTCCTATTTTTTTGTTCGCTGACTCCTAAATTTTTTGTACTGTCCGCTAATTGGAAAGAAAAAACCCGAATTGACTATTTTGTGCAAAAAATATTGTCCGCTGATTAGGGTGTCCGCTTTTTAGAAAGTTTTTTATGAGACTTTGACCAGAAAACGATCGGGAAAAAATTATTTGTCCGCTAATCAGTAGTGTCCGTCTTGTAGAGTGTCCGTTAATTGGAGAGAATACTGTAGTACGATATACTAAGCTCTTTATTAAACAATTTAGCAACTAAATTAATTAACACAGTCTAATTGATTGTATTTTCAATACTTATTCTCATCCAAGGTTCAAGTGAGTTTAAAAGTAATTAAAATCGCATGCGTAAATGGATATTGCATCTTGAATAATAGTAAATTTGTAAATAAGGTCATTTTGTGACGCAGTGTCTTAGGAAGGACATTGTAATTGGTCAAAATAGAGGACGAGGTCATAGAAGAAGTAAATAAGTGAATATGTTTACCTAGGCCAGCTAATAGTTTCCGAAAATGAAACAAATAAAAAAATTACAGAAGATTAACAGCAGGACGGCAAAGGTTTGGGCAATATTGTGATTTCTTGAGGAGAATCAATGCTTATAAATTTGAAGAAAGAACAGATGAAGGTATACAACAAGCAATATGATGTTCTATACAGAGATTAGCTTATAATTCAGAAAAAAAGCTACTGAAACGCTACTTTTGTTTTTAACTTTGTATTATGCTTCCAAAAATTTAAAACAAAGCCACTAAAATCACTGAAGTCATCTTCTCCTGGACGTCCTCCTGTTGCAAAAAACAATAGCAAAGGTAGTAATTTACCATGCAACCATAGAGATAGGATAATGTGTGCAACAGAGCAGTCATAAATTTCAGAAGTTCAATTTCTTACAATACAAGCCTGCTGTTAATCGTAATAATGATTGCTAATGGTAACGATTGGAAAGTTTCGCTTTGTAGGCGTTTTCTTTGTTTAAATTTAATTGACGTGCCTACATTTCCTTGCTTTTGTTAAGAGACAAAGGCGCAGAAACAGGAAGAAATTGAGACCTGGTAAGTGGCAACGTTTGTCAGCAAACTTCTCATTTTACTTTCAAGGCCTTCATTAACAGACAGGGAGTGTCAAGTAGTACCAGAATCAAGAGACATAATGAGCGGAAAGACTGTTTTTGTGTTGTGCCTTATAGCTTGTGTCTCTCTAGGCGCATCACTCGCATCTGCAGAAACACAAAGTAAGTATTGCAAAAATTATGCATTGCTTTACAAGAAAGAGACGAGTTATTTTACTTGAAACAGAAACAAGAGGGTTGGTATGATATAAAGTTACCATTGCAATGCAAGCATGTTAACAGAATTTTAGGATATTGCTAACCTTAAAGATAGCATATACATATTTTATCTATATATACATGTACCTCACTTGCCGCAGTTTCCACTGAGTGGATTGGGTACAGAAGAAAATATCGGGGAGGGGTATTGTTTTTGAATAATATTCATGAAGTATTCCCTCGATGAATGTAAACGGCTTCCTAATTCTTGATATTTTGCAATGATAAAAAAAATTCAAAATTGAAAAGTTCCTTAAAGCCCAATCTCCAGTGAGAAAATCTTCTGAAATTTTGCTGCGAAATACTTCCTGTAAATATTTTTGTTGACCTCACGACATTGGAATGTGACAAAGCAATATTGATTATGATTGGCTGCGGAAGGATTTCGCAAGCGTAAAGCGGAAAAAGTTAAACTCTTTTAAACTTTTTGGAAATTGGGCTTTTGGACGTCCTGATGAAGGATTTTGTCTTTATTACTACTGGTTCTTCAATTTCTTGCTCCTTCTACATGTAGGTTCCTTAAAGAGTGGTTCCTTATAAGAGAATGCGTGTAAATCTGTCTTTAAAACTAGGCTACTTTTACGTAACACAAGTTAAACATGGGCGTTCTCTAATATATTTTCTTTGTTCTTAAAAGGGCGTTTTCTCAAAGTAGAATAGGCATGGCCTAAATTTTTGCTTTATCTCTCCCACAGCCCAGTGTAGCTGGCGGCGCTACTGAATGATGGCAACCCAAATTAAGTTTCTTTCAGCCATTTCTAAATTTTGTCATTGTTGTGTTACAAGCCTTACAAAGAAAATAGTTCAAACACACACTTTGGAAGCGGCAGCTAGGTTTTGAAAATACACTAACTTTAATAAGGGTCACGCGAATTTCCCCTGTTTGGCCATAAGGAAGCATGTGGAATACGACGTACTTTTTCCCGTTTGCAATTATAATCTATAAATCATATTTGCAACCACATTACCTTGAATTACGTCATGTTGACGTCCTGCTTTAAGCCTATTTTGCGTTCATTTTTATGATACTCGATGCTTACTTTTTCCAACCATATAATCAATTTTGTATGAGGAGTTGAGGTGGCACTATTGTAGATGGTGAAGAATAGCTTTTATAACGGTCATTAACTCTTTGAAAAGAAAGAAAGGGGACTCAGACACCACCTTTCGCTTGATTTTTGTCTTTTGGAATTACAAAGGAGATTTAAATTCGAAACTGTAACTGGTGTACCTTTTCCGTTCATTCTCTTTTTAATTTGATAACGATGTTTCTCCAGAAAACGGTGTTTCTCTAGAAAAGTAATTTGTTGATATGCCAGAAGCTAGGTGATATTGTTGATATTCAACAATATCACCTATATTGTTGTATTAGTTATTATATTGTTGTATATTGTTGTATTGTTATACCTATATTGTATTAGGTGATATTGTTGATGTTGATATTCAAATAGGTGATGACTTGCCATTTGATATGAAGATATTTTGTCATACCTGGCAGATCAATAAAAAGCTATGAATCTTTGATTCCCCTCTTCCAGGGGAGTTTTCATTTTAAGTAATATTTTTTTTTCGTAGCTGCTAGAGAAAATACGGAGAAAGTTAGCAAAGATGCCCAAGTAACCGATAAGAAAGCTGAAGATGTCAAAACAACTTCTGACGACAACGCTGATGTCAATGCTAATGATAAAAATGACGGGAAAGAAAATGAAGATGTTGAGGAGCCAGAGGAAGATGAAGAAATGTCAGAAGAAGTAGCCGAAGAAGATCCAGAGGAAGGAGAAGAAGATGAAAAGGAGAACGAAGAGGATCCCGAATTAGCTGAAGAAGACCAGGAGAAAGTGACAACAGAGGATGATGGTTAGAATTCTGAACATCCTTTTGTAATAATGCTTATACCCTTGGCAATGAGTAACTTTACCCATATTGCAGGCATTTTTAATAGGATTGTGAGTCTTTCTTTTTCATAATTTGAAAAAGAAGTCGTTGAACCTGATGTCCCTGTGAAAGTAGGTATCGATTACGGTGTAGACGTATTTTTGGCTGCCCGGATGACGTATTTGTCATTATCAGCGATGCGAGACCCCAACGCAGCCAGGGCCTAAAGCTCCTCCATTCAAATAGACAGGTTAACTGAGTCTGGGTTTTTCAAAATCAGAGAAAATATTCTAGAACCTTGTTATGTTCGCTTCTGATATTTTTCATGATATGAACCGTAGAATAAGATTTGAAATTATTTTATATTCAAGGCAATCAGAAAACTGACAAAAAGAAGGTAGAAGACCCTAAAGAAAAGACAAGTGATGCGAAGAAAGATTCTCTGGCGGAAAATAAAGACGAGGATGATTCAGCAAATGCCGATGAAAATGAAGAAAATGGTGAAGAGGAAGACCCTTCTGATGATGACTTTGAGGAAGAATCTGTAGAAGACCAGTCGGAGGAGCCTGATAATGACGAGTCAGACGATGGGGAAGATGACAAACCAAAGGAAGAAGGTTCAGAAAGTGATTCTGAGAAAAATAAAGCTGAAAGTGAAAAAAAAGACGATAAATCTAATAAAGATGAAAAGGCAGAAGACAAGAAAGAAACAAGCAAAGAAGAAAAGAAGGATTCTGCATAAGAAGTGACACTCTCCTTGGTAAAACCATTTTCTTTACCAACGCACCTTATAAGCTTGTCATGATAATCTATTTAATTTCAATCGATTAGAGCTTGTCTTTTTGCTTGCTTGCCCTTCCTGTGTGCAAAGTTTTATGCTAAATCATAAGGAAAAAGCCCTAAGAGAAAATAAAAAATTTCAGGGCAAAATCACGAAATCAAGATTTAAATTTGACGGGCCTAAGCTTGCAATTGATTGTAGTTGCGACAAGAGTGATTCTTCTGAAACGCCGTTATTTTATCCTATGTTTTATACTAATGCTTATTGGCTCTTCGGATGCAGTGTCTTATATGTGAGACTGTGCTGGTAAATATTTGACCGGGTAGACAATTTTAAAAGAATATGATGTTTTAGATGAACATCAGAAAATGAACTGCAGTTTGGATTTTGATTCAGTTTTTCGTCGTTCATAGGCCCAAATTCACCGCCGCAACAAACTACTATTTACTGTACTTTTTTAGCATACGCTTTTCTTGCAAAATTTAAGCCATTATTCCTATTTTAAGCTACAATGACGTCGCCTTTACACAAGTTGCTGTTGTAGTTGTATCCCCAAACACAGTGCTAGGGCTAGACATAAGAAGTGTTGATTTTTGAACATTTAAAAAATTTTGCTTTGCCTACTGTAAATAATTTTATAATAATAATAATAATAATTTTTAAAGATAAGAAGAAAATTCTGTTCTGCCAAAAGGAAATGCTTGAAGGTGGCCTAAAGTTGTTTAAAATCACTTTAGGATGTTTTAGCATAAAACATCAAATCAACGCACATTAAACAATTGCGATCTAAGTGTTTCAAATGAATGGAACCATGCTTAAAGATTCTAAAGTTTGTTGGTTCTCATAAAATGCGGATTTTTTATTAAATCCAGTAGGTTAATTTTGATATTTTGATGACACGTTCCCGCGCGTTCCTTTAGTGGAACTTCAATCCTATCGCCACATAGATAGCAAAGAAAGCACAAAACGACCACAGTTAAAGTGTTTGGGGTTTGAAAAATGTAGTCATTGGTCAACATTTGCTACAGCATCGAAAAAACGCCAAAATAAAGGACGGAATTTTACATCTTGACTGGGCTGTTAGTCGTTTTCAAAAAAAGGCGAGATTTGTGTTGGTATATAAGTTCGTTCTCATTCTTTGTTTCTTTGCTTATATAAGAAAAGAGCTACCAGAGATTCAAACAAAACTGAATCGGCCAACCAGATCAAATTTTCGTTCTGTTTGCAATGCTTCACGGTGACAAAGGCTTAAGATTAATGAAGACAAAACTAAAATACTGGTTTTTGGTACCCAACAAAATGCAAGGAATCTCTCAAATGCCAATGAAAAAGCAAGAAATCTTGGTGTTGTTTTTGTACCAATTTGACACTGAAATCACATGCGAACACGTTGTGCAAATCAGCTAGATATCATTTGCTCAACATTAGCCTTGTTTGAAGACACCTTCCAAGGGAGGCTGCAGAGCAAGCTTTTACTCCTCTGTTATGTCAGAGTTGACTGCAACAATACTCTGTTATATGGGTTACCATCATGTAAATTACAAAAGCTACAGCGAGGGGCTAATCACTCTAAGAAATCTCGTACACCTTTCGTGAAAATCCTATTGTTTTATCTTAAAATCCCCAGAAATCCTTTTGTTTTAGGCAAAATCTCGTACGCAATTTGCAAGAGTGAACCGCCCCTCGAGCTACAAAGGGGCCAGAATGCTGCTGCCAGAATGCTGCTGCCAGAATGCTGCTGCCAGAATGCTGCTGCCAGAATGCTGCTGCCAGAATGCTGCTGCCAGAATGCTGCTGCCAGAATGCTGCTGCCAGAATGCTGCTGCCAGAATGCTGCTGCCAGAATGCTGCTGCCAGAATGCTGCTGCCAGAATGCTGCTGCCAGAATGTTAACAGGTAAACGCAAGCGTTGTCACATAACACCAGTATGGAAGGGATTTCATTGGTTGCCGATTACAAACAGGATACGGTAAAGAATACTCATGTTAACCTCCTTTAAGTGTTTGAAGACTTTTTGCTAACAATGAGCCATTGCGCTACGCAAGCATGCATTTTCATGCATTTTCAGAGTCTGAAATCATTTTTGATTAATCCGTAGTTTGCTGCCATTTTTCGGGTCGTCGCAAAGTCTCATTGTTAGCAATTTATTTAGAATTTAGTAAAATTGATTATTTAGTAAAAACCTATTATGTTCATAATTTTCACCTTTGCCCCTATTCATTTATATATATATCGCGCAGCGTAGTTTTTAGAGACACTCGCCGGAAGCTGTAGACGAATAAAGTTGCTGCCGAAATAATGTGCTGTTGTTGAAATCATTTGCTGTTTTAGACGAGACGTGTCTTCATTCGAGTTCTTCTGCGCAAGGTCGTAAGTTAATTCTACTTATTTTTTAGAACTCACACGTTTATGATAGATCAGACTAGTGATTTAACAATGCAACGCTTTAGAAACTTTTAAATCTTGTTTGAAGACACATTTAAATAAACAGTATTTTATTGAATAAATTGTTTTAACTTAGAATTTATTGAATTAAAACCTTTTACCCTTTTTTAACATTCATTTTCAATTGGAATTAATGTTTTCAATTGTAATGCACCTATGAGCCCTGTTGATATGTGGCGCAATATAAGTGCATTTATTATTATTATTATTATTATTATTATTATTATTATTATTATGGTCAATTTCTTGTGATTTGCTATTTTTAGATCAAACACCGAGTCACTACCAGTGACTTAGGCTGAGTGAAATTGGAGTAATTTAAGAGCATTGTTATACTGTATATATATAAAAATTGTGCGTATAAAAATAAAGTCATTATCATAAAAAAAATATATCTTTAAAAGAATTGTTCAAATAGAAAGCGTTCTTCTCAGTATGTGTGCAGTGCTGTTCAGGACTATTTTTTGGACCTCGCTAAGAGATGGATCACCTGGAATTTGCTTTACATAATTAGCAGTTCCTTTCTTTATCAGTCCTAGGGCACCCACTACTACTGGAATGGTCTTTGTTCTGATGTGCCACATCTTTCCAATTTCAATTCCAGGTCTTTATATTTGGAGAGTTTCTCAAACACTTTTGCAGAAACATTCTTATCTGACGGCACACTCATATCTATGAGTAGGCAGTTATTTTTGGTCTTATCTTTGACAATAATGTCTGGACGGTTTGCCTGTATAGTGCGGTCAGTTTGGACTGAAAAGTCCCAGAGAATGGTGACATTTTTCCCTTCAGTAACTGGTTTTGGATGGTGCTCGTACCAGTTACTCTTGGTTTCTAAGGAGAAGTGGTTGAGAATTTTCCAGTGGAGGTATTGACCAATCCTATCGTGGCGATATTTGTATTCATTCGGTGTCAGTACAGAACAACCTGAGACAAGGTGGTCAATCGTTTCTACCTTTTCCTCGCAGAATCTACATTTTTCATTTGCTTCATTGTGCAGCACATTGGCTTGATAATTCCTCGTGAAGAGACTTTGGTCTTGGGCGGCGAGGATAAAGCCTTCCGTTCCCCCTTTCAGTCCGGAGCTTCTCAGCCATTGATTTGTCGCCATTTCGTCTACATCAACGTTTTTGCTTCGAGCTGCGAACTGTCCGTGGAGGGGCGTTTCCTGCCATCGCGATTCCAATTGTTTTAAACCGTTGTTTTTGGCTGCTTTTTTTGTTTTACGCGCTGGTTGAGGTTTATGTTATTCATATCTAAGTTCAGCTGCCGAGAAAATTTAGCTGACTCTTTAAGAACTGAATGTAATTTATTCGAGCTTTCATTTTATTGACAAGTTGCAGCATCCAATCATCTGAATTGTCCAGGTATTCAGAAAGACCTATGGTTGTTGTCTTGTATGACAACTCAAGCTGTATCATGCCTCTACCACCTTTGTTCCTAGGGACATATAAACGATCAACGTCGGACTTAGGGTGGTGCATTCTGTGGCAGGTTAACTGTTTTCTAATTTTTGTATCAAGTTTTTTCAATTCACTTAGATTCCAGTTAATGATGTTGAAGCTGTAAGTTACCACCGGTATTGCAAGAGAGTTCATAGCAGTAATTATGTTTTGAGAATGTTGGAGCGATCGAGTCCTGGGAATAGGGTGGTGCCCAGTCTTTCTCCCGTCGACCACTGCGTTGACATGTCTTTCGTGATAAATCGCTTCGGCACATGACCGCAAGAGTTAGTTAGTTGGCTATTGTGGCTAAGTGTGTAGTAAGCACATTTTTGTTACGAAAATCACGTACATAATCTCACAAATGGATTTTCTCTATGCTCCGACCTAGACTTTACAACAGAGAATTAAGTTCAGTTTTCAGTATCAATCTGACCCTACGTAAACATTCTTTTCTAATGTTTTCTTTCATCTTGGAGTGCTGTATGCCGTCCCCCTCATTAACGCCTAAGTACTTGTTTGTTCCTTCTTGTTCTAGTTCTTCAATCACCGTATCTTCATCTAATACAATGTTATTTGGTACTCTCGAGCTTTCCACGCTTTAAGGTTGCTTTAGCGCACTTATCCAAACCAAATTCCATCCCAATATCATCACTAAATGCCTTTACTATTTTTAGCAGTCTTTCAAGTTCATCATCATTACTGGCATAGAGTTTCAGGTCATCCATATAAAACAGATGATTTATCTTCTTATTCCCGATCTTGTATCCATACCCAGTATCATTCAGGAGTTGGGACAGAAGTGTAAGTGCCATGCAGAACAGAAGAGGAGAAAGAGAGTCACCCTGGGTAATTCCACTTTTATGTGCATACCATTAGCATTCTCCGTTTGAGTGGGAAAGAGTAAGGTTAGTTTCCCACAGCTTAATAGATGTTCTAAGAGAGTTAACTAGCACAGGGAAGACTTTGAAAGTTTCTAGACAATGTAAAATCCAGGAATGGGGAACACTGTCAAAAGCTTTTTTGTAATCTATCCAAGCAGTACTCAGGTGTTTGTGTTTGGTTTTGGCATTTTCTAGTATCATTTTATTAATTAGCAATTGATCTTTGCAACCATACGGTCCTTTCCGACAGCCTTTTTGTTCAATTGGAAATATTTTGTCATCTTCCAGATGTGCGTATGTTCTTTCAGTGAGTATAGAGGTTATAAGTTTGTAGGTTGTTGACAGGCAGGTAATTGGGCGGTAGTTTTTTGCGTTTGCAGTTTCATTATTTCTCGCCAGAAGATACGTAGTACCTTGGCAAAACCATTTAGATGTTGTCGTTGGGTCTGTCATTAATTTATTGAAGTTTAATGCTAATTTTGAATGTGCTGAGTGTAGAGTGTGAAGCCAGAAGTTTGAAGCCTTCAAACTCGATAAGTTGTCAAACTTTTATGGCATAAAAGTTTCCCACCATTATCGTTGATCCCACAGCCGTATCATCATACTTTAGTGTAATATTATCACGCTTTAGCAAAAAAATGGAGGGCTACAGCCCCTTAGCCTACCTGGCTACAGCCCCTTGGCCTCCCTGGCTTCAGCATGCCCGGTCAAGCAGAAGGCAATAAAATAAACTTTATGTATAACGTTAACCGTACTTATTTTCAAATATCAACCAATCCAGAAGTACATGAACTTTTCAAAAACATGTCTTTCATTCTAAATCCAGGTTAAATTGTTTCCTTTTCCCTTGACATAGAGGCAAAGGAATCTGTTGCTGGAAAAAAAATTATCGGAAAATTTTGACGTTTTTTAAAGCATTTAGCCTCACATTTGACTAAACACCGACCTATCTAGAAAGTGGGTAATTTCCTCAAAAATGATTTATTTTTATAATGATACTAAAACCAAACTCTAGTCTGTTCTGTACGTTTAGAGGCATTTCAACCTGTTTTTTAAGAGAAAAAATTTATAAAGCTTCTTCATCGTTTTCAGCCAATAGTCTTACTTAATGTTGAAAACGACCAATCTGAAAAATGACTTATATCTTGAAAAATACGACTTCCATTCAAGAACTAAGATCATCTCTTGCTTTTTCTGATAATATAGAATAAAATGATCCTGTTTTAAGAATAAAATATTTTGAAAAAATTTGAACAGTTTTTTAAGCAAAGATGGACCTATCTAAAACAGCATCAATTTTTGCTTTAAATACTATTCTTGATTCAGAGCTAAATTATTTTCTAAAATGTTTTGATTATATAGAGCCAAAATTAACGTGTTTATTTATCAACTAATTGTGGAAAAGTTCGACGATCTTCTTAAGCCTTTAGCCTTACTTATTTTGAAATATCAACTAGTTCAGAAATACGTTTTCAAAAAATATGTCCTTTATTCTAATGCCAAGTTGAACATTTTTACTCTGTTGTTATAGAGCAGGGTTGCCAGATGCTAGGAATGGTTGGCAGCCAAATACCTCACAGTTGACGGCCAAATTTGGCCAGCCAAAAAAATATACAGAAAAGCTACATTTTTGCTAATCCTGTGGAGTAATAGTGTAATCAAAAATTGCTTTGTTTGTTACAAAAGCTCCCACATGCTGGCAATTTGACCTATTTCTGGACAATAAATTCGCAAAAAATTTTGACAATTTACCAGTTCCTGTAGCTTTCCATGTTACAAAATATCGATCCTTCTATAAAGTGGCAAACTTTCTAAAAATTGCGTCTTTTTTTCTGAAACTAAAACTAAATTCTTGTTTGCTTATAAGTTTAGAGGTATTTTAATCTGTTTTCTGAAATAAAATTTTTTCAATAGGTTTCATCATTTTGCTGATCCAATAGTCTTGCTAGCCATGAAAAATAAATCAATCTGAAAATTGATTTCTTTAGTTGTACTCTTGTTTATTTTGATACTATAGATTTTGCTTAAAATTCTACTTTCATTCCAGAATTAGATTAAATTCTCATTTGCTTTGATGATAAAGAACAAATTTAAAATGCTCTATCTAGAAATTTTTTTGATAATTTTAGGAATATCTTAAAGAATTAGCCACTATTTTTACTCACTTTTAAAATAGACCTCTCTTAAAGTTGCTGTTTTTCCAAAAAAACTACTTTCATTCTAAATTTACTTCATCGACCCATCTAAACAACGTTTAATACTCTAAAAATTCAATTTTTTATTCAAAAACTAAATTAAGCTCTCGTTTATTTTGATCATGCAAAGGCAAGTTAATATGTTTTAAGAAACAAAATGGGAAAAAATTTGACAAATCTTGCATGCCTATAACCTTATTTAACATACAAAATTCATTGGACCAAACAAGGACTTCTTTGTTTTTCACCCCAAGGAAACATTTTAGTTTAACAACTGACAAGTTAACAGCCTTTAAAGAGTTATTAAAAATAAAAATCCAACTGATTAGTTGTGTAGGAAAGCTGCAAAAAATATAGGCTCTAAAAGGTAAGCCACAACTAACAAATTATCACTGCAAGAGCAAATTTTCTACTATATCAATTCGTGCAATTATATCGTACGTGGTGCTAAGTGACATCATCAGATACCACTTCTTTAAATGCTTTTAAACATTGAATTTAAAGCGTGTTTGATAGTTATGTTTTGATTTTAACTTGACTTTAACATTGTAACTAAATCATTTATTTTCGTTTTTAAATTTTGTTACTTTAATTGTAGATTTTAATTTTATTTCACGGCCCCCTGAAAAGCGGCCTTTGCCGTCGGGGTTACCGTGAATAAAGAATGAAAAATGAAAATGAAATGAAACGAAACCACTGCTCAATGGACAAATAGGAACGAATTTTGGACAAAACTTCGCAGTGTAAAATTTCAAGATTGTACGAAAAAGCGGAGCAATACTTTTCTAAAGTATTTGTGAAAATTTTCAAAGATCAAACATTTTTTGAATTATTATGTATGCAACGGTTTATTATAGCCGGGCCGGTTTTTTAAGTTGACGAGAATTGTATCCCTTTACTGCATTTTTCGTAATCGCAAATATTTTTAATGGTTTGAAACTCCTTCCAGTTTGATGTCGACGGTGCAAGAAATTGCTACTTTCATTTTAAAATTAAGGAAATGGTCAATTTAGATGTTACAGACATTTTTCATTGTTGTTCAAAATGAGCAAAGCGCAAAAATACTTTCGATCATATTTTGACGACAATTGGTATTTGAATTATTTAATTACTGTAGACTATCGAGCTGATAAGAGGATATTTTCGATATAAATTCGCAGCTTATAATATCCATATATTGCTTTTATTTTAATATGGCAAACGTTTTTGCAAATAGCATTAGTTTATTTTGATGGCATTAATATATCTCATGTGCATTATTAGAAGATAATATGCTTGTTTACACCGACGCATGGCGGCAGTTTTTCAGAAGGAAATTTGAGCTTCTTCTTCGTCAAAGTTTTGTGAGATAATTTCAGAGCTGGTTTCCTAGTCAGTTTGAGACATTTAAATGGTTTTTTGCATACACCAAGTTATAGCTAAATTAAAAAAATTCAAGATGAGAAAAAATTTTCATCCATGCAAGAGAGATTTCGTGCAACTGTAATTTGCAAAAATTCATTTCCATCTAGCAAATAAAAAGCAATTTTAATGACGTATTTTCAACTGAAGTACTGAAGTACAGATGAATTACTGAAGACGCCTTGACCGCTAGTAAAGATAATGCCAAAGTTGTCTAATTACAAAAAAAGACATTTAGACACTTTTAAAAATCAATGTTAGAAATACTAGAGAATTAGTAAGTCAGTTAGGATAAATGACGCGAATCTAGCGAAAAGTTGTGATTCATCGTACTGGGTATCAATTTGGCAGTCTTCTTTCTCAAGGGCCTAAGTCTCTTTCCCCCACCAGTGGAAGACAACATACCAAAATACCGGTGGGCGTTTCAATTTGCTTAGTTAAATAAATACCATGTTTATTTTGTAAGCTGCAAACAAGAGTTTAAAGTAATTGGATGGTGTATTCAAATTTGCTGAACATTGAGTAGATGGGATAAGGAAGTCTCAACTTCTTGTTCTTTTGTTAGCGGATATAGAGCCGTTGGAGACTTGTTTTGCTAGGCCATGTTCATCTATGATTTCTAATCTAATCAGGCCTGGATCATGGTGATTTAAGATCTTTATTCTACAGTTTGGAAAATAATCTCTTCTAGATTTCAAAGGACTCATCAATTCAAACTTATCAAAAGGAAAATTTGGATTGCCAGTTTCAGTAACTGCTAAATAGAAAAGCAAATATTTTTTGAATGCAAGCATTATTTATAAGCTTCACAAATTTGTTCAAGACGTCAAATTTGCCCTTGAATAAGAGTCTATATCTGTAGAGGTAAAAGGTAAACATCTCACCTGACGAGATAACTTTTTAGATGCAAGAATTGATATCAATTTTAGACATTTTACCAACTTTTGAAGAAGAACATTTCCCTAAAAGAGTTCTATTGGCAGCTGGAATTCCTTTAAGTATAAAAAAGTTTTACTAAATAACTATATTGCCTTTTAGTGTGCTAAATAACTATATAACTTTTTTTCCTATCTTTTCATTGGTGTGCTTGTTTTTACATTATTCCTATTACTTTTACATTATCCTTTTACATTCTGTTATTTTTCTGCCCCGTTGTTCTGTTTTGCGTTTTGTTCTGAACAGAAACTCAGAAACCAAAATTGTGCAAAGAACTATAAGGACGACATGTTTTAGATTATTGGTAAAGCCCGATCGTCGTTCCATTAGCAGCTTTTGGAATCTATCTACATGAGCACGTAAAAACCGCTGTTGTGTAGACAAAAGGAGTTCGTTTTCACCTTAGGACTCCATTGGTAACCTTCTCAATAGGCAAGCGGCACTGATTGGTCAACTTATACAGTCATGTGCTCGCGTTTCACTGATTGGGCAACCATGTGCTCGCGTTTCTGATTGGCCTATTTCGATCCACAACTGGTATATATATATTTCGTAGCAAAGAGTTTTCGATTTATGTTCGGAAGTTTCATAATCTGAAGAGTGTCAGACAAAAAGCTTTAGTTATTCAAATGTTTGCTTTTTTCAAAGCCATAACATTCATTCTTAGAGCTCATTTTATGCCAGTTTGCCAAATCGCAATATATTTCACAAAAGATAAAAAGAATAGGCAAAACGCTTAAACATAAGGACGTATAAACAGCTATAGAAAGTATTGATTAAAATAAATATTTTTTCAGAGATAAGGTATATCTAATTTAAAATACACCAATTCGAACCGAAGATTTGAGCAAATTAATTACTTTATATCTACTTGATGCCACAGTTTGTCTTAATTATTGTGCAAGCTTTCAAATTAAAAGTGATGACGTCTAATGTATTATGTCTTAAAAGTAAAGCAGCGAGACATCAAAATATATTTGGATTTTAAAATTTACTTCAGTACAGAAGATCATTATAAATACCAGCTTTTTAAGAATTGTTTTCCTAAGTAATGCTTCAATGGGTTTAGTTTGTAGCGATTGTATTCGAAAATTATTTTGTCCAAGTCCAGCAACTCTTTCTTGAACACTGATAGCGGCTCTTTCTCTTGAAGTCCACTAATTCTTCTTTGATGACTGAACAGCGTTTTCTCAAACTTGAAATCACAATTCACTAAGCTTGAAGTCACTATTTTCAATTTTCAATGTACTGCATCCAGCGATTCGATACTGTTGTATGAAGACGGTTTCAAGCAATCTTTGTGTCATTTTCTTGTCGTAGAGCGGTATCTTTCTTTGTCAACATTGCGACCCAAATGTTGTACAATTCCAACATTCCACTACTTTAAATTCTAAAGTTCGTCTACTCACACAACCAAGATACAAAGCTTTACAAAAGCTGCCCAGCTTAAAGCATTGCATCATGCAAATATATTTCTCCAAACCTTATAGATCCGCACACAATCGCTGCTGTTTTTTAAGAGACATTAACTGCATGTGTGCTGTAATCTTGAACTTTTACAAACATCACATTTGACGTAACAACACCAAACGTATCTACATTTACAGTTTTCGACGATCTCGATCTCCTGGGTTTTATGACCTCTACCACAACAGAGTTGCTTACAGCTCTGTTTGCCAGCTCCATTTAACAAACATTCCCGTCCTGTAGTTCCCGTTGTACCAAGGCTTTCATTGACATTGCAGTAATTTGGAGAACTGTCGATATACAGAAGCAAGCCTTTGACACCTGATAACTTCTTTCCGCCATTTCGCTGCTGTCTTGTGTCAATTTGCAGAGCATTGTCATACAATGTCACCAACTTAGTAGCAACTTGTTGGAACGTCGGTAGCCGCTTCATGCAGTGTTTAAGCTGGCAGTTGCCGGTCACTCCGTGGCATCGGCAGCTTACGGACAGCAAATCTCGCACGACCTACCGATTACAAATTAAAAGTACTGTAATTGATCAAATAAAATTGTTTCTACCTCAGTTTTGTTCCTATTGATGAAGACAACATTTATTAAGTAGAAGTCTACGAAGATTTAATAGTAAAGAACTATTTTTAAAGTTCTATTCCGGCAATGGTGGAACATTATGCACAAATGTATGCAATCTAAGTATTGTAGTAACGCTAATGATGAGAGGTGTAACGGAAATCAATCCCTCCTCTCCGAAGCTTCTCCGTCTCTTCATAAACCGACCTAACTAGCGCAAATTGTTCCTTATAAAGAAAGACCTCCACATCAGTCATTTTGTTTGTGCGCGTAGCACTCTGAGAGCTGTCTCAAAAGCCACCAATTTTCTTTATCCGCAACCGCAAAGAAAATTTGAGGACTTTTTCCAAAGCGCAAGCTTGTGACTATCAATCATGGGTACCATTGCTCTAGCGCTGGTTATCAATTAAGCTATAGTGATTTTAGCCGAGCTATTAAAAGGTATAGCTCACTTGAGAGATTTTAACAGTTCATGTAATCTTTGGCGTGAATCCTTGCAGGTTGAAGGAAAAAGAGGGGGAAATCGCCCTTAAAGATCTTAAGGTAAGGGACAAAAAAGGGAGTTATCAAAACGAAGACCTTAAACTATCCATCGATTATACTCACCACACCATCGCTACAATTGAAACCGAAAGAAAGTGCAACTTTAAGCAAGTATATCTTTAGGCGCTTACCTGTCCACCAAGTTTGATATTATGCTTTTTGATTCTCTGTCTTTGCTGACTGACTGGATTTCTAGCATGCTTTTTCTTAAGCTCAGCTAGAGAAAAATGCCTTGAAAACTTCACTCCTTTTCCTGTAATATCAGAACAGCCTCTGAAATCTTTTTGGCGAATCTGATGTGCCTTATCAGCTTGAACAAAAACTGGTTTATTTGCACATGAACAACCAGGTATCTTGCCAGCGAAGCAGGCTTTTGATATAGTGAATGTCAATGCAGCCGACGATAAGGCATACACAAAGGCAGCTTCTTTTGTATCTGTAAAAGGAATGAAATTTCGTTAAGGAGGTTCACTCGTATCTGCAAAAGGAATGAAATTTCGTTAAGGAGGCTCACTCATATTTGCAAAGGGAATGAAATTTCGTTAAGGAAGTTCACTCGTATCTGCAAAGGGAATGAAATTTCGTTAAGGTGGCTCACTAAGAAGACCATTAGTAATCGTTATTGGCATAAAGTGTTTAAGTTATGGGGTTTGCATCGCAGTCTGATTCAACCTAAGGTTTTTGACACTTGCTTACTGCAGAGCCCCGTTGGCATATGGACCAGGTTGGCTATGGCCTCCATTTTCCGCAAAACATAAACGTCTTTTTGCAAAATATTTTTCTATAGGTCTTTAGTTTTCCCTTGGCCATCACCCTTTCTATTTCTTCAACTTGTGTCGGAGCCTATATACTGTTTGTCCAAGAGTAACTTGGTAACAGATCCGGACACTATGAATGTTATATGCAGTACAAATTTCATCTCCAAATTGCACTTGTTTATTTGAGATTATCCTTTTAACTTTACGTTAAAGCACACATTTCATTGTCTGGCCTCTTGAAAGAGGATAAATGACATCGAATGCTGGAAGATCAGTGTTTTACAAAACAGTCTTAACTGCCAATTTCGAGTTAAATTAAGCAGCTTATTCATGATCGGCTTTTCAGCTAAATTATCACAAAACAAAAACTGCTCTTCATTTTACATGAACCATCTGCTTAATCTATTTTAATCCCTAATACCCCTGCTTCGCACAAAACTACAAACATCCATAAGTTTGTTTTGCCTCGATTCTTTTCGGCTTTTTCTCGTTTCCAATAGCCATAACATTCAGCTGAAGCGTGTTGTATCTTCTAAAAAATTTATCCTCCGAAAACTAAACCTAAGTTTGAGTTAAGTGACAGAGGACAATTAAGTCTCAGTGCCAAATTTGACTTTAAAGATGTCGGTGAAGATAAGAAAAGTGAATGAACAATCAACCCATTTCAAAAATCAGTGGTTTGCAAAGCCAAGAATATTAAATTATGGTCCGACTGTATAAATTGTTTAATTTTGACATCGATTTACTGATTTCAACCGTAAAAACTGATTTTTAAATGTAATTTTCCAAAGAAGGTTGTAATAAGTCCAAGTATACACAAAGCTGCAGAATGCATTGTTACTGAGTCACAAGGCTTTAATTCGAGTCATATCAATGGTCTTGATAAAAATAATGAACTTTTAGACCTTGTCTTCATTCTTCAACCACTCGCAATACAGCATGAACTGGATAAGAAATTAACTAAAATTCAAGGCTTTCTTGATAAATGCAAATATAGATAATATGTCTTCAAGAAAATTGCGCTAAGATGCATTTATTTTTGCAATTACCCATTTATTGCATGATTTTTACCCCTACCTACAATCAGTGGAGGTTTTAGGAGTGCGGGGCCCAAGGCCAAAAACATATGCGGGGCCCATGTTCTTTACAATTTCCATCTTTTTCCTTAGGTGTGGGGCCTCTTTTGGCTATTATAAGCACGGGGCCTGAGGCCATGGCTCCCTGGACCCCCTTGAAACCGCTACTGCCTACAATCGATGCTAAAAGTCATAGAACACTAGCGTCAGTGTTCGAAGTCATATCCAACCACCAAACTCTCCCTTGAAAAGATGATGGTTTACTATGAAAAGAAGAAGAATATAGGTACGCTTTTCCAGTGGCCTGTTGATATTTTTCTAGACTATGAACGTTTTCCCGAGGGGTTAGTGGGGGTTGGAGTAGTATTCTGCAGGCATTGTACCAAACTCACAGATGTAACAAAAGTCGCGAGGAGAGAAAAACAAGACATTGCCACTAAAAGCATTGCGGAGGCAATAGGTTTTTTTCTAACCTACGATGGAACGAAATAAAGCTTATAATGTTCTCAAGTGTTAATGTCAATGTCAAACGTCACTTATCTGTGACATGTGTCAGTCATCTAGATAATCATAACGTCACTGTCACAATGTCACTTAACGAATGAGAATAGAAAGCCTAGTCTCACTCGTTTATAGGATTGATACTGTACTAATAGCTCTTTTTTATCAAAAATAACACACACAAGACAAGGAAATGTATTGTTAATTGAAATTACACCAATAAAATCACAGTAAGTGATTCCAAGGAACGACATAAATTACAACAGAGGTCAATCTAAAATGGTTAACTGAAAAGATTGCAAACTCAACTTCTTAGGAGAGATATTTTGCTATGTTGAAGGCAAACATGTATAAAACTAACCCCCGTGCTTTCCGAACATATTCTGTTTGAATGAATGACCTTGTTCTAAGGTTGAAGACATAGAGAGCTTGTGACCTAGGTTTGGATTAACATCTTTAGCGGTTAAGATGTACAAGTTGAAAACACGAATCTGCCGCCAGTAATGAACAATTAATTTCATCAAATGATTTACTAACAAAGCAATTTGTCATATCAAAATTTTACCCTTTCAAATTAGGTTTTGTTTCTGTAAAATGAGACAGAGAACTTCCCCTAGGCCTGTGTATTCAACAGTTTCTTACTTACCCACGGCTCAGTGTTTCTAATAATGCCAATGTTATAATACCGCTTGCAAGTCGAATGTTTACAATTTGCATGATTGGCCACAACATTCAGATTTATAACATTAAGGGTTCGAAAACGGCGGAATTGGCTTGGTTCAGTTTGATTCAATGGTTGGTATCGTGGTGATTCATTTTTTGTCGTGTTACAAAAAGCTTAATATTCTTCATAATATATGATAGAATTTTATAGCTTGATTTTTTATGCTTTCAGCAACCGTCAACTTCAATATTCTTGATGCAGCTTTGAACGTATTACAGATATCATGCACAAAATGATCGTCAGATCAATAATATGTAAATTTCTGTATCCGGTAGTTTCTGTTCTCAAAATAAGGTAAATCAATGCAAAAGTAGGTCAAATCTTTTTCCTTTCTACCTCATTTCTTCAACAATTTAATTTTATTCAAGTGCGCAGTTGAGATAACAATATACTGGTGTCTAAGGACCCTAATCTTGAAGAAAAAGACAATTTGATATTTTATGATATTTTCCATTTGAACTTCCTTGAAGAACTAACGAAATTTATTGTACAAAAGAAAAGCAAAATTGCTCAGAAATAAACCCAGCCCTGGAAAATGTTAGCATAAAAGCAACTTCTTTGTCCCCTCCCCAATGTTGAGAACCAAACTCCTCCTCCCTCCCCATGCAGAGACCAACAACTTTGGAGAACAGTTGGTGCTGATCCTGTCCGATTTCTTCTATTATTCTTTCTAGCACACGAATTTATTTTCCCAGTATATTTTTAAGTTTATGTATCCAATACCAAGAACAAAAAGACTCATCACGTATGTATTTGAGATCCCTTGAGTTAAGAATGCGAATCTTTTATTGACAATTGTTATCTCAAAACTGTAATGAGGTTTGGCTCTCTCTTACCTGCAAGCCATTCCGCTCACAGAAAATATGCAGGCGGCATTAGCTGCAATCACTTAAGACGTTTTTGTGGGCATCCAAACGAAATCGATTGGGAAGTTTTCTTTAACAAGGGTCCAGCACGACTTCTCCTCACTTGATAAAGATCCTTTGTTATTTTTCCTTAATACTACCGTTTGTTTTTTCAAAAATGATCTTAAATTAAACCTCAAATTCAGTCAGTCCTCATTCGCCACTTTCCTTAAGGTATTTAATAAATTTAGAGATCGCAGAAATTAACAGGATCATAACGTTGATTGTTTAAGCCGACAAAACACTCGAAATCCGTAATGTCGGGATGAGAAAAATCAAGTAAAATTAGATGAAATTTCTTAAATACATCGAGAGGTTAGACACGAATGTTTGACCCCTCAGAATTTAGATGTTTTGTTACACGTATTATAAAAAGTAATAAAGCCCCGATCCTTCGACTAGGAAGGATTCCAACAAGAGAGGTTTGTGCTTATAGCAAAAATGTTTGGAGAATTCTCTTAAATTCTCTGTAGTAAGAGTTCTTATGAAGCTAGGCTAATAAGACAAATTCTAATTCTCCCATTTTCCCTTTCAGTCTTCTGATATCATCATCTGCAATCATTTTCTAAAATTTTATCAATGAAAGCTTCAAAGCAATTGGGTTGTTCTAAAAAATGTGGCTGAAGTTTACTAACATCTCCTCGTGTAGGGGAACATAAAGGTAAAGCAGGATGGGCATGATCATATAAACGTACAAACTCTTTATGAAACTGAGGCTGTATGTGGTTTGTATATGAGCCGAATGCTGGAATAACAATTACCTAATCAACAAACCATTAGATCGGGAACTGCAAATATATGATTTATCTACATTATATTTAGCCTCAGCTCTCTTCAAACAGTTTGAAATAAATTTTCAGGGCTTTCCCTGATAAATTCCCACAACACTGAAAAGTTCTGTCGATAAAAAACGCAATTCCAATATGTCTTTCAAATATTCTTCAAGTCCAACCCTTCATATCAGCCTATACCCTATAGCCTAGAGAAACCGGAGGTCTAAGCCGGCTGTCTACAATTAGTGGCACAGCTTCTGAATTTTTTGCTTAAAAATTTGTTCAAGGAATATTTTTCTATGCTTTTGTACACTCTACTAATCACATAGGATCAGAGACCAAAGTCTTCTCCAAAAATGGGTACCATGCCATTCCCACGGTTGATCCAATTTCAAAGAAGCCGCTTCAAGAGACCAAATGCCCCAATAAGAACTTTTCTTTATTACTGACAACGGAATTGTCTCTCTAAAACAGCTTTCGTCCCTTTTAAAGCCAAATCTTATCACAGTGGCGACTCAGTCATACAAATAAAGTTTTCTTTGTTCCTTTTCAAAAATTAATATCAGTTCACTACTGATTGTTGAGTATTTTATCAAAGTCCAATACTTTCTGGCTGGTTCGCTGATGGGAGCTACCTGCTAACTCAAACTTACATATGACGGAATTCTAAAAATTTTCAAAAGACTCGTCCACATACCC